GCATTTTTCTAAAGGGTTCCCATAATATAACAATGTCACACATAAGTTGGTCATGCTTTGTATGGGTGTTACAAAAACACAGCTGGTGTGCAGTAATGGTTTCAACATCATCTAACTTGTGTTTACACTGTTAAAAGCTCCTGTGAGGACCTTTCAGTGTAAAACAATAAAGCAGTCTTCAACTATCTAGTCATCAATGCTCTGCAGTGGTGTCTCCTTGTAAAAATCCTATCCTGATGATTTTTATCAGTCAAATTTATGATTTATTGTGCTTATTTCATGTGGACAATGTAAAAAAAGCTGTCTCTTTGGCTGTTTGGCTTATACCTACCCCTATTACCAGTGGTGGACAAACACTCAACTCCATTACTTGAGTGAGAGTATAGATACTCCTGGTCAAATTTTACTCCAATGCAAGTGAAAGTTGTTCAGTCAGTTTTTTCCTTAAGTTAAATCACTGGAGTACTTGCTTTTGAAAATACTTAAGTATTAAAAGTACATTTTAGTTTTTATGTCAATGTGTTATTGTGTTGTTGCTAAAATGAATTTACAGAACCTAATGACAGAAACAACCTAGTGAATGCATTGACCTGCTCATAGAACCTGTAGAATTAAAAGCTTGTACAATATGCTTCAAGGCCTTTAGAAATGTCGATTGAAACTTAATTTAATGGACAAAAGGACAACCATTGCTGTTTTCATTTTTTTATTTAACACCCGACATGCTTTCTCAGGTTGGACGGCGAGTTTTGTTGGAAGTGATGAAGTTTGTGCGCGGCAAACAGAACAAACGCTTTAAACGATATGAAGTGTCCATCATTTCATTAATCTCAAACATGGACTTCAGATATGGCCATGGGTGCTCTGGTGTGGAATCGTGGTCTGTTTCTGCCGTAACCATCATTAACACTGCTAAGATGAACTGTAACCATTATCTCAACAACGTTAGCTAAACGTTTACCTGCCCGATCTGAGTAGCACACGCATGAGGTACAGGTCCAGCATCGCCACTTGAAAAAATCACACGCATATTTTAGAAGAGAAAAGAAATTTCATCCGCTGACTTCAAAACTACACTGAAAGTAATGAGTAGCAAGACCCGTCATAGAAATGAAGTGGTGTTAAAAGTACAATAAATGTCTTTCTAGTGTAGTGGAGTAAAAGTCACAAGTTTCCAAAAAGGGTAATACTCAAGTAAAGTACGGATACTCATAAGATGTATTTAGCACAGTACTCAAGTAAATCTACTTCATTACTGTCCGCCCCTGCCCCTCACACTGGTTTCAGGTCTTTAATGTTGCAAAATAAATGTACCCATTCTTGTTGCTGAAGGTCTTGTTTGCTTCCCTTTGTCATAGCAGAAGCGTCAATATGAGTTTCAGTCTCTTTCGCTGATGTCAATAAACTCCTCACAGGTGCTTTAAGTCTGTCGATTTTAACATTTTTAATGATTTTAAATTACATTTTTATATTTTATTTATTTTAAGATGTCTTATTGATTTTAAACAGTTTTAATCTATCTTTTTTAATTTCTTATGTATTTCCTTGCAACTGTAAGGCACTTTGAATGGCCTTGTTTATGAATGGTGCTATACAAATAAACTTGCCTTGTCTTTAAGTAGAACATGTTATAAACACTATGGAGCATTTACCTTGCACAAGAGGCTATGTTGACTCCATGTACTGTTAAGAATGTACTCCCACTGAAGGGTCCTTGAGGAAACCACTGACTCTTAGCGTCTAAGTGGTACCATTATGTAGTCGACCCTAACCTTTGACCTCTGAGCAACAAAGGCACTCCCAGTTACTTAGTGGCTATGCTGATGTATAAATGTAAAATTCCGCTTCATTCAGGTTACGTTTTTTAAAGTCAATAAAATGTGTTTCCATTAGGGTTTGTGTATGTGATATTTCATTTGATTGAATTACTATAAATTGAATATAAATGCTCGTTATGGGTCCAGAAATGATGGCAGCCTCGGCTCTGTTTAGCTAAATTAATCAACAGAATGCTAAATAGTTTTGGAAGCAGTTCAACACTTCAAGGACACATATTGAAAATGGAAATAAACAAAAGCATGAATAATTCAGTGAGTGCCACATACTGGCATTATTAAATGTGCTTTTTTTCACTATCAGTTCTTGACGCAGCTTTCGCACTGTGACCTTAAACACCTCATCTCAGCAACCTTACAGAAAACCCTGACCTTTACAGTCACAGTGGTAGTTTGGATAAAGGAAAACTTATTTATTTTTGAAAAGGCATGCTGTAGAGGATTATAGAATTTAGGAGTCTCCTTTTTCTTTCCACAACTTTCTTATGAGTAAAGTTGGCAGGTGGCAACACAAGCCCTGCTGCACACACACTTTATTATTCAGTTTATTAGCATTCAAAGGCCATAACAGGTTAACACATCCCCTCTCCACAGCTAAGGGCTTCAATAATTTACCCTAATGTCTAAATATTTCATGACTTCAATCTCAATTGAACTTGAATCTATCAAGATGAATTAACGTTTAAGCACTCTGAAAGAAGCTCCTCTGTCAGCGCCTGTCTGCTATACCTCTCGCATTAAACCCGCTATTACTGCGTGGGGTTTGTGAGATTAGAAATCACAGGTGGGTTATGAAGAAAAAAGGGGACATGAAACCAACCAATAGAAATGCTTTTCCAACAGTAACTGCTTGGAAATGGTTTGGAAATATATTCTATTTTGACATTGTAGTCACAGCCCTTACTGTGTGTAAGACTGAAATTGTTGTTTTGTCATTTTTTATTTTACTTCTCTCTCACACACAAACAAATAAATAAACCAATACCTTATTTGAAATAGAAAACATTTTCAGCAGACTTGAGGGAATTTAAGTCATGCTCTCAAATGCATGCAAAGAATAATACACATAGACACACACACACTCTCTCTCTCTCACACACACACACACACACACACACCTGTCTCCCAAGCTGAGTCCTGCTGAGCCTTTCCTGCTCCACTTGTTTTTTCATCTGTCATTCTGGAGTATGTCAGTGTTTAACCCCCTCCTACGCTCCCATGCTCCCAGGTAAACACACACAAACATACACAATGCCTCAAACAAAGCGTTTTTTCCCTCTTTCTTTCCACCTTGACATACAAAGTTGCCCAAATAAAGACAAACCAGGGCACCGGTTTAAGCAGACAGACACCAGCAGTGGAGGCAGAAGTCAAATACCTTGTTGCTCTTTCTCTCTTGTAGGTCATTACTGATGGAGTCAGAACTGTCATTTTAAACTCTGTGTGAGTTTGTGTGTGTTTTTAGAGGCGGCGAAGGCTGTTTGCATGGCTGACAGGAAGGATTATGTTGCCCCTCTGCCATTCGACCTGACTCTCCAGCTTTTCCCTTGCAGAAGTGTGCACATAACAGTTTAGGAGTTTCTTCCTCATGGATGCATCCAGCATTGGGGCTGCTTATGGATTTTTAAGTACTAGTGAGGCGCCCTGTGGCTCGAAATAAGAAGGTTTAAAATTTTTAAGCCTAAACCTGCACTCTTTGGGGGAAGTTGAGGAAGTTGCTTGACTGTTTAAATCCTCTGAGGTGTTCACGGGGGAAATGTTGACGAGGCATTCTATAAAAAAGGTGGATAATCTGAGCTGCAGTGGGTGATAATCATTTAGGGATTGCAAATCAGTTAAAACTAATGAGGGACTCATGCATGCTTTGCCTTTTCCCATTAAGTCTTCATCCTTGGGATAAATTGTGATGTAGACTCACTGTATATTCTAATTATGCAAGGGAGTGTTATACCTTTTCTTTGCAAATGAAGACGTTAACATCAGCAATCTTAGTTTGAATGTGCACCTGCCTCCCTCTGTTCATGGTTGAGTGTCCTAAAAACCCTTCAAAGAAACATGTCCTTGGTGTGCCCTTCACATTAACCATTTTATAATGAGTTAAATGTGTTTATGGTCATTTTTTTAGTCTGTCTAAAGATGAATACCAAATGCTTTGTACCCAGATTATAAAAATGGCAATCACATCTCACATGTTTAATGGGTTTATGGGCCGTGTGACAACATATATGCATATGGGGCCAACGTGCCTGCAATATTGAGGAGGCTTTCATTAAGCTGTGGCCTATTCATATATGTGTTTACTTGTGTGTGTGTGCCTGTGTGTGAAAGTAAATCTAAGAACGTGCTCCTAAACTCAGATTGGGTATTGCATGTTAAGCTCACTGATGGCAAGGGGAATATAAATGTGCTCTGCGTGCAGGAATTAACGGGGTATTCATGATAAGGAGTCCAAAACATGGCACAAGCCAGATTAAGAATAAGACGCACAGGAGCCAATAGAGATAATCCCGTTATCTCGTTGGATGTAAAATGCGAGTGTGGGAGCATCCTCAGAGACCAAGATGAACTGAACATGAACTAATGCTGCAGATATAAAGAATGGAGATGAAGGAGAGGAATGAGCAGGGAAGAGGGGGTGGACAAAACAATATTGACAACCTGGTGTAAACACTGTTGTTGTTGTTGTTGACCTTAAGGGACACCCACGCCGTTTACCGCAATGTCACCGGCGCTCCTCGTTTTCCACACACGCGCGCCCGTCAATTCGACATCCGGCTCATGACATTGTTTCACCTTTAAGGACTCACTGGCAGTAGCAACACCGGGTTTGTAATAGGCCAGTACTGATTAATGATCTCTGTCAACTTAGACAAAAAGAAATCAGGGCTCTGCTCAGTGGGGCTTAATGGGAAACCGGGTGCCGGTGGAGACGCACTCCGGTCATCACCGTCCAACCAGAGCGCATTAAACATTACGCACGACAGGAATACAAGCATGTACACACAGAGAAAGACGCACACGTCTGCTGATAACCTGAAAACTCACACAATAAGAAAGACAGGAGGAATGGAAGAGGGCAGACTTACGGGATGACCCTGGGCTCTGTGGGCTCTCTCTCTCTGTGCCCCATCGTGAAATCCCTCCTATTCCCGTTAAATGGAATCCTCAAATGCCGTGGTCGCAGTCAACGTCTCTGCAAATGTACCAAAGAATCACATAGAGGATGAGGAGTATGGCGAAGATGAAGAGTGCTACTAGGATGGCCTTGGTCACCGGAGAGATGAGCGACTGCATGTCAGGAGCAGAGCCGGGCAGAGCGGCGTGGGGCTCCGCGTCCGTCCTCAGTCTGCTGTCTCTCTCGCTCTCCTCCGCTCCTCTCCGCCGCTCTGGTAGCAACTGTTGAGGATGGAGCCAGGGGCTTTAACGCGCACATACACACACATTTAGAGCCTGACGCACATGCACACGCACTCCGCGACTGGAATTTTTACCGGCGATCCAGGCGCGCAACGCGTGGGGGGCTTCCCTTGCTGGAAGCGTCGCAGGAAAGGGCTGAATGTCCCCAGATCCACTCTCTCCGGCTGCCTGCCGCACATCGGGGGAGACAGGAGACAGGAGGGATAACTGCGGCGGTTAAGAGCAGATGAAATTCAGCAGGTGGAGGTTTCGTTGAAATCCAGCTGAGACATTTCTAGACACAGAGGGGAGAAGTCCTAACTTGCGCACCGAGCTGCTGCACTTATAGGCAAACAGGTTGATTAATATTCCACACGGCGGTGTGTGTGTGTGTGTGTGTGTGTGTGTGTGTGTGTGTGTGTGTGTGTGTGTGTGTGTTGACAGACTGTGTGGCATGACAGGCTATCATCACGACCCGCAACACTCCTTTTATTGTCAGTGCCATGAGTGGAAAATGACGAGATGTTAATTGATGTTAATTAAAAATAACCCTTTTATGACACTGTTCCTTCTGGGTTGGCAGTGGGTTCGATCTGTTGCCTTTGGAGGCGCTTTCAAAATATTCGTACAGTTTAACAATCCCAAAATCAAGAGAGGATGTCTTTGTATGTAAAGGGCGACCGATGAAAAGGCTCACTGCAGATGTGAGAGCAGGATCTACAAAAGAGCCTGGTGAATGTGACAAGAAGGTCATCGTGGGGTTTTCTGGAGACAGGCTTGATAATCCAAACCTACATCTAAAACTTAGCTATTTGTGGCCAATATCTGCGTTGTTTTTGTTCTTGCGTTCATGCAATGGATGTGAGTCAGTGCACGCCCCCCTTGAGCCCTTTTTCTTATCCGCAATCACAAACACCCATCTCATGTACGGACCATAGGCTATAGACTTTCTGCATGACTGCGTGAAACTGATTATTCATGCAGCCTCAGGTCCACTGATTGTCGTGCCTAATTTTCGTTAATATCATATGACTACAAATTCCATTTAGATTGTTTTTTATACTATTATTATTATTATTAGCCTCGTTTTGATTGTTTTTATTCAGCTAGCTGTAAGTTGTTTGTAAAAAAAAACGTTATAAATTTTAAGTTATTATTATCATTATTGTTGTTGTTATTGAATCATTTGTATTAATTTCATTTCTTTTTTAATTAATATTTAGTGAAAAAAATTGTTAAGTCGTTACTCTTCGGCATCACATAGTGTAGAAGTAGGTCGCAAAACTGATGCATGAGGGGAGATGATCAGAAGCAGTGATCAGGAGCGCTGTTTCTCATTTACCAACATTGACCACTAGATGGCGACAAACAGGAGTTGTCATTACTTCATGAACTGTGATGGTGTATTTGATTATTCCGCACACCATCATCACACTGTAGTCTTGCATAACAATCATGACACCTTTACGGGTTTAAGGCGCACAGCAGGTAAGTGGAAATCATGCATCTACGGTAGTTTACTTCGAACTTGTGTGTTTCTTAGATGTATATCGCGTGTCCAATAGCGATAGGTTAGCTTTACTAGCATGTGTAACGTTGGGGCCTATTGAGCAAAGTGGCTCAGGAAGCTGGAGGCGCTGCAGCGAACTAGCCATGCTGCCAAGTTTGGTGAAATATGCAAACTTCAGTAGTTAGGTGGACAATGTGTGTGGTTTTGTTGGACTCTTACGTTATGGCGTAACACTGTATGTGTGGAGACATGTCTAGCAAGAAGATGTCGAGGTGTTAAGCGATTGTTAAAGCAGCTGAGACAGACCTATGTTTGCAGCAACTCGCTAGTTAGTAGCATACTAGCATCAAATAGGCCATAGACCTTTGTTAAGCAGCTGAAGTTTAAACAGAACTTCCGGTGGCGGCCGTCAAAGTAAAGTGTCAAGTAAAATGTAACCGTAGATGTTGCTATTGTTTCAGTGTTTTGCGGATATAATCGACAAGAGAATCATTTATACAATCTATAGCAACAATGATTTAATATTATTGGGCAGAAATATGGTTCCAGTCGTTAATTTGTTCAATAAAACAGAACAGGCTGTTTTATTGTGAAGGTGTATTCGTCCTCTTCGCATCTCTTTAGCTCTCACCTTAAATGTGATGGAGCAGCTCTGACAAGCGCGGCTTAGCTAGCTGGCTAGCTAAAGACTTAACCCACTTAACTTGAGTGACACAGTGAGTCTGTTTACATTTGGGACCTGGTGGTTGGTGGTGTTTACCCATGGAAGATTGAAACACACAGTTACCCGGTTCAGTATGGACTAGCTATAGTGTCAAACCTGTTACCAGTCGGTCTACAAGTGCTATGTTAGCAAGCGTAACCGTGTTAACAGATCAGGTCTAGTTGACGTGATCTTATGGAAAAGCAATGCTCCTGTAAAATGTATTAAAGGCATGTTTTCCAACAACTGTTTTAGTCCGTTTAGTTAAAGGATATTATATATATTAAGTAGATTGACAGTTATCCGTCTGCCAATAGACCAGTCAGCCTGTTAAAGTACATAAATCTACAAAAAATGACTGCAAGGATTGAAGGATTTGGAGTCTTGAAAGCTGCACATTCCTGCAGTATATTACCAACTCTCTGAGCTCTTTCACAGTGTTTGCAATAAATGACACAATTTCGTACATTATGTTAAATAAGATCACATATGCAGCTGATAACCATGTAAGAAAAGTAAAAGCTCCACGGTGAAGAGGTGTTTGGAGAACATATGTAAAACTGGCATTATAAGTCGTGTGAAAAACTACAAATAATACTTTAATCCATCAGAGTACAAAACCATTTCACAAAGCTGTGGAGACAGACTCGATTCCTTAATGATAGCCTTATAATAGTACCTGTTGTTTCAGGTTTTGCATGAGATAAAAAGTAAGCATGATATTTGTTATACTAACAGAGAAGATGAGATGGTTTTGTAGAGGACTCGAATAAATACTCACGCATCTGTGTGCCAAGCAAACACTAACAAAGCTGTCTTTGAGACGGGTGAGTTACAACTGTCGCCAGGTCTGTGGCAGAATAAGAGACTGCAGAAACAGCCTTTAAACTGTTAGCGTGTTAAAGTACCACAGCTAGTGGTAAAAGGTATCAAAGTAAAGAAAGTTAAAATATGTTTTCTAAAAACACTAGTTGCACACATAGAAGGAAAGGTTGAAAAAGAGACAAGAGGTGTGGCTTAGCCCTCTGGGTTGGCCTGGGCAATATGGGAAAAGGTTTTTCAGGATATATTTTTTTCATATCAGTCAATATCAATATATATCACGATATAAAAAATGAAATTTAACAGTGCTTATTGGTAGCATGTCTTTTGCAATAAAATAAGCTACTGCATCTGTGAGGTCTTTGTGTCTCTTTGACGTTTTGTCATAAGGTGTTGCGCTAGAGAAAGCGGACCGAATGGTCAGCTGTTCTCAGTATCAAAAGTGCTATGGTTGCGTGTAGTTGCAGCCTGCTACTACGCAGTTGTTTGCTATTTGGTTCTAACTCAGCACATGATTGGTTCAGCGTGAAGCGGCTCCACGGAAACTCTCCTTTTCATTGGCTATTCGTATAATCTACCAAAACATGGCAGAATGCTGGCTATCTCAAAGCATATTGACCATGTTTTAAATTGATATCGAGGGAAATTAATTTTCGATCTATATCGTTATCGCTTTATCGCCCAGCCCTACCTCAAGGGTCACTAAGATTGACCTAAAATTTACATTTCTCTTGCTTTTACAAACTAGTTCTATCATCCTACTCAAAAATATCCCTAGATAATACATTTTTAGATCTGATGTCCCTCGGTCATTTGTTGTTTGTGATTTTGCATTCACCTACATTTATGTATAATACATAAGTATAAAATTGTACCAAGTATAACATTAATGTGTTCACTTATCATCGCTGTGCTGTTCTTTTTACAGACTAAAGAACTACTCTATGTAAGATGAACACTGAGGACAAGTTGGAGGGCATGATGCTGAAGTGCAGCAGTGGAGGGATTGATGGAGGAGGAAGAGTTGGGCTGGTCAGCGGAGGTGGACTGGTGGTAATGACTCTTGGGGAAAGATCACTGGCAAATCATCCGCTGTTGGCTGAGGATGACGATGACGAAGACGAGGATGAGGACTTGACAGGGGGCTCGCTGGTTACACATGACCTGGTCCCTCCTGAGCAGCTGATGATGCAGGAGGAGATGACAAAGAATGGAGGAAGTGGAGACGAAGAGGGAGGAGGCGAGGTGGGAGTGCATTTCCCCCTTAAACTCACCAATAAGTTGCCCTGCTTGCTTCACATGCCAGTGAGTTCATGCTGGTTGAGAAAAGTAGTCCATGTGCAAATTATAACAGAATAACAGAATATTAATGTGTTAAGAGTCTCAACCTCATTGTAGAGCGTCCACTTGATGTCCCTCTCCTGTAATAGCTGATGTTGTGATCACTGTATTTTGCAAATTTAACAGAAAAGACATCACAATCACCCACAACCCTCTTCACCTCAGCTGACACAAACTGGCACTTTCCTGGACCCTCTTTTCCTTCCCTCTACAGACACTGATTTCATTTACTGAGAGGGAATACAAGTGTGCTTTCTTCCTCTCCTCGCACGAAGCTGTTGTTGTTTTTACATGTTAAGTTTAAGTTTAATTCTGGATTGTTGGTTTCAATATAGGGGCTTAACAACTGAGCTGTGAACCCCTGTGTTATTTGTGAATATTTCCTGCACAGAATACAAAAAGGAATCAATAACTAGAAGTTATCCACGGGATCAAACCTGGTCTTGCTTATCCAAACTTGTTTTACATTCATAGATTTGGCCGGATATTTTACTATAACTATTTTGCTTTCTTCGGGAGTTGATGACAAACTTCATTTCAGATAGTATTAGAAATCTATGGGTGCCCTGAAGCTTGCTGTAAGGTAGGATCTTTGAGGCCTTTTAGGACTTTGGGATTCTGCCTAGTCTACTGAGCTTCTAGCAGGGGGCCACACTCTGGATGCTTAAACCACATCAACTGGCTGCTTAAATTGTGGAGGAGCAGCTGCTCCTTAGAGGGGTCCTCTGACGTTGGTTACTTATCCTGTGCTTTCCTTAATGCACCTGTCTCAACTGGATAAGCTGCTGGATGTGTGGGTGGGCTTTAAAGTAGGTCATTTTTCTCATTTAATATCTTGCCTATCTATGGTCTTTCTTTTACAGCTAAGCATCAAACAGGAACTAAAGCTATCTGAATCAGTGGGCCAGATCAAGAGAGACAAAAAAGGAGGGAAGGACCTAATGGTGTGTCCCAAGAAGAAAAAAAGGAAACAGCGTTCACCAGCAAAGGTATATTTCCGGTCGATCCTTGGAACCATGTATTTTTAAAGACCTGACCTGCATATGTAAGAGAAATGTCCAAATCAATGGCTGCAAGAGTGAAACTGACACCAATATGCATATTTTTCTCCTCAAATCTGTAGATCCTCAGCATCAATGATGATGGATCGTTGGGCATACAAAACCCCAAGTGTCACATTTGTGTTCACTGTAATGCTGCATTCAGAACCAACTACCATCTACAGAGGCATGTCTTCATTCACACCGGTACGAATTACACAGCCATGTTTCAAAATGACATTACTTTGTGTCGCTCTAAGAATTAAGACATCATGTTGATTGTGGAGTGATCTGTAAAAAGACTTTTGCTAAATTGAGAAGTTGCTTCGACACTTGCATTGTTGTATTTATAATGTTGATTTAACGCAGATGTTTGTACATCTGTTTTCAAACTCCAGGTGAGAAGCCGTTTCAGTGCAGCCAGTGTGATATGCGCTTCATTCAGAAATATCTTCTCCAGAGACACGAGAAAATCCACACGGGTGAGAGAAATGAAAGCAAGCAGCAGTAACTGGAGCTTAGATTTCTTCTTAGTTTTAGTTGAGACACATTTTCTTATATTTCCTCCTTTCTCTTCAGGTGAGAAACCTTTTCGCTGTGATGAGTGTGGGATGAGGTTCATCCAGAAGTACCACATGGAGAGACATAAGAGGACTCATAGTGGAGAAAAGCCCTACCAATGTGACTACTGTCACCAGGTAAGCTGGCAGTTAGTTGTCCATAGAAACAAGATAACTGAATATGTTGACAAATCAGTGGTTACAAGTCTTTTATATGAGCCAGTGTCTCCTTATATGTAAGCCATTTATGTACTGAAGATATAAAAAAGGATGTGAAAGGACAACAATAGTCTTTAAACTGAAGTCTGTCCCCCCCCTCCACAGTACTTCTCCAGGACTGACCGTGTTTTAAAGCACAGGCGAATGTGTCATGAGAACAGAGAGAGAAAGACCAACAAAGCAGCTGGTAAAGTTGGGCCTTTGCGTGAAGCAGATTCTTTAGGCCTCCCCTTTCTTGCCAAAGAGTGTTCACTGCCCAAGAAGAAGCGCCAAAAATGTGGGGACAAAGGTTCGGGCGCTTCCAACGCTGCCCAGGCAGATGGGCATGCCACAGCTGTAGCAGAAACCGATGAGAAAGAAGAGGAGAGACAGCATAAAACAGAAGGTCTACCTCTCTACGCTGTGTCCTCCAAAGTCAAACATGAGTATGTGATTGCAGACTACTCAGTAGAGCTTCCTGAAGACACAGCAAGCCAACACCAAGAGGACCAAGTGTCATCAGAAGATGCAACTCCTCATAAACTTGTCCTGAAGAAAGTCCCCAAGAGAAGTCTGAAACAATCCAGTGAACAAACTCCTCCCTGCCTCTCCACGTTGTCTTCCTTTGAGGAGAATACTAAGGTCACGCAGTACACCTTTGAAATTGTAGACAAGCAAGGCCTTTTAGAAGTAGAAAGCAACACTGAGCTGGAGTCAGTTGAAGCTCTTCAAGGACCAACAAAGCCAGCAGCTAGCAGCACAAACTATGACGACGCCATGCAGTTCCTCAAGAAGAAACGCTATCTTCAGGCTGCAATGGCCAATAACAGTCGGGATTACAGCCTGAACACGAACAGCATTTCTTCACAGCCTCCTGTTACACAAACTGTGGTGTCAACTGTCATCGACGAGACTGTCCCTGCTACCATACTGGAGCCTCAGCCCATCAGCGCAGAGATTAAAACCACGCACGACAAGAATGTTCTGCCGGATGAGGTTCTTCAGACGCTGTTGGACCATTACTCCAACAAGGCGAACGGGCAGGCAGACATTTCCTTCAGCGTGGCTGATACAGAGGTGACGTCAAGCATATCCATTAACTCCTCAGATGTCTCTGACAGCAGCCCCGGGGAGAGTCTCGGTCCTTCCACTGCACAGGCTCAGCCAGCGACAGAGAAAGTCAGCCTCTTGCAGGAATACTCCAAGTTTCTCCAACAAGCTCTGGAAAGGACGAGCCAGAACGACAGCTACCTGACCAGCCAGAGCCTCAGCCTGGTCTCTGAGAACCCCACTTTAGCTGGACAACCTCTGTTCTCCAATGAGAAACAGTTTCCTTCCCCCAGCAGGTTCAAATCAGGGATGAGCTCTCCACTAAGGTCCACTTTAGAGAAACCTCACTTTGGATTACTGGTCGGGGACTCCCAGCACTCATTTTCATTTTCAGGTGACGAGACCACCCCTCCCTCTGCAGTGTCCCCAGCTGACGAGGACTTTCTGGAGCAGGTCTCACCTTCAAAAAAGACAGAATCTCCACAAGGCATACTGCAGACTTTTCAAATAAGCTCATTTGATCAGAACTTCAAATCTCATTTCCAGACTTCAAGATCTGGATCCTCCTCTCAGTTTACTGTTGCCAATGGACAATTGAGTCTTCGAGGTCACAGCACAGACTTCTCGGAATTCCCCTTAGTCAGAGTCACTGAGACCAGGTCTCAACTGAACTCCTCCCCTGATGTTACATCCAGTGAAACGTTTGGCTGAAGGGAGCAGAGGAAGAAATCACTTCTGTTAATAATTTCAACAGCACTTTATCTTGTTTCTCTTTTTTTTCCTTTTTTTTTTTTGCCAAAACAAGTCACATTGCAAATATGTTTTTTTTTTCTTTTTTCATAGCATCTTGTTATAAAATTTTAATTTTTTTCTTCTTATTTTGCATAACTTCACCAGATGGAAATTATGAATATTGATTAGTTAATCTTCGCATTTCCCCCTTTAAAGGTAAATTGCAAATGTGCATGAGTTTATTTCTTGGTAAAGAATGTTCGTCGAGAGAAAGCAACCAAAGTTTAATGCAAGACATAAAGTAGAATACTCTCTCATGTTATTGTTTTTTTTTTTGTTTGTCCAATCAGTTTGCCTAGCATGAAAATGTATGAAGTTGCTCTTGCTGCTTATTAACTTTTTTTTTCCACTTATGTATAGGTTCTGTCTTTAAATGCCTGTATCTATCTTGCGGTATCTACCTCCCCTCACTGCTAATCTGGCTAGATTATAATCACTCCTGGACCCTCTTTATTTGAGATGTGTAAAACAGCAGTTAAAATGTCCACTGAAAGACCCATTGATGAGACAGATTGTTCATTTTACGTCACTTTTAAGTCACTTCAGTGCACCTTAAATGGGTGTTTTCACATGAGATGCTCTAAGTGCTTGTTTGTCTCCCAGAAGAATTAGTAATGGTTTGTTTTTCCAAAAGAAGAAAATGAAGATCTTCATTTCTAAATGTCTAAATAATTAAATATCGTGTAGATAATATATCCCCTTTATGGATTAATTCGCACTTTTTTTTTTATAAATCTTACTGTAGTGCAGGACAAGCTACAGAATAAAAAAAGTCTTGATTGTACTACATTTCAGAGTTTGCCCCTCCCAATTTAAAAACAAAAAGAAGAAAACAAAATTTGGGTGTTTGCTGCAGACATGTAACGTTTGCAGGATAATTCATACTTTCCTTCCTAAGTATAGGTAAGAGTTGTAGTGAAATTACTTAAGAGGATTGTGCTTATTTTTACGCACAATTTGCACATTTTTTACTACAGGGAATGTAAAGTGTACTTTGACAGTGGAGGAATAGCATAATACCTTTAATTTTAAAGGCGAGTTGATTTCATGAGATGACCCCCTGTGTTGGATTCAGATCATTAAATGGTGTTCCTTGCTTTAGTTGCTCATCATGTAGCTCTTATTGCTGCAGCTCTTAGATGGTTGTTGTTTCTCCAAGATTCGCAGGTCAAAAGAAACAACACGGTAACAGGATGCCCTTGTATTGACTAAGAGTCAAAAGTTTTATCCAGGCTGTAATATGTAAGAGGTGGAAATGAGGGTTTTTGTTTTATAGTTTAGTTAGTTTTGCATTTGTGCCTTCCTTTTTTTTATTCCAAACTTCCGTTCACTCATTCCTCTGTTTTTTTCTTTGTCAGTGCTCTGAGGCTACTTATTCGACTTGCACAATAACAACAAACTTATAAGCTATCGATCTATTCAGTCTGTAATACATTGAGACCTGAAACATACCTTTAAAATTTTCAGAAATGGCTCCATATCTAACCATCAAGAAGGAAAAGGTATTGATTTTGTGGCAGTGTTTGTATTTGGGTACAGAAAGAAAAGTTTCGACCATGTTTTGGGATTCAGTCGTCAGCCACATCTGTCCAGGCCTGAAAAAACCTGCAATAGAGTGAAGTCTCTTCATCACATTGTTGATTCTCTTCATGTGTTCATGTTTGTGTGATGATTTAGGTGCTATTGCATAGAACCATGTTCTGATATTCACTATCTCATTAGGACTCTGATGACTGATGCTAAGATCCCTCTTGTTACAATTCTATGACAATCAGGGACAGATGTCGCATTAATCATTGAATACAATTTTACTTATTGATCATTCCCATTAAAATTGATGGAAAATATCCAGCTGTAAATACATTGTATATTTTTATGTTCTGAGAAGTACTGGTAGATCTTTGTGTCAATAGAGAGACAAGTCTTATGCTAGAGACACTTTTTGTCAGTGAAAGGCTCATTAATTAGTTTTCCAGCATTAATTACAGCAATGAAATCAGTTGTGGCTTACTTCGGTTTGTATATATCCCACCTCTTTAATCAGAAACATTTGATATTTCTTTTACAGTTTTATTAATGACTGGTTCAAGTGAGATCATTTTGGTTGTAAGTTGATGCAGTTGATTGTGCATTATGGTGGGATTTACTGTGTTGGTGTTGGTTACCTGTTAGAAATGAAAAGCCCCTAGTTCTCTAAAAATGTAGATTTAATTTTGCAGTAATACTCCTGGTCAGCTTTAACATTTTTTTTTATGGTTGTAAAATTTCACCTGCTACCCATTTTCATGAAAGCAATGATTGAAAGCACACAGCAGAAAAGTCAGTCTGCCTCTTTAAACTGAATCTTGTGAATGGTGCATGACTGTTTCAACTGAATGAATATGGAAAGTCAAACTGTTCACAGAGATTCATGAATAACCCGAACAGCACCATTTTCTTTCCTTGAATTTACTGTTGTCAGTAACCTGGCCATAAGTGTCCTTGTATAAGCTAGAAAAAAAAACCTGTTTTGTGTAAAAAGTTCTGAATTATGAATTTTTTTATAAAAACTATTTTTGAAACATGTCATTTAAGGCACTGAAATGTACAGTATATCATATGCAGTCACTATTGCTACACTCATTTATCTCTGTAAAAGTCTTTTGTGTCAAGATCTTTCAAATGCTAAGAGGGAGTCCTTCTCTGAAGTCTGAACTTTCTGCTTCTCTTAGAGACTCAGTCTTAAGTTAGACTGTAAGGTTTATTTGCATGGTCTCTGACTTGTTGGGTCGAGTGAACTTGTTTTAAGAATATTGTGCAGCTTTAATTGTAGCTGATTAATTTCAGTCAAGTAACCCATTTGATTAGATTTTTGCTATATATATTATGATTTGTAAACAATCTGATAAAATGTTGTTTTGATTGTGTGTCATGTCCTTATAAATAAATGATTCACAGTATTTGATTTGAAATGTTTTTGATTTCTTTAGGCCTTAACAAATGTCTTTAAAGTTAGTGAGTTGAAGCAGTAGGTGTAGCACAAGCAATACAGTATAAAATGAAAAAAAAAAAAAATAAATACAGCAAATCTCGTGAAAAGAATGAGCGATAACACATTGAAGGATGGTGGTGTCTAATAATAAAAGATATTTAAGTTAGCTGTAATATCTTCTGACACGCTACATGTGGTAACCAAACCTTGATGCTAATCTGTCATGTTGTTCTGTACAAAGTCAGCAAACATAAACTCAGGATTAGTCACTGTTTGTTTAAAGTCTTTCTGTCCTGAGTCTTAATGTCCTGTCGTCATGTGAAAAATATGACCTTTACTCAAAGTTACACAAAGGACTAATGTCTTATTGCCGAAACATGATCTCTTTTCCTATAACCAGTTCTCACATGTTTCAGGAAAGAATTCCACGAATAAAAAGATAAGACATGGAGTGGTTTGTACTTTTCTCAGAATTAATCATTGGTCAACCTTTTCCACCGCAGACCTTGCCAAAACTAACACAGGATTATGTGCAAAGGCAGCAACACACCCTGAAAAGTAACTATGACAACAGTATTACCTGCCACTGCTGACGTTTTCATAAAGCCATTGTTAATAGCAGGAGAGGAATCCTTTAAGTATTAACTGAAGTCATCACTGGGGGACAAAGTAATCATTAACTGTCATTTGAATTGTGTGCCATTCATTTATTTTCCAGCATGGACTAATATGGAGCTCTGTTTAAGGTAAGTAAAGCGAGTTGACAATGTCATGCAAAAACGGTTTATTAATCTGTCACTTTGATTGTTTTCACAAGCTAATCCTTTGTCTGTCTGAAATATGTTCATGCAAACTCAAAAATGGAAAAACAAACAATACTAACAGTCATCTTTAGGAATACAAAATGGTACCCGTTTATTCCCAAGAGGACATAGGCTACCCAGAGGGGGGACATGGGTTCCCAGATTAATATCTGACTGGCCACCCCAGGTGTAACCCCAAATCATTAACTGCTTACCATGTCTGTTTTTACGCAGTATTTGATCTGCGTTTCCTGTGGCTGTCTCTTAATTTTAATGTAAAATTTTCAAAATTGAAAATTTTCAAGTTGTGGTTGTTAAGGAAAGGTGCATCCTCTTTTTTGAGGTTTGAATAATTAAGGGTAATAAAAAAAATGACATTGCTTTCCTGTTGTGTTTCCTTTAAAGTTAAAAGGTACAATACAAGCCAGAAAGGAACATAGAATCTGAATGAAAACTCCTTTGTGGTTTAATGAAGTTTAAATGATTTGTGGAAGAAGATGGGTTGAATATTTGTGAGCCCACACAGGCTACTTAAACCATCCTGCTTCAGTCAGCATGTCCCCCTCCTCCAGGCCTAAAAAAAGTCTGGTTTAGCCCCTGTTTGAAATAAAGACTTCAAAGCTAATTTAGGAGGGACTGGAGGATAATCAAAATTCATTTTATTTATCAGAGTTGTGAAAGTAAGTCTGTTAAATAAAATGAATGAACTGCTAAATAATGCTAACGGACCCCATCAGACCTGAATCAGACCAATCCTTATTGACTTAACGAGCGGGTGAAATATCTGCCGAGTTTACCGTCGGCGTCTGTTCGGTGTCTGCACACCTTGTCGTATCCGGGTGTCCTCGTGCTGCACCTGTCGCTGTTTCACCGGGATAGGCGGGACCAGCACTGCAGCCAACTTCGTTCACAGAGTAAACTAATGCGGACATACATCAAATCCTGAGCTGAAATTTTCATGTTGCCTTCATTTTTTTCGACCTACAGGAGTTGTCTGGAGCAGTAGGGCTGCCTGTGGAAGTGTAACACAACTGTTTACACGCGTAGGCTAGGATGGAAACAGTACCACTTGGGTGGACTGTGCACACCTGTGATCAGAGGGGTGATCGAGCAGGATTCTTGAATAGAGGAGTTGAGGACACGGATACCAACACTCATGTCCATGATCTGTTTCATGAAGATGCACAGGTAGGATGCTTTCAGATTGATAGTGATGACTGTGGAGGAGAGGACTGTACTGGCAGGTTTCAGGAGGTTTGTGTTGATATTGAAGTTTGCAAGCTGTCTACTTTTAACATTAAAAGAAAACCCTTAGATACACCACTTGTGTTTGAAGATTTACTTTGTGTATTCAATCAGTGACATTTGATCCAAAACAAATACTGTACTGTAGTACACATGCAGTTGGCCTATTTTGCTGCTTTTTCTGCTGTTAGTTTGCAGGGACCTTGTAGATTTTTGTGAACACATTCAATTATGATTTATCTGTGTCAAACTAAAGTGTTTAAAACCACAGTGATTTCTTTGGTCAGGGCTTTCAGCAGTCCAGCCAGCCATGGTGGCGGATCAAACTGTTTGTGTGGGAGCCAGTGCTGTTTGGTACATGGGATGGAGTTTTCACCACCTGTATGATCAATATCTTTGGTGTGGTTCTGTTCCTGCGAACTGGCTACTTAGTGGTTAGTATGCAACATATTTCTCTTTTTTAACCTCAATTTCCCACTAGCTCTTATTTCAGGTTCAACTTCTAGAGTCAGGTATGATCAAACAACCAACTTGACCCTGGTCTTTCATTACAGCAAAATTGCATACACTGAAAAAAAAAACACTAGAAAAAACTGGTTATGCACATTTTTCTCATGAATTTTTGGCAAATATTATAAATTGTGATAATCGGGAGACTTAAATAGATTACTTTATACAGTATAATGTGGCTACTTGCCATGTCCAAGAAGAGACTTGTAATCCTGCTGTGACTGTGTGCATCATTGAAAAAGGGAAACACACAAAGAAACAATTAACCTGAAATATCAATCCATTTATTATCTGAAGTCATAAAAGATCTGAATGTTTTAGTGTAATATTTAAAGATATATTGAAGAAAACAAACAAACTGAAAGTTACCAAAAAAATAGGTTGCAAACTTGAATATACATGAATATTTAGTCATTGGGAGCACTCCAGCATCCACATATTTTAAATTACAACATTTTATAACAAAAATCTACTACCATGATTTGAAAAGTTTGGATGTTGTATAAAATGTTGATTAAAGTAGAGTCTACCATTTTTTTTAATTGAAAATGGAGCAGAGACAATGTATACAATGTTTAAAGGGGCAAAAATGAGTTACTCTAATAAAAAATCTATGCTATATGTTATTTTTGAAATAGTTGGTGACAGCAAAACTCTTAAGAGAAGGTTGTGTGATGCTAAAAAAGAGACACATAGGAACATGTTCCAACTAATTGGTTAAATTTTCAGTAAGTTACAACTTTCTTGGAGTTTAACTTCTGCATATCTCGTATGGTCATCAATATAGTCTACAGCTGTTAATCCAGTTTACTGTGAGTGGTGGAAACTGTGCACTGTTTCCAGAATAGCTTATTTTATATGATTATGTAAAGATCTTTTATGGCTTTTTGTATGCCTGCAAATGTGTGAAACAGAGAGGACTGCCCACTGTTTGAAATGACTTTTACGCTACAATTTCCTCATATCTGAGCTCTTTGCACATCTCTGCTGTCATTGCTGTCAGCTCTGTTGAAGCTTTTGCTTTGTATTTTCAGTGCTACAATCTTAGATTAATTGTCACCTTGTCAGTTCTCTTACGCTTTAATGTGTCATGTGTCATAATACCACACAGATACAAAGGCCTGATCATCTTGATTGCTGTTTGTTTTGGTTAAGCTTGACTGCAATAACATGGTTGGCCTTGTTGGAGACAGGATTTCCTATCAGTTCTCTATGACTTATCATGTGAAGGTAAATCATATACATATTCCCTGGTTTGATTGGCCTTTCAAACAAGTTTATCATCCTCTTTGTTTTCCTCAATGGTGTAACTGATATATTCTCAGCTGGCCGTTTCTCCTACAGAAGATTTGAATTTCAATGAGCATTGGCCAGCAGGTTCTTTAACATAACACAACAACATGATTGAAATACTGATAGGAGAGGGAAGGATGTGCAGACCTATTAACAGAAATACAGTTGTGCAAGCATGTACCCATGCATACAGACTCTACAAAGTGTGCAGTGAATAGTCTACAAATCATTAAGTGGGTAACTATAATAACACAAAAGGTATGTGCAGACATGTTTAGAGTAAAGTGTATCATATTGGTGCAAATGTACTTCACAGCAGTGGGTAACTTGCATGCTGCAGATGGACTAATTGTTTTTTTACACATCATCTTTCAGGGGAACACGGGTGTGCTGCTCGGGATGTTTCTGGTCTCCTTGGTCGTGCTGGTTGCTCTGGTGACAGTGATGTCAGGAATTGGAGTGTGTGAACACTGCGGTGTTGGCAGTGGAGGAATCTACTCTATGATCTCTACAGTCCTGGGTGGTAGAGTGGGGGGCACAGTGGGCCTCCTTTATGTGTTTGGACAGGTGGGTAGCTAATCTACACTTCAAGTTTCACTTGGGTGACTGTTGGGTTGGTTAACTGGTGTTTTAGTCTGAGATTTTTGTTGATAATCCACCTGGATCTGCCTGTTGTCTCACAGTGTGTTGCTGGAGCCATGTACATCACAGGTTTTTCTGAGTCTGTGGCGGAGCTCCTGCATTTACAGAGCCAGTGGGCAGTGCAGGGAATGTCCATAGCAGTGCTGCTGGCACTGCTTGGAATCAACCTGGCTGGAGTCAAGTGGATCGTCCGACTTCAGCTGCTGCTGCTGGCTGTGCTTGCTGTCTCTACACTGGACTTTGTAATTGGCACCTTCACCCATCTTGACCCAGGTAGGACTGGAGGTCATTGATGTAGAAAGTATGGTGAAGAAAGATAACATAACAATGATAGAGTGAGGGATTTTACAAAGAAAAGAGGGAGGCAGTATATAACCTGAGGAAAGATGTGATGTAGTCCACCTGTGGTTAATGGATGTCTGTTGGCCCTACTTGGTCAAATGCTGCTCTGCAGTTTTAAAAAGAGCCCTTAGTAATATTATAGTTTCAACTTGATCTTTCCCTCTTGTAACGAGGAAAATGATTAGAAAACTCTGGAAAATAAAGAGTACTCTTTATGTAAAAAACAAACAAACAAACAAACAAACAAAACTTGTCTTGATCTAGAAAATAATATTTTAACAGGTAGGAAAGAAAATGAAATAGGGTTACATAATGAGAATAACTGAATTCCTCAGGTTTTGGTCAATAAAATAAAATGGTTTTGTTTTGGTGGGTATGTGTACAAGTAAGTACTGCTTTGAAAGTAGATGGAAAAACTTTTGAAATCACAGAAGTGGACTTTGACCTCAGTGGTACGTGTGCATTACCTAATCCGGCCACAGGGTGTCCCTGCAACATCACTCATGTGGCTTTGTAATGCAGCTGAGCCTGAATGTCTGCTGTTCTGTATGGTTCCTGTGGCAGTCTATCAACCATAACTATCCTTTTCTTGTTTTGTCTTAATGTTGTTTTTGTCTAATAGGTTTGCATATTTTTTGCTCTAAATAAGAGTGTTAATGTTTTTCTCAGGAGTGGTTACATCGTCAGAAACCTCTGCAGGCTGTTGTTGTCTTCTCTTGCAGTTTAAGCTAAAGCTAAAACTTGTGGCATGTGTAAAAACAGGGTGTATTTTATTCTTTTTGATGAGGAAATGTTGCTTTTTTTTTAGTAGAGTAGATTGTATTCTTTTGCTGGCCTTCAGGAAGACCTTCCCCACATTTCCTGTTCTCACTGATTATCAACTTCCTGTCCAGAGGGAAGAGAAAAGTACTCCAGAAATCAAGTCAGGCCTCTATTTAAAGGCACAAAAACAGTTTTTACAGTTTCCAAAAAACATAAAGAGACGATAATTTTATACTAAGCGTACACAACAAAACAAGAAAAACTCATACATACACAGTGAACCTGCCTATGTAGATTTTCAAAGATGACGCCTCGTGGCCAGTTGTGCCCAGGTGCGACAGAAACAATAACAGCCTCTAATCGTAGACCTTTTTATAGTGCAGGAGTCAGAGATCAGTTTGCAGATCCAAAGGATTATGAGAGAACCAGCCTTAATGTCCTCTGCAGGTTTTTCCAATTAAAAGCTGCTGTGAGGGTTGTGGTGACCTCATGGTTGGCACGGGACCAGCAGGTCCTCTAACTGGATGAGACAGACCAAACCTCACAGCACATCCTGCAAGAAAAGTAGCCACCGCCAAAATCACGTGGTCACAGATTCATTACACATCGCTTGGCAAAGATTTTCCTGCGGTTAGCTTCCAGACACCTTGTTGCATCATTTCCATAGCAAAAGGTATCTGGATGATGTAACGTGATACCCAGGGTTATTGTGAGTATAATAGGCAAACATCAACAATCCACACAGAGGGGTTACATTTCAGGAATCCTGCTCTGGTAGTCAAATTGAGAGCTAAATGCTGGGCTGATTGACTCAATAGTCAGAAAGTTTCAGCAGGCTGTGATACCTCTGTGCTAAACTGTCACACAATGAAATAAATGAAATAAAATGTATTTTTAATTATTTAAGTTAATATCTATGGAATTTTATTTTAGCTTTTATTTCTTTATATAGTTTTTCTTTCTATCTGTGTATAAAGTTTAATGACTAATTAGAAATTTATTCTCATTGCCCTGAAGGAAAATGATATATTTTGTTGTTGTCCATTCCCCCAGAGAGATCATACATGCTTTTTTACAGAAAAGGACCAGGCCTTTATGAATAAGATTATTCTACAGAGCATCAAAGACCAAGATGAGCATAATCATATACATGTATGGGCTTCTAATGTATCTTGACTGTCATTTGCTGTCACACCACAGCCCTGTATTAGTTGTTGTCCACTCAAAGTCAAAGAAATGCTCTGACCTGGTTTTCTCTGTTCTCGGCCACAAGGATCTGTAAAAGTGATTGATTGTGACAGGTCTTTCCTGCAGCACTGTGACAGGTGTAGTTGGATTCGTAAAAGCAGCATGTGTGCAGCATGTTTGACTGCTTTGAGTTGTGATTTGTGCTTTATGACCACCATTAGGAGGCAAAATCACTTCCCAACAAAGCTTACTGCGAAGACCGTTTTACTGCAGTCGGCTCAAATCAAAAACCTTCAAAATGTAGTGCATCCATGAAATACAGTCTGACACGCATTACTCAATCCACTTAGCGGCAGCCTATTCCCCACAGAACAGGAAGCCATCATGTGTTTGCTGGGTCTTGGGTTTAGGGTGTTAACCTGACTCACCCACATTTTTGGTAAATGACAAAGAGAGAAGGCCGGAACTGAGATCTGAGGCCTGCTGCTCCTCCAGAGACCACCTCATGGTCTCTCTGTGTAATCCACTCTGTAATATATAGTCTCAGTCTTCCCAGAGGGACCTGCTCTACCCCTCTAACATCACACCTTACTCTGTTCTCTATGCATAGCCATTTGGACCAGTGAGAGTTCGGCCAGACAAAGGGAAAGGCCTGGTGTAACTGGAATGCATAGTTCAGCTGTAACAGATGTAACACTGTGTAAAATGTGGAGAAAAACAAAGTGTAATACTCTGCAAATCATTTAAATGCAATATTTGATTTAAGATGTTGCAAAGATGACATATCAAACATTTAAAAAATGTTTTTATGAGAAGGTTGATGCATATCTTAAATTTGATGCCAGCAGCATGTTTTTAAAAAGAGGTTTAGACTGAGGTGTATTCAAGATTGTGTTGCTTAACCTCTTCTTTTAACAAACTGTAGGGAACCAATGAGACCAAATCCAACAGAATTGAAAGTGAAATTGAAAAATACATAAAAAGTGTCTCTTTTTAATTTCATGGCACCGCAAATATTTTCAGTAGTAACCCTACCCATCACAGATGCTGGCTCTTGATTTGTGTTCTAATATCATGCAGGGTGGTCCTGTTCCTCTTCAGAGTAGGGGACATAGCAGCCATGATTTCCAACAGACTGTCAAATTTCGATTTCGCTCCCATAATTTTTTCAGTTTGCTTTAGTTCTATATTGGCCCGGACTGAGAAGAGTCTTCAGCACCTCTGATTTGTTGTTTAAGTATAGTTTCCTTTCTGCATGGCAAAGTTTAAACCTGTTTAAACCTCATAGTGCAACGCTAATAATACATTGTTTCTTAGTCTCACTGTGCAGATTTCTGTTCAACTGTGCAACTCTGTGTGATATCCTACGCTACAAACTGATTTTGCATATACTTCCTGCATTTTATGTTTGTACAAATAGCTTATTTTTCAAACACTCTGCGCTTTGTAAATAGCTTTTCTTCCAATATTCTGCACTTTTTTACTAACCATTGCAATATCTTATTTATTATTATTTATAGCTGTTTCTCCTAATATTAATATTTGTCTTTTCAGCAGGTGTAATGCTGTGATGACCGAATTCCCCCTCATGTAGAGATTTCCACTGCAGAGTCATGCTTGTTTTTAATGAAGTGCCAAAAGAACACACCTATCCAGTCGTTAACAGCCTGGTTCCCTTTTCATATGGAGACTTTTTCAGATTTTGTTTATTACCTGCAGTGAATGAAAAATTCCCCAGAGCTTTTGAAATTTTACATTCAGGAACCCTATTTTGATAGTTTTCTGTCTCAAAGTGCGGGGAACCTTTTTCCAGCTTTACTTCTCATTTGCTCTCTTTTTTTTTTTTCTTGCACTACAGAACCTAATCATAACCTCTTCTAACTTTTTGAATTGTATTGCTGGCATACAATTTTAAATGAGAACACGCTTTTTGATACAACAATCAAAATCAAATCAAATCAGTGAAATTTTCAATTTGTACATATTGCTTTTGTACATTTTTAGTTAAATATATAGTTTAAATGAATTGCAGACCCCCAGGACCATAAAAAATGAGCATATTTGGGGAACTGGAGTTAACATGTTTGAGTTTTTGTAATAGCTTTTTTCCTCTGTGTTCAATAGATATCTGGACATGTTTTATTTCTTTTCTTTTTTAATCCAGTGGTATTGCAGTGCATGGATAATGTATTTAAAATAATCCTATGTGGAGTTTCTAGAATGATGTACTCCTTTGAGAAGGACATGCATAAACCAACTTAAACCAATTTACAGCTGATCCATTCAGTGGTCCAAAAGAACTTCAGCATGACCTCAGTGTGATGCAAAATACTGTGGACAAGTAAAAGTTAGTGGAAATCTTCTTCTACAAAAGTGAAAAATCTGTCCTAAATTTTGTGATCATTTGATCAAGGCTGACGTTTTTCCATGTGGACTAAAGAGGTGGTCTGGCTAACTGACCCACACAGCGAATCCTAAATGGCCATGTTTTTGACTCAGCCAGAGGAAACACCAAAGCGATATCATGGTTTGATTAGAAACCAATTAGAGAAGGAAAGTGTCAGCCTCTTGTTAAAACACCAGAGCAGTCACTGACCAGATCATTACCAAAACATCAATCACTCAGTCTTGCAGATGATGCTATTAAGAAATGTCATAACTTTAGTCAAACTGTAGTTCATTTATATCCATAATGACACAGTGCACATTCATAACTAATTGTTTTCAAAAGACCCCATGTAGTGCTGCAGAGCAAATAAATATCAACTTACATAAAAATACTGGGTTGTTTCAATGAAACTCTTAGCTATAGCCTCCTGTGTGGACACTCCTTGAATGTAATCTCGACCGGAGAGCAAACTCTAGCTTTGACCAGTCAGGCAATATGTGAGAGATTGAATTCTGTAGTTCAGGAGTCAGGAAACTTTTACATGTTTGACTGTTCAGACTTCTTTGTTTGCAGTTTCTGTCCACGGTCCTTCTGATCAAAAACAGCAGCAGTGTATCAAATTTGTGTCCATAGAAACAGTTCTTGCCTCATAAACATGTGAACGCCCTCACAACTGAATGCTCTAGAGAGTCCGGCATGGTTGGATGTTGGAGTATGATGTTGTAACAGGACTGGGGAGCCCGGGGAGCTGACATGGACACTGACTGCCCTGGATTTGTTGGAGTCTGATTGTTTGGACAGAGGGCGGTCTCACTAGGTCATTGAGTGAACAAGAATTTAAACTCCTCTTCCAATTTGTCACTGGTTTCATAAGACCTGCTATCATGGTGAACCCTTGCTCTTAAAATATGTGGTCAATCCAGCCCTTATGGTTTTGGCTCTCCACTAAAACAAAAGAAAAATGTGGTGTGCATTCTCTCTCTCTCTCTGTCTCTCTTTGACTCACTCTCTGTCTCCCTCTCTTGCTCACTCTCATTCTCTCTCTTGAACTTGGAAGCTGCTGAGCTCCTGAAAAGGGTGGTGACTTCCTTTTGGATAAACATGTCATTAATCTGAGAGAACACATTCTTTCCCATCACAAGATAACCGACAGAGAAATGCCCGGTGTCATAACATAGGCGGGTCCCTCAGACTGTGGAGTTTCAATGGACCCCACCAATGCAGAACATGGACCAGACTCTCTCTAGACTAACCCAGACTGGACTGACCTGTCCTGACCCTGATCTGTTGTACTTGATGACAAAAAAATGACACTATCTGAGGGTCTCTGCTTTTTGTAATGCTGACAATGGTAGATGCAGTCAGCTTCTTTCATTTGAGTTGGAGGGAAAATACCTTTCTATTTCTGTGAGGCTGTGAGCATCCTTGCACTTTTTAACTTCTAAAAACTTAATTAAAAAAACCTCTGGTACTAATGAAATGCTTTTTGCATTTTCAAAAGTCATCATCAAAAGTCAAAACCATGAAGATGGTCACTATTGGTGCAAAAAAGGAAAAGCTTATGGGAAAATTCCTGTAAGTTTCATCAAATTAATGGTGATATTGTTCTAGCATAACGAGGATACACACAGCAAAAGAGCAACCAGCCTGCAGGCTATAGCCATAGACTGTATATACTATGGACAACTTGGCTTCACCTTCCATCATTACATGAATTTGAAGCCAAATTGCTCTCTGTATTTCCGGGATTTTCTCTGCTTCCTGAAACCAACATTGCGCAGTAGCATTGTATGCATTCGGTGTTAGAGTGGCCAAGGGTCGCTCTGATAACACTCGGCTCAAACAGTGTACACCCGGGTGAGCTACACAATCGTCGTACGCCCATAGGCTATATCAAGTGCCATTCATAGAAAACATAAACCCCTTAATGAAGCATAGCGGTAGTTCAGGCAGGACACAGAGTCAAGCTAAAGGCTACAGTCAGCTGATCTTAAGCCAGCTCTCAGTCAGCTGACGGCCCAGGTGATTACCCTCTACACATTCTATAGGTTAATGTCAAAATGGCACCCTATTTCTCCTGCCTACTCTGCCTGCTGTAACCACTCTGCAACCCACCTCCACCCAAGCTTTTTGAGCGGAGAGTCATCACTCCGAGTCTCCCGCCCAGCCAAAAACGTCTGCGTACAACGCTACTGCGCAGCTCTGGTTTCAAGGAAGTGGAGAAAAACCCGGAATTACCGAGAGCTTTTTGGCTTCAAATCAGGCGTATAAAAAATATACAGGCGGAAGGCGGAACCAGGCTGTCCATCTTATATACAGTCTATGGTAAAAATGTTTGCTTGTAGTAAATAATTAATTTTGACTAAAGTGGTCCTGACTGAAATAACTTTTAAAAATGGAGCTGTTCGGAAAAAAGAGGACTTGAGTACAAACCACTCTTAAAGTAACTACATGTCAACATCACAACCAGGGAGGAGAAATATGTATATTCTGTGTAATTAAATTCTAAAGTTTGTCCACAACTCCATCACGGTTACTGGAGGAGATGGGATTTATAACCTATACTGCAGCCTGTCACCAGAGGGTGCTGTTCCCAGAGTGGCTTCACCCAGCGAGGAGGCAGACAGCATCCATTCTATATACAGTCTATAGCTATAGCACAACAGATTCATGCAGAGTAAAAAAATATATTCTATAATATTACATTATTTATATAATAATATAATATCATAATATAATATATAATTTAAGATAATATAATATAATACATGGAAAAATCATATTATTATTGATGTTATTATGATTTTTGTTGTTATTGATGTTATAATGTAATGCTTTAGCAATATTGTTCAAACTATCATGCCAATAAAGCCTATTGAAATTGAATTGTAAAACCGTAAACTTTGGATGAAACTGAACAAGTCATTTTTTTGGTTAAAACATGAAGATTTGAAGACACTAGAGAGTGGGCAAAAAAGTAAGATAAAGGTTAAGTCATCAGAGAGCAGCCTGTAGACTCAAGATGAGATCTGAGGATGACATAAATGGTGCACAAAGTATGAAGAGCAGTTAGGTTAGTCTTTAACAATCTGTAAAAGTTTGCAACAGGATCAGTGTGGTTCTCCTAGCATTAGGTTTAGAGCTGATGTTCTCTTTGTGGTTTCCTCCTCCTCACCAGATCATGGCTTCATCGGTTACTCAGCTGTCCTTCTCAGCAGTAACACTATGCCTGATTACAGCCCAGAAGAAAACTTTTTCACCATCTTTGGAGTCTTCTTCCCTGCTGCTACAGGTGAGGTGGCATCCATCACCCCTCTCTGATCACAACTGCAGCTTTATGACAAGCACACACACACAGCAAATACTGTTGACATCTTATCTCAACAGCCCAGCTCTCCTTTCATTTAATGCAGCTAGATATGCAGTAAAAACACACGTCATTGTGCAGTTTTGTTGTGTACATTTTTGCCATTGTGCAGTTTGTTGTGTACATTTTTATGGTTTGTGTGTGTGTGAATGTGAACATAGGGGTCATGGCAGGCTTTAACATGAGTCCAGATCTGCAGCGGCCTGAACACAACATCCCTGCGGGAACTCTGGCAGCTGTCTTCACATCGTATGGCGACACCCCAACACACTCACACACACACACATTCAAGTACATAACACAACTTGATTTCAGAGACAGTAAAAAAATTGCCAGCTGCCTTCATTTCTGTCAGGAGGATGTAAAAACTGTGAAGACAGACTTATTTCAAACATAAACTGCCCTAACCAACGCTCAGACTTCTGGTTTTAACATGTCATAAAATAAGAGCTGATTAACAGCTTTCTTCCAAAATATCATTTTTTATTGGAAATGATTTGTAAACACCGAGCTACAAGGGTAGTTTTAGATAAAATACCCCCAAGTCTCTCTGTGGAGGTGTGAATCATCCAAAAGGTGTTTGTTTTGGTGTGGCTCTGGTGGTCAGATCTGTGCTCTCCCTCCAAAAAGGAACTCTTTTCCACCTCTACCCTCTTCTGACTCTATCTGGCACTCACTTGTGGAGCTGCACTATGACACGTTTTTCCTATTAATAGTGCTAAAGCAGCAGTCCATAACTCTGAGTGCTGTACTGTTGGTGACCCTCAGGTGGTTCCTGTATCTGGTCTTTGTCTTCCTCCTGGGGGCCATCTGCACCAGAGAAGTTCTGCGCTCTGATTTCTTGATTGCAGAAAAGGTAAACTCATTTGGCCCTGTTGGACAGTGGGGTTAAGGGGACAGAATTCTTTGAATTCAGTCTATTGCTATGATGTGGATCATTTCAGTTTCGGCTATATATTTGTCCCCTTGAGTTGTTTTGTTACTTGAATGGAAATACTGACAACTGTCTTTAAGACCCTCAGATAGTTGACAGATGTGTCAGAGGTTGGAAAATACTCAGACTCTCAATATTTTCAATACTGTTGAGACTTTGGGGATTTGATCATCGACAGTGCATAACACAAAAAGACCCTGGAGCAAAGGAGAAACCTCTTTCAACACCAAAAACCAATACTGCATAAATTTAAGCCCCTCAGCCAGCACTGCATTAAAAACACACATTAGTCTGGAGTGGGAATCACGGCATAGGCTCAAAATCACTTACAAAACCAGCCTAGAAATACAGTTTGTCACTGCATCCACATATGCAGGTTAAAACTGTACCATGCAAAGAGAAAACCACAAAAAGACAGGATTTAGAAGTGCTGCTCCTCTAGGCCATTTGAGGTGTTGTGAGCTGTGCTGATGAGTCAAAATTTCACATCTGTTTTGGACATCAAGGACACTCCTTACCTCTACTCTAAAGAGTAGGGGGGCCACTCAGCTTGTGACAAGGACACAACTTCAAACAATTAATGCTGAACAATATACGCAGGTTTTGGAGAGACATATTCTGTTAGCTGTACAGTGGCTTTTCCAAGGCAGACCCTCAGCAAGACAATGCCACATCGCATTTAAAATTTACAATCAAATGTAGTGTCTAAGTCATCTGCAAACCGTCAAATTGTTAAATTATTAACATTTTAACACCTTGAGCGGCTCTGCTTTTTTGAACTGGGGCTGTGCTTGTACATATGCCGAAGTAATACCTTCTAGTCTGTGCACGTGTTACTCTACTACAGGGCTAGTCAGGTTAAACAGATAATATTACAACTGTTTCACTCTGAATTTAAAGATCTGTGTGATGGAGGTTTGATATCTACCCTTGAATATATGACCACATTGACTCTGTATGGACAGTTGAGGTGAGGAAGACTCAATCTTATCTCTCTCTTAAGTTCAGATTACTTCCCCCACAAATGCATTAAATACACAGTGTTTCAAGGATTGCTGTCTTTACAGTTCAAGTCAGTGATTGCATGGTTGCTGCACAGTTGTCCATTTATTTTAAGGACAGCTTTAGCCCAAATTGTTCTTGGTATACTAGCACAACAAACTCATAAATAACTCTCTTCTTACTTTGATAGGTTCATAATTACTAATTAGAGCCGGCTTTCAGAATCCTTGACTTGTTCATCAATGCTTTGCTCTCATTGTTTTCATATGGGGCTGGCTGCAGCGGAACTGGACTGGGTGTAGCTGTTGTGAGCTTGCAACCCCACCCCATCCCTTTCCACCCACTGTTTGTTTTCCTTCTTCCTCCAGGTCTCCTTGGTGGGTTTCCTCTTTCTGCTGGGCCTCTACATCTCCTCCCTGGCTTCCTGCATGGGCGGCCTGTACGGAGCACCCAGGATCCTCCAGTGCATCGCTCAGGAGAGGGTTGTTCCTGCTCTGGCCTTTCTTGGAGAAGGGGTGGGTGAATTAATGATAGGTGGATGAAGGGATTGAGCCATAAAGGGAGGGATGTCTGGACCTTGACAGTGTCCTGAAAAATATCATCTTGAGTCTCTTTAATGTGAACACAGTGTGTTTGTTGAGGGTGTGTGCTCAAACATGAGTGATTTTATGGACATGCAGACTGATTGTTTGTACTTTGTGTGTTTAAACGGTGTCATTAATTTCATATCTGTGTATATGCAATTAAGTGATGATCACAGTATCTGAGTCTGGTAGAACCACCACTAGTGATAATGATAGAGTGATCCTGTACTCTCACTATTTATCATTGTTGTACAAACTCATAATTACACCTTTATGAATCTGCTTTCAGCTCAATACATCAAATCACTGCGTTTTCACTGGACTGTTGGAAAATCTCTTAACTTAGAGTAATTAGTCTCTGGGTACCTTGAGTAATGGGTGTACTCTGACCTGATACATATAGTGATGCCTTTTATCTGTGTGGTCGGATGTATATAGTGGACCTGAAAGGAAACAGTGACAGGACTTCTTAACAATTGAGTGCAGATTCCACTTCATAGAGGTGAGTGGATTGACTGCACTGTGGCATAAGGACTTCTACTTACAACAGCTACAACAGCACGTACACACATATCCGCATACAGTCATATTGTTATCCTAATCCAGTACAGCCCCAGTTTTCCTCAGACTACCCTGGATGGCAGCAACGTCTGACCTCTCTCAGCGGCCTGGAATGAGGCCCTAGACATCTTGGCCCAAATCAAAGCTTCAGAACAAACGCAGGAAGGGCGACAGGCAGGGTGCAGCTCCACTGTGTGCTCTGGAGGCCTGCCAGGCACACATCAGCACTCCTTAAACTGTGTGATAGAACCTGGGAAGTGAAAGCAAGCTTGCTAATGAACCATATGTTAAAACACTGAATCCATTTTGGGAAAAAAGGTTGTTACTGGGAAGCTCTGTTGGCTTCTTATTATGATTCATTTAGATCACCAGATTGAGCTTCTTAATTGTCCTCCTGAAATTATAGTACTTCTTGTGTGTCAGAAAACAAATTTTATGTTTAAACAAGTCCTAACCTCCTCAAAAAAGAAACAAGCAATTATTTTAAATGGATATTGCTTGTTGTAGGAGTGTAGACAAGAAACACTGAACCGCAACTTTGAACAGTTGAAGTCACTGAGATTATGTGTTATAAACAGCTATGAACAAATATTGGATAGTGTGATTTTGAGGGTTCATATAGCACTGCATTAAAACAGATATAACTCTGTAGTAGTGATCACTACACAGGCTCAACATCACTACAGAGGGTAGGGACAACCAGCTTGTCATCAATAGACTGATTAGAAGCCAGTGTAGTTGATGGTATGAGATACAAAAGCACCCACAGCATGGGTGACTTACACAGCTTGAGAAGGCACCACTGATGCTGAACAACAAATTAAGTTCTCCAGCAACACATGCCATCCATCCATCATGAGTTTGTAGATTAGATCTTGTGTTTTGTGGTAAGATGATGCCAAACCGCATTTTGCATAAAGCCAAGGTGCTAAACTGCCTGCCTGTAGTGCAGACTTGTCACCCATTTAAAATACTGGTGCATCACAAACACAACGAAGGAGTCCCAGAACTGTTGAGCAAACAAAAGGGGATTTATAAAATGTACAAACTGTCCAAATCTGTTTTATCACTGTTTTATGCAGCATCTGAACTTTTTTTGATATTGGGGTTGGAATTATCTGCATTTTCAAATCGAGCTTGAAGTTACAAAAAAGAAAAAAAAAAAGATTAAAAAACTTTGACGGTCAATTTCTTATTAATTTACAGCTAAGAAAGACCACTTTAAAGCCAGATGAATCTCCAGTTATGTACATCTTAATGTGTTGTTTTCTTAATTCACCAGTATCTCTTAATTTTTTTCCAGCAGTATCATTCCACTGTCACCTTTGGCCACCACTATATTATTAACCTGCCTTCTCAAACCTCTCTCACAGAAAGGCCCCAACAAGACGCCTGTGGCAGCTATTTGTCTGACCAGCTTACTGACCATGTCCTTCATCTTCATTGGCCAGGTCAACGTGCTGGCCCCCATAGTCAGTATCAACTTTATGCTTACATACAGCTTCATCGACCTCTCCTACTTCAGTGTGGCCATGACCTTCCAGCTGCAGACCAAAGGGAAAAGATACTCTCTCATCCCCAAACACAGAACCCAGCACAGATCCACCAGGCTGATCCCCACGCCCCTGATTGGTAACACTCCCCCCAACTATGGGAGTGGAGGTGGGAATCTGCAGGGGAAAGGGACTCTGCTTGAGTTCACCAAAGACATGGATCAGATATTCCCCCCGCTATCAAATATTGAGGCTGGAGCAGGGAGGACTTTCTCAAAGCAGAAGTTGAACAGGACAGATAAGTGTAGAAATGTTAATGTGACAACCAAGCAGAAGCTGATGGACAGCTTTGGCTTTAATGACAATGCCAATGTGATCTCAAATGAGAAAGAGGAGGAGATGAGCTCAGCTTCAACATGGGAAGAAGCTGAGGTGTTGGGTGGAGGCACAGGGACAAGGAGTGGGGATGAACAGGAAGACAAATGTTCAAGAATGCATCATGTGGAGCAAAATCCCTCTGTGGACCCTCACATACAAAGTGCAGGTGATTAGCCCTGACTAACAGAGACCGGACTTTATCACATATCAGAGAGATGAGTTCAACTTTGTTTGGATTGATGACTGTTTTAATTATGTCTTTCAGAAAGAGGTGAGAACACACAGCACCAGTTCATTGAAATAAAACGGATGCAGGACTCAGTCTATTCAAAGTTCTGCAACCACTGGGTTGCTCTTCTAGGGGTAGGTTTAAACATACTTAATTCCTTTTTTCATCTAATGGCTATTTTTTTATTCAGTGAGTAGAGTTTGGTTAATAATGTTAATCTTTCATATGTTTTCTTCCAGGCTTTAACCTCCATATTGATTATGTTTGTTATTCAGTGGGTCTATGCCTTAGCAAACATAGTTGTTGCCTTGCTGCTCTTCCTTTACATTGGGAAAACAAGTCCAGGACTGCCTCGAGGTGATTCTCAGATATTTGTTGCCCGACTTCATGGTTTTGCTCTCTAAGGATGTCCTGAAATCTGCTACAGATATGAAACTGCATTTCAGAAAGCTCATAACTAGATAATAATGTATTGTTGTTTTCATTTGTCTCAGTCCATCTCTCTGTTTCTGCATCTCCATCCATCTCGCTTTCCAAGCCCATAGCAGATGGCTGTTCATCATGAGTCTGGTTCTGCTCAGGATTTGTGTTCATCAGAGCAAGTTTTCCCTTGTCACTGTGTAACAAGCTCAGTGCTGCACACAGCTTTGCTCACAGTGGATTAAGAAGAGACTAAATCTTATCCTAACTTGATGTTGGGTCTTAGTAAATAGAAAATAAAGATCCTGTCTTTGTTCTGAGATAAAAATTGGTTATGAATTGATGCTATATAGATGAAGATTGATAAAATATTGCAGTTATATAAAATAAGACTGTAAATACACAGTTTTATGTGTTTTTCCTAGCGACCATTTGTACCTGTGCAGCATTTTTCAGATGTGTCAGGAATTGATTGTTCTATAGGTGTGAAGCGTTTTCGCATTTAGCTTAGCTTTTCCCTTTCCATGCATCTCTAAATGCTCTTTGCAGACATTTCCTGCATTTGTTAATTACATGCAGATCTGAATCCAGTTTTTCAGCTCAAATTTAGTACATCCACCCATCCATCCAACCTTTCCACACCGCTGATCAGAGCCTAGTTGCAGTGGAAGCACACTTTTTTATTTTATTTTTTAATTTTGATACTGTATGATGAAAGACTATGATTTCATATATTTTCAACTCAAGGCATTGTGAACCTTTAGAAGTAAATATTTTAACTGACGAATATTTTTTTCTAGCTTGAGATAATTGAGAATTTTCCATTTGGTGCTACAAAAGCACTCAGGATTTGCACTCTGTGCAGAGTGAGCAGATTTGCTCACCCCCGTGCTCAGTTGTTATGGGACGCTGATATTGCACTCCAGCACACTGTTGGGAGTTTCACTAGTGGTCATTTTGAATTCCAGGCTGGCAGCTGCTGTGGTTTGCTCGCCACATTGCTGCGTGCCTGAGCTGTCTGACTCACAACATTTGTAAGCATGAGCCATGCAAGTGTTCAACACTTGCCCCACAGGTGGTCCAAGTGATCTTTTGTGTTTCTCCTCACTTACTCAGTAAAACAACTTCAATAATGTAAGAAGATGAACAAATTTTCCCATGAAGTGAATTTTTAGGTAACAGTTTATGCTTTTGATTTATTTGCAGGTATTGTATCCCAATTCAGCTTTTGCACATTGCTCAAATCAACACTGAAAAGCATTTGCAGGTAGTGTATGGTCAATTTTCTGTTATAATGGTTTAATGGTTGCCATATAAATAAATCCCAAAACATGAATAATAAATCTCTGTTTTTTTTATAGTAGACAATTCACTTATTTTTTCTCTACTGTGAACTGATCTACCAGGGGCAAAGGATCCGTTCAGGAGGAGGTAGTGATCACACCCTCTCTATTCAGGGTTGGTCTGAAAACCAAGCAGCTGACTGAGGAAAACGCTGACTTTGCCTCTCGTCACCGACATCACCAGTCTTCATTTATCAAGGCCGAGGAGATGGTGCAACCAGCTCTTCACTGACTGACTGAACAAATGCCTCCATTACATTTAACAGCTGCAAACAGACTTTCTACCCTAGACTGTGCCTGCTGCTGTCATAAAAATGCAAATATAATGTACTCAAGAGAGGCATGATTTGTTTTAGGTAATTCCACATCTGTGAAAATAAACAGAATTAAAAGTGAACATGTCTTTCACTTTCTTTTTAATGGTATTTATGACTTCATTCCAAATCAAATCCACTTACGTACATATCACTAATATGAACTAAGCTTTATTGTCACATGTGCTAAATGAAATGTTAAATGAGAGCACAAGACAGTCAAAAGGTCCTGTGAACCTGTTTCAGTGGAGCAATAAAAAGTGTTCCAGGTGGATGTAAACTAATTTAGGGTACCATAAAATAACATGGAATATGTGAAGCAGTTAAGAAATTCATTTTAAATTCAAGTATTTGGGAAATCTATTTGTTCGAAATAATTTTGAACTTAATAGCAGAAGGGTTAAGTGATTTACAGATCATATTAAGTTTATTTAAAGCGTGTTGATTCTGGTATGCAAGTTTGAGGGGAATTTTGTGGTGCAGGGGTGCAGGGAGCTGCTTCTCCATCTCTTGAAAGCGAAGCTGTGAAAACCACTTCCTCTGAACTTCAAGCTTTCAGAGATGCATTTTGCTGAAAGAGAAACTATTATTTAAGTACACTGGTAGCCTGCCTGTTCTGTTCTGTGCCTCAACTCATCACTAAATAACTTCCCCAGAATTACCACAAAAAAAAAAACTTTGCATTAAAATAGTTTAGTTTGTGTTTCGGTACTTTCTTGTACTTTCAACAATTCCACCAAAGTGTGAACTCTTTTTCTCTGTAATGTGGCTGTGAATGCTCCACACTGTTTGTTAGAGACTGCAGTGACCAGAATTTTGGCCAGAACAACACGGCACCAGAGTGAAAATAGCCGGAGCCATGGCCTTCTCTAAAAATCTGTCTGCTGAAGAAACTTCATCACATTGGCTTAGATGGACATTATGGAGAGCATTTTAAAGTATGTGCTTTTTTTGTTGATCAGTGGGTTATAAGAGAGGAATTTTTTTTATTTTTTAAGTCTTTAAAAACTTTCAGCAGCTGATGATGATGCTCAATTTTTAATAATTCCAAGCATCGGTTCATTATTTTATCTTTATGATAACTCTACATTTATCTCTACATTTAATTGAAGAAATGGCTTGATAATGCAGTCATAAGATCTTAATGGGAATTTCATGAAAGAAAGTGGCCCTGTCGATGAGACGTTGATTGTTGTTGTTGTGAAGTACAAATACCGTAGTTTTTTTTACAGTATTGGTGGGTTTTCTGTAGACCACAGCAGAAAATGTGGTTGTAGAGTGTTATTTTTATCCTCCGTGTTTTTAGAAAAAAACTCTCCATAGATTGAAATTCTAAGACTTCCCACAACACCTGAAGGCAACAAGCTGCCCCTGGATTAAAAAAAAAAAACAAGAGAGGAAAAACCACAGCGGGTTCGTGCGTCCATGTGCGCGCCGTTAATGTGTGTGTGTGTGTGTGTGTGTGTGTGTGTGTGTGTGTGTGTGTGTGTGTGTGCGTGTGTGTGTGTGTGTGTGTGTGTGTGTGTGCGTTTGGGAGGTGGAGCTCGAGCTCCTCTGCTGTGATAACAGGCTGCTGCCTGGACTCTGTTATCTTCCGTTCCCCGCCGTCCGAGCAGTGGACACCCCCAGACCTCGACCAGGATTTATTCAATTCATATGAAACTTCACTCCTAGCAGAAGTGCTCTTCTCATGGTGTCCCCGGGAGACTCCCCGGCCTCAATTCAACTTTACGGAAACTATCGGCGACCGTTTTGGGGTCTTGAAAATCATGGAAACGTGGTTTTTGAATCATGTCCTCGGTTTGTCTCTGTCGGTTCTCCTGGTGGGTCTGCCGGGGCCCCTCCGGGCAGGGACCCCCAGTAACAACAGCACGGATCCGATAACGGCGGGATTGTATATTTCTACCGCCACAGATGAACTCAGAAACGTGGATAACAACACAACTTCGACTTCATACTCAAGCGAGAGTTTATCCCCATCACAGAGGAACATCCTGCTCACACACGGCGCTGAGACACACACCGCAGCTACTGCTGCTGGAGACCTCGGTAAGAGTGCTGACACCGAGGCCTGCTAAAGTCTGTGATTTTTTTTCCTGAAATCCATACAATGTCGATTTCTTGTAAAATAAATGTGCCTTAAAGGTCTATTTTTCTAATTCAGCCCGATGGTGTCTACTACAGATAAAGGATACAATGGTACAGCCTTGACTGTGTTACTGTCAGATATAGAAGAATTGGTGCAGGGTAGCAATAACCTCATAATTACAACCTCATTAATTATGAGAACTATGATGTAAAAGCTTATTAAGTCCTGCTCTTGTGCCTAACAGAATTTAACAGACATACATCATAAAGGAAACAAGTGTGGACTGTTGCTCTTTCCTTATTAGTTTTCGTCAACATAACTTCAGAGATATTAACTTCATTTCTTCAAGTGCATTACGTTGTTTTATTTATGGTATGCAAAAATAATTTAGCAAACCAACTATCTTCACCCTTACTGCTTTGTTTCCCACTAGTAAGGTTATTAAAAAAAGGAAACAAAGGTAAAAATTAATGGTAGCTATGATGATTATCAACCAAATTGTTCAACTTCAGTGACAAATATTTACTGTTCAACCACAATATCAAAGTAAAAATCTGTTTTCAAGGCTCATGCTGTGTATGAATATTGTATATCCGTCCACCATTTCTAATGGACAGTAAACTTGAGTTATAAAGGGAACTTGGTCAAAAATACATTTTGTTCTGTAATTAGCTGCTGTGTTATTTAAGAAACAATCATACTTGCGTTTCAGATCTTTAATATTTGCAGTGGTATGTTGGTGTCCATCAGAAATGAATCAGTTGAGTTGTATAAAATAAAAAGTTAAAAGTGACAATAAATAATACAATTGTATAGACGAACATATTAAGCACAGTTTGACTTTGTTTAGCTAACACATGCTGCACCATCTCAGGACAGCATCACTATCATGCTTCACTGTTTTCTTTCTTCGAACGCTCATTATGTCATACTTATACTAGTTTTCTGTTAGTGATTAGCTGTAGGGTTGTTATCATCACTTAAAGTACTTGTTTCTTAGCCAAGTTGGTAAAGATACACAGGTATGAGCTCAGTTCCCTTACTATGATAGCAGTGTTAGGCAGAATATTTCTTGTACAGCATGTGGGACAGAAGAGTCTGCTGCTGAACTCTGCATTTAACATCAACCGCTATTTTTGGCTTCCAAGATAATTTGTTGTAATCATTGACAGGTTTGCGCATTAGATATTTTGAGGCTCCATTGTGCTACCGCAGAGATACAAGTTTATCCCACAGAGATATAAGTTTGTCCCTCAAATTGAGGGTTACAGAACAGCGTGTTTGTGCAGAAAATTCAACTGCATTTGCCGTTCTTGCTGAACCTAAGCTCAAGACAGAGGGAAGACAGATTTGAGTTGTAAGGATAAACTTTCAGAAAATACTTCTTCTACTTACAAATTTTGATGCAAAATTCAACCATTTGAAAGTCTAAGAACTGTAACATTAATGGGTTTAGTCATGTTTGATTCAGATAGGGGGAAGGGTGGTGTGACTCCAGTGACACTGTGGGAGGGTTGAATGATTAGGTCAGAGGCAACAAGTGTTTTCTAATGGAGAATGGTCAGGTGGATATTACTCACTTTCCTCAGCCTGGTTTCACCCATATTTCCCCTCCTTCTTTCAAATAAAGTCTCCAGAGACACATCATTTGACATCAAACCCACAAACTAATCCCAAACACAACTACATCTGGTCAACAAAAACAGCAGTACAGTACCTCAATACCCAAAGTGATGAAATATCAGCTATTCCATTCACATCAGTGTTACGTAATAGAATTGTTGGTCCTCATTAATATGCTACACATTTGAACTTGAATTAATATTCAAGCCACAGAGTTTTAGGGTTATAGCAGATGGAGAAGATGCAGCAGCTTACATCTGTGTTGTTTCTTGACAGCAGAAAGACAAACAGCAGAGAATCTGGGAGTGTCCAGAACTTGTTGCCAGCACCACGTTCCAGTCTGAGTTTTGGTGCCCAGACTGGATCCAGAGAGAGAAACTGATATAATGAGAGAGACACATGCAGAGGAAGTAAGAGAGAGAGATAGAGTCCAGTGGCACAGTTCCCCTCACAGACTCCCAGTGGGCCGGCTGTTCCACAGATGAACTCTCCCCTCTGTTAGTTTTTGGACGGTTGCTGCTGGTCACTGTGTGCCAGCTGTCAGGATCCTGCTGTCCAGCACCAAAGCTCATACTCACAGTGCCGTTGATCCAGTTTTATGCATCTGAAGATGGGCCAGATAACGGACAGTAAGGGGGCTTTAAATGAAGGATAGGCAGACAGACAAACACACTTTATTCCCCATTTTTCCTCACTTACCTTACATAGAGCATTAAAGTTACTATTTGGCCCATTGGGAGATCAATAGCAATGTTATTAAAGAAACACTCATCACCCTATTTACGTAAACGACTGGTCACATGACTTTTAGATGTACTGAATCACTAGAATCAGTTAACTTAAAAGATTCATTCAAAAGATTCATTCACCAAATCACTGAATCATTTAGCGGGAGAAGCCTGCGACTCCGACCTCCTGAACTGATACACAGCTGAACGTTTCAGGATTCAGTTCAATTCATAGCTTCTGGGACCGGAGACGAGAGTGTTTGACTGTGTCGCTTTAGCAAACAGGTTTGTAAAAATGAACTTGTTAATAAGTCTAGGGATGCACGATATTTATCGGACCGATAAAATATCGGCCGATTTGGGGGGAAATCACGTCATTTTTTATCGGCCCGATAGGTGCATTTTTCCGATAGAAAGATCCGATATATTAATGAAATTACGAGTAACGTTTGCAGGCGGAGTAGCCGCCCGTCCGAGACGCGCTGGTTACGTCATCTATCGCGCCTTACTCGCAGGTCCCAAGCCTGACCCTGTCACTACCTGACAGATAATAAAATGTCTTCACCAGCATGGTCGTTTTTTCTCAGTGGCAGAAGATGACAACAGCTGCTATATGCAAAACCTGTTCAGCGAGGATTCCAAGAGGAGGAAAGAAGACGTCAAGTATTAACACAACGAATCTGATAGCTCATCTGAAAAGTCGCCATCGCGGCGAAGCGGTAGTAAAAGAATATGAGACAGCCGCCGAAGCTGCTAGCGGTACTAAAGCTAAGACATCAACACTACGGAGGATCGATGTCCCCATTCAGCAGGCGTTTAAAAACTGCAAAAGCTTCTCAAGAGACAGCGAAAAGGCTAAAGCCATTAACGACAAAGTGATGGAGTTCATAGCGGTCGACGACCAGCCTTTTTCCGTCGTTGAGAACCCGGGTTTTCGTAAGTTATTAGCACACTTGGAGCCACGTTACACTCTCCCAAGCCGCCGCTTCTTCTCGGATGTGTCTCTTCCTGCACTCTATGATATTGTCGCCACATACATTCACAACCTGATCGACAAGAACGGACTACACGTGAGTTTTACCACAGACATATGGACGTCAGATGTTAGTCCGGTCAGCATGCTAATGCTAACGTCTCATAATAGCTCCTTTACAGTTTACAGTTCTGTTGAACAGTTCAGGGGATCAAATGAAGTTCTGCTTTTTGCTCTGTTATTGTTATTTATTGCAAATGACCACATTTGAAGAGCCAAAAACTTTTGTTTGTTGTTCTAGATAGGCCAGAGCAACAAAAACATCAGTTTTCAATCGCTGCATCCTGCACAAACTGCAGATTATATGAAGATTATAATAAATGTAAAAATATGAATTTATCGGTTATCGGTATCGGTATCGGCCATGAGAAGGAGAAAATTATCGGTTATCGGTATCGGTTGAAATTTTTCATATCGTGCATCACTAAATAAGTCATGATGTTTTAAGTGTACTGTCCTATGGTATGCTATTTATCAGGTCTGCTCCGTAAATTGGGGTCAGTGAGTGATTCGTTCATTGAACGTTTAGAAGAATTCACACTGAACATGCACCGTTCCCTCGCAAACCGCTGCAACGATAGGGTACTGCGGGTTTTATGCGCTACTTGTTACATGCTATGTCCTATTGCATGCAAGTTGTTGTGTTGGCAATTTAGCAGTGAAAAAAAGGTAGTTTTGTCCGACAAAAATGATTCCAGAGAGTGTAGTTCAGTGCGTGATTTGTTTACCAAGGGATCCAGGGATGCATGAGGTCCCTTGTTCGCCGGCTGCTGGCTTGGCAATGCTGTTTCTCACTTCTGTTGAGCTGAAGTGAGAAACAGCATTGCCAGAACGAATCATTCAAGGAAATGATTCAGTTAAGTACGTTCACTTAAAAGATTTGGTTCTTTTGAACAAATCATTCACGAACGACACAACACTATCACAATTTCCAAGGAAGAAGTCTGGTTAACGGCTTACAAGGATGGCTTCAAGTAGGAAGAGGTCAAAAATTTGGCTATATATTCTTTGAGGATGCGAAGAGAACGATGCAAATCATCACAAAGACTAATTTATTGCAAAGTCGAGGCAAGTTTCATACACAAGGCTATTCAAAGTGCTTTACAGATGCAAGGAAATACATTGGAATGAAGAAAAGAGAGAAAAATACAATTTAAAATGAAAAAGATGTAAAACAAATAAGAACTCGGTAAAACAGATTACATTTTTTTTGTCTGTTCCGTGTTAGCCCTAATTACCTCCGCCAAGGAGGTTATGTTTTCGGTAGCGTTGATTTGTTGGTTTGTTTGTTTGTTTGTCTGTTAGCAACTTTACGGAGAAAGTTACAGACGGATTGACCTGAAATTTTCACCAGAGGTGCGTCTCAGCCCCAGGAGGATCCCATTACATTTTGGTGGTGATCCAGATCGCCTTCTGGATCCAGGAATCTTTTGAAGGATTCTTTTTAATTGTGAGATAGGGCAAATTTTGAAATTTTTGCATTTAACTCGATAAAAATGGCCAGAGTCTTTAGTAAAAAATTACACAAAAGGATCTCAATGAGTTTTATGAGGTGTCAAAGGTTGATCCTGATCCAGACAAAATTCCGGATACTGTGATCCAGAACACACAAAAATAAGGGCGTTGTTGGAATTTTCAATGCTGAAAGACAACCAATGGGCGGCACAGTGGTGTAGATGGGCGGCACAGTGGTGTAGTGGTTAGCGCTGTCGCCTCACAGCAAGAAGGTTCTGGGTTCGAATCCGGGTCAGGGCATTTATTGTTTTAGGAACATTATGAACAGTGAACACACCAGTTTAAACACAAATAAAAGTTAATAAAAGACATGTAACAGTAAAAGTTTTGGTGTGAATCACAATATAAGGGGCGGCATGAGCTGCTTGGCGGAGGTCTGCGCTCTCCGAGTGCTTTTCTAGTTATTTATGAAAACTGTCCTTTCTCAGAAAAACGAAATAGGGGGACTCAACCTTTACAGCCCAGCACATCAGCATCAAATTCAGTAAAAATGCGGTACCTTTGACTGTCTTATGGTTAATAAATTAAATAGCGGCTGCTTCTGGGCGGTCATCCTCCTCCTGCATGTAAAAGAGTTACTGCACCCAAACCTTTTTGTCAGGTGGCCTTTGTTGAGAAAAGCAACTCAGAGTTGAAATCAACAGGATAACAGCGAGATAATTTAGTAGATGAAACAACGTAAAGTTATAATATGATGCATTTAAGGTCAGGTCAGCAAGATGACATTTCAGCATAGGTTAATAAAATGTATCAATAAAAGCAACTCCAGCTCTGTCAAAAATATATCATCAGAAGTAGAAAATCAATGAAGACTTGAATCATAAAGGAGGCTCAGTAATGGTATCAGCAAAAACGAATGATCCCCATCTCTGCCTGCCGTTAACCTACAGCACAGCAGTGAATAGGTGTGCAGCAAGCTGGCAAACCCGGTGGTGCCTAAAGATAAAATAAAAGGTTAATACTGCTGGTATGAGCTGTGTTCGTCCTACCTAAAAGTGTTATTTCTACAGTGAGCTCCTCTGCACAGTTAGACAAAACGGTTCATGCAGCTTCAAAGTTCTGTTGTATCAAAAAAGACCTCCTCTGCTGTCTACACATGACTTCTGTCTTCCTCTACCACCAAACTGCCAGTATCATTTTCATCCCAAACTACAGCCCACTGTTCAACAGCAGCATTCTTTTGTGACACTTTTATGACTGAACAACAATTTTTAGCTAAGCTAAGAAAAAAAAATCCTCCACCACAGCCACTGAACATGAAAACACACCCAGATCCACAGTGACACTCTCTGCCAGAGCCTTGTGCTCACTCAGCTTTAGGAAGGAAATGGCTGTATCCCAGCGGAGACAGTCACTGCCACATTTAGGACCTCATGCCTTTGTTTGAGTAGACAAGCTCGCCTGCCAATTGTTCTCCACCCAAAAATCATTGTCTGTAACAGGCAGCAGTTCTTTGTACAGCATCTTCCCCCCTTTCCACCGGAGACTCTGCTTTCCAGAGTATGTTTACAAACCTGATGAGCTCCCTCTGGGGGCCACATAGAGACACCTTCAAATATAAGATGTTGATGTTGTAAAATCCAAATTATGTTTTTTCACATAATTAAATAGAAAAGCAGTTGAAAGATGTTTTAAATGCATTTTCTGTCTCTAAAAATCATTAAATCCCTTTAAACTGACAATCTCCTCAATCATTTACCAGATTATTCAATTTTACATTTTTGCAGCTTGTGGAAGTAAACATCTATAAGGCTGACATCATGACAATCATTGTATGTCTTAACCATAGACTGTTTAAAGAATGGACAGCGTCTGCCTCCTTGCTGGGTGAAGCCACTCCGAGAACAGCACCCTCTGTTGACAGGCTGCAGTATAGGTCATAAATCCCGCCTCCTCCATCAATCTCTATGTGGACAGCTGTGGACAAACTTTATAAATTTATTACACAGAACATAAATTTCTCTCCCTCCTGTTTGCGATGTTGACATGTAGTTACAGGAAGAATGGGTTGTGCTCAAGTCCTCTTTTTTCTGTGAAGCTCCATTTTCTAAAAGTTATTAGGAGGTTTCCTGTTTTCTTTGATTGACACCTGATGCAGCCTATTGGTGTTAAGGGATTGCGTAGCTCACCCAGGGGATACGCTGTCTGAGCCGAGCGTCATCACAGCGACTCTCGGCGACTCTCCCGCCATATGCGCACATCGCTACTGTGCAATGCTGGTTTCAGGAAATGAAGAAAAATCCCGGAAATACCAAGAGCTGTTTGGATTCAAATCCGTATACAGACGGGAGGTGGAACCAAGTTGTCCATAGTATATACAGTCTATGGTCTTAACTAAGGAGCTATATGTAAGAGAAAGTACTAAAATACCATATCCTAGAAACTATGTACTAGAAAATACTGAAGTGGACAAACATTATGACTAATTTTTTTCCTCTGTTGTTCTTCTTCAAGGCACTGAGCAGACACAGATATTCACAGAAACAAACAGCCGTTCACTGGAGCCCATCAGTCTGTCTACTGAGCCCCTCACCTCCACTCTTGATGTCGTCGCCACCACTGAGGCCAGCAGCAGTAGCAGCAGCAGCAGTAGCAGCAGCAGCAGCAGCAGCAGCAGCAGCAGGGACTGGAAGGACCTCACCAACACTGACCAGCGGCTAGATGTCTCCCCTGTTTCCTGGAAGGAGACTGGATCCACAAAAGAAGCCAGACTGCCGCGAAACAGCCCAGACACCACCCTCCGATTTGGAGACACAGCATCCATCAGCACCTACACCTCCACCACTATTACCCGAGCTGGGGAGAGAACCCTGCTGTCTGTCACCTCCTCTTCTAGCAACAGCACCACCTCTTTCTTTACAGAGGACTCCAATTCCCATCAGCCTGCCTTCACCTGGGAGGTGTCTGCTAAGACTGAGGACTACACCCACCATGTCCCCTCTACCCAAACTGACCATGGGGACACAACAGGCCAGCACATGACCCACTCCATTACTGGGACGATGTCAGAGACTGGGGGACCCAGAGGGATCCAGAGTTTTAACGGACAACCTAACACCACCCAGCATCAGGACAACTCCACATCAGAGGACACTTCTGACTCAACACCACCTCTCAGAATGACGGAGCCCAGCACAGACCAGACAGACGAGTCTGTGTACTCCACTCCACCTCTCACTTCACCTGCAGAAGGTCTCACTAATGTCTCAGGGACAGATCAGGGGTCAGACTCTAGTGTTGGAACCTTTACAGAGTCCTCCACTGGAATCCTCAGTCTCAGCACTCAGAATCAGGAGGGGACAGAAGGGGTTTCATCACAGACTGGAGAGCACAGTGTGAGTTGGGGTCTGACTACAGCACCCCCTACCGTCAGCATCAGTACATCTGGACTGGACAACTCTCTAACAGAGACTCCAGTGTTGGTTACTAAAGTCTACCTCACCACTCCACCTGTCACTGTTACGGAAAGGTGTGTTTCATTTTCGAGTCTTATTCTCTCTAAGTGGAAAAGAGAAATGTCAATAATATAGCCCATAGTTAAATAGGGTAGGCTTCAATCATATCATATCATAATTTAACAGTACAATAATATAATAAGACATAACGACAATAATGTGATCAAAATCATCCTTATTGTGAAATAGAGGCTCAGGTGAATGGAAAGATCATGGTTTACACTGATATGTAAATGATTTTGTATAGACACAGCTGGAAAGATCAGGCTTTGAAATTGTTGCTCTCTTATGAAACAGTAATATCAAATAAGGTATAAAAAAACAATTTTGTTCCTAATTTCAATAGTTTAAGGTACTATCACTTTGGGAATAAAAACAAACATTCTAAAAACACATCAAACCACAGGAAGACAGTTACTAAAACTAGAAGAAAGTTAAAAAATTATTTAAAATGTCTCTTATTGCTGACTTGGGTCAAGAGCAGAAAATCAGCAAAAGCTATAAACTGTAGCAACAGATTTTTTTATGCTTTGTATATGAACCTCCAAAATCCATCAGAATACTTGAGAAATCCATTTTTAGACGTTTTGTTTTGTGTATATAAGTGGCTCTAGTGCCCCCTGCTGACAGCTGAGGGTTATGAGTAGAAATGATAAATCAGGCTGTCATAAGCAGACCTTAAGTGCATTATTGATTGTTGTAAAAACAAAGTTGTATGATTGTTGTCAGACCTGACAGAGACTTGACAGATTGTTTGTATATCTCATAGATCACAGGTCACAGATGAAGACAGTTCCACAGCCTCTGCCCCCTCCTCCACTCCCACCTCTCCCTCCCCTGAAACCTCACCCTTCAGCTCCAGAAGCACCTCCAGCACATCTACTCCAGAATCATCCACTGAGGCAACCTTCCTGTACACGACAGTCCCCACCACAGCCTCCACTCCAATCCTGCAGACCTCTGTAGCTCACCCGACTCCCTCTCTGTCACCCAGCCAGACCCCGGGCCCCTCGACAGGGGTTGCTAGCCCTACAAATGTCACCACCCTGCAATTGGAAACCAGCACTGGCACAGTGGGAGTCACTATGTCTCACAGCCAGCACATCACCACTACCTACACCCACAGCACCCCAACTAAGAGTACAGAGGCTCTGCAGACTACTGGAAGGTGGGCAGAGGATGGAGCTACACAGCCAGTGATAACTACAGCAACTACTGGCTTTAGCACCACCAAGGCTCCACTCTTACCAAGTTAGTGACATCATCCTCTTTTATTTAAAGTGACATAACTTAGCATGAACTTTGTATACCAGACTGTCTTTTCTTTAAACACCAGCTTAAACTCATCTGAACTAACTCTAAGCTGACAGCAATGTGCATTAACATAATGTATGAAACTGACAATGCATATTTGATGTTCATGTAAAGCCTCTGTATGTGCCTTTAAAAAAGAGATTTCATTCTGTGGTAAAATGCCTGATTTGCTTGCTGAACTCCAGGAAACCCCTGTGTGTCTAACCCGTGTATGAATGGAGGGATGTGTGTGAGTTATGAAGCACATCAGTTCACCTGCCACTGTCAGCAGGCATGGACAGGACCCATCTGCGACCAAGGTGAGCCTCTCCTCCTCTTGGTAGCTTGAAACTGCCTCATTAATATGCATGTAACAAATAGAGTGTATAGGATGTTGAATAAATTTATTAGAGATTATCAGAGTGGGTGTAGTAATTTGAGATGTAATGTTATAATATTGTGTGCTTGTATATCCAGATACAGATGAGTGTGAAAGGGACCCCTGTCCTGTTGGGTCCAGGTGCGTAAACACAAGAGGTTCTTTCAGCTGTGAATGTCCTCTTGGCTTTGACCTTGAGGATGGACGCACCTGCACTAGAGGTAACAACAAAATAACTTCACGTCAGTCACATATCATGTAAAAATACTCATGAAAACATGTTTGTCATTTCAGTCAACAAAATGTATTTCTGCCTGCTTTCAGCAAAGACTTTTCTGGGAACGTTCAGTGTAAACAGACAGCCACACGACCCTGCTGTTTTTAAGAGCGCCACTCTGCATGAGATCCAGAGAGAGATCATTCAGCTGGTGAGAGGAAGTTCACATGATTACATGGTCCCTGCTAAGTTTCTGTGTAAAGATCTAGAAGGCTTATGTGCATTATATCTAAAAGACACTCTCCTCTTGGTTTCACCTCAGCTCAACGCTTCTTTGTCAGTTTTTCGAGGCTACAGCCGCTCAACGCTGAGTAGGAAGTAAGTCCTCGCCAAAAAGTACCATTTCTATGTCAGGGTTGCAATGTTTCTACATTATAGGATACAACATGGACTTTCTGTCCATGTAGGCCTCTACAGTGACCTCTGATCTCTTCCCCACAGAGGAGATGATGGGGTTCTTATCGCAGCTGTCAACATGTTTTCCATTTCCACCGAAGTGACAAGCACTGAGGTCTACAACAGCATCCAGATGTTTCTCAGCAACTGCAGCTCCTCGTTGGCACACTGCCGGATGGTGCTGCATCACCAGCTCACTTATCACGGTAAACAGAGACACAGATTCGAATGAGTGAATGTTTGTTTTTTCAACATGTTTTAGTTCTGCAATTGAAGATGGACCCTTAAGACCTTTGGTTAATGTTTACAGCCATCAGAGGGCACCAGTTAGCTACTAAATGCTCCCACGATTGTTGACCTCAAACTGTATTGTGTTGAGTCATTACATGACTGAAAAACTTTATTGCTTACCTGTTATTAGGGGTGGGAATCACAAGAGGCCCCACAATACAATATATTATCACAATACTTGGGCCATGATTCGATATTATTTCGATTTTAAACAATTTGCAATACAGTAAGTATTGCAATACCATATACAGCAATTTATACAATTTTTTCAACTCCTTAGCTGATTTAGCATTTATCTTTCCTTTATGTTTGTCTTATTTACACAGTATTTTATTTTCATGTTGCACGTCTTGCAAACCTCATGTGTCAGGTCCATCTCATTTGTGCCCTGCTTGCATTCCTAATGTCCCTCCCCAGGTGTTGCCTTGTTTCTCCTTTCTCCTGCTCTATGATGTCACGTCTGCCGACCTCACTGGACAAACGATCAATGTTACTCCTCCATTTCCATAGACCTGAGTTTATAATGGCATTTTATTAGATTTTAAAAATTCGATACTTGGTGGATGAAATGATACGATATATCACCAGACAAATATCGTGATACTATACTGTATCGATTTTTTCTCCCACCCCTACCTGTTATAGTCTAAAATCTTATTCTACACGGTCAGTTTCACAGTTATAGAAGAGTAAAGTAAATACATTAAAAGACAATATCAAGATCAGTGTAACCTGTCATTTATAAATAGTAATTTAATCAATGATAGTCTAAGTCACTGCATCTACTTTTTTGATTAGATTGGAACCTTAAAAGGTGATATAAAGGAACAGTCAAATGTTTGGTGTTTGATCCTTTTTTTTGCTCTGATCATGTTGTCTAAGAGTTTTGTGTTGTTGTTTTAATGACTATATTTATCAACACTGTCTTCCAGTGGAAAATCTGTGTGTGGCCCAAAAGACACAGTGTGATACAGAGCGCTCGACCTGCACCGACAACAGCGGCACAGCCTACTGCCAGTGTCTACCAGGGTACTACAAACACAACCCTGAAGACCTGTCCTGCTTAGGTAAAAGATTATATACAAGCAAGATAGAAATAGATCAATTATTCGACTTTTAGAGCAAGAAGGGTACAACTACCAAGCTAGTATATCTGAAAAAAAATAACATGTGAATACATTTTTTCATTTACATTTGAAATTAAAGGATAGAAATGAAAATATCAGCCCAACATGAATGAAATGTCATTTTAAAACACCTTTTTTCAGAGTGTGGTGATGGCTATAAGCTGGAAAATGGCACTTGTGTCCCGTAAGTTAGACTTTATATCAGTGCAGCATGATTCCTATAAGAATGTAAGATCCTAAACCACATTGTCACTGCTGATGTGTTTCTACTCTCTAGGTGCATGTTTGGATTTGGAGGGTTCAACTGTGGAAACTGTAAGTAGTTCCTAAAAACCTCAAATGTAACATATTCAGACCATAAGATCATTTTTATGAAAAAGAGACGTAAATCATTCTTGCATATGTCCTTGTCACACATTATGTCTAATTTGCTAATATCTAATGTTGCAGTTTACAAGCTGATTGCAGTCGTGGTGTCACCTGCAGGGGGAGCTCTGCTCCTTATCCTCTTCATTGCTCTGATTGTCACCTGTTGCAAGTAAGACTGGTTTTATCACCATAGCAACAGTATGATTTGTCTCGCTCAGGTATTTTTAAGTTCATGATTTAAATAAAAGAAGACTTACGTAACACCACATGTACTTTTATCCGTTTGACAAATATTTGTAAAAAAAAATCACAGTTCCTGCTCTAAATGGTTTGGTTTTCACTTTCACCTCGAAGGAGAGACAAGAATGACATCAACAAGATCATCTTTAAAAGTGGAGACATGCAGATGTCCCCGTATGCAGACTTCCCCAAAAGTAACCGCATATCCATGGAGTGGGGCAGGGAGACCATAGAGATGCAGGAGAATGGCAGCACCAAGAACCTTCTGCAGATGACTGACATTTACTACTCTGTAAGTAGACATATGTTTTTGTAACGCAACTTATAAATAACAATTTTAGACAAGAAATAATGGATCACATCTCTTTATCCTCTTTCTCTTGGTGCTCTCTCAGCCTGCACTGCGTAACTCAGACCTGGAGAGAAATGGCCTTTACCCCTTCACTGGTCTTCCAGGCTCTCGCCACTCATGCATATATCCTGCCCAGTGGAACCCCTCCTTTATCAGTGATGATTCAAGACGAAGAGACTACTTTTAACCACTTCTACTCAACACACACAAACACAGACTCACCATCTCCTTTACTTGCAATTGTGAGATGTCATGAAACAACCCTTTCATCATAAATATGCTAATATATAAGCCCCAACACTTCAGAAGGGCCCTTCTGACCATCTGCACTCATGATTGCCCACTCTGTGTGTTAAAGTGTGTGTGTGTTAAAGTGCTCCTTTTTGCATCCAAGTGAGACCGTTTCAGTGTTTGTTCATGTTGTAGCTCACTTCCTTTAACACACAGAACAAGCTGTTGTGGTGTTAAAGAGCGTTTAATGTGTTTTATTTTCTGCCTTCCAGACACTCACTGATTGAGACTTTAGTGTGTGATAAAAAAACAATAAGCGGATGCTCGAATCATGCCGTGGGGTAGTTGACAGTGAGCCACAAATCTGCTCTTTTTCTTGTCACATTTACATTGTTATACTGTTAATGAAATGCAGATGTGCTTGACAAATCTGCAACACACTATATGAAGGCAGATTTGAGAAAAAACATGCTAAAATATTGAAATGGTCATTTAAGTTCCAAACCTTTATTGTGTGTGCAACTGCTGTGATTTGAAAATATAAAATACTGATGGAATGAGACCATAACAGACCACTGACAGACACCCAAAGAACTGTTTATTTTCTGTTTGTTTGTTTGTTTGTTTGTTTTTTGTCAACAGAAACTGAGGAAGGACTTTGAATACCACTGCCGCTTTTTATTTATTCCCTTATTTCTGTGGAATTGACATGTAGCATAATGGACATCTCATAGAAACACACTGACAGACTGTAGATGGGTAAGCGTGTGGCTTTAAGTGTAAGTGTGTGTGTGCGTGTGTGCTTGCGTGCGTGAGTGAAAGAAGGAGTGTGTGTGTTTTAAAAAAAGTGTTTTTTGTGTACATTTGTGTGTAGAGTGATATTTTGTATACAAAATACATCATACTGGTAATGAATGTAAAAAATGTAAAGGTGTATCATAATTAGTTGCTATTCTTTACATAGAGTATTATTTGACTATTTTCTTTGGGTTTATATCATATATATATATTTAATCTGGCGTTTTAGTCAGAAGTGTTTATTTAATAAAAAACATGCACAGAATTTTGACTCTGATGTTTTTTCCACTCTGAAACTATTTTATATGTCAATAACTTAAGTTTCTGTAGTTTAATTTTTGGTATGTTGAATTAAAGTGTTTGAATTAATCTGTTTTCAAGATTTTTGAACAAAACTAAAAGTAATGGACAAATGTTGCAAAAACATTTGAACACCACATGAGGTATTAAAAAAGACCAAACTGTTGAGATAGATTTGATTAGATATTCCTTTATTCATCCTTCAAGGGGGAAATTAAAATTGTTGACAGCAGCAGTACACACAACTTACACATTCACACATACCGGCTATAAAAAACAAATAAAGATAAAAGAACTAATGTAAAATAAAAACAGCAGTGCAAGAAAAGAACAGTATAAAATACTACAAAACCCAATTCCAATGAAGTTGGAAAGATGTGTAAATTGTAAATAAAAACAGAATACAATGATTTGCAAATCCTTTTTGACCCATATTCAATTGAATACACTACAAAGACAAGATATTTAATTTTCAAACTCATAAACTTTATTGTTTTTTGCAAATAATCATTAACTTTAGAATTTGATGGCAGCTACACATGACAAAGAAGTTGGGAAAGGTGGCAAAAAATACTGAGAAATTCACAAGCAAGGATTGGGCGAGGTTCAGGTACTGCATGAGCAAATAGTGGAACAGTTTAAGAATAACCTTTCTCAAATGTTGAATTCCCGTGACCTTCGATCCCTCAGGCGGCACTGTATCAAGAACTGACATCAATGTGTAAAGAATATCACCACATGGGCTCAGGAACACTTCAGAAAACCACTGTCAGTAAATACAGTTCGTCGCTACATCTGTAAGTGCAAGTTAAAACTCTACTATGCAAAGCGAAAGCCATTTATCAACAACATCCAGAAATGCTGCCGGCTTCTCTGGGCCCGAGCTCATCTAAGATGGACTGATGCAAAGCGGAAAAGTGTTTAGTGGTCTGACGAGTCCACATTTCAAATTGTTTTTGGAAATATTGGACGTTGTGTCCTCCGGGCCAAAAAGGAAAAGAACCATCTGGACTGTTATCGACGCAAAGTTCAAAAGCCAGCATCTGACATGGTATGGGGGTGCATTAGTGCCCAAGGCATGGGTAACTTACACATCTGTGAAGGCAACATTAATGCTGAAAGGTACATACAGGAGCAACATATGCTGCCATCCAAGAAACGTCTTTCTCATGGGCGCCCCTGCTTATTTCAGCAAGACAATGCCAAGCCACGTTCTGCACGTGTTACAACAGCGTGGCTCCATAGTTAAAGAGTTGGGGTACTCGACTGGCCTGCCTGCAGTCCAGACCTGTCTCCCATTGAAAATGTATGGCACATTATGAAGCGTAAAATATGACAACGGAGACCCCGGACTGTTGAACAACTGAAGCTGTACATCAAGCAAGAATGGGAAAGAATTCCACCTTCAAAGCTTCAACAATTAGTCTCCTCAGTTCCCAAATGTTTATTGAGTGTTGTTAAAAGGAAAGGTGATGTAACACAGTGGTAAACATGCCCCTGTCTCAACTTCTTTGTCACATGTTGCAGCCATCAAATTCTGAGTTAATTATTATTTGCAAAAAATATTGCTGAATAATATACTGAATGATATTGCACATGATTAATAAACAAATTAGGGGTGTATGGAGAAATATTGCACTTGCAGTGTTGTTGGTGATGTTGGTCGGCTAGGGGCAGGCCTGGCTGTGAAGTCTGATAGCAGCTGGGAGGAAGGACCTGCGATGCCTCTCCGTGATGCATCGCGGGTGATGAAGCCAGTCGCTGACGGAGCTTTCTAGGGCTCTTACAGACTCTGGAAAGCTTCTTCAGCGACCAACTTCGTCACCCGTGATGCAGCACGGAGAGGCATCGCAAATAGATGACAAAAACTATGTGGCTCTCAGTGAGATCTCGTGTGGTCTCTATCCATTCATCCATCCATCTCCTACCGCTTATCTAAGGTCAGGTACGAGGGACCAGACTTCCCTTTCTTTGGCCACTTTGTCCAGACCCTGAGGCATTTCCAATCTGGCTGAGAATTATAGTCTCTCTCATGTGTCCTTGGTCTTCCCTGTGCTCTCCCACTGGTGGGTCATGCCCTAAACAACTTACCTGCGAGGCGTCAGGGAGGCATCCTGATTTGATGCCTAAGCCCCCTCATCTGACTCCTCTCAATGCCAAGGAACAGCAGCTCTATTCTGAGCCCTTCCTAGATGGCCGAACTTCTCACCCTATGTCTAAGGGAGAGCCTAGCCACTCTGCAGAGGGAACTCATTTCAGCCGATTGTTCCCGCGATCTTGTTCTTCCGGTCACCACCCACAGCTCATGACCATAAGTGAGGGTAGGAACGTAGATCGACCAGTATATCGAAAGCTTTGCCTCTTGGCTCAGCTTCCTCTTTACCATGACAGACCTGTGCAGCATCTGCATCATTGCTGACGCTGCACCAATCTGCCTGTCAATCTTCAGCTCCATTCATCACTCACACAAGATACTTGAACTCCTCCACTTATGGCAGGATTTCATTCCCAACCTGGAGAGGGCACTCCACCCTTTTCTGGCTGAGAAACATGGACTTAGATTTGGAGGTGCTGATTCTCATCCTAGCCGCTTCACACTCGGTTGTGAACCGATCTGAGGTCATGGCCCGAAGAAGCCAGCAGGCACACATCATCTACATAAAACAGTGACCCAACCCTAAGACCACCAAACTGGATTCCCATAACACCTGGCTGCATCTAGAAATTCTGTCCATAAAATTTATGAACAGGATCGGTGACAAAGGGCAGCCCTGGTGGAGTCCAACCCTCACTGGAAAAAGATCGGACTAACTACTGGTTATGTGGACCAATAAATCATCCCTTTTTAAATCTTTCCAGAGCATTGAAGGGTTACTTTGCTCAGGTTGTATGTTAGTTTACCTGTTAGTGATACACACTGAGATTGTATGATGTCTATCAGATACACCTTTGATATTCAGTGGTAATCCCCGGTTTTGAAGGGGGATGCAAAGTTTTGCACTTAATTTGTGAAAGCAAATCTAAAGTTTCCTCCTTTGTGGACAAAAGTTTACATATTCTCTGGTCCACTGATATTGGTTTCCTACAGTGATGTATAGACAATGACTAAGCAATGTATGGCCTACCTGCATTTGGGTTCACAAACCAGAACATTATGGACTCAAAACTCTAGGTATATTGATAATTTACAGAGAAGAAAACACTAACATATCCATACACATGGAAGGAGCCAACAGGACAAAAAATGACAACATTAAGCTGCATAATGTGTATGATAAAAACAAATCAGGGACTGTTCATACATTACTGAACAACTGTTGTTTATCCAGGGGGATTACTCCCCTCGGTGTGACTACGTGCAGGAAAACCAGACCATCAAAACACTATTTATGCCAAATAAGGGGAAGACAAGAAGCTGTAAACAGAGTAGACTGTATGTCTTTTCCACAGAGGACATTTGACATGTAGCAGTGAAAGAAGCAGATGTGTCTATATCCTCAGATTAATGACAACTGAATTCCATTTAGCTGCTTTAGTTTCAGGATCCTTGAGACATTCATGCTTACTCACTGTCACAGTGTCAGGGACTTTTGCTTTAAAGTCAAGATTTCTACTAGTGAAGAGACAAACATGGACACACTGTGAACAGTCAGTACCCCTTAACAGTGTGACTGAAACTAACACTGGCCAAACACTTTCCCCCCTTCTCTTCAACCTTAAACTTAAGTATGACAATTTGTGGATTTTTATAAGGGAGAGTCATGTGTTCAGCATAGCAGGATCCGATTCTGAACAGTGGTAAAATAGGAAGAGTTAACAACAAGAGTGTGAAAGATGTATAAGAAACTGTTTTAAAGGACTAAATACAAACAGTTCTAATATACAATCCCACTGAACAGTTCGGTAGTTTTCCTTGCTGTTTAAACTAAGCTCACTGTTGCTTGAGCTCTGTTATTCTTTAAGAGTAAGAACATATTTCTTAATATGATGAGTGACTTCTCCTCTTCACTGAATTTGAGGTAAAAGCTTTCATTAGATTAAAAATGACTTACAAGACCATGCAGTGTTGTTGTTTTGCACTTTAACCACACTAGGCAAAGTGTGTGTTTAACACTCATGCTACATTAATCCTTCCTCCTCTGTGGATACACTTGTTTACATAATGCATTTGCAGGATCTGGGCCATTTACTGTGTTTTTTCTGCTCTTGTGTCAAAGACCTTTCAGTGTAAGCTCAATGGACCAGAGTACACTTACAGACACACATTTTTTTTTTCTTTTGATCGGCTGGATTGATTTTGTCTTAACCAACGATGGCTTATCGATTCATCGATCTGGATCAGGAGGCTTTCATATTGATCAACGGTCCTCTTATCTGTCTTAATCTCACTACAAACATCTTCTATGCGTACTGCCTGATCTTTCCTCCACGAAATGGACCGAAACCCAAGCAACCTTTAAAGATACTCCTGGAGATACTGGTCTGGAGCTCAATCACTTTCTGTGTGTCTTTGTCCATACTGCATCGTTTGTTTAGTGATGGACAATACTTTGTGCTTTTCATGGTGTGGTACATAGTGCTGTCTTTTGTGCATAACAGCATGGTATGTTCAGTTTGGCTGAACTTCTTCTACTACATCCAGATTGTTCCCTCCCAGCGAGCTGTTTTGATCTGGATAAAGAGGAACATTCGATCTGTCATCTACATGACTTTGTTATTTGGCTGTGCTCTTTTTCTGTTCAGTGCTGCGGGAAGTATTGCACATTTGATCCTTTTGACGCCTACACTTGTCACTTCTATCAATGATACAAAGGCAGAATTTTTTAACTTTGAACTGGACATGGCAAGCAAAGTTTATTTCTGCATGATCAAGGCTTATATCTTGATGTGCATGTGTATAATGATGATTTCCAGCTTTTCTACAGTCATCTACCTGCACAGACACATAAGAAGCATGGCAAAGGGCAGCAGTAGCTTTTCCACTCCAAAGATTCAAAGTCAGATGAGAGTCACCATCACTGGGATCTGTCAAGGGGTGCTCTACGTCCTCTTTGACACTTTCAATCTCCTGGAATCCTTCACCAACAAATTTTCTCCACATTATGGCATCGGCGTTTGGCTTTCCTTTACCGTCACCTCACTGTACATATCTGGGACCACAGTCAACTTGGGCATCGGTCAGGCTGCATTCAGGCAGAGGGTGGTGAATATCTGGAAGAAATTTAGAGCACTGTAAACTGTTAGGAAGGCTTCAAAAGAAGTAAAAGTGTACCCTGTTAACACCAGATAAAAAGGCAGACCCAGAACTGTTGTTGTCTAATGTTTTTTTTCTTTTCCCATCATTATTGGAGTCATCATACTAGGGCTGCACAAGTAATCGATTTTAAATCATAATTGGATTATTTATAACAATGTTTAAAAAATTTAAATCGTCAAATCGATTTTCCACTCCATCATGTCTCGCGCCTCCAGGCCACCGTAGGCTCCCTTTTGGCGGGAGCGCTTCCCTGTTCCCACACATACCGGTGTAAACATACATGGCGTTTGCAAAAGAAGCCAATAATTTCGTGGCTAAAAGAGGCAAGGGCCAGTTAAGTCAGTTGTGTGAAATTGGTACGGCTTCACAGTTTCAGATGAAGAGCAAACCACTCCCCGCTGCAAAGTCTGTCTGATGGCCGTATCAATCCGTCCACACGGAAACAAATTCAGAAGTAAACGCGAAAGTTTTTTGTCAAATCCGCGTTTCATCCACACGGAAACAGTGTTTCAGGTGAATGTAAACGGTACTTTTGACAATGGGTCAGAGAGTGCGTAAATCCGTAAACGACTACCATTACATCTCCGTGTGGATGCCTGTCTGCATCTCTGTCATAACGATTATGTGACACACAGCGTAACTCTTTTATGGCACCTGCACCTGTCAGGCCAAAACAACCTTTATACGAATGCTCTGTACTCTTTTTCTGTCTTTTGTGCATTTTCTGGGCAGTGTTACGGCGCAACTTACCGACTTGGCATATGCACTACATCGTTTTCAATGGTTTTGTATTGAGAGATGATAAAAAAAACTTTATTTTTAAAGTGAAGTTTGGTGAAGTAGTCCCTGAGTGAAAAATTGAAATCAAAAATCAAGTTTTCAGAGAAAAACAAAAGGATTTTATTTTTGGCCAAAATCATGCAGCCCTATATCATACACAAATCCTGTCTAAAACAATCAATGCCCAGGACATACAAATGATATACAAAGAATATGCTGTATTTTTGCATAGCCTAATTTGCATGTAATGCAAATAGCTCTATTTCGCTACATTTACAGAGGAGTTGTTGGTTTTAACACTAAAAGAGAAAAAGGCACAGAATGGGGAACAACAAACTAGATGACAAGGGATTTTCTGCAAAACCTCAAGTAACCTGCTGCTGGATCTGATACCGCTCAAATCAAGGACAACCAGTGTAAGACGGGAAAAAACAACAGCACTCAGACTGATCTGCAGCCTCTGCAGCTTTTCAAATCGACCGTGTCTCTATCCAAGAGCTAAACTAGGATGGACCTCCTCACCTGTGTCATCATTAATGGGCCTTTTGCTACTCTCAACATCATGGCTAATTTATTTTTTGTCTCTTGCATGCTCCATCCTCCTCATGGAGCAAGAATCAAGCAACCTCTGAAGCTTCTCCTTGGCTCCATCATTATCTGCTCAATAACTAACCAGGTTTCAGCTATGCTGCTGTTCTTGACTCATACCACATTTGAAAACTTGCATTTTGTGCTTGCTTCATGTGTTGTGTATGCCTGGAGTTTGTCCACAAGTTTGGCCTCTGTTGTTTGGCTGAATTTTTTCTACTGCATCCAGATTGTACGTGTTCAGACAGCCTTCTTCATCTGGATCAAGAAACATATCAAGCACACAATTTACTGCATTTGGCTCGTAGAAAGAATTTTCAGCATCCTTGATGTTGGTGTCATACTTTTTGACTTTTTGAACTTAAATGGTCTACTCCACTCAGGCTTCAGCAATTTCACCGTTCACCCTGACAGCAAATACACATTTATACAAATACCTTACTTTGAATTTCAGTTCGATTTATTTAAGATTGCAGTCTACATTGTACAGGGCCACTTCTTCCTCTGTGCATGTGTTATGATAATATCCATAAGCTCCACATTTATCTACCTGGGTGCACACATCCGTCATATGTTAGCAAATGGACAGAGCCTCTCCTGTCCACATTTCAGGAGTCAGGTGATAGTCGCCATAACTGGCATTCTGCAAGGATTCCTGTTCATCTGCTCTTCTTTGTGGACTGTGTACCATGCCTTGGCTAAGGATATTTCTGAGCAGTTAATTAACCCATTCATCAATTTCACTGTCATCAACTTTTACATGACAGGCTCCACGATCGCCCTCGCAGCTGGTCAAACTGTCTTCAGAAGGAGATTTGCAGATGTCTGGCTTAGGGCATCTCAAATCTGCCAAGCACATAAAGTCCAAACAAGACCAACCCTACGGAGGTGAACCCATGTCACTCTTCAGACAAAAACCTGTTTGTGAAATTAACTTAAAGGGGGGCCCTGTTTACACCTGAGGTTCACATGAGAGCTTGAGTTAGCTTACATGACATGTATAGTAAAATGTGAACTTAAATGTTAAAAGATATACATTTTACAAATATTAATTTCTTTTACTTGGTGTAAGTAATGGAAAGACTAATAGATTCTGCTGGTGTGATTAAAAGTTTTTAATAATTTAGTTATTAATTCACTCCTGCAGGCCTGCTGTCTTCAACTGATAACAAAGATCTTTTCTGTTTAAAAAAGGATGATGATTTGTACAACATAATACTCAGGATAGTTGCTGGATTACGGTAGCAAAGTTATATTTTTGCTTTGTACTGTACTTTGCATTCTTGTACAGATCTCTGCTAATCTTTATTGTAAATTTAACAATTGATATTATTAAAATGTCTTTAAATGTCATGTTTCTTAGTTTTTTTGTGTGTGCTAGTCTTTTCTAAAACCTATTCTTTTATTTGCACAAGTGAATCTGTCATTCTTATGGATTCTGTCTGCAGATTTGCAAGAGCCAAACAGTATAACTTCATCTTTTATGAATACTATGGAAGCCGAAAGTGACAAGGAGTCCATTTTGATTTTTGAAGTAGATGAGCAAATTTTATTTATTTCTATTATTCTGAGCACAAAACAGAAAAGTCTTGACTTTACTCATTAGAGAGGCATGATGGTTGGCCAAAACTATTCTATCGCTGTGCCTTCACTAAAGATGCGCTGGAGGAGCAGACATGGCTGGACAGAGCTCTGTGTATATGTGTGCATGTGGAGCTTTTGCGTTGTGTTAATCTCTTGTGCAACCATGCTGTAATAGAAGGTGAAATGACACACTGGAGAAAAAAAGTAAAAGTTTATTTATAGAGTGCTTTTCACAGATAAAAATCACAAAACACTGTACATAAAATGAGTGCAATTAGATAAACATAAATGGTACAAAAGATAAGTACATATAAATACACAAATACAAATACAGTACAGGTGAGTTCTGAAATAAGTGCAGGTGTAAAAGATAAGTAAAAGAGACAAACAAAACCCTGTCAATCAAAAGCTTGTCTAAATCAAAGAGTCTTCAACTGCTTTTTAAAAGCATCCACTGAGTTGATCAAACAGAGGGAGAGGGGCATATCATTCCAGAGTCTGGGGGCTACGGTCTTAAGAGCCCGGTCTCCCGAGTTGGGCTGACACACTCGAGCACTAGTCCATTAAACAGTCCTGGGATCAATATAAAGTACAAGGGGTGCTGTTATGGTACTGTTGCAGACTAGCAATATGAAAATCTCTGCAGTGACTAGCAGTTGTTTCATTACAGACCACAAGAAAATTACACCTACATCGTAGCATAGCATCCATCAAGATAAAGCAATGGGAAAACCTGCACTGATATTTTAAGAAAACTTGATTTAAAAAAAGGTCAGCTGGTCATATTTACTTATTTTGACAGGAAACATGAGTGAATAATAAATATGGATGCATGTTTGCTCTAGAAGTCCACAAAATCCTTTTGTTTTAAAAGAAAAAAAAGGACAAAAATTATAATGACCTGGTATACAAGCATTATATGTGTTATATGTTATAAAACAACATCAAGTCAATCATAGTTTTGTCTCTAACTAGTGAAGCTGCATATATTTCAAGATGTTGTGCATCCCTGCAAACCAACAGAATAAGTGTAAACATAATTGTCTTAATAATATAGCATGCAAAAAAAACCTGGTCTCCTTTGGTCAATTTACCCCATGTATGGGTAAACAGTACAATCTGGCCATGACGGACCCAGCAGGTGAGGATTTTTGCCGTGCTCTGGGGGCTCACATCAGCTCTGAGCCAAAATACCTTTTCACTTGAGTAAAAAGAAGCCTATTTTCATGTGATGGTACTTTATACTAATTCACACATAGAGTGAAGTCATTACATGCTTTTATTAACTTGAAAAATCTTTCTAAATCGGCATAAATAATAAAAAAGACAGGGCTCTCAAGTCTCACGAATTCAGCGTGTGACACACGCATTCCCACCCGTTCACACGCTCACACGCCACACATTGTATTTCTCACGCATTTAAATGAACATAGTGATGTCCACAAGTTGCACCTCTTTAATTATGGAACAGGTAGGAATCAACTGAGTCCCTCCAAGAGTTCAGAAGCTGCGTACCACGCGCAAGCCAATCAAATAAAGTATATCTACTGAACAGCCAATCAAAAAGCAGCATTGCTGTATCCGGGTAGATTTGATATCTTGCGGTTTGACTACAGAAGAAGACAGACACTCGCTGTAATAGAGCAGGTTTTTATAAGGACGAGATAGACCCGATCATTACAGTAAGTCAGTAACCTACAAATGCAGAGACCTCAACACCCCATGGCATATAAACTCATATGATAAACTAAAGCCCTATGCTATTGCTATTAACAGCTGTATTGACGGATTTAGCCTCTGTACAGCCATTTCCAGCCATTTTCCCCTCCACAAAAGCAGCATTTCTCATATATCTCAAATATAAGTGCTGATACTCATGACAGTGTAATGCTCATGTACCAAAGGATTAAGTATCTCCATATTTGTGAAACCTAAACTAAAGTACAATTCATCTAAATGCTCCACAGTGCTGATTTTAACAACTCTCCTTCACAACAGGTAACTTTACGACTTAATACTTATATATTAATGACTTTATTCTCCCCAATAATAACATTATTCTCTAAGATTTAAAAACGTTTTTTTTGTAAATGTGCCCCTTATACTCCGTTGTATTTAAGAGATAATTATACTAATAATTATCTTCAATCCCCCCCAAGGAAATCTCAATTTAAGTTTAGTTCAACCCTGCTGATGATAGTACCGAATCTGAGCTTCTGCGGGGGTCTTGAAGGCAGCATGAGTTTGGTGTAGCCCCTCCTCGCTTGGATGCAGTCTGTCTGTCTTCGGCAGTTGAGGAGTGAAGGAGAGACAGACAGAGGGGCGCTGTGACAGTAAGAGTAGAAGAGCAACAGCAGGGATTTTCGAGCTAAAGCAGAAGTCACCGGGATATATCAGTCAGGAGAGATGGTCTTCGCGGGTCTGCCGAAGAAAAAAAACAAAGATTTATTATCTCGATCGGTCGTGAATCTCAGTGTGATAGAAGATGGTAATTACACTGATTCCCCTCCTGTTCAGGTGAGTGCTGTGAACGGGAAATCAGAGGAGACTTGTCAACAGTGAACGTTAATGTCCGTTATTGGACATGGGTTGGCTAACCGCGGTTATTGAAGTAGTTGTGATTTGTCCTGTTGTTGTTGTTAACAAAGTCAGTCCGATAAAGCCTGTTAATGATTTGTGTTGAATAAATGTGATCACAGCAGTAGGAAAACAATCCTCCCTCGCCTCCACCTCGGACGTGCCTGTGTTTGGTTAGTCTCTTTTAACATCTCTGTAACTTGATCAGCATGTCCGTTAATGCAACAGCGCCTCTAACGTTAGTTAACGTCTGTTCGTCAGTGAAGTTACGCGTTATGTTTATTAGCAGAAACAAATGTGTTTTCTTTAAATCAGATATGAAAAGGAAAGACATAAATTCTTAAATGCTGGACATCGCATCGATATGTTAAAATAAACCTGAAACAGGACAATTTGTGAATATAGTTCCCGAATCAGGGTTGGGAGATAGAGCTGTTAACCGTTAAACTCAGCATATTGTAAAGTAGTTTATTCAGCCTCAGCTGGGATCTGTTTAGAGCAGTTTCCAGTCACTCCTAAATCACTGATGTCAATGTTCAGTGCTTTCACTAGCAGAGCAGGATCTGGATTTTCTTGGGGTGGTATGAAACTAATTCATCATTGAATTCCATTCATTTACCCTTTACCAACTTTAAAAAGTAAATTATTAGAGCTAAGCTCATTTGAGTGATTACTGACTCAGATTAAAAAAAAGTTGTGTCTCACAAGTAGGGCTGGGCGATATGGGAAAAAATTATCACAATACATTTTTCTTCATATCTGTCGGTATCTAACAGGCTGAATCTCCTGTTATAACAGATGGGACATTATTCAAAACTGGAAAATTAAATGTCCTCTTAAAAAAGGCTCTGTGATTTTGTAAAGTTCTTGTTATACACTCTCATGTGCAAGTCTTTGTTTTTTCAGTGAGGTTTAGTTTGAATGAGTTCTTTGTGGTTAAAATGTATGTCTGTTTGGAGAGATTAATGGTAGTTACAATAATATAGAACTTAGGCTCAAAAATGAAGTATTGTAGTTTGATTCTAAAAATCAAACACAGTAGTCATTGAACCTTCCTGGGGATCAACACAAGGATCTGTTCTTGTGTGGACTGTACCCAACCTAAGTGTTGTCTTCTTCAGTGAGTTAAATGCATGCCTAGGACAGCAAAAAGGATGGGGAGACAGTTGTGCAGCTTTGGCCCTTCCAGTGTCATCTGTCAGCTTCCATCGAGGCAGTGTTTTTGCTTCATATTTACATAATAAGAGGAGATGGGGGGACGGTCTCAGTATAAAGCTTACAGTCAATTAGGTGCTACCTGGGGTGGCTGCTAAAATTTCAAGTGGAGCCCTTGGCTACTCCTGGCTACCCTCTCAAACCACCTGATCACAAGTCTTTTTATCAACCTTGTAATTCAAGTGTTCATACCTCTGGGTTTCTGTTTATTTTTGTGTTTCTTTCTGGTAATGTCTACATGATATTTTGTCATTTAAGAAAGCATGGGGTAAAATGTGCTTCTCTCACCAACAGCTGGATTAAGAGCCATTTTTGAGGTCTACTACTTAATCAACATAGAGCATCTTTGGTTGAAAAAGTGGTATGGCCCCAGCTCTAACAAAAGTCCTTAAAGATGGCCATGGGATCCACTTGTCCTCACCGCCTGCCTCGGTCAAAATGGACTCAGATGGGCTAGCCATGCCCAGTACAGATCCGAATGTTCAGCTGATTTCCACAGATGATGAGGACCTCCAGAAGATGTGGCTAAACCTTTCTTTGATCCCCTCTCTGGACTTCTGCCTCCCCATGAGCCCTTTGGACATCCCGGCAACCCCTGCACTAACCCCGTGTCTGCAGGTTTCTCCCAGCCAGGGTGAGAATTTGCACTTCCCCAGCTCTGCCCACCTCCTCAGCCTCCTCTCATCCAACAAAGGCCTGAAAGATTCTCAGCAGGTGGCCTCTATGTTTCCAGGTGTACCAGACATGTTTTTAGTCCCTGGTCCTGAATACAATAGCCAAGAGGCTTCTCTGCTGCAGGGATGCAGTGCAGTGCCAGATGGTGGTGATGTGCATTATTCCTCTATTACCCTTCCTCATTCATATTCCTTTGGAGAGAAAAAGCACACTGTTATTTCTACACCCCAGCCTTTATTGACTCAGGAGAAAGAGGCTGAAGTTGGTTGTTGTCTCCCATCCTCAGAGCAGCCTTGCAGGATCAGGGTGAGCTCTGACCAGGTAGTACCCAGAACTGTGTTGGGTGAAGCTGTGAAGAAGCAGCTCTGCAGGCAGACAGGGCTCTGCAGCCGAGCTAAGAGACTGCAAACAAGGCTGCATGCCCTGCTTGGAGAGCATGCTCTACTACACTGCAACCAGCAGCTTGAGGGGCTGAAGCAGTACTGCCAACTCGGAGCTGAGTCTTTTGAAAGCGTGAACTCCATACATTCTGGCACTCTACCTCCACAAGTAGATTTAAAATCACAGTTCTCTTGGCAAGAATCGTGTACGGCTTCGTTATCCTTTGAAGAGCTCAGAGAGTTCAGCCACTGCAGCCAGGCAGTGCTAAGAGACCTTCAGGAGGCTTTGGACTCAGAGGCTACAGCCAGCAGCAGCTCTGATGAGGAAGAAGAGGAGGAGGATATACAACACTTCAAAAGCAGGACTTTATTTGTGTGAGTATACTGTATGCAGAATAAGGTTTTGCAGCTGCATGTAAAAATATTCTCAAACAAACATTTATCTGCCCAAAAACCTAGTTTCAGTCACACATTATTGTTAGTGTAAAGGATGTCCTGAAACTGGAAATTTTGAATTCTAACTGCCAAACTACTGTAAAAGTAAGAAAAGAACTCAGGAAAAAGTCAGAATTGTGTGTAATTTATTAAGTGGGCAAAGTAAAGGATCCGTCAGATTGTTCTGCAGTGTTGAAAACTAGAACCACCAGCCTGTGGTCTTTCTGCATATGGTTAATCCACATGCCTGAGCTTGTGGCACACTGCAAGCTGTGTCTGGAATTTACTGGTCACAGCTTGCACACAACTTCTTTATCTTTATATTCTGAATCAAAATACTGCGAAATGGCACAGTGCTACCAAATGACACCAGTCATCTGTTCTTACTTACATCCGGATAGTAGACAATCGGAGCATCATGGTCGGAACTATTACCCAGGGCTTCGGCGCTGCACTAATACTTAAACACAAATGGGCATTATTTCAGGACTTAAATTATGTCTTTAAGTGACAGCTGATATGAACTGGTTCATGACCATATCCAGTCTCTGGTTCTTAAGTTGTGTCAGCATTAGCCATTCTTGTATATTTTCAAGCGCCACAGTGTTGATTATCACATTTGCAAGAAACAATAACAATCTTCAAACCAGGCCTATCACTGATGAGGAGATAAGGCGGATCATATTTCCTCACAGTGTCTGTGATAACCAGTAAGTGTTGGAGAAACCACTATGAGACAATTTCCTGACTTCACTGAAGTCGAGCTGCAAAATGGTTTGTTGGGCTGTTCTTGGATTTGCTCATGAAAACTCAGCTGGAATTCATTGTGGAGCCATTGGCCCTAATTCAAGTGAGTGAGGAGCAAACAGAGGTTGACTTTACTCTTTAGGCAACCTCTGAAAGAAGAAACACAGTTGGAGTTAATTTAAAAAGGAACATATAAAGTTATTTCACCTGAAGAAGTTTGTGATAGACATGTTAAAGATGACACAAGAAATCTGTGACCACTCTCAGCCTGACAGAGTCCATTTTGGAAAGTCAGCCCTCTCACTGCATGAGTCCTCTGTGCCTCTAAAAACTTGAACACTTATTTTATTTGGCCCTCAGCAGTGTTTACAGTGTGCTTCTCAAAACTGCAAGTGTTGTCCTCCCAGCTGTGGAGAGTGTGATGACATTTTTTCCCATGCACACATACACACCTACTCTCTCTCTCTTTCCGTACTGCAGTCATAACACATTCAGTAGACTCGCCAGCTCCCTACCCTCAAGCTAGGAAATAAACACAGACATGCCAGCCATTCTGTGCCACCGTGCTCCTCCTCTTTCTAGTGAAAATAATGTGTGTGTGTGTGTGTGTGTGTGTGTGTGAGTGTGAGAATGGGTGGTGCTGCTATACTTGTATCATGGCTCTCACAGAGTCATATTTCCCAAGGGTGACAAAAAAGATGCTTACAGGCCACTAAGCAGGATGAACTTGTGTTACACTCTAAAGATGTGAAAATCTGAACAGTGTACATCCATGTTTTTGTCAATAGGGGAAAAATGTTTAACTATTGTTCAGTCTTGACATTTAAAATCACATCTGAACAGATTTCACTGCCTGTGTGACTCACTCTGTCACCTCCTCATGGTACATTAGCAGTGGTGCTGATAACATTAATCTTGAACTTCACCTTTTTGGGGCTTTTCATAATCTTCATTTAGACCAGTATTTTAGTGTATCATCATCTGGTTGACATTAAACAGATTATCACAGAATTTCTGTATTGTGTGATTGTTGTTCTTGGCAATGAAGCAGGTACCGTGTTGTGAGTTCACCCTGAGATTTCAAACCCTGATCTTTGTTTTGGTCATACCAGTCAGTATGAAAACTGGAAACACCCTGGTATGGAATATCAAGTTTGTTGGTTATTGGTAAAAAATCTAATTATGTCAAACACCTGAGAACAACAACTAGAACTACATCTCTCAGCAGATGATGAATTAAAGATAAAAAATAGAGATTATTTGGGCATGTTTTGCACCAAATACATGAGGAAAAAAAAAAGATTTTTCATGAGGTTTTCTGCCTAACAGTAATGAATTTAAGGAATGAGAGAGACAGAAACACTGGATACCCCAAAACGGCTTTGAGCCAGAACAGATCTACAGACCTTGATATCTGCCTCAGGTGATTTGCTCATCAGAATTAGGTGGGAAGGAATCGAGGATACAAGGATTTTCTTTGCTTGGAAAAAGAGTTTAAGATTATATACCCAACCACCGTTGGGAATATTTCTGAGCCTGCAGTCTAGTTTTTGGTTTGAGAGCAATCCTTTTCAAATTTTAGATGCGGGAAACTACATTTCCCGAAGAACCCCCTAAGAAAGATGAACCTGCTCTACCCTCCACTGCATAGAATATGAAATCCAAAATGCAACAGAACAGTATTTTTAAAAAATCATTACCAAAATATATTCTTACTTTTGTCATGAGAATCCTCATGGCTCAGATTTTCCCTGAGCCATGGATTTTATTGTGCTTTCCTTTTAGTGTGTGGACGTGTTTGTGCAATGTTAGACCAGCCTGGTGTTACCAGGTTAATGATCTTCTTTCTCAGCAATGTGCTGGCGTCATAGTTTTGGATGTAAGTCATGCGTTCTTAAAGTGCAGCATGATCTCTCCTCAGTGGATGTGGTTCTGTAAAGCTCCCTTTTGTCCTCTTTGGTTTCTAAATCAGTGCTATAAACAGGAAGCATTTACAGCATGTTTATCAGCACTGAGAGGTGAATGAGAGAGGGTGTTTTATAGGTGTGTGTGTGTGTGTGTGGGCGTGCGCGCTCTTCTTTGTACTTGGCCAGCTTCAGTCATCTTGGAAGTGTCAGCTTGTCTTTTGTATGAGTCCGCTGAACAATGCTCTGCACTTTGTCAGTAAACCTCTCCTGCAGAGTTTTTGTGGCATGTTCCTCCTTGAGGAGGATGTCTACTTGTTGGAGAAGAAACAAGTCCCGACTGTGCTTAAGAAAATGTGGAAACAGTTGGCCTTTAAACCTTCAACAGTGTCATAGTTTAGCTTGAGTTCAAAACCATGTGTCCACTCTGCTCCTTTTCTGCTGTGGCAGCAGTGCCTCACTCCTCCAGCTGTTACTCATTTTTTGGTTTTCACTATGTTTGTAATGTTAAATTAAATGAATGTTTTTGGAGGAAGGCTCCATGCTGGAAAGTTTAAGCTAAAGGCACACCCAAAAGCTCCAGTGCCTGCAAGAGCCAAGAAATACCGCTCTAATGCAGGAATTCTTAAACTTTGAATTGCTAGCTGAGGCTGGCCTTTCATTCAGTAAGGCTTAGACTGAGGAAACCCAGCAACTCTTTTTTAAATTAGAGCTTGTGGGGCTGCTGGAACCACCAAATCATTTGATTGTTTTCTCAGAGAAATATATGCAGTAAGTTGTTAGTGAACTTTCACTCTAACAGATACAAAGTAACAATTCCTCTTCCATGTGGTGCTCCTGACTCGCCCACCACTCAGCAAATATTCCAGGAATTTTCTCATTATACAGTTGGAAAGAGCTGCAGGGCACCCAGGTCTAGTCATTGTCTCTGGAGGAAAGAGGGTGCCTGCTCCTCAACAAACACACATAGGTCCAGGTTTGAGTAAATCTCGGCCATTATCCAATCATAGGCTTCGTTTGCTAAAGAAAAAAAGTCCCCTGCCCTTGACCACAAACTGCCTGTAATTGATATTAAGCAAGTGCTTTGGCATAACCCTGGTATATTAAAATAAGCACATCAGAAAACCAAAGGGTGTTTTCAAATATTCTGCTGACTGACCAGAGTGTTTGAAGTGGGGGAGTCCCTCTCTGTCTTAGCCAAGGTCCAAAAGCACCTCCATAGCAACTATAACCCTGATGAGGCCGGCCAACCATACACAAACAGTCACACACACACACACGCACGCACACATGCACAAACAGAAGATAATTGCCCACTGAACAGGCTAGTGCTATGGAAACATAGTATAGATACACACAACACAAATCAACTGTGTTTTATTCTTTGGCCCAGATCAGCTTTGTGCTTCAGCATTTCCCCTCCCCATTCTGTCAGGATGCTAAACAATTTACACCCTACATGGTAACACGACTGTCTAAAATAGGTCATATGTTCTTAGTGCGTCAGTGTGAAGATGTAAATTGAACATTTCTCACCACATTTGCACATGGTTGATTTTTGGCCATGTTGAATTTAATGATCAAGTTAAATAAGGCTGATTTGTATTTTTTTAAATTCTAAATAATTTTCAGTGCACTTCTTGTGAAATATACAACAGTATGCTACAATACTGCTACTCGGGTCTTACTGTTCTCTGTCATCCATCACCTTGTCCCCCTGCCTGCAGCAGCAGCAGCAGCAGCAGCAGCTGTGAGAGGCATTGGCTGGAGGAGAGAGCAGAGCTTGGCAGTAGATGGAGCTGGTTGCAGGTGCGTCTAACAGAGTTGGAGGGGAGAATTCAACAACTGGTGGGGCTCCACAAGCACATCCGCACTTTAAAGGTAAGACCAAAGCCCTCTGTGACCAGATCGATATCATTCTGTGGGCAAAATGGACCAACAAAAAACCTCAGAGAGTATCTGTCAGGGACTTTCAGTCTGATCATGTTACACAACCAACTTGTGTAAAGAGGAAATATAAGGTCAGCTAATCCTAAAACATTACATTTTTCAGTCCTTGGAAAAAAAGTGCAACGATATTAGATTTTTACATAGACTGAATTGATGTTTTTGCTGTTGAACTGCATTAAAAAGGAAACTTGTTTTCATTATATGTAGTGCTCACATTCAAGATTTCTCCCAAAAACTGGCACTTCCTCAGATCCTGCCTACCCCACCTTTAAATTTTTTTAAAATAACAATATGTCATCATTTTACTGTATCCAATTGCATCCCCTTGATCAGCTGCAGTTGTCACATTTCAAATATACATTGAGCAATGTAGCCACTCATTATGGGCTGTTATTACTAAATTAAGTTTTATCAAGACTAATTTGAATTTTTCAGTGTATAAGTGTGCAATAAACTGAACCGTTCAATTTCAGAGCCCTGTTGTATTTGCTGCATACTGAACCGTGTGACGTTGCACGTATATTTAAATGATGAATCCTTGATAAACCTAAATTCATAGTGAGGGTTCAAAAACTGATGTTTTATAAAGTTACCCTAGCCTGTGCATGTGCTTTTGTGTTTCCAGGGTGGAGTGGTGCTTGCAGAGTCCCAGCCCATGACTGAGGGACAGATTCAGCACACCCTGCTGAGAAAAATGGTGGGGTTATCCGGCACTGCCTCAGATGCTGACACTGAACCCTGCAGCCCTGCACGCCTTCTGCATAACATAAAGAGACAGGTAGGAACAGCACAAACACACACATAAATCTGGACTGTTTGAAAAATGTGACGTCAATGGGAATAATTATCTGCAAATTATTAGTCTATGTCAGGAGAAAAAAAAAAACATTTAGAGCTGTTAACTTACCATTCTGGTGTGATAGAAAGCACAGGAGAATTCATATCTGCAATGTTATATTCTCGTACTTTTAGTCTTATTATTTAAGGTATGCATTAGGGGTGGGAGAAAAAATCGATACAGCATAGTATTGTAATATTTTGTCTGGTGATATATCATATCGTCTCATTTACTAAGTATAATTTTTTTCAAATTAATTGTAAATATGGAGTCAAATCTATGATAGTGGAAAAATAAAATTAACTGTTTGTCCAATGAGGTCGGCAGAGGTGATTTCAAAGAGCAGGAGAAAGTTAGTAAAACAAACATGGCAGCACCTAGGGAAAGACATTAGGACACAAATGAGGTGGACCTGACACATAAGGTTTGCAAGATGTGCTACATGAAAACAAAATACTGTTTAAATAAGACAAACATAAAGGAAAGACAAATGCTAAACAGTTGAAAAATTGTATAAATTGCAATATATGGTATTACAATACTTACTGTGTCGCAAAATGTTAAAAATCCAATAATAACGTATTGTGGAGGCAGAGCTAAAGTATAGCTTAACCTGTTAATTTAAAACCGTATAGACTAGACCTGATTCTTTAAGAATGGGTCACATGGCATTGCAGATTATTTGCCTCCATATAATTCTCTGCACTCTGACTCGAGATGTAATTCACAAAGTAAATAGTGCGAATGGCATTAAATCACAAAACTCCCAACAAACTTCCACAGCTCCATGGAGTTTGTTCCAATTTAACGTTTAATTATGACTGAAAAAAGCTGCAAGCAACTCCCTGCTGAACAAAGCTGTGCTGTGTGCGTTCAGGCTGGAGTAAATGATGAGCTGAACGGAGAGGGAAGGTTCTTACCTGTTTATTATAAGTGTCAGTGGATGTGACACAGTTTTCACAGTTTATGTCCAGCATCTAAAAAAAGCAGCTCATTCAGATCAAATAAAGTAATAATCAAAAAATGCTTTTTTGGCTGCACTTAGCCTTGTCCACATGCTTTGTGAATGCCATGATGTCTTTTTGCTTTATTTGCACAGGTTTACTGCTGCAGCCTTTTTGTGACTCAGGTCCACTGTGTTGAAAAAAGTCTTGTCTCATATACTGGACCTGGCTTTAAAAGAATAATATCAGAGATTCCTAAACACCTAATTAGCGGAAAGACTCCTTATCTTTTTATCTACAAATGAGTACGAAACGGACCTGCTCCTGCTTGCTCTTAAACACAGTATTGTGTTTTCCTGTAATGCACTCATCATCACAGGAAGATATTGAGTGCTTTGAAGGTGTTATACCACCTCAGTCTGTATATGTATCCAGATTTCCACTCTAGGTTTATACACAGACAAAAATAGATTTAGATGTGTGCTGTCAAAAATCAGAACACTTCACTCGAGGCTTACTCTGGAAGCATGAATAACGGAAGACTTAACATATGTACAGTACCAGAGGTTATGTAGGTGAGAGGATCCTAGAGGAATTCCTACTCACCGCTACTTTATCGAACAGATTTTATTTCAGCATACTCGCTGGTTGGGTGCAGTTTAATGTACGTAGGATCTGTTCATTTCAGAGTGCTCAGCTCAGCCGGATTGTCAACAGTCTGATGCCTCCTCTCAGCTTTTCGCCGCTATCAAAACAACCACAAAGCTGGAGAGGCAAGGAGAGGTTCACAAGGTAGAGAACACACAAACACACACACCCACCCACACTAATGAAATACTGCAACTGTACAAGCATACGGCACTGCAAGACTTTGAAAAATCACTCTAACCATCATTAGATTTTCTAACACTCCAATCAAACACTTTCAACTTCAGGGTCAGTCACTGTCACAGACTGATGTGGGGGCTGGTTGCATATCCTGGTTGGTCCCCACCATCTGGCCTGACTTAAATCATCCCTTCATAATATCTTTCCTTCCTGCTGCCTTTTAAACTCCCTGGCTGTGAAGATTAAGCTGAGTGATTGGAAAGAAACTACTCTATTTGCTCATGCACACAACAGTGGTTTACACATGGGTATTGTTTGTGCCTGGTTGATATTCCTGAACAAGATCAAAGTCAAGCGGCACCTTGAAAACTTGTTTGTTGCATGTTTGATCCTAGCATGAATCAGATCCTTAACATTTCCATGACCCCACATGCTTTGGTCTTTGCAGTGGTCAGGATGGAGATGTTTTCATATCTGGGAGCTTTAAGAGACGGAGGTTAGGGATTAGGAGGCTCTACAAAGCTGATTCTTCATGTGTATGTGCTCGAACCCGACCCCTGGTCACTTACCACAAGCCAAGACTGTTCTCTTTCAACACCCTCAGCTCCAAAAGTTCACAGGTAGGCCTCCTGCATTTAAAACACAACGTCACATTCTTCCAGAAGTGTTTCTCCAAATCAATTTTTCCCTCATGTCTTTGTAAATGGGATTATTTTCTCTTTCATTCATACTACATTTAGTCATAGTAATAACCCCTCACTGTGAGCTTTTTCTTATCCAAATCCAGCCTCTGAAACAAGTCAATTGCCCCTCATACACTATGGCTAGAAGTGTTTATTCATGATGCTTGCCTTTGTCACTGTGTGAGTGCATGCAGATAATGGATACCTATCTAAATCGCACCCCCCCACTCATAATCAGAGGATATGATGGTAGATGGCACCCGCACTAGGCCTAATTAAACCATTGCTTTATGCAGTCATGGTTTGCATTTTGATTTTACAATTAAGAGAAAAAGAAAATGAGTCTTTCATTGTGTCTATTCACTTATGTGATTGGAGTTGTCCACACAGTAAAACCAAATGTAGCTTCAAAGTAGTTGCTCTTGGCCAGACTTCAGAGGTGAAAAGTCTTATAACTAAAACAGTCTTTCAGATGAAACAAGAGTTAATTTTTCTAAAGCCAAACACCTGCTTTTAATCAAACTACAATATCTCTTTGGATTTTGTTAAACAAACAAGTGTGTGCAGTTGTTTTAAAGCTCTAGTTTTAGTTTAGCCAGTGCTAAACAAGCAAGCAGAATCAGGGGGCTGGGGTAGTGGTACCTTTCAAGAGGTTGTCATTACCCTGAAAGCCTCATGTGGCTCCAGATTCAACAGATGCATCAAACTCCACAGTGCAAAAGAGCCACCTTTATGTCGCAACAGTTATTGGAAACTAAACAAGACTGAAAGGAGAGTAGACTTATGTGAGGGTGCCAGAATAAAAGCCTACTTCTTACAGTCCATCATCAACACATTTCTAAAGCCTTATAAATGCATCTACAAGGCTTTCCTTGTGAGTGATGATCAGCATTCACAATAGCTTATAGCAATGTTTATGAAGTGTTATAGGCAGTAGTTATAATGTTTTATAAAGGTATGTTTTAGGATGTATGACAACTTAATGCAAAAGAAAAAATATCAAGTAACAATAAAACCTTGTTAAGTGTTTTTGTCTGACTCTTTACTTACAGCCACATAATACTGCTTATAAGTTTTTATCAATCTGTTATAGGATCATATAATTGGTAATAACTTCAGTATCATTATCATAGGCTGTATATAGAATGGATGCCATCTGCCTCCTCGCTGGGTGAAGACACCACAAGAACAGCACCCTCTGGTGACGGGCTGCAGTATAGGTCATAAACCCCGCCTCCTCCAGCAATCCTTTTGGAGCTGTGGACAAACTTTAGAAATCTGTAACACAGAATATACATTTTTCTACCCCCTGGTTGCGATGTTGACATGTAGTTACAGTAAGACTGGTTTGTGCCAGTCTTACTGGTTTTTGGGAGGTTTCTATGATTGATACTTGGCACAGCCTATGGGTGTACAAAGATTGCGTAGCTCACCCGAGTATACGCTGTTTGAGCTTCTACTTCTTGTTGCTCTGTGTCTAATGGATTTGCACATAATCTACTATATCCCTACCTGCTAGCTGTAAACTTTTATATGTTGATCATTTGTCAGTGTTTCGTAGAAATGGGGAGATGATACCAGAGCTGTAAATAGGGCTGCCACAAACGATTAATCTGACAATCGGCATGACTACAATTATTTTTGCGATTAATCAATTAATCGGATCGTATATTTTTAATTTTTGCCCTAGCATTTCTAATCTAAACAGGACCAACCTGGTTAAATAAAGGTTAAAAAAAATACATATATATTTCGCAGACTATCGCACCAGCATGCAGCTGCTGTTTTATTACCATTAAAAAAACCTCCATCTAATAATGTTTGAGAGTATGTGCTTACTTTTAATTTTAGTAGCAACTAATTAGCCAACTAGCTTGCCGAGGTGACAGTGCTTCTCTGCCATTCACTTTGTCAGCCAAAGCGACATGTTTTCTTTTTAAGTGCTAGTGCATGGTAGTTGTGCTGTTGTGATAAGCAAGCTCTAAAGCTACGGTCCTGCTCACCTATACTCATTTTTGAATCAAGTTTTTATTGAGAGAGACCCTCACTGTTATCTCAGTTTTGTTGGGATGGCGATAAAAGGACTCTGAATTAATGCAGTAGAGTTTAAATAAGAACTTCCATCATACCAGGTGGGGCAGGGGACCTAATTTCTCGATCTCTAAACCCTTTTCCTGCTTATAAACAAAAAAATAAGAAGCCAATGGACAAAAGACTTATTCATTATGTACTGTAAAACAAAGAAAGACTCAGGTATTTTTGGATGTTGACATGCGATTAACTCAAGAACACAGAGTGCTGCTCTACCATAAAGTGGGATTGTAGTTGCTACATTAAGAAGCAGTATTGTGATACTGCCAGATAATAAAGAAATCACTTGAACAGTTTAATTACCTGAATCTGTGAGCTTAAATAGAGCAGCTCTTTTAAAGCCGAATGACTCACCCCTCTAACACAAAGAGACAGCCAAGTTCATGCTTTGAATTGAAGTCACTCTTTTTCACTGTTCAGTATAATGCCTTGGCTTTATTTTTCTACCTTATAGAACTCCGGGGCATCCATGTCTACCATCTCCTCCTCTCTCTCATCATCCTCCTGTTCGTGTTGTTCCTCCTGTAATCCCGTTGTTGTATGCTCCAATCCTGACTGCAGCTCCAGCAGGCTTCAGCTCTCTTGGACCCCTTCATCCTCATCATTTGGTAGGAGAAACACTGAGATATAACATAGTTTGTTATAACAGCAGTTAGGGCTGCACGATTAATTGATTTCAAATCATAATCGGATTATTTAATAATGACGATGTTAGAATAATTTAAATCGTCAAATCGATTTTCCACTCTGTATCATGTCTCATGCCTCCAGGCCACTGTAGACTCCCCCTTCCTGTGGGAGTGCTCCCCAGTTCCCTTACACACTAGTGTAAACAAACATGGCGTTTGCAAAAGAAGGCAATACTTTCCTGGCTAAATAAGGCAAGAGCAAGTCAGTATTGTGAAATTGGTGCGGCTTTGCAGTTTCGAATGAAGAGCGAACCACTCCCCGCTGTAAGTCCGTCTGAAGGCGGTATCAACCTGTCCGCATGGAAACAGGAGTAAACGCAAAAGAATTTTGTCGTATCAGTGTTTAATCCACAGGGGCCAGTGTTTTATGGCGCCTGTGTGTGTCCGGCCAAAACAACCTTTATACGAATTCTCTGTACTCTTCTTCTGTCTTTTATGCATTTCCTGGACAGTGTTACAGCACCACTTACTGGCTTGGCTTATGCACTACATCGTTTTTACTGGTTTCGTTCATAGACTGTAAATATAGAATGGACAGAGTGTGCCTCCTCGCTGGGTGAAGCCACTCCGAGAACAGCACCCTCTGTTGATGGGCTGAAGTATAGGTCATAAATCCCGCCTCCGCCAGCAAAGCTTATGGAGCTGTGGACAAACTTTAGAAATTTATTACACAGAACATAAATTTTTCTCCCCCCTGCTTGTGATGTTGACATGTAGTTATTGTAAGACTGGTTTGTGCTCAAGTCCTCTTTTTTCTGTGAAGCTCCGTTTTTAAAAGTTATTAGGGGGTTCATGTTTTCTATGATTGACACCTGATACAGCCTATGGGCGTTCAAGGATTGCGTAGCTCACCCGTGGGGATACGCATTTTGAGCCGAGCGTCATCACAGTGACTCTTGGCGACTCTCCCGCCGAATGCGCACATCGCTACTGCGCAGCGCTGGTTTCAGGAAATGAAGAAAAATCCTGGAAATACAGAGAGCTTTTTGGCTTCAAATCCGTATACAGGCGGTAGGCGAAACCAAGTTGTCCATAGTATATACAGTCTATGGTTTCGTTTTGAGAGATGATAGAAAAACTTTTTATTTTTAAACTGAAGTTTGGTGAAGTTGTCATGTCTCCCTAAGGAGAAAATTTGTCTTGGACATACGGGTAGGCAGCATACATATAATATAGTACACACAGTACACAGCAATACAGCACAGGACAACAGAAGCAATAACAATATAATAAAGTGCACAGTGACGCGAAAAAGCTCAAGTAAACCTCTAGATCACCCTCCAATATAATAAATAGTAACAACCCCCACTGCATTCCTAGTGCACCAGGAAACACATTAAACTAGGAAAGCACTCGGAGAGTGCAGACCTCTGCCAAGCAGCTCATGTCCCCCCTTATATTGTGATTCACACCAAAACTTTTACTGTTACATGTCTTTTATTAACTTTTATTTGTGTTTAAACTGGTTTGTTCACTGTTCATAATGTTCCTAAAACAACAAAGCTCATATTAGATACATAAATGCATGATTGATTATGCAATATTTGTAAGCGTACACTTCCTTGTATCTTCACTGGTTATCTTTCAGCATTGAAAATTCCAATGACATCCCTATTTTTGTGTGTTCTGGATTACAGTATCTGGAATTTTGTCTGGATCAGGATCAACCTTTGACACCTCATAAAACTCATTGAGATCCTTTTGTGTAACTTTTTACTAAAGACTCTGGGCCATTTTTATAGAGTTAAATGCAAAAATTCCAAAATTTGCCCTATCTCACAATGATAAAGTATCGTTCAAAAAATTCCTGGATCCAGAAGGCGATCGGATCACCACCAAAATGTAATGGGATCCTCCTGGGGCTGAGACACACCTCTGGTGAAAATTTCAGGTCAATCCGTCTGTAACTTTCTCCGTAAAGTTGCTAACAGACAAACAAACAAACAAACCAACGCTACCAAAAACATAACCTCCTTGGTGCAGGTAATTACATTATCCCTACCTCAAAACCTTCTACCCTGTCTGTCCTCTGCAAGCAGCCCATTAAGTAGAGTGATCGACAGAGGGACGAAGGAATATTTATATCTATTGAAGTTACACCTGTCGGCCTCATACCTCCTTCCCGATGGCAATAATCTATAATCTCCATTTAGCACATGGGAGGGGTCATAGACAATTTTCTTAGCCTGCTCAACAGTAGACTGCTCAAAAATTACCTGGGGGGTTATGGGAGGTGTTGACATACCCATAACCTTACCTGCCATTTTGACAAGTCTAAATATTTCTGATTTATGTTTCACAGACAGATTTCCAAACCAACTGATGATACCATACCTTACAATTGATTCTATACTGGCTCTATAAAAGATCAGCATTATGTTCCTACATACACCGAAGAGTCTAAGCCTCCAGAGAAAGTGAAGGCGCTGGTGTACCTTTGCACATATATTTGTCACATAAAGACACGATACGCTTTTGTAAGGCTTTGCTAACTACTAGTGTGTTGTTTTACATCCAAATGCTACAAGTAACTCCTAGCATACAGAATATCACACAGGGTCTGTGTGAGGCTCCCAACAGGGCAGTAGATGGAAATGAAATCATGGCTGTTTCACCAACATCAATATCTATCCACGTATTCAGTATGGTACTATTAAATGAACAGTCACAGCTACTATGTTCATGTATGATCTTTAGCAATAAATGATAGGTTGACTAGGCTATATAAACCTTAAAATCTCAGACTGAAAGTCTCTCCTGTTTGTGTTAAAAACAGAAGTGAGCTAACTACTGAGCAATGCAGAAGGTTTGAAAAGCAGAGAGAGTAAATGAGAAGACACAAAGGAGGCAGATTATAGATTGATGAAGATGTCACTCAGCCAGCACCCTATTGATTCCCTGTCAGCTTGGATGATATTCACAAAAGAAGCATAAGAAGACAGTCAGTCAGATAAATGTGGCCTGAAGGGAATGACTTGGCACATGGTAACCTCTTATCATAGTTCATAAACACCAAACTGAAGAAATTACATTTAAAAAAAACAGTGAAAGCAAGAATGAGTTGAAAATGTGGGGAATGAGAAGAAGAATACTGAGATATCCTGAAATATGAAAAAAAAAAAAAAAGATTTAGGTTGTTGAAGTGCTATTTTCGACAACACCCCTCAAACTTACCCATGATCTTTCAGACACTCATCTATTCCACCCCTTGAAGGGAACTCAAGGCAGAGAAGAATGGATCCTTCAGCCTTTGGTCATTAATGCCCAAGCCTTTAGTCCAACACTCAGCAAACGACGCAGCTCTACACCCCTGCACAACAGTAAGATCTTACCTGTATTTATAATAGTTTTCTCCCTGCACTGTTCTTTTCTTGGCAGCTCTCCTTCTTCTGCCTCTTCAGTCTACTCTCTTTAGCTCCACTGTCCTTTGATTTGTAGCACACCTTACTGAGCCTTTATGTGTAGGTGCTACTTTTGAGCAACTCCAAAGGAAACCATGTTACCTGCTGTGTTGACATCACAGTGAACTGATGCAAGAGGCGCCATGAAGCTAGAAGTGTTTTATGAAAGGCTGCATATGCTTTCTTGTCGTTGCCGTTCATAGAACAGAAGGGAACTACTCCGACTTAAGATCCACACCTCTGTTGTTGAAGCTGGAATGAAGTCTTGTCTTTGGAGTCAATGGTGATGTTGTGTCAATGCAGAGATGACACATTTTTCTGCAGGTTAACAGTGGGAACTTTGTACAAATCACTGTACTTAAGCAATGAGTCTTTGCTGCCAACCTGACTTGTTAACTAGTTACCCCACTCAGCTTCACAGATAAGAAGTGGTTCTCAATTTGACTGATCTCAAAGTAACTGAGCTGGAGATGGGCAAACAAACACCCGCATAACCCAAGTCAGTGCCTGTCTTGGTACACAGGTCCTGCTACAGAATGAAGATTACATCTGCATTGATTGACTAGCATTGATAACACTTTTAAATCAATGATTGGTTGTAGAATTTTCCTGGAAACGAATAAAAACTGAGTGATGTGATGTTTTAGACTGCCAATTTTCTGTACTTTAAAATACAGAAGTGAGGTAAAATGACAGATGTGGAGAGTTGAAGTAGAGGTAGAGTGATTTACAGAGGAATGAAAGCCAAAAGAGGGGCAGACTGAAAATTAATGAAGGTGCCATTCACCCAAACACTCTGTTGATTTCCTGTCACCTTGAATGATCACCTTAAATAACAGCCTGGCAAACAACAGCAAACCCCCACCATGGCCCACTGTAGCTGGAAAAGATTGAGATTGTTCACCAGCCAAAGAAGGTAGAAGAAAAGGCAGGAAATGGACTCAGTCAATGATGACAGTGATTGAAAGGCAGCTGTTGAATCTGTTTCTTCAGAATAAGAATAGAGAGCACAGTCACCACAGCCAAAGAGTGCTGGAGACAAGTGTGAGTATACAAGAGTTCATCTTTGACTCTTATTGATTGAAAAAATATACTGAGAAGAGTGCACATAAGGCATAGGGCTAAAAAACGTCAGAGTACCTTAAAATAAGAGTTTTTGCTCCAGGGAAGCTCAAGGAAAATAATATATTCACTCTTGACTGATAACTTATCTACTGTACACTCTTGGTTTAATAAAAGCATTTGTTGTTAGCTAAGCAAGGAAGAGAAAGCAGAGAGCCTCACACCTAACGAAAGAACAGAGCGAATGTCTCAGGATTAGCTTTTGTTCACTTGAAGCTAAGCATTAAATCCCTGAGGAAATAAAAGGTGTTTGGAAATGAAAGAAAAATCCTCAGGCTGTCTGTGTGTGTGTGTGTGTGTGTGTGTGTGTGTGTGTGTGTGTGTGTGTGTGTGTGTGTGTGTGTGTGTGTGTGTGTGTGTGTGTGTCATTGTAGGTCACAAAAACAAGCAGCATGCAAGGCGTCACAACAGCAGAGTTATGGGCCTATCACCAATCAGGATGGCAGGCGCGACTGCCAGTCAACACAGGAGGACCAATCAGAGGAAAAGAAGGAAAAGATGCTTTCAGAGCCTGATGGATGGTGTGTGTATGAAATCAGTGTCCATCAAATCTAAAATTCAGATCTGACAGATTGCACCCATATTTGGATCTACTTCACAGTGGTGTTTTTCTTTGTAGTTGTTATTTGTTTATTACATAATAAGGGTTAAAGGGATATTACGGCATGAATTTAAGTCAGGGTCAACAACACTGTAACACCGAGATAGACACCCCCTTGAGAGATAAATGTTGCTGACTGCTTGCTTCTCTAGTTATGCCAACTTTAGTAACGACTGCATGATAGCAATACACTGTAGTCTGAGGAGCCATACACAAACCTCAACCAAACAGCCACTCTATAGCCACAAATATTGCTCAGAACAGCACCTAATTTCATCAACAGTACATATAGGGTTCCAGCCATAGTACTAGCCACCAAACATCTTTTTAACTTTGCCTGATTTCTTTAGCAAAGAGACCAAACACATACTCACATACTCTCTTCCAGCAGCCTCTTGTTTGTAGCGAGACCTCGACCAGTCCATTCTCTGTATTGCTCTGTATTGCTAGCTGCGGTCGTTACTAAAGATGGTATAACAAGAGAAGCAAGCGGTCAGCAACATTAATCTCTCGAAGGAGTATCTAACTTGGTGTTATGGTGTGTTTGACCTTAAATTGATTTTTCGTCGGAATATCCCTTTAAGTTAAAAGCTGTCAACACTAAGTTAAACATATCTAACAGAATACAGGATCATCATTTCAGAGAGTTTGTTTTACATGTTTGTGTTACATAGATGAGGAGGATGTCCCAGACCAGCTCTGTGACCCTGAGGACAGCTCCGATGACATTCAGGAGGACGGCTACACACAGGCTTTACACAAGCAGCTCTCAAGGGTAACACACACATACACACTTTTGTTTATATATACAGTGGATATAAAAAGTCTACACACCCCTGTTCAACTGCCAGCTTTTTGTCATGTAAAAAAATTAAATCAAGATAAATAATTTCCCAAATTCTTCCACCTATAACCTGTACAACACAATTGAAAAACAAACAACTGAGATCATGTGGTTGCATAAGTGTGCACACCCTTTAATAACTGGGGATGTGGCTGTGTTCAGATTTAACCACTTACATTCAAACTCAGGTTAAATTGGAGTCAGCACACACCTGCCACCAATTAAAGTGCCTCTGATCAACCCCAAATAAAGTTCAGCTGTTCTAGAAGCCTTTTCTGACATTTTTGTAGCCACATCTTCCAGCACAAGCCATGGTCAGCAGAGAGCTTCCAAAGCATCAGAGGGATCTTATTATTCAAAGATATCAGTCAGGTGAGGGCTACAAAAGAATTTCCAAGGAATTAAATATACCATGGAACACAGTAAAGACTGTCATCATCAAGTGGAGAAAATATGGCACAATGATGACATTACCAAGAACAGGACGTCCATCCAAAATTGATGATAAGACAAGAAGAAAACTTGTCAGGGAGGCTACCAAGAGGCCGACAGCAACACTGAAGGAACTGCAGGAATTTCTGGCAAGTACTGGCTGTGTAGTACATGTGACAACAATCTCCCGCTGTCCTCATATGTCTGGGCTATGGGGTAGGGTGGCAAGACAGAAGCCTTATCTTACAAAGGAAAACATCAAAGCCTGGCTTAATTTTGCAAAAAGACATCTGAAATCTCCCAAACACATGTTGGAAAATGTGTTATGGTCTGATGAAACCAAAGTTGAACTTTTTGGGCATCACTGCAAAAGGTATATTTGGTGCAAAATCAACACTGCTCATCACCAAAGGAACACCATACCTACAGTGAAGCATGGTCGTGGCAGCATCATGCTTCGGGGCTGTTTTTCTTCAGCTGGAGCTGGTCCCTTAGTCAGGGTGGAGGGAATTATGAACAGTTCCAAATACCAGTCAGTCTCGGCACAAAACCTTCGGCCTCCTGCTAGAAAGCTGAAAATAAAGAGGAACTTCATCTTTCAGCACAACAATGACTCAAAGCACACATCTAAATCAACAAAAAAATGGCTTCACTGGAATAAGATTGAGACTGGAATGGTCCAGCCAGAGCAAAGACCTGAATCCCATAGAACATTTGTGGGGTGATCTGAAGAGGGCTGTGCACAGGAGATGCCCTCGCAATCTGTCAGATTAAGAGTGGTTTTGCAAAGAAGAGTGGGCAAATATTGCCACATCAAGTCGTGCCACGCTAATAGACTCTAACCCAAAAAGACCGCGTGCTGTAATAAAAGCCAAAGGTGCTGCAAAAAAGTATTAGTTTAAGGGTGTGCATATTTATGCAACCAGGTTATTTTAACTTTTTTATTTTTTATTTTTCCCCTTAAAGATTTCAGTTTGTCTTTCAATTGCATTGTACAGGTTATAGGTCACATTAAAGGTGGAAAAAGTTGTGAAAATATTTATCTTACTGTCATTTTCCTGCATCACGAAAACCTGGCAGTTGAACAGGGGCGTGTAGACTTTTTATATCCACTGTAAATATCTATCTATCTATCTATCTATCTATCTATCTATCTGTCTGTCTGTCTGTCTGTCTGTCTGTCTGTCTGTCTGTCTGTCTGTCTGTCTGTCTGTCTGTCTGTCTGTCTGTCTGTCTGCGTGCGTGCGTGCGTGTGTGTGTTCTAGCAAGAGTTCTGGCCTTCATGTCACCTTTTACCTCAACAACTTGATAATGAAGCACAACTCAGAATGTGGTGAAAATATCACATTGCTCTTGGCTGTGTGTGTTTTTTTAGGCCTGTGTTCGTAAACGCCAGGGAGAGAGTGTGTACAACATCAACAACATTGTCATCCCCATGTCAGTAGCTAAAGTGGAAAAGCTGCAGTACAAAGACATCCTCACACCAAGGTAGGAAACAACACAGCCTCTGAAGGAGATGACCAGGATTCCTGAGGACCTGGCTGAGCATGTTGGTCTATGACAGGGTTCCTTGAAAATTAGTGGTCACTCTCAGACACGTACAATTTTCCATCCTTAGCCTTGAACAAATGCATCCTAATGTACTGATCACATCTCTATTTAAAGAAGTCTAGACTCTGGTTTCAGGTGCTCAGGAAGTCTGTCTTGTTTCACAGTTGGCGAGTGGTTAACAACTCATCTCTGATAAAAAGGGAGGAAGAAAAGGAAACAAGCGTTGAGGAGGTGCAGGTTTGGGGTGTATCCTCTCTTTAAAAATGAGCTGTATAATGTAGGAAAAAAGAAATGCCTTTTCATTTATGGGTGTATATTTCAGGAAGAGGATCTCACCGATGAAGTGTTTGTTCGGAGGCATTTGGCTTTAGAGCAGAGGGAGAAAAAGCGGTGGTCATCCTGGGGGAAGAGGAAATGCTTTCGACGTTATAACAGGTGGAAATACTAATGCAAACATGCTCACACGTGCAATAATCTAGTACTATCTGATCTGGATCTGGATCTGGATCTCGGTGGCATCAAAATGTTGGGTGATCTACAAATCTACAAAGTGATCTACAAATGCGAGGAGGATTTTCTGATTTGGCATTGTTCATAATTTTAAACGGAGACAACAAAACAACATTTAACTCACCTGCTCTGCAGTCGTGGCATTTGCTTCACTTCTGTGCATGTCAGTACAGCCTGTGTGAAAGGAGAATGTGGAGTAATTTTCTTGCATCATGTGGTTTGTTTGTTTTCTCACTCTAGATCTGGCAGCAGGCTGTCAAGCAGTGGGGGTGGGATGTGCACATCAGGAGAGGAGAGCTCTGTGGAGTGGAGTTGTGCTCAGCTGGATGCTGACGAACAGCAAAGCCCAGAGGAGTGGCTGGTAAGATCAAAAAGCACGTTGGTTGAAATCCCAAACCCCTGAAACAAAATCTGATAGAGGGAGAGTATGATGCTTCAGCTGCAAAAGGAGGGAACTTACCCTGGGGGTTACACAGCAGTTTTCCTTTGGCTGTGATGCAATAATGCAATCAAAAAGCAGTGTTTCCCAGAGTCTTCAGTTTGTTTCGCCAAATGTAAAATGTTTTACACACCAATAAAGAAACAATCTTAAAGTTAAAAACAGTGATACTATTTTGTGCAAAACATTGTACAAGGCTACAACTTCAGCTCCTTGTAGCATTCGGGGTGTTCTTTTAAACAATCATGAGTCCAGCGTAGTGCTGAATATCCTTTAATGCTAACTGCCTGTATTTGCATGGGAGTGAACTGAACTGTTGCTGAAAGGATATTTCCTGTAACTGTGCTGCTATATGGAGGCCCAAAACCGTGTGGCAGACTAATCAACACTCTTTCCCAGGCATGTTGTGTGAAGTATAAGGCTTAAATGTATCCCTAAGAGCCCACAGATACTTGTCTGCTCCAGCTAATGATGCTGTGATTACAGGGCTCCATGCCTCTCGGCTTTGATTGGAGAAGGATTGAGTTGCCTCTCAACCAGACTGCCCTAATCAACCTTCTCCACACCACAAATATCTTCCACTTCACTGTTTATATCTCTCTTGCACTCTGGCAACAGACCCCGATAATAGGGCAGCTTTTGATTTTTGTAAAACAGGAATAAGTGTTATGAACACTGATGGTACTGCCTACAAAGTCTAAAATTAAGAGTTTGGACATTTATTTCCAAGTTTTATTCTTACAGCTTCCATTTCTGAAACAGTTGAACACGTCACATTTTGTTTTTCTAAGAGTTGATACATTTAGTAGATGATGTACTCTGAAATGTGTCACCATGTCAAATGTAAAGGTTTCAGATGTTCAGTTAATTTAAATGTCCTCTGTCCTCCAGCAGCCTCAGATGCCTTGGGAGCCTCGAGTGTTCCCTTTGGGTGCTGGTGAGGAAGACGCACTGCTCCTTGGTAATCTGGAAAAAGTCCCATCAGGGTGGTCAGACTGTAGAGCTGTGTTTTCCACATCAAAAAATTTAATCTCCCAACTCCCATCAGCTCTGTCTTCAAGTGCTACACTGCCATCCAGTGGACAACGCAAGAACTGCACGCTCAGTGGCAGCTGAGAACAAACTTTGCTTCATTTTTAGCAGGTAAGCTGGAAACCTCCCTAAATGTCCTGCTCATTGGTAGACTCATATACTGCACTTGAAAAGCTGTTCCACTAGGTTGTATTTTCCCTTTGTTTTTAGTTTTCATTTCTTCATTTATTCAGCTGTTTTAAGAACACAGTCAACATTTCTTTGACAATGTAAGTCAGCAGATCAGTGATGAGGCATTATGAAAGAACAATTCATGCATTTATAGGAATATGTCTTCATTTTATACTGGAATTAATACAATTTAATGACCCCTGCACTTGATCATCTATTATAGAAGTCAAATATCAAATAATTTATGTATTGTTCAATGGACGTCTGCTTTTATCCTTATAAAACATACATTTACTGATTGACTGATGGAGGGTACCTCCAGTCAGTCTTTGGGTGTCCTTGCATGAGTCAGCATGAAGGTATGTTTTGATAAAAATAATACAGTAGATTTAATACATAACTTTTGTAACATTTGTTTTCCACTCTAGATCTGGAACCACGAGAAGACAATGAGTCCTTCTGAACCTATATTTGAATATACTTCACTGACTCATTAATCAGATGTTGTTTGCGTCACACTTGGACGCACAAATATGTATTTTCTAAGTATTGTGACTTGTCACCTCCTTTTCAGTGGCTACTGTAGCATTTGCTACACTCCAAAGCTGTACATTAACTAGAGGTACTGTAAGTCAACAACTATATACCGACACAACTCCACTGTAGTCTCAGGTTTGTACTGTTTTAAGTTAGCACATGCACTATTTATTTTTATTGTTGTCTTTAAAGGTCTTTATAGAAACACATGCACATATATTTATATACCCTTTCTTGGTTGATATGACCTTGTTTTAATATCTTACGTGTCTGACGCTGTCGTCTTTGTATGTATTTTGGACAAAGAACTGTGTTTATTAAAAGATTTATGGTAGTAAATTCTGTGTCAGATGTGATGCTTTGAAATTATGACTTGTTAGAAAAGGCGAGAGACAGAAACCTTGAGATTGTATTTGTGTATGATATATTCTGAAATGTCACATTAAGTTGAGCACCTTATCAGTCAGAAACTCTGACTGATAAACTCTCCCCCTCTTTATTCACCATCTTCATTGAGCCACTAGCTGCCGCTTTAAGGTGAAATAAGAACATAAAGGGAATTAAAAAAAACCCACAGCAGATCACGAAATCAGTCTGTATGCAAACAATGTACTATTGTACTTAAAAAAAATCCTCACACATCCCTCAAAGAAATCATCACTCTAATAAAAACCTTCTTGAAGATATCTGATTACTCCATAATCTGGTCCAAATCCACCATCCTTCCACTCAAAAACAACCACTGGGATGTGGTAGTAGTCCATACATCACCTATCCCCTTATGCACCACCCACATTACATACACCAGCAAAGGTGCTGTAAGGTAAACTAAAATGAGCCTTGTTGTTGCAGTTGTTGAAACTACAACCTCTCTCTCTATTTCCACCAGGGTTTTCCCATGACTCTGCTAACAATCCAAGATTATTGTAGACTCAAGTTGGCAAATTGGACCATCTTATTAAGAATAAGAATAAGAAGTACTATTAATCCCTGAAGGGAAACTCAATTGTCTGTTGTCTCACATAATATGTCTCTAAAAGTTATCTACTATTTACACAAGAGTTATAAAGCCTGATGGCTGTTGGTACAAAAGATCTTCTGAATCTTTCTGTCCTGCAGCGAAGAGAGAGGAGCCGTCCACCACCATTGACCCTTTGGTCCATCAAGGTGTTGTGAAGTGGGTGGTCCATGTTCTTTAGAATAGACTCCACCTTCCTCAGTGTAGATCTCTCCACCACATTCTCCACTGAGTCCAGCATGAGTCCAACCACAGAGCCAGCCTTTTTCACCAGTTTATTAAGATGCCTTGCATCTTTGTGTTTGATGCTTCCCCCCCAGCAGACTGCAGCGTAGAACAGAACACTTGCTACCACAGACTGATTAAACATCTGCAGCATCTTACTACAGATGTCTATTGATCGAAGTCTTCTCAGGCAAAAGAGGCGGCTCTGCCCCTTTCTGCAGATGTAGTCTATATTCTTAGACCAATCCAACCTTTTATCCAGATGTACACCTAGGCAGAGCAGTGGATTAAACATTTTGTCATGTTTATTTTAACATGTTTATTTAAACATGTTTATCCACTGCTCTGCACCTAGGTATTTATATGATCTCACCACTTCGATGTCCACTCCACAGGTGTTCACTGGCTGGTTTGGATCTACGGAAGTCTATGACCATCTCCTTTGTCTTTGAGGTGTTGAGGAGGCAGTTTTTGTGACTCTAGTCACTGAAGGCTCTTATCAGATCTCTGTATTCTGCTTCTCTTCTCTCTTCTCTTCATAGTAACTTCTTTGCTGTCTCTCTGGAGAAACGCCATGATACAGTGTCACAGTCAGTATTTATTTTACAGTAGCTGTTGGCCAAACAGCCATGAGCACAACTGAATCACCAACCCAGACCCTACTGAGGCTTAAAAGTGCACTTTATGCATGCTGAAAGATCGCGTTTTTTTTCTTTTCTTTGAGCTGTCAATGTGACTCGAAGTGGTTTTATTGAATACATTACCAAACCATGGAAAGGACTGAAAAGTACTGAAGGCTAGTAGTTTCTTAAACAAAGTTTCCTCCTTGTTTTTAAGACTTAAAATCTGATAATGATCTTAATCTACACTTCAACTGAGGAGGCTTTTGTGGGAATTCCTGACATTATAAGGACCAGAGCTGTAGGAATAAAAAGCAATTGCTAATTTTGTACAGATATTCAGTAAAGTGTACATCAAGTATTTTTATGCTTTCTTCTACCATCATTTCACAAGAAGCAGGATAAGTCCCTCTGCTCCACATTGTGGTGATTATACTGATATCGTTACCGTGATGTAAGGCAGACCAAGAGAAGTTCATCAATATCTTCTGCTCTTGTCACAAGCTGTGATATGATGGCCGGATTAATTGTGGTGCTAGTGCAAAAAGGATCTAAAGCTTAATTTAGCCCGGGAAAATAGTTTCCAAAGTACAGTGCATCCAGAAAGTATTCAAACCACTTCACTTTTTCCACATTTTGTTATGTTACAGCCTTATTCCAAAATGGATTAAATTCATTTTTCCCTCAAAAATTCTACACGAAATACCCCATAATGACAAAGCAAAAAACTTTTTTTAGAACATTTTGCAAATGTATTAAAAATAAGACACTCAAATGTTGCATATACACAAGTATTCACACACATTGCTATAAAACTCAAAATTGAGCTCAGTTGCATCCTGTTTCCACTGATCGGCCTTGAAATGGTCCTCCAACTTGATTGCAGTCCACCTGTGGCAAATTCAGCTGATTGGACATGATTTGGAAAGCCACACTTGTCTATATAAGATCCCACAGCTGACAGAGCATGTCAGAGCACAAACCAAGCCATGAAGTCGAAAGAATTGTCTGTAGACCTCCGAAACAGGGTTGTATCGGCGCACAGATCTGGGGAAGGTTACAGAAAAATGGCTGCTGCATTGAAGATCCCAAAAAGCACAGTAGTCTCCATCATTAGGAAATGGAAGACGTTTGGAACCACCGGGACTCTTCCTAGAGCTGGCCGCCCAGCCAAAATGAGCAAGCGGGGGAGAAGGGCCTTGGTCAGGGAGGTGACCAAGAACCCGATGGTCACTCTGACAGAGCTCCAGCGTTCCTCTGAGGAGATGGGAGAAATCTACAGAAGGACCACCATCTCTGCAGCACTCCACCAGTCAGGCATTTATGGTAGAGTGGCCAGACAGAAGCCACTCCTCAGTAAAAAGCACATGACAGCCCGCTTGGACTTTGCTAGAAGGCACCTGAAGAACTCACAGACCAGGAGAAACAAAATTCTCTGGTCTGATGAAATGAAGATCGAACTCTTTGGCCTGAATGCCAAGCGGCATGCCTGGAGGAAACCAGGCACCGCTCACCACCTCGCCAATACCATCCCTACAGTGAAGCATGGCGGTGGCAGCATCATGCTGTGGGGATGTTTTTCAATGGCAGGAACTGGGAGACTTGTCAGGATCAAGGGAAAAATGAATGCAGCTAAGTACATCGAAATCCTTGATGAAAACCTGCTCCAGAACGCTCGAGACCTTTGACTGGGGCGACGCTTCATCTTCCAGCATGACAATGACCCTAAGCACACGGCCAAGAAGACAAAGGAGTTAGCCTGGCTGGGCCATCCAGTTGCGTGAATCACTTGCTGTTCCTTTCCACAACAGTCTGGACTTCGGCCAATTGGGACCGTGTATTAGAAATCAGAAAATAACCGGGCCAATCAGTGACTGTGTTGCCACTGTTCGCCGGACAACAGGGAAAGGCAGCCCCTGATTGGTCCATGTGTAGATGGTGACGTATAACACATGCTGCGGGACTTTTCAAAGTGCTGTTCATTCAGAACGCCGTAAATTCTGCAGTTGACTTTGCAAAGTCGTAAAAGACATTGTTTGCTCGCACATGTTGAAATATTACCAAACCTTTACTTGATGCTTGAGAGCCCAGCAGGGAACACAGTTGCGCACCATGATGACGTCAGATGTTTGGTTACAGTGATTGGTTACAGTAGTCTGTCTATCAAGTAAAATTCTCCCGCCCACTTTTAGGGCTCCCAATTGGCCGAAGTCCAGACTGTTGTGGGAAGGAACCGTAAGTGATTCATGCAACTGGATGGCCCAGCCAGGCTACAAAGGAGTGGCTTCAGGACAAGTCTCTGAATGTCCTTGAGTGGCCCAGCCAGAGCCCAGACTTGAACCCAATTAAACATCTTTGAAAAGACCTGAAAGTAGCAGTGCACCGACGCTGCCCATCCAACCTCACTGAGCTTGAGAGGATGTGCAAGGAAGAATGGGAAAAACTTTCCAAATTCAGGTGTGCCAAGCTTGTTGCATCATACACAAGAAAAGTGGAGGCTGTAATCACTGCCAAAGGTGCTTCGACCAAGTATTGAGTAAAGGGAGTGAATACTTATGTATATGCAACATTTGAGTGTTCTTATTTTTAATAAATTTGGAAAATGTTCTAAAAAAAAGTTTTTCGCTCTGTCATTATGGGATATTTTGTGTAGAATTTTTTGGGGAAAGGGGAATTTAGTCCATTTTGGAATAAGGCTGTAACATAACAAAATGTGGAAAAAGTGAAGTAGTTTGAATACTTTCCGGATGCACTGTAGCTCTCTATCAGTGGAGGGTATTTTGAGCATTTACAAAGAGATAATTGTGGAATGCTTAGAGATAAGTACTTGTGTAACAGTGGGCGACATAATGAAATGGGCAAAATTTTGTGTGGGCAGTAGAAGCAAACAGCTCTCAGGTATGGATACCTCAACACTGGCTTTGTGCAATGCCAAATATGGCAGTCTGATCTGATGCCGTGGTTAAATGGTCAAGCTTACCTCTGAAAGGGATCAAGCACATTTCGAATGTGCTAGATAACATCAAATTTGACTTCAATATTGCTTTCTTGACCTGGAAAAGTTACCCTGTGAAGTGCTGGTAGATTGAATGGTACTCATGTCATACACGTAAAATTATATTAAATTTGACAGAAACAGCAGCACAACAGAATGCCTTGATCTGGCCAAAGGCATCACACATAGAGATTATGGTGAATCCTGCAGTTGCGCAGTTGCGGCACCCAAAGGTGGATAAACACAGCATTTTGGCATGTCTGGCATTTTGTTGCCTCATGGGACATTACAGGTCTTTTTTTCTGAATTGGTGGTTAAGTGTGATGAAGATGCTGCACTGAAGTGAGAGGAGGCTGCCCACTTGTGTTGACTGGATGATTTAGCTTCTCATCCCTGATGCTTTGTGATTCAGGATCAGGTGTGATGCACTGCAGCTGTGTTGTGAGTGGGAGGAGAGGGTGACCCCCATGCTGTAAAAAATAAAAAAAATAAAAAAATAAAATAAAGAGTACTTTCATATATTTTTATTTTACAGTGTTTTCAACTGTTCTTTTCTCCCCACCTGTGTTTTTTTCTTTTGGGGTTTGAGGGCACAAGATGAACTTGAATATATAAATTCCTTAAATAGACACTAATGTCCTGGTGTCCTGGCAGGCTGGGGCTGCCCTTCAACACATGCAGAAAAATTTGGATATCTATGAGGTGCAAGCTGCATGAGCTGCTTAGGTATGATTTATTGGAGACTTAAAAATGTTTGGTAACAATCTATAAAAAGGGTTAGTACTTGATCTTCTATAAATCATTAAGCCATCAGGTGCCTAAATGTACAGTAGCCTAAATGTAGCTACAATTGAATAAGAGGGCCTTACAAGCATTTTCCATGGGGTGGCAGTGAGGAGCTGTATGCAGAAAGATGGTCATAGAGAAAGTAAAGCATTTTGAAAAATCTGCAGATGGAGGAGTGACTTTAAAACACTCAGACATGATTGGTAGACTGGTGACTGCCTGTCTCTACAGACAGGTTTTTCACCTGGACAATGAATAAAACGCTTTGGAAAGGTGTGTTGAAATATAGTATGTCGTTTAAAAAGTGTGCACAGTTGTTCTTAACCAAACTGATCGTAATAAACCAGCCTTGATGTACACATACACCGCAATGAATTGGAAAAAAATCTCCATATTTATATGATATAACAAAACTATATTATATTATTATTTTTTTATTAAAAAAAAAAAAAAACTATTGAAAAAGGTCCAAACGGACAGCTTGCATCAAAATCTTTGTCTTTTACCAAGACTATTAGTGTCAGCTGCTGTTACATGTCACATCAGTAACAAATTACGTAGAAAGTGTTCACTTATAATCATACACTACATCAATACATCACTGAGAATAGCACACTGCATCCATCCCTTTATTATTTTCATGAATGACTGAGGTTTGCATTTTTTTTTTTTCAGTTGAAAAAACGCTTGGAAAAAAGACTTTGGACCGACATAGACCTATAGACCTAAGGCGCCGTAAATCCTCTGTTACCCAATTTCACAGGCTAACAGAACAAAACAAAACAAAACAAAACAAATAAACCTTTTAAATTCATACAGTTTTCGGTGGTATCATTAATAAATGTTACTTTGGTCTTTTAAGGGTTTTATTTTCATTTAACTTTGGTCTCACCTGGTTTATTCTTAACTTAGGAACAAAAAGGGCTGCTCTAACTAACTCGTTATCTCAGGAAAAATGGACGTCATTTTCATTTTTATAAAGAAAGGAAACAATCTTAACGGTACAGAAAAACTGGGACAGAGGTATCTTTTAATTCTGACTTGAATATTTTATTGTCTTCACAAAACGGTGCATTTTTACAGGTGTTTCTTTGATAATCCTGAGATGTTTTCTCAAACACTGTACACTTTTTGCTTCGTGGTTGCTCGGCAACTGCACAGACGCTTTTTTCACTTCCGGAAGTGCGTGGCTGAGAAGGAACATGGCGCACAGAGCAGGACATATACCGATAGTATTCATTACTTCAAATTATTGCTTTACTGGTCTTCTTTTGCAAATTTTAATATCCTTTGTTGCATTTACCACAGTTGTTGCTGACGGTGCTTTCAGTGCCAGTCACACAGCTACTGTTCCCATCGCGGCTGCCAGAGATCTGCGGTAAGTTTACAGATGTGTGAAGTTCCTGTTAGCTAGCTGCTCTGTATGCTAACGTTAGAGTGGTTACTATGATTCATTTTTTCACCTGGAAAGGCTGAGATATCACTAACAGTCCCAGGGCGAGTTGCTGTTATTTGAAGCGGTTTATTTGTTTTTTCTTAATTATTCTCTCGTATTAACCGGACAAGTCTTACAGTAATTACAAGGCAGAGGTAACGTCGCCAAACTCCATTTAAATAGCGTCCCATTTCAGAAGGTCTTGTGTCCTGGAACCACTCAGCCTTCTTTTGGTCTATCATTCACTGGTATTTGCCAAATACTGGTTTTGATGAGAACACCGGTGTATGAATACTTTTATAAATAGCACTCTATGATAGCTTTTGCTGTGCCCTTTCTCCGTCCTGTAAGCATTTTAAATTGCAGACAGGAGCATGATAATCTGAGATTACTCATGTCATTTCAGGATCGTTTTGTCTGTCTGTCTGTCTGCCAGAAATCAGCTCCTCTAAACAGCCCTGCAGTTTAAATACGAAGTAGTGAGCTGATTAGAGCAGTCAGTCCAAGGACTTGATGTTCATTTTGAGAATAAATGCCTTAGCTGAGCCAGTGTGCTTTATTTATTTTTTTAACACATATTTTTCAAAAAACGTGAACAAACAGTTATACAACTTTTCAAAAGGATGCACTAATACATCCACAGAGTATTGGCGAAGGTAATCATCGTTTTTATTGATAAATATCTACAAAAAAAAAATGTCATTCATCAATTGAAAAAGCTAGTATAAGTGTCTGTAGAATTAAACTGGCCAAGTAAATGATGGCAAGCTACTGAGCCCTGAGTTTCAGCCAACCATGAGGTTTTGCTTTTGTGAACAATCCAGAAATGTAAAAACACACAAGAACTGAATGGTAGCCCTATTTTTGTTTGTTTTAAATAATTTCTCATATACGGACATTCATTTTTCATTTATTGCTTTTCTGAAGAAATGTTCATATAATTGTTGCATAACAGTATTTGTGTTTATATTTTTTGTTGTCAGGCTGTGTGAGTACCAATAAATGCAAATGCATAGATCTAGGATGCTTATAGCTGGATGAGATCAATTTAATGTATTTCTAAAGACAGCCTCCTTCACTGTCTCTTTTTCCTGTTTCTACTTACTCAGATATCTTCTGTATGATGTGAACCCACCTGAGGGTTTCAACCTGCGGAGAGATGTCTACATCCGTATGGCCTCTCTAGTGAAGACTCTGAGAAAGGAAGGGGGTGACTGGGTGTTGGTGCTTCCTCCATGGGGTCGCCTGTACCATTGGCAGAGCCCCAACATTCACCAGATGCGGATCCCCTGGGGGGAATTCTTCAGCCTCATGAGCCTGCAAGCAAATGTCCCTGTCATTGAGTATGAGGAGTTTATTGCAGGTTAGCTTTACATTTGAAATACTTAAATGATATGAAAGGGGACAAAAGTTTGTCTTGCATTTTAACATGTGCAGCTTTGCCGTGGATATATTATAAACCCAGTGAATCAGCTTTGTGTCTGTTCTCCTTTTTGTTGTAGAGAATGGAGGGCCATTCATAGACCAGGTTCTGGTTTTGCAAAACTACGCTGAGGGATGGACTGATGGGAAATGGGAAGAAAAAGTTGATGAGAGGCCTTGCATTGAGAAATTGATGTATTCCAGAGATAAACAGGGCTACTACAGGTAATTCAACAAAGCATAATGCACATAAATCTATTAACAATGTAAAGAATAAAAAGATTAGCTATTTAGAGGCGGTTTTACCCAGTGATGGGAAGTAGCAGTGCTACGAATAGTGGTGTTTCTAGTTTGAATATCTTTTTGTAGATAAGTGGTGGCTTTGCTGCTTTCTGAATCGAATAGCTTTTCAGCGGTTTAGTTGTTGCATTGATTTTTTTTAGAGTGGGAGGGTCTTTACAAGTTAGACTCATAAGTGGATGTAGTGGACTGTCCACTTCTTTATGACTGTGACATTACTGTCCAACCCTTCAATACAAGCAAGTGTGTGGAGACATAAGCTAATATCCACCCAATTCAACTAACAGAGGGGGCAAACATGATAAGATAAGAACTTTATTAATCCCCAAAGGGACATTCAATGCAGGTGAATCCCTACAAGCTAGTACATAAGAAGCCTCTAATAAGCTAACAATCATATGGCCTGCAAACACTACCAACTCGTCAACAGCTAACTAGGAAGGTAGAGTGCACAGTAGGTTGCATTACAATACAAACAAAAAACAAAACTTAGATTTGAGCTTTAGATTATGACTTAAAGTTAAAGTCATAGAACAAGTTGGCCCACCTCTTAATTTTCAATCGACATTACAGTACTTTGTAAAGCATGTATCATTTTTTCTGGTTGAAAACAAGAGAAGGTTCTTAAAAAAAGTTGCACACAAATATTTTCTTGGCTGTCTCAGGAAGATTTCAGTCATGGAGTGTCTAATATAATGAGCCAAATATGTTTAGGACCATTTAACAAGATGTTCAGACTACATTATAGTAAGGTAGTGAAGTGAAATTTATGTCACAACACTTTCTTTCTTTCTTTCCACTTTCTTTTCATTGCCCCTGCATGTAAGAGTAGAATCAAAGAAGTTGTTTTATAATTGAAAACTGTAGACTGTAGTGTTGAAAAATCAGACCTACTTTAAAAGGAGACTGGGTCCTTTCACAGTATTTGTGTTTTAATGATGTCTGTCTCTACCTTTCTGCTCTCATATATCACCTCATCTTTATTTGTGTGTTCCTCAGGGGCTGGTTTTGGGGCTTTGAGGAGACAAGAGCCAGAAATGTAACCTGTGTATCAGCCCAAGGCCATGCCTCAATCATGGCACCTGTTCTTCAGAAAAACATCACAGTGACGTGAGTCTACAGAGCTACTCACATGAAATAAGCTGAGGGATATATGATGGAGCACTATTGACTTTTAAAATGTGTTTGTTGCAGATAATATGGTTTTGAGATCATGATCAAACTTTTATTGAGCTTGATTCTTCCTGTTCTCAAGTTTCTTGCCTTGGAGAAACCTAGACTCAGCATGAAAAAGATCCAAATGCTCTATCTAACATTCACTATCTCAAAATCAGGCCTAAACAGTTTACTCAGACCTGCAGTTTTGAATACGCAAGGTTGTGCTGGTTTGAGATCTCACAGTAATGGTGCAACTCTTAGTCCAGTCCAGTCCAGTCCAGTCCAGTCACAGCAGTTCTGTTCAAAACAAACCATCTGTAGGCAGCACCTGGACCAGAACCTAATTACAAACACTCTTCATTGAACATCAAACTTATTTTTAGCCAATGCTCCTTCACCTTTGCACACGAGTTAAGAAAGCAACATTTCTTACCCTTAAATTGACATTACTTAACTGTTATGAAGAGTTTAACGACTCAGAAAAGGGGACTTCTCAAAGAGTTTTTTTTTTAAATTCATGAATGTTGGTTCTGTCTGTAAAAAGATCTCAACGGAGGAAATTTTACAAACTGATACAGAAGTGAGTATGCTGTTATAATCCGGTACTGCTGTGTTCGAGTCTGGAGGTTGTGTTCATTTGAGGTGCCTGAAAAGTCATGAGGATGACTTATAATACTCATGATATAAACCGTTTTGTCTAACAGTTAATGTATTATGTGCTGTATTTCCAGCTGTCTGATGTGGGGCAAGGACTGCAAATTAGCCATGGTTAGAAGTCCTGTATACGGCATCAGTTGCTCTTAATTAGATGTAACAATGCATCCATGTATTGTCCCAGATAAATAATATGTAACCAGTACAGGATTGATCATTAGTTGGAAATAAAAAAAAAATGTGAACAGCAAAATTTTAGGGCGTTCCTCCCATGGAATAAACTTAGATATAATAATTGATAACACTTCACTTGAGCCCACCTCTTATATGCATCATCAGCCCATTTACAAAGTCCCACAAATGCATCTGTTAGGCTTTATAACTACCCCTATGAGTGATAATAAGTATACATAACAACTTATATCAGTGTTGATGAAGTGTTATAAGCATAATGCCTTATACATATATGGTTTATAATGCCTCACATCGTAATGCAAAAGAAAAAAATACTATATATAATAATAAAAATGAATTCTAGTTGTGAAGTATTTTTGTCTGACACTTTACTTTGCAGTACTATGTCTTTACTTTCAAAGACACTGTACAATGCCAAGAGAAAACAATACAGACACTTATCAATGAACATATGTAAATATATATTTTTTTGATAATACACAGAAAGAGTTTTTTTTTTAACCTTTATAATCAGGTAAGGCTGTGAGAGTTAACCTGTGTTGTTAAACCCTGAATTCAAAAGATGCTCTATTTTCTTTTGCATGAAGGTGTAATACATTGTAAACCATATCTTAACCAGGCATTATGTTTGCTTATAACACCTGATCAAAATTTCAATAAGCTGTTATAATTGCTTATAATCACTTTATATATGTGCAAATATAATGCATCATAAGAGGTGTGTTAATATAACATGTCATTCATTCATAGTCTATGCTTGATTTAGTATAGTTAATTAGCTAATATAGCTAATACTGCTGAAAGCGTTGAAATAATGATTGGACATTTACTAATACAATGTTATTCAGTCACTTGGTTGAATGATAGGTTTAACTCTAAAATAAGCTGTTGTCTAGCTGTAACTAGTGGATTATGAAACTGGTTCACAGTCTTTTAAAGTTCCTTCAGCTTTCCACCATTTCTTGATTAGTTAATTGTTCCAAGATTTAGAGGCAGTTGAATAATAAAAGGTTCCAGGATTCCTCTAACTCTGTATAAAACTATGTTTGATCTTCACCATCAGCTTGTTGTCAGAGGAAAATGGCCAATAGAGAATTCTGGCCTCAGAAGTTGCTTATCACATTTTTAAAAATGACAAAGGCATTTGTAAAAAAGCAGTAGAAAGTAGAAAAGGGCTCGGTCTTTAAATTCTTAATCCCCCAGCTGAATAACAAGAAGCTGTAACCAATTTTGCTGGCTTATCCAAAGCTGTATGGATGATGTCTGACCATAGCCGATGTAGTTGTACACAAACACACACCAATGGTAAAACAAACAGAAAATATACCCATCGGTCTAGACTGGCCCTGTTCTCCCATCAGATGACATGTGAGTAGTAGACTACGTGACTTAAAGAAATACCCTGAGGCACTGTCATGACACATGATCAATCACATGGATTTGAAAGTGCCAGCTAGCCAAAGTGTTCTGCACAAATCCTCCAGACTTAAGTGGAGTCTTTGATTCTTCCTTCATAAATACCTGATATATGATCCCTCTAACTTATAGCTCAAGGGTGATATCACTTGCCACGTGTTTTCTTATATGCCAGGCACACCTACAGGGATTAATTTGTTTGTACAACTGATATTTTGCAGATCTGTGATGCTTGACAGAGCAGAAACACTCCTTCATGATCACTATGCTGGGAAGGATTACTGGGATGTAAGTTAAATAATGGGCGGATATATTGCACCTGTTTCTGCAATACTGGTTTGTGGAATTTGCTAGTAGTCAATGAAACACAGCTTTTCATGAAAAAGGTAATCTCTTATAGTGATATAGCATAAATCTGTGACTTACCCCCTTCTGTGGGATCTCTGTAATTGTCTGTGTTTGATGTAGACTCGCCGCAGTATGGTTTTTGCCAAGCACCTGCGACTCATAGGGGACGACTTCAGAGCAAAGTACCTGAACTCTACAGACAGCACAGACAACACAGTTTACAGCGAGGACTGGACTCGCATGAGAGTGAGTCAGTGTGTGTGGGTGTGACATGAGGATGTGTGTTCAAAAGGGATTTTGAAAGGTGCTAAATGTTATGTGAGTGGATTAGCTGTTACCATTTTTATTTACATTGTTTACATTACATTGGTTCAACATTGATTTATGTTCCAGTCCAGACATAACATTACTAGTTATTTTTCTGAATGTGTAAATTGACTCTTCACAATGAAAAGATTACCTTAAAAAGGGTGATTATACCACCCACATCTCTTTTTTTGAATTTTTATAAATATGGTATTTGGTCACACAATCCTGAACGACTGTTATCTCAGCCTTCTGGTTACGGAGTTTTACATTATACAAACGGATAGGACTCACAGGTTTGTTGTGCCTTGATTTATTCCTTAGGCCAAACTGGGCTCAGCTAAAGGTGGTCCCTATCTGGGGGTTCACTTACGTAGGAAGGACTTTATCTGGGGGCACAGAGAAGATGTACCCAGCCTTAAGGGGGCAGTCAAAAAAATGCACAGCTTAATGAAGAAGCACAAACTGGAATCTGTGTTTGTTGCAACAGACGCAGATGGAGAAGGTAGGCACACAGCAGTCAAGTTATTTTGTTTCGTAACTGATTGTTCATTACACACATCATATAGTGATCCTTGCTTTGAATGTTGAAAGTATTTTATGAGTTATTTTGAGGCTAACGTTATTCTGTTGTAGACTTGAAGGAGCTGAAAAGGTTGTTGCCTGAAATGGTGCGGTTTGAGCCGTCAGCAGAGGATCTGGAGCTCCTGAAAGATGGAGGAGTGGCCATCATTGACCAGTGGATATGTGCACATGCAAGGTAAATTACTCCTCATGATGTTGCATCAGGTATTCAGTCCATGGCTATTTGTTCAGTCTGCCAAACACCTCACAGACAATGAGATGGCACTTTTTAAAACTCTGCTCTGCTTCATGAGAGACACAAATCAAACACTTTTTTCCAAACATTAATGGCCAACACTTTTCACCTGAGAGTGTTTCTCTAGCATTTCCTCAGGCCCAAATAATTTTTTTCCTCCTTTAAATGACAATAACTAGCAAAAAAATACATATTTATTTTAAAGACTCTGTATAATGTGTGCACCTCTTGATGCTTCCAGAACAACATTTTTTGCACATTCATTCACAAGCTCCTTAGCCCTGTGAATATTCATTCTTGTATTTACTGTTGCTTGTATAACGAATCTACTTATGAGACGGACTGAAATGAACAGAGATGCCTCCTTGTCATACAAAATCATAAGAGACCATCACCAAGGGAGGAGATTGATTAACTCTGTATAGCTATTCCTGACGCCTGTGATCACAAGCTGTCAAACAAAGCTACTAACCAAGGTTGTTGAGTGAGTTTATATTTTGACAGAAAAAAAGTGAAAAGACTACTTAGAGAAGTAACAAGCAAGATCAAGAAAACAAAAATAGGAATGCCTGTTTTGTGCAGAGGAGTGTCAAAATCAACAAAAAGGGAAATTCCTAAGAGTCTTGGAGTTTCTTTACAGTAGGAGCCTTTCTGTTTATGTGCTTTGGCTTGGCATTGAACTGATTCAGGGTCTACTCTAATACTGAACCACTGTGTTAACTACTGTAAGCATAATACATCCATTTTACTTCATTAATTGAAGCTGCAAACTCTAAGTGCTGTATTGGTTTGGGCCACTGTGTTTGAACAGATTGATTGCATGACTTTAAGCACCAAGTGATTGCTAAATGTAAAAACAGGTTGTTCAATAATAATTCAGTGCAGGTTGATCTGTTTCACCCTTTGGCAAACTTGGAAACAGATTTTGAACTTTGAATCACTCAAATATTTTAAGCGCTTTGTTATTATACCTACCCATGGAAAGTATTTCTACTTGAATAACTGGTCCGGGTGCCTGTACATGCTGTTCCCATGTCGTTTCACTAAGGCAGAGGTATCTTCTGCGTGACTGTCTTCTTTCTTTTGTTTTTACTTCTTCATGTCTCCTTATTTTGTAGACATTTTATTGGGACGTCAGTCTCCACCTTCTCTTTCCGGATCCATGAAGAGAGGGAGATCTTGGGTTTTGACCCCAAAACTACATACAATCGTTTCTGTGGGGACACTGAGAAAGAATGCGAGCAGCCCACACACTGGAAAATTGTTTACTGATGTGACTTCAGACTCACATGACACACAAGTGCCAATAGCAGTGTTGAAAGGGACAGTTATTGGAAATTTACAAGATATCTTTACAACGTTATGGTGTATTTTTTCCTTTTTTTTTTCGTTGGTTGAAGAATTGTGCAATCAGGTCTGTGGTGACCACTGTGACTGAACCTTTTGAGTGAAATGCCAAGACTGTGCTGCCAAACGTTTATTACTGTGACGTTCAACCATGAATCTGCAAATATTTTGTGGGTTGTGTGTTGACTATGAACCTGTCATGTCTGCCTGTTACATGTTTCTAATGACTGAAATGGATTGTGTGGTCTGAGTGTTTTAAGTTTTATATTTGAACGAGATTCAAAGCTGTTAAACCTCTCCCTTTCTTTATGAAATATTCATATTTTTACAAGAAAAACACAGAAGTAACCCTCAGATATCATAAGCACAACATGAAGGCAATGCAATTTTAATTCAAGAAAGACTCTTTTATGATATCTTCACATCAAGTATTTAAAACAGAAAGTTTCTTCTTTATTTAACAAACATTTTGATCTCTTTTATTCTGCCGTCTTCAAGGTTTTCCAAAACTCTGCTTCAAGTATTCGGAGCTCTTCTAAGTTTTTGTTTACTTTGAGTTTGTTGCCTTGATTCAACTTGCTGCCTTCTGTTTGCACATCACTTCATATTTAAGTGTGATATTATCACCACTTGTAAATCAAAAAGTAGGCAAATGCATCCTTAATTTTTGCACAAGATCCAAAACAACAGGGGTTCTCTCATAAAAGCACTGCTCTGTACTCCACAGGATATCTTTGAAACAGGATCCAGAAGTTTCCTGTTTTATAATTGGTTACAAAGAATTGCCACCCATTTTTCACCCATCATATTCCTGTTTTGATGTCAAATAATCTTTCTTCCTCTCTTGTATGATATTTATATACAGTGCCAGTATTATTAATCATTAGTTCACAGGGTTATATGTTTCAGTGTCACTGATGTTCAAAAGTATTTTTTTTCTGTACCCTTAATTTCAAACATCAGAAAATGCAGTTTATAAGACATATGCTCTTTGGTGTATTTGAAAGTGATACTTCCATTTTCAAGGTTTGAAATACCACAAATGGGACCACTGTGCAAGCAAGACATGCAATTGTTATTTCACTAGCCTTTTCTTTTCATTCCTGAGGATGCATACATTTTGAGATTATACCGGCATTGTCTCATGACTTGATTTGGACTTCAGATGTGTACTTTTGATGTTGAATAAAGGTTTTATTAGTTTGAACATTTCAGGAAATATTGATGTAGAAATGGAAAACAACTTTGTCTATTTTCTCTAACCTTTATTTCTACAATAGTTTGGACTTTGGGTGTATTTCTTGGTGTTCGAGTCATAATGTGGAACACTTTAGAGCTATGTAGTAAATAAAAATCCTGCTGGATTACTGATTATCTTCAGCTACCTCATACTGCTTTTCCCAACAGAGAGAAACTGCTTGGACTGCCTCATGAGAATTTTTCTATGATATTTACAGCACAACATTTCTAAAGGCTTATTTTACCTCTCATATAAACCCAACCCTGAGGTCCTATAATGGTTCATAGAGCATTGTTTTGCCTTTTTAAGAGTGTGATTACAGAGTGTACTGGTGGATATAGTACTTAAAACACCTGACGGATACTGCTGTCATGAAATATCCTGACTCGGGTTTCATGTTGGTGAAAGATCATACTTGAACAGGAAATGTATGACTATGATCAGACATTCAGACTGATCACTATCAGTCACTTTGTTCAAAGTGTTGAGATGAGCGACTGAAAGGTATTTTCTCTTAGTTACAGCTTTAATACTCTGTCTGGCAGCTGAAAATCACACATCTGCAGGATGCATAAGGTTTTTTCTCAGTTTATTAAGATCTTTCTTAAAGCATTACACTTAAACTTCACTGAAACTTCTGCCCCTATGGCATGCATTTCTGTTGTGTTTATCCTTGTTGCATTGCCATAACAATGGAAGCTCCTAGTAAATCTCCTGACTCCCCCCCTGTGGATCCCTCATATAATGTAAGTGGGACTTTTCCCTTTGGAGACCATTATCTCACGGACAACACCTTTTCGACTCTGGTAATTGGTAGAGTCATATGATGCTTGGGGTTGCCTTGTTGTACTTGTATTAATGCTGTGTCATCTAGGAAAAAACGAGGTGTTTTGATGCCTTTTAACATAGACCTAATCTCAATATAACTCTCACTGACATATGTTATATCTGGAATGATGAAGGGTAAAAGTATTGCCAAAGCAGCATGAACTTCTAAGGTATAAACATGACAGTAAAATAGGGGCATAGACACTTCCAAATAAAGTGAAATTTGACCAGCATGGATTAAATGTCCAGTTGTCTACAGACAACAGACAGTAGCGTGATTTTCAATCGCTTCTACAAGTTATGTCACTGTTTTTATTTATTGTAAAAACTAAGTCACAACAGCCTAGTATTAACTATCATTTCTAATTGCTGAAACGTACGTAGGTTACTCCTCTGCCTCTCCTCTGCTGTGAGCGCCCAGCACACAGCAGTAGCAGCAGCAGCAGGAGGCTCCACGCCCCTCGCGTTTACCTGCCCACATGCAGGTGGAGCCGTTCACAAGGGACAAGGACCGGAGAGACGGAGCTTCAACCAACACTTGATCAATACAGCGCCGCTTGAGAGAGAGGATTGATCATTTCTGTTTCAGAGCGTGACTTTTTTTTCTGTTTTATTTCACTATCCGACTGATGGAAAAGACATCCTGCTAGGGTCCACCTAGCGCCATGTCCTTGTCAAGGAGCGCACGAACTACTGTCAGATAACCAACCCCTGGACCTTTACGGAGGACTGAAAAAGAGAGGTGGGTCACTTTTTAGACCGTGATATGCTGCTTTAAAAGGCACTATAAAGAGGAAAGACGTAGAGAAAGAAGTTTCGGATGAATCCAGCTGCCAGGTTGATTAAACAGAATTTAATGGATGCCATTTCAGTTTCAATTCAGTGAACTTTGACATTTTTGTGCATGTTGGCTAAAACGTATATAGCTACTATAAAATTACAATAACACCATTCTGAGTCTCTGGTATTGATGGATTAATATTACACATGTTGGAAAAATTCAGTGAAAGTTCAAACATTTGAAGCTGTTTTTAATAACATACAACTGTGCGAGTCATGCAACTGATTGGAGCTGGAGGATCTTGAAGGGTGTTTAGTGGCCCCTCTGCGATCTGATTGGCTACTCCCTGGTGCCACATTAAAGGATGATTTTTAACTTACGTAAGATGACATATATGCTGCTGCTTTGTTGCTTTGTACAGAATGCTTCTTTGTGATACTTCCATGTTTATTGTTAACAGTTGTAGTAGTGCAGTTCAGAGACTCTTGGCCACTGGAAGGCCCTGTCAATACAGTATGGGATGATTATTGCTAAGAAATTTTTTCTTAAAGTCTGGAACAAAGATATTTATACAGTATATTACAGTGAAGAGAGGACCCTCACATCACCTCAATGTCCTGATTATGTTTGAATATTTAGCTAATTGTTCATTATTGTTTTAAGTATGATTCTATTACAGTCATGGATGGCCATGGAAACTTTCGTTATAGAGTACAGCTTTCACCCTTTTTCCCCCAACCTACTTTGGGGGAGGGATTTAGGAAAGAAGGGGAATAAAGTATTTAGCAAAAATGTAGTTCAGTCTTCATGCCTTGAATAAATCAGTGCCACGGGTTAGCCACCCTAGTCCATAAATGATGGTTCTGCCTCAAGACTGAAAACCTCTCCAGCTGGGCCCTGACTACTCTACACACAATCTTAAAAAAACAAACAAACAAACAAACAAACAAAAAAAAAAAAAAACGGATAAAGCTACAATTAAAGACTTCTGGATCATTTTAATGTATTTTTTGTCTTCATTTTAGCCTCCTCCTCCCCAAGATGGCCTTCCTCCAACAGCTAAGACTCCTTCTCTGGAAGAATGGACTGGAAGTCATCAGACAGCCGGTGAGTGACTGCGCCAAATATATGTATTTTCAGCTACCAAGTATAGATGGTCAGGAATTTATATCAGCCTCATTATACCTTAAATAATAATGTTTTACTGAGCAAAAGTTTACTCTTCATCAACTGGAAGGGTAATAATAATAATAATAATAATAATAATAATAATAATAATAATAATAAATGATTACATTTTCTGTCATAGTTATGGTCCCTGACTTTGGTCATCTGGCCTCTGATCATCTTCATCATCGTTGCTGTGACCCGACACCAGTTTCCTCCACAAGTAAAACCAACATGTAAGTGAGAACTGTAAAGTACTCTGGACTCGGTCCATTTCTATGTGCCTTTTTCTCTATTCTCTTCAAGGGCAAGTCATACTTTAATACAGTCAGTCACAAGTATAATTAGGCTTTACTGTTTGCCAGTGTTTACAGAAACATCGTTAAGTATAAGAAAACAAATAAAAGCCTCATATAAAACAATCTGGAAATGTCATTGGCTTTTTTAACTCTCCTGCAAGCCACTCAATAATAGTGAACATAGAAAACTCTGGTGATTGATATTTTAACTTAATCTTCATACTGTCTCTACAATATACAATCAGATTATTGCATCAAAAAATTATTTGGCTGAATTGTCTTTGACATTTTTACATAATAGAAGAAGAAGATGAACTTTATTGATCCCCAAAGGGAAATTCAGTATGAGGCATATGTTAAATCTGACATCATCTCAGATTTCGCAAATGTGATACTGGAGAACAAAAGGCAATTCAACATGACTCAGTGAGTCTGTATGAACACAAAACCTTGCTGACATGGACCTTAACTGATGGCAGCTTTACACACTTTCACAAAGACGGTCAACAAATTAACCATTCAACCCCAGCGTTTATGGTCCTTCACCTCTTAGCCTATCCCCCTGAGCTGATGACGTAGTGTTTGTACTCTTTTATATCTGGTTGATTATGTATCAGGATGTGGGTATAGGGCATGCTTGGTGTCAGGGGTACGGTATGCTTTTGTATAGCCACTTAAGACCACCACGAACCGCACTGAAAAGTTTGCTGCAGAAGGAGGGAGGAGCAGAAAATGCAATCAGTTTGCTTGTAAAAACACAAAATAGGCCTTTCAGTCAAACCTTAGCCTGTTTTTTCTTTTTTTTTTTTTTTGTGACTCATGAATTGAACAACAAGGTGCCGCAGCTGATCTCAGCTTCAGCAGTGAGGTTATTTAAAGCAGGAAGAGCTCATTCTGTTGTAGACCTCATAAGTATGCCTTACTGTGTTAGAGGATGGATTATTTTCTCTTTGTAAAGCATCAAGAAAGGTCTCAGTTTAAGAGTGGAAATCCTCAGTTCTGGTATTGACTGTAACCAGTTTACCTCACTGCTTTTGTTTGTTCAGTCTTTTTTCCTGGATCTGATTCTATCAATGTAGAGAGTCACGTGTAATATAATAACCCCAGTGTGCTCTGTTAAGGATCAACCCAGCAAACGTGAACAATAGGGGCTTACCTCTCATGTTAAGTTCTGTTTGGTGCTTAATTCTTAGCAGAGACAAGCACAACATGAGACCACACCCAAAACTGATAACAAGACTCTGTATAGCAGCCATACTCAGTATACAGTCAATATTGATCTCATACAATAAGACTATTTAATGAAATTATATAAAACACAGCCATGTCATCTTTTCAGATTTATTTAATATGTTTTTTTTAGACAAACTATTCTTAAACAGTGATCTAATGAGCTGGTAGGTTAACTACTTTCCAAATCTAAATGCTGTCCTTTTACCAGACTTGTTCCTCTTGTATTTTTTTGAACATACTGTATATGTATTCAAATTAATGTTCAATCAGTGTCAGTTTGATTTTCTGTTTCACTGTTCTCTCTGTAGCTATGTATACATGACATGCATTCTGCACATAATCTACTTCTTCAAAGTCAGTTTTTATGCTGAAGTTTTCGGGATTTCCTCCATACATTCCATGACTTTTCTTGAAAAAAACCTTGTTTGCAAAGCCAACAGTCTCATTCTGTGTGGTGACAGGAAGAAATATAACTGTCTGAGTTAATAGTTTAACAGAAATGAATGCCAAAAAGGTCAGTCTAGTCACAGCGGCTTGAGAGTAATCAGATATTCATGGTCTTTACATCCTCATGTCTTTGTTTGAAATCTAAGCAATAGCTGGGATTGTTTCACAACAAAAGATGGTATAAGTTACTGCAATGCTAGTGATACAGGCGCGTGGAAATTAGCTCGAGCTCTTGAGCTTTTCGTCAGATATGGTTCAGAAAGAAAAGAAAAAGAAATTAAGCTAAATAACAGTGATCCATTTAAAACTAAAGAAAAACATTGACAACAGAATGCAAATGAATCAACACTTTGTTTCATGTCTTTCTTTTTTAACTTCTCTTCAACAGTACTGTGAAGTTTACATAGTTAATGGTATATGGATGTCTTTCTTCTTTATGTAGTTAAGCCTACAACAAGGGCTTGAATATTACATCTAACTTTTACTCTACCCAGAACTGACCGTCAGTAAGAAACCAACAAAAACACGTTTGTGAGTTTGTAAAGAACTTTTTATACTGACATGTAGCTTAAAAAGGTTCACATAGGGGCAAACATACAGAAGTGTGGATGGACATTGACAGCGAAGATTAAAAAAAGAAAACTAAAAAAGGGATTAAAAAGTGCAATAGTAAATTAGTCAATAAATATTTGTCAACAAATTATAATCTTAAATTTGAATAAAGTGTATTGGAGTGTGAAGATAAAGGATGTGGAGCCAGAATCCAAAATCACTCCTGATTTAGTTTTAATCTGCTTTTTCAGACCGCTGTGTCTCATGTGCCATTTTCTTCTGCACTTAGTTTTAATATGAAAAATGAAGACACTACCTCCTGGAATCTGAACCACGTCTTAATTGAATTTGTATTGTCTCCACCAGGTTATGTGGGACCCCGAAACCTACCCAGCACAGGCTTCTTTCCTTTCCTCCAGACGCTCATGTGTAACTCAGACAGTCATTGTCACAATAAATCACTGGTTGTGGATCCAGCCTCATCAAGGACAACATCGTCAGTTCATGAAAGGTACCACCACATCATTAAACTTTCAGTTTTATCTTACTTGAACTGCAGGATCACCAAACTGATATTTTGAGCCTGCATCTCCTGCTTCATTGAACTTCCATATCCCAAGCAAACTAAATGTTGTATATTTTAAATGACGACGGTTTAACTTTTTCCCTGTCTGCTAAGAAGCAGAGGAGAAGTGAAGTCTTTTATAATTTTAAACCTCAACAGTTTTCATTTCCCAACACGTGAAGTTACATAAGCTGAAAGAAACAGGCCCCTCTTCTGCTTTGTTGTAGTTCAAGTGTCAAATACCAACATCAGTGAGCCAAAGTGGCTTACGAGTGTTTTCTCAGCTTTTGTGTCCTATGTTCCGATTTTTGAATACCTGATGAGGGCTGGGAGAAAAACCTGTTTGTCTAACCTCTGACCTGCTGATGTGATGAATGATGTTTAGCAGATGTCCAGCCCAGCAGCGACTCATTGTCAGACTTTTATTTTACAATAGCTTCAGTCCCGCCTCTGCTCTGACGTAGCTAGCCTTTGCTCTACTAGCTTTTGTTCGGGAAGTGGTTTTATCTTTGGAATTTTTTCCATTGTTGTTTTTAACTTGAAACACTCCTCCGAGAAGTTCTGCCTTTCTTCTTTTCTTATATACTTACATGCTGGAGGGTACAGTTTGGCATTGTGGCGTTATAACACCAAAATACTATGGTGTCAGATTTTTAAGTGGAGTAAAACATTGTGCAACATCAGGTTGATATACTGTAGAAATGAGAAGATGAGAGCAGATTGAAGGTAGACTTTTTGTTAATGACCCCATAAATGTGTTAAATATCTTAACTTTCCATCTCTAACCACTTTGGCTATATATGACAGCTCGAGGAGCTCCTTCCCAGGAAAGTTGATCGGTGGGGACTTATTCAACTTTCGTGTCCCAGATCACCTCAGAAATGATCCAGCAGATCTAGTCAAGACCTTGAACAGCTTCGTGGGTATGTTTTCTTCTTACACCGTGACGCTATAATCACTTTTCCATATCTGTATTTTCCTTGTAAGTTTTGTCCACAGCTGTACAGAATCACACATTTTACCCCGCTGAACAGTTTTGCAGAACAAAGTCAAAGCACGGACAACCCTTGGGGATATTTTTGAGCTAAAACAAATTTTTCAGAAAGAATACTCAAAATTTAAACCACTGAAGACTCACTCCAGAAAGAAGATTATATTCAAATAAGAGAGAGATGAAATCTGGCCTTGTTGTATTAGAGTAGGGTTGGCTGAATTTGAGTTCAGCACAGCCCACTTCCACCAGATCAGGCTTTCAGAGGGAAACCTGTTGTCATGTAGTCTAGTCGTATAGCTCTGAAAATAAAGTGCAGTGCAGATAGCAGAAGTTTGAAGGGGTTGTAGAGAGACGCTGGCAGACAATTTCATACCCAGAATTTCAGCTGTGATGGTGACAGGATGTGAGAAGACAATCCAGGACATTTTTGATGACAGGGTTTCCTGTCTTTCCTTAACGTACTGAATATTGAAAGTATGAAAACAATGACTTTCTCTTCAAATGTGTTATCTCTGAATGAAGTGGTATTTCTTTCCATCAGTGTAACATAAACTGCTCAACTCTTTGCTGTCACTGTTTGGTGTGATGTTTACAAAGACAAAGATTTAATAAGAAGAAATGTCAGGGCTCACTCTAAACATTGGGATACTCTGTTGGTCAGTTTAATAAAAGGTAGAATATGATGAACAAAACACAAAGACAGGAGTGTCTGGACCCCCCTCTCCTTAATATTTGTATTATCTAGCTAATCTTGGTTTATCTCGTCATTTAACCACCTTTGAGAGAACAGAGGAGCACTTTGCGTTTCATACATTTATACTACACTTTCTGAACTTTTTAAAATAGCTTGTTTTTAACTCAAGTTCGTGTTTGCATTTGAGTTCAGAGAAATGAGACATTGTTTTCAACAAAACTTACCCATTTGCACATGTTCTTGATTCTCAAGGCTCATTAAATGGAGGTGAAAATCGCAATGCTTCCTTCATGGAGATCAGTGCAGCTCTGGAAAATAATGTGAGTATTGTTCGAAACACTGTTGAAGATAAGAAACAGCTCTTTTCTGTGATTTATCCACTTAGTTTGGACTCTTTCGGCCTCCTATGTACGGGTCATTATAGTTCAGAAAGAATCCTTATTGTGGGACAAGAAAGTTTATTGAAATAATTCAGTTAAATTTTAATGAATGTCTCCAGAAAGCATCAAAGCTATGCACCAAACTGACAACATTGTGTGTCTGTTGTAGTATGTGGTGCATTTTGCAGAATGGTTGCTTTTTAAATGCAACAGTCTAAACTAATAAAATTTTTTCCCTCACAGGAGACCTTACACCAAATACTGGAGATGGCAGACGTACTGAAGAAGGCTGCATGTGCCATGACACTGCCCATGATAGACACAACGTCACAAAGACCAGCATCCCAGGCTGTTGTGACTTTCTGCAAGTCCAACGAAACTGTGTTTGAAGTCACTCTTAACATGCTCAACCAGGTGTGTGTATGATGATGTTTGACTGCATACATACTGTACAGTATAGGGGGTTTGGCCTATATGTGTTAGCTTGCTGTTGGCAGGGCAATGTGATGGTGCAAACATTTAAGTCACATTTTTGCCCCCCCCCGGCTGTCAGGTACTCCTGGAGGCGATGCAGACACACCCAGATGAGATGGCAACACTTGCTGGGGTGGCTGTTGTGTTTCTGGATGAGCTGCAGAGTCAGACGTCACTGTGGGAAAGCTTCATAGCTCTTCCAAAGCTCCTTTCTTCTGGCTCTGTGGATGAAGCATTGGACAGTGTTGAGGTCCTTCTCACCAACGTTCAGAGGTAATGTCTCATCTACATGTAGAGAGGATACAGATGTTTTATAACCTGAATGTGTGGTTTAACATGTGGGTTATTGCTTTTATTATTTTTCTACTGCAACCAGAGACTCCAGGCTGAGGTTAGGTTTTTATTTTTTGCTAATAAATTGAGGGACTGTTGAGGAATGCCATCAGTGCACTATAGTGTCTTGTAAAACATAAAAAAATTATTAACTTCATTAGCAGCTTTTTCAGACAAAGTAATTTATCAGTGTTGTAAAAAACATAATCTGTCAGTGGCTCTTAAAAGCCCCTGTGAGGAACTTTTGATTTGTTTGGATTTTGGCACCCCTGACAAAGTGATCGGTGTTGTTTTTGGTCCTGTACATGTGGATTAATGTTTTCATTTAAAGTAATCCCATCCTCCTCCTCTCTTTTAATGGGCTGTAGTGGAGGCATGCAGTTAATGATTTTATCTGATCCCCTACCGGTGATTTGAACATGTGCGGACATAAAAAAGACATTGATATAGCCTCAGTCTGTTTCAGAACTGATTCGGGGTGTAATTGAATGGTGGGACATAAACAAGTTTAGGTTAACTGAATTATTATTGGCTCTCAAAAACCTGCATCACTCTGTTTGTATCCCACAATGTCTGAGTCTCAGAAGGCAAAAGTATCTTGTTTTTCAAGTTTCTTCTGCAGGTTGTGTCTCAGTTTGAACACCAATTGTTTCTCCTCTTCTGTTTCTCCAGAGCCATGGGTGCCATCCAAAGCAAATACCTTGAAGCCGGGGCCCCCCTCTCTTTGGCTGATCCCATCATTGCGGTTGGCCTCAGCGTAATCCACCATGCTCAAAAATGGCCTGGCTCAGGTAACTCACCACCATCTACCCAACAGAACAGGGATCAGATCAAAGTACTTCTGCAGGTTGTGTTGATGTGTGATTATGTTCTTACTTCTGTATTTGTGTTTAATTTCTGGATATGCTGGATCATATATAGAAACTTGTAGTCTAGTGTGATGGGAACCTCAGCAGTGTTCCCTTTTGATACACAAACAACAAAGAAATGTTGTCAATCAAGCTTTTTATTATGAGGGTGTGCTGGCTTTGACCATGTGATTTGATGTGATGTAGATGTGTCCATTCCACTCGGAGAGGTTGTCATATTACACAGTGACTCATTAAGTGAAATGGTGAAACAAGTTCTGCAAAATGTCCAGATACCGCTGAGAAAGGTATGTGCTGACAAACTCTTATATAAGCCTTTACATGTACTATGAACCAAAAGATGATAACTTTGTCACGGATCTAAAACAAACATACTTTTAGTGGAAATGTGTATATAATTATGTGTTGAATATAAGAATAGCATTTGTCAAAACAACACACTTACAGTGTAGCAGCTCTGTATTCAAAGCTGCCAAACTGGTTTGGTCTGCAGGCTGCCAGACTTGGATTTTTCAGTCAAGAGAGCTGATGTGAAAGATTAAACCATAAAACTAGTGTAGATTACCAAACACACTTTATTTATTTGCTTTGATGAAAAAAAAATAGATGGAAGAGGATGAAAAAAAGTACTTCTAGCTAGTGGCCTAGCCTAGCTATAAACACTGAAAGAACAGAAGGTTGTGGTTAGTAGTAAAAATGCTTATTCTTCTGAAGCTATGAGCTCAATGCTTATTGTAGAAACTATTTGGATTATTTATTTAAAAAAATAAATATATTGTTAAAAAAAATCACAAATGGATTTCGGTAGCTGCGCTGCAAAAATGTGCTTGTCGACTACCAAAGATAACATTTCTCCAGATCTCATTATTGTGACTTCATCTTCTTGTATAAAGGGAGTGTTACCAAAGGGGACTTAGATTCTGTGGGTGTTTTGGTTAGATTATCTAACTCTTCCTTTGATGGGACTCTTTTTTATGTCTGCCTGAGATGGGACCTTGTTTTCCTTTAAATGTAGAGTAGGAGCTGGCTGGTAGTTTTATTATAATTCCTGTTATTCCTCTCTCTTCTTTCTGTAGGCCATTGCCCTGACTTTGGACAAAGAGACGTTGCACAGCTACTTGTGTGATGACAGCAATCGGCCGATGTGGCTATCAGCAGCATGCAGCACAGGCACTGTGCGCATGGTGCTGGGTTATATCAGCCCTATCAAGGTTGCACAGCAGGTAAGTTGGAAGATGTTGCTCAAGAATCATCAACACTAGAGATGATTCAGTCTCTCATTGTGAGTGTGTGAATGTGAGAGAGATTCATTTCTCATTCTTACTGTTTCCCAGTCTTATTTGACGCCTGTATGACCTCGTTTCTAATTGACATTCTCGCTCGCCACCTTAACAAGCTATTAGTTACAGACTGTGCCAAATAATTAGTCTACAGCCACAAGAAAGCTGTTGGCCATGGCAGCAAATGAGTGCGACTCTCGGGTGAGCACCTGGGGAGCAGAAACGTCAAATGTCCAATTAGCGTTGCCACTATGGTAGATGTGTTCAGATGAGATACTTCTCAATCAGAGGCCATTAACTGACTCTTTCTTTGTTACGTTCAGTAACTCAGAGGACATCAACTAGCAATCTAATGCTGACATTCAAAAAAAAAGGTTGTCCAAAGTCATTCTTCCCTACAGTAGTTTTTTAAGCAACTTTCTTACTTGACATGCTAACATTTAGCACATTTTAATATACACTTAAAGAAATTTAGTGCGACATACAAACATATAAAATGACAAATGTGATAACCAAATCTTTAAAATCATACCTTGTCCACCCCCTTTCTCTTCATGTAAACATCTTTATCCCCAGGCTCTCCTGGCATGGTGTAAGCATGTTTCTCAATATGATTTGGCCTTCGCCAAAGGGCTGCTGAACAGTCCGATGGGAGAAGTGGCCCCGAGAGGACAGGGAGGCCCCCACAACACCAGGACCCGTCGCAGCGCAGAAACATATCCACTAAGTATTGAGGAGGAGCTGTAAGTACAGAGCTTTGGGAAACTGCGGCTTTAAGGTGAATTTCTTTATGATTCTTTAATGCTGCAGAGACCAAAAAGTAATTAAGTCCCGTACTTATGTTGAATTTACTTTGGTCTTACTTAATAAAGACCTCATTGAAAATCAAAGAATCACTCCAAAGGAACCATCTTATTTGGTTTCGTTCATGTTTTTCTGTCACATACTTTTCTGTCTACACCTCTAACACTCCCTAAACAGAGCAAAGATGCCTTTCCACGCCCCAGCAGTGTGTACTCAAAACAATGAACTAGTTTATCATGGGTTGCATATTTTTATCGGCAGGTTTTTGGAGGTTGGGAAAAACGTACTGAAGTTGCTACAACTATGGCCTGAGGCAGAACAGTTTGTCCAAAGCATCATCAGATCTGGCTTCCAGTACATGGAGTTTGCAACCCTGGCCCTAGAGACTGTAGAAGGTGAGACTGAACAACGCCTCCCCTGTTTGATTAACTGCTTAATCGTGTCAACAGTAAAAGTGTCTCTTTTTAAATATATTTTTTTCTAAAACTTTCCAAAAATGATTGTCTATTTCTTTTTTTAATGAAACACATTTTTACAAATATCATGGAAAAGAGAACAAGAAAAGGACATTTAGACTAAACAGATTTTGGTGTCAGCCCTCATTATAAAAGAGCAAAGCAGATTAATTGTTAAAGTCAACATACAGGTAATACAACTCAGCAAAAGAGGCCAACTTTGAGGTGCATCGCCACAGTTAGCCCCTTTGTCTCCCACTGGTATTGATAACCCAGAAGTGAATAGAACCAGTTCAAACCAGTTCTCAGGGGACTGCTGTAAGATTTAAAGTGTTTGACCAGAGTAGTATTACAGGAGCCAGCAGGAAAATTACAACACTTTTTCAAAATGCACACTTGGAAGAGTTGTAAAGAAAGTATAATAGCTGCTTAAGTGTTTTAAAGGAAGCACTTGTTTTCACAGCTTTGTCTACATATGTCTTTGTCTTCTTCTATATAATATGACTGTGATTGTACTCATGAAGCCGTGTTTCTCTGTGTTTTTTTGTTTTGTAGAAATAATCGCCAATGTGCTGAAAGATGCCGATCACCTTCAACAAACCTCTCAGAAGCTGATGACAAACCAGTCTGAGGCCAGTATGTTCTTCAACCATGTCCTGGACAGTGCGATGGAACTGATTCTGAAGGTATGAGGGTGGTAATTTATCTGACCATTCATCTCATGGTGGTGTTCTCAAGTTACCATGTCAGTTTACATGTTTAAGAATCTACAAAATAAGAAACAAAACAGCATTTAAAATTAAAATTAAAATTAAATGAAAACAAAATAGAGGTCATCCTTTTCGGACGCCCTGACCTGGTTCAGGTCCTTGCCAGCTCCCTTGGCTCACTGGCACCTTACATAGGATCCCATGCCAGGAACCTTGGTTCTATTATTGATGGGGATTAAAAACTTGACAAACAGGTCAGCGCAGCTTTTTTCAGCTGAGGCTTCAAAGACAAAGTTAAATGTATTTAAGCCCGAAGGACCTTGAAAAAGTTATCCATGCTTTTACCACATACTGTTTAGATTATTGTAACGCCCTGTATGTTGGCATTGGCAAATCAGAGCTCAACTGTTTGTAGCTCATTCAAAATGCTGCAGCTCGTCTCCTAACTGGGACTAAGAAATGGAAGCACATAACTCCAGTCCTTTCCTCTCTTGGCTGGCTTCCTGCTAGGTACAGGATCTATTTTAAGATTCTTTTATTTGTTTTTAAGTCTCTGAATGGGCGGGCCCCAGAACATCTGTCTGACCTTATTAAATTGCGCAAGCCCTCCAGAGCCCTGAGGTCAGCTAATCAGGTGGTTTTAGACATTCCTCTGTCCTTTTTAAAATCTGTCATGGCTCCCACTTTGTGGAATGCTTGCCTCCTGACAGTGCCTACTGCTTACAGCCTTTCCACTTTTAAAACACTTCTGAAGACGCACCTGTTCACTTTAGCCTTTGGGGAAGTATAGTTACTTTTATTGGGTCTTTTATTTATTTTCTATGTTTATCTTTATTGTCTCTGGCTATTTTACTGTAAAGCACTTGGGTAGGACACTGGCTGTTTTTAAATCACCTATTTAAATAAAGCTGACATTGACATTGACATTTAATTGAGACTGTAGTTTGTTCTTTACATTTAAAGCTTAATTATAAAGCAACAATGTGAGAATGAATTAAAAAAAAACATGTATGTCAAGCAATCTGCCCAAAGCCTAGAAGCAGAGATATCTTATGAAACACCTGACAGTCATTATTTGACATTATTCACTCATTAATTATTATCCATTCATTATGACCACTCCCTGTATTTAATGCTTTAGCTTCAGGGTATGACATGTTTAAGGATTACCAGAGTTCCATATACATGATGAAGCTGTAAAATCTCACCAGTCTGTACTTTGTCTCTCTTTCACCAGGCTATAACATCGGGGTCTTTAACATGTGAGGATGCTCTGGCTTCCTTCGAGTGGCTCTTACAGATGGAGACCGTGCAGATTGAGGTGTGGAAGTCATTAATCTGTCAGAGCATCTCCAGCATACAGCAGGCTTTACTGATGGAAGTGATGCCACTTGTTGAATCGGTAAGGTTCTTATTGAACATTAAACTGTAAAAGTGATATGCTTCCTAACGCTGGGCTTCCGCTAAACAGTTTTCACAGTCCTAGACTGAAAACTGGAAGTCTTAAGTAAATCTAGGAGTTTTACTGGACTCACAGCAGAATCACAGCATGCTCCCGTCATCTTAATCGTTAAGTTTAAGATGGTAATCTGCACTGTTTTATATCAGTCTTTTATCAGTCTTGGATTTTGGATAAAATCAAACATGTTTGATATTATTGCATGTCGCAGTGACATAACACAACCAACAACCAATAGATGAGCTCTGACAAAAGTGGAAAAGGAAACCTGACAGTCAAAGCAATAAAAACAAGAATGTATGAAGAATTACTGGCAATTAAAAAAGGAGTGGATAGTGGAGCTGTGGACAGATTAGCCTTGCCTATTCAACATCAACTGCAAGGTTTCCCCAACATGTAATGGCGCACCGCCTCGGCTAAACAAAAGCCACGCGCTACCTCGGACTCAGTATGTATCAGTATATGCAGCACACACGGGCTGCACTGCAGGGTGTGCGTGCTGAGTAATAATTAGCGAGTTCTTAGTTGTCATATGCAAACACACAGCTGATTAATGAGACCCCACGCCCCCCTCACTCCCGAACCGTCAAAAAATGCTAAAAGAATGTTGTTGTAGACAGTCTCGTAAATAGAGACCCTGCAAGACTGACAGTCTTTGCAAATCCTCAGTCTGAGACTAGGCTGTGACTAAAAACTTGTCTTCAGATGTGAGCAAGTGTAAGCTGAAATCTTCTCAAAGCACTCTGGTGGATAGCTGACCTAAGTCTCTTGTTATATAAAAAACACAAACATTTCAATCAATCAATCAATCAACTTTATTTCTAAAGCACATTTAAAAGAACCACAAGGGTAGCTAAAGTGCTGTACAATGACACATAAAAACAAATAAAACAATCAAAGAACATTTGACGAATATAGTTTAGATTTAGGCTCATACTTTGAGGAGCTCCCTGAATGTGTGTTTTGAAATAAAAGACTCAACAAAGACTCCCAAAAAAACACATCTGTCCGTGATTGGTTTGCATTCATATATACTATAATCATCATCATATCAGTTACTGGTTTGACCTTAACCCAGCCCTGTTCTCCCCTAATTCCCTGTCCATAGCTGTCTGTTTACATGCAAAAATCCACAAAATAACAAGAGTTGTTATTGAAGTTATCCAAAAGTGCCCCTGTTTTTTTTCTAGCCCCTGTTTTGCTGGATAAAGCTTTGTACTTTACTTGGATCAAAAATAGATTCTTAGATTTAAAGAGAAAACTTTAAGTTAATAGGTCTTCAAATAAGATAATTACGGTACCTTCATTACATCATGTGTTTTGTATTGTGTTTCCACAGGCAGAAGTCTTTAATAGCACTGTGATGAGCCATGGAGATGAAAATGTGACGCTCCCCATGGTTTTATCTGCATGGCAGAAGATGTACAACAGCAGTCTGCAGATTGTAATGCTTGTGGACAGACTGGCCTTCGATGTGGCATACTGGACAGACTGGATGCCTGACAACATCACCTATGATGTGGTTGGGACACTTCAACAAAGGTCTGAAGAATGTGTTGATAGCATATTTGCAAGGCTTCATTTTAGAGCATTTTTATGTTATCTATACCTGCTGTAGACCAAAACAAATGACTGACTTGAAATGTTATATTCTCTGTTATATTTTTGTGTTTAAGAGTCTGGAAGTCTTTGGGTAGATTGTAGAGAAATAGTCTTTGAATAGTTAAAATCCAAGCCAGGTCTTGTGAATATCTTTCCCACTTAGGAAATTGACTTAAAGTTAAATATGGCTCTGCCGCCCTCCTGTAGTAAGTGACTGAAGTAAAAGGGAAAAAAACATGTATATGTGAATTATTTTGACACACTTTGACATTTTTGTGGTCATTATGTTTGTTTTTTTATTTGCTGTGCATAATTTCACTCAAAAGTATTTTCTCTTGTATGTTGTAGTGTCATCAGGTCTGTGGTGAATTTGGGAGAAACGATTGAAGACAGTGATCTGTGGCCCGAGGTAAAGGACTACTTCCACATTGTTGACTGGGTTTTGAACTACAGACCTGGTGTTGAAACTCCCCACAATTGTGAGTACTACCCAAACTTTTTTTCAATCATTCACTTTGATTTCATACAGTTTTATCCAGTAGTGCACTAAAATATTCATGATTAAAATTCAACAAACTTGATTTATGTCACACTTTTCAAAAACAAGTTACAAAATGCTCTGCAAGGGCAGCACAACAAAATGACAAGACCATAATGTCATGCACAGGCAAGATCCAGAAATAACAAATTTTAAAAGACATGACAATCATTGAAAGGGGATCAGTTTCTAAAAAGTATTTTGTTAAACAATCAAATGCAAATTAAAATTTAAACTTCAGCAACAAACAGCAGTGACAACAGCTGCAGCATGCCACCATTTTTTAAACATCTCAATATCAAGGTAGAAAAAGCAAGGTGAATTTTTACTGTTCAAACCATAGACTGTATATACTATGGACAACTTGGTTTCGCCTACCGCCTGTATACGGATTTGAAGCCAAATAGCTCTCGGTATCTCCGGGATTTTTCTTCATTTCCTGAAACCAGCACTGTGCAGTAGCGATGCACGCATTCGGCCGCGCAGTCGCAGAGAGTCACTGTGATGACGCTCGGCTCAAACAGCGTATCCCCTGGGAGAGCTACGCAATCCCTGAACGCCCATAGGCTGTATCAGGTGTTAATCATAGCAAACATGAACCCCCTAATAACTTTTAAAAATGGAGCTGTACAGAAAAAAAGAGGACTTGAGCACAAACCAGTCTTACAATAACTACATGTCAACATTACAAGCAGGAGGGAGAAAAAATTATGTTCTGTGTAATAAATTTATAAAGTTTGTCCACAGCCCCATAAGCATTGCTGGTGGAGGCGGGATTTATGACCTATACTGCAGCCCATCAACAGAGGGTGCTGTTCTCGGAGTGGCTTCACCCAGCAAGGAGGCAGACTCTGTCCATTCTATATACAGTCTATTGTTCAAACTCATGCAGTCCGTGGAAATCAAAATATCTTAAAAACTAAATTACTGGAACCTCAAAATTGACTTAGTGACTCATGAAAATTCTTAGAATAAGGTTTTACTGACAGGCCAATTGTGGTTTGATTGATATCTGCCTCTCCCCACATGGGCAGATGTTATTCCAGCTCTTATGGTTGAATTAATCGTGATTCTTGGCTTTATTGATGAATTTTGATCTTGCTGTAATTTTCATGATTACTTCTCGTCTCCCTTCCCTATTTTTACTTTTCGTTTCACTATCCACATTTCTGCCCTTTTCTATTCTTTCTGTTTTGGCGTACTCTCTTTCACATATATCTTATCAGCTAAGTTATGCATATATGAAGGAAATACAGGATGGAAAGGAGGACTCAAGTATTTCAGTCATGTATCAGGTTATGAATTTTATGCCCTTTTTGAAATCTGGTAACAATTTTATCCATGGTAAAGACGGTAAAGACTCCAATGGTCCCGGCAGGCTTAACAAACTTAAATTTAGGTGACTTTTTGTAGTTAATGTATCTTTCAGTAATGACAACAATTATCAAAATTTAAACACTACTTTCCTTTGCAATTTTTTTGAAGTCATGAAAACCAAGTCAGCCTTATCAAGTTTTATGCAGCATATATTTTCTTTCCTCTTAGGTTCTCTTGACATCTCTGACTCAGCCATCAAATGTGACACAGATTCTGGTTTCAAATGGCCGCAGTTTGTTGCAGTAATGGCTCAGGCTCTCCTTTCCCCAGACGAAGACTTTGTGATAAAGTAAGTGCTTTTACTTTTTATGTTTTATGAATGATTTAGTAGTAAACTGTGGGTTATTATATGTGTGTAGGACAATAGTTTTTACCTTCAGATTAATAAGCACCTTTTGTCAGGTGGTGGTGTTGTTAATTGGGCTCAGAACCAATACCACCACGCCTCTCTATTGATAGTCAATAGGCATTCACTAATTAGCTCTTGTTCCCCACTTATTTTTTTACTTTTTTTGCCTTTTATTCAGTTTTTTTTTCACTGATAGAAATTCGTGTATTCACTTAAAGCAGAAAACAGCTTATTTACATCTGTGTGTTTGCTGTGCTGCCTGAATCTGATCTTTCTATGTCATGTAAAGTCATCTATTTAAAAAAAAAAAGTCTAATTTTCCTCTCTTTCCTTTGCAGTTCCCTCAAAGGAGCCGTAAATCTGCTGCAGCATGTGTACAAGGACGTTGTATTATCTACCACTGGGTCACTTTTGAAAGAAAATATCAAAGGCGGTGATGCACTCTCTAACTTTCTGATTAACCTAATGCAAAGCCTGCAGAGATTTGTGAACAAAGTCTCCATGCTTCCTGACGAAGACATTGCCGACCCTGACACTATTGAACCACTTGTCCAAAACCTGTTACAGTCCACTGGTCTGACATCTCTGCTGCCTCTGTTCACCAACAATGGTCCAGTTAATGTCTCCACAGTGCTTCATGTGGCCATCAAGCTAATCAGACACAACCAACACATTTTTACCTTCAATGAGACAGACCCCACCATGCCTGAGCTGGAGAAATTGATCATGCAGTTCCTCTCACTGAGGGGCAACCTCAGTGTGTCTCTCTCTAACACCATAGGACACACTCTGCTTACCTACGCAGGCCACTTCAATCCTGATGCTGTGGACAAAGTCAGAGAAGCAATCAGGCCTTTCACCAACCAGACCTCAGCAGGGATTGTAGAAGCCATCCTCAGAGCTATGGAGCTTCTAAATTCAGTAACAAATACAGATGGTGACCCAACCCAAGTCATTCTTGGGTATGTAAGTCAGATTCAAAACTTCCTAACGTCTCTGTATAGGCTGGGAAGTTTTCAGCAGCTCTTGTTACCAAATGGAGACCTGAATGCAACACAATTCACTGACCTCCACCTCATTTTCAAGGAGTTTTTCAACCTGCTCAGCCCTGCAGGCATCCAGAGTCTGATTCAAGCTGGACCAGATGCTGCCCTCGACAGAGTTTTAAAAACACTCATACCATTCCTACCGAAGGCAGTTCAACAAGATGCTGCTCGGTTTCTGCAGGATTTCAAAGATCTCCTGCAGCATTTAACCAACTGTGCAGCAGGTCAGGATTGCCTGGGTGACACTTCAGAAATCTTCACGTTCCTGGATGAAATACTGGACTTGATTCTTTCAGCCAAAGGTGATGTCAGCATCACAATAGCTGCACCCAGCCCCTTTTCAATGGGACAGGATTATGTTGACATAGCATCCATATTCCTTCCGCTCACGTTGTCCTCACAGGATGCTGCCTATGTGAATACATTCAAACAGGCCCTTCACTTTATCGATCTGGTCATCACTACACCAAACATCACCCTCTCTGCAGTCCAGTATGCACTGCAACAGTCAAACCTCACTGTGGAAGAGCTCAAAAACCTGACGTCACTATTTGGAGCTGTCAACATTGATGACCTAAAGGCAAAAATAATGGCTGTCACCAATGCTCAAAGATGTTTTCAACTCCAGCATAACCAGATGGTGACACCCCAGTGTGTTATGGGATTGATCACTGGGGTCACTGGTGTCCTGGGTCAGCTCCCTGCTCTCAAAGAAGACACAGCAATCCTCGACCTTGTCCATTCAATCATCAAATTGACAATCAGTGATGTCATGGAGGTGGACTTCATCTCCAGTCCTTTTGAAGCTGTCATTCACACCCTGAACAGAACACTGGCCAATATTAGGGAAGTGCTCCAGCAAGGTCGACTAATCACAACTGAGATCATGAAAGAAATTCAAGTGCTGGAGGAACTGGTGCAACTAGCAGCCAACCCAGAGCCATTCATCAAGATTCTCAATGTCAACTTGACAGCAGATCCAGCACTTGCGCAGAAAGTTTATCTGGAGACAGTGCAATGGTACTTAACCAGACTGGAAAAGATCACAGAGGACAGCTCACTCTCAGATTTTCTACAACCCTTTTTCCAACTACTAACTACTCAGGTAAAGGTGCAGCTAGCACACGCAGATTTCACTGTATTTTTGACCAAGCGGATTGAGTACCTGACAAACAACCTCCAGACCCTAATAGATGGTCAGGGGTTAAGTGAAATTGGCAAGACTGTCATTGAGATTGCCCAGGAGCTGAAAAAACTCATCAAGGTAAACCTGGAGATTCAAAGTCAGATTCCAGGTTTCAATCTCCTTGTTAATGACACTGCTCTGGATGCTGCTGGAGAACAAATAGATCTGTACCTTGACATCGCACAGAACTGTTTTGAACTCCAGCAAGACCAAATGCTGACACCCAAATGTGTAAGTGGACTGGTCAGTGGGGTCACTGGTTTACTTAAACAGCTACCGAACCTCCAAAATGAGTCAGCACTTGTCTCCCTCATCCCAGGTGTTTTAAATAAGACAATCAAGGAAGTCATGGAAATGAACATCAGCTCCAATCCTCATCAGGCTGTCATTCACACCATGAACAGAACCCTGGCCAACATCAAGATGACCCTCCAGATGAACAATGTGAATTCACCAGGAATCATGAAAGAAATTCAAGTGTTGGAGGAACTGGTGAAATTAGCAGCCAACCCAGATCCACTCATCAAGATATTTAACACCACACTTGCTGCAAATCCAGCACTTACTCAGAAAGTTTTTGTGGAGACAATGCAGTGGTACCTAACCAGACTGGAAAAGATCACAGAGGACAGCTCACTCTCAGATACATTCAAACCCCTTTTCCAAATAATGTCAATGCTGCTGAAGATGCAGCAGGCACAGGCAGAGTTCAGTGTATTTTTGACCAAGCGGATTGAGTACCTGACAAACAACATCGAGGTCCCAATAGATGGAGAGGGGTTAAGCAAAATTGGCCAAATGGCAGTTGAGATTGTCCACCGTCTATTCAAAGTCATTAAGAGAGACCTTGAGATTCAGAACCACTTTGCAGGCTCTGAGATGTTCAACACAACAGCTCTTCATGCTGCTGAGCAACAAATGAAGCTTTACCTTGACATGATTCAGAAGTGGATGAAGCACCCCAATGTGCCGTCAGTCCTTTCTAGCTTGTTGCAGTGGGGAAACATCTCTAATGCATCCACCCCTTTTAAGGACCTCCACCACCTGTTGCAGACCATGGTTCATTTTTTCAATGATGAACAACTGGCCTACATCTCCATTGTCGGCAACATCACCCAGTCAGTGAGTAATGCTTTAATGGCTGCAGAGCAACCAGGAGGACTTCAGAGTGAAAGCTTTCTTGCTTCTATCTTGGAAGCAGTTGGAAGTATGATGAAGATTCCGTCTCCAATCTATGGTCCCCTCTCACACCGTGTAGAGCAGAACATCCAGGAAGTTGTGTATTACTCACTTAAGCTCATTGTCCAACCAGACATGAGTTTCAGGTCCTCACGCTTAATTTCCCTTAAAATACTCAAGAGTGCTGAGAGTATCATCAAAGATGTGTCACCGAAAAGTATCACTGAGTACCTGCTCCCTGGAATCAAAATAATAACCACATATTTCGAGAGCACCCTCACTGTTGATGGACCAGATGGCTGGAATCAGCTGTGAGTGATTTTCTTTTTTTTTTACAGAAATTTTTAGAAAACCAAATGATACATTTGTCATGAAGTTATGTTTTGCAGTTTAAAAGACCTAATGTAAAATCAGGCCATTAAACAAAAATGTAAAGTTAATAAGAAAAAGTCAAACAAACGTTATAAACATGTTAAACATCACCAGACATCTTATACAATTTACTAAATATGGAAATTTAATATGAAATAGTATTCAGAATGATCCACTCAAAACAAGTAATCGCGAGTTTGAGGTCTTAGATCGTCATTGGTGGGTTAAAGGAAAGCTCCTTCTTTTTAATGCTTTTGAGGGATGCCTCTGAAAGTAGGTGATCGACAGCAAGACAACCCTGCCCCAAAGGGTGGGCTCCAGACAAGCAAAACAAAGAAAAAGTCCATGCTGACCACATGGACATTGCTATTTGGTTATCAATGAGTGGAGTGTGCAGGAATTTGCACTTTTTCAGGAGCTTCAGTTTCTTACCTTGAACAAACTTGTCTTTAGTTTAGAAAATGTATGTATTCGGTTGTACAATTATGTCTTATCTAATATATAAAATCTTTATAATACTTATATGTTATTTAAAGGAGATACTGTCAATAGATCCATGCCACCCCTGCATGAGTTAGACTCAGGGTCGTGCCACCGCAGTCGATAAATTCTGGACACACCCCTACCTTCTGCACAGGTTAAACATGCAACAAAAAGAGTTAGCTACAGACTTGTAAATAGAGCAGATCATTTAGTGTACCCTAACCCATTTACTATTGTTGGAGACCAAACCAGAACAAAAGAGGCAGGTAGACTGAAAGTCATTTAAAGTTTATTTATTTAAATCTGCTACATTTGATAGTGTGTGACCCTACACACTCTAAATTATGTCAGAATTGAGTTATTTTGAAATTGTCTTTGTTAAAAAGAACATTTTACGTCAAACCTTTTATCTGTGTTGAATGGTGGAAACTGCAGTCAAGGTTATTCAAGGTGGTTTGAGTTGTATAGTCCGACTGATGTAAAAGAGTCACTCAGTAGATAAACACCCAGAGCCTGCATCCAAATATATCATTAAATTATCCAGACAGGGTTTTGAACATTCTTACAATGCTTTGACAACATTCCATGAGACATGATGACCTTTTGATAAGACACGCCCAGATCTAAAATATTGATTTGTTTTGTTTCTTAAGAGTCCTGAATGAGATGAAGACAGTCCACAGTCTCCTGCCACCAGACAGCCCAGCACATGCCTACGTTTCCATCCTCATTAACGTCACTCACTTCATCCTGGAGTCTGGCCAAGGCAAGTCAGCTTCTTGGTATCACATGACCCACATAGGATACACGTGAAACCTGTTGAACCTCTACTGGATGGCAGTCCATTGTTCATATTTTAGAAATGAATTCATTTAAGAATTAACGCTAGACTTTTTAAGAGCTTGTGTACAAAGTAGGCCAGCAAATCGGCTGGCTGTTTTTTGGTGTAAAATGCTTCACTTCAAGATTAATTTTACAAAAACAACATTTGAAATTTCACATCAAAATCTAGGTCTATGGTTTGACCAATATTTCTTGTGATTTTAGGCAACATGAGTCTCTGGGCAATGTTTGAAAATGCGTCAGAGGAAAATGCTCCCATGATACTTGAAAAGGTAACACTCAAAAGACAAGGTCACTTACTTGACCTGAAATTTCTTTCTTTCTTTCTTTTCTCTTTTTTTTTTCTTTTTCTTAAATGTAGTCGAGTTTGGTTTCGTTTAGACAGAAATGTAACATCACAAAGGTGAGCAAATGAGGCATGACATTACATTCAAAATAAATACCAGCTCTGTTTTGCCAACGCCCTCTTTTTCAAACACACGTCTGCTGGTTATGAGGGTAAGGGAAGACAAAGTCATCTTTCTGACAGACAGCTATTCAAAATACAAAAAAAACATGATCTTTATCTTTATCTTGTTTGTGTGTCCTGCACCTCGTGTCTTGATACTGCGGCATTGATCAAAGGACATTTAAACACAACTATGTTGTTGTTGTTGTTGTTGAGGACTTGAATGAAGGTGTTGAAATTAAACCTTTGTTTCTTAATCTTCCCTCTTTGTATTACAGATGGGCAAACTCTTGACCATTTTTTGGCCCCTGATCATGGACCCACACACAGGTCCTCCACCTCTTAAGGGCCTGGCTCACGTTGCTACAGTCCTGCAGCAGGTGATCACTGGGATGGCAGACAAAGACACATGGCACAAGTATGTTTCATAAACACTTTGAATGGAAACAAGCTGCTGACCTATTTCTGCTTGGATAGCCTCTTTTTTTCCCATGAGGAGGTTGTAAAGTAAAGACTGGTTCAATTCTATGACTGTTCTTAACCAAATAATGTTTTTTACAGACTTGAGAAGATAATAGAAGCTCTTCTGTCAGTCCTCAAAGCAACAGGGCAGTGGGAACATGTCCCACCTGTCATCCCTCTGTTTGAGAAAATTATAGGAAGTGTCGTGAACAACATGCAAGCAGAGAATGGTGAGAACACTACTGACAAGAATAATACACAAGTTTAATAAGGACCAGAGCAAATTGTTTAGTGATCTGAATCTAAGTTCATTTTAGGACAAATATTACAGACAGCCACTTTTATAATTCCACTTTTTAAATTGAAAATGTTTTAATTGAAACTTCAAATTATGTTTTTTGAGAGACCCTCCATACTCTTCAAACCTGTCTTTTCTCCCTTGCAGTGATGATACTTAGCCTCCAGATGCCTGTGGTGACCCTGATGAGAGAAATCGTACACTCTGTGAACAGTAGTCAGTCTAACCTGACTGAGGCCTTGGAAAGAATGCAAGTTGCCATTGAAGACACGATGCAAGCAGCTCAGCAGGTTAGACTGCCACTACTGAAACAACCCTTGTACATTCCATTACACTGTATTCCAATGTTTTTACAGTCATTTGCTGAGAGAAAGATGAGCATGCTTGCATGTCTGTGTATGTATGACAGAGAGAGAAAGAGTGAGGCAATGAGGACAGTCAGTGAATGACAGGCTCATGCATTGTTGCTATTGACAATGCACATCTCTCATCTTGGCGTCACATCTTATTGTTGGATAGTTTCTAATTGCTTGTCTGATGATAGAGCAGGGTGAAGACGTAATGCTTCAGGTATAAAGTCTGTTCCACCTACATGCAAAGACAATTGCATGCTGAACTCTTTGACAGACATTCTCATACCAGGAGGACAAAAATAACCCCCGGCATCTCTGCTGAACACTGCACATTGACATTATCAGAGTGAAGCTTTCCTGTGAGATGGTTTGGATTTGTCTCCTAAATTATTTATGCCTCACCCAAAGGCAGATAGTAGCCAAGTCAGTGGTGAGAAATACTTTGTGTCTGGAAAACACTCATTGAATTCAACTTTAATTACTACAAAACAGAAAGAAATGATCAGACAGAACTGAGAAAATAAGCTGCAATGCAATACTTTGTTGCCCTCTTCTGGCAGTGAGTTTAATTTCACAAACACTGTCATTGCAATAGCTATTTTCCTATCTTTCAGACAACAATCCTCAACCTAAGTGATGTAAATGTAATACCTACATAGCTGACTCCAAATATGAGAGGAAAAACAAACCTTTTTAAGAGAAGTAAACATACTTTAAGTACCCGTCTTCTCAGGGCCCTGCTGAGAGGAAAAGCTAAGTTAATGTGCTTGTTCGTTTAGTCATTTGCCTTTTAATCTTGGAGTTTAATCTTGCTCCTGTCGGGTTGCTTGTTTGACTAAACGATCTGTCTTAAGTGTATTTTCATGTTAATACAAGCTGAAAAAAAAAGCCACTATCTGATGGAACCCAGTCCATATCAGGATATCAGCAGGGTGTATAATGTGACACTATTAAAATGTTATTCTTTGTCTTGAGTGAACCTGAAAGAGATTTCCGATAGGAGGAAATTCTATAGTTGACCTACTGTATGTTCACATACATTGTATGTCTGTACAGTTTGTGTGGGTGCACACCTGGTATTGAAGCATGTAAGCGGTGATGATACCTGTGTGAGACTTCTGCCCTTTTCTTCACTTGCCTGTTAACTGCATGAACAGAGGGATTATGTTAATTCCCATGTGCCTCTGCCTTTTTTTTTCTCATACTTTGTCTACTTCCTGCTGACTAACCTGTCTTCTTGGAACAGAGAGTATGTAACCTGAGACCCATGTCTTTTTTTATTTTTCCCCTCCAGGCGAATGGCTCATTGGAGTGCAGTGATGTTCTCAAACTATGGGGTCCTGTAGGAGAGGCGGCAGGGTTAAGCAACTCCACCATGGCTTTGTGGTGCAACATCAACCTGCAGCCGGTTTTGGAAGCCTACACTGAGGCCCAGATTGTCTTCAGCCACCTAAATATGAGTGTGAGTCGATTCATGCCAAATTAAACAGGAAATTTCAGACAAATACATCTGGTTGAAGGATATTACATTCTTCTTTTGTTTATCAGGCTGTACTAGAATATTAAAATGTTTGCTCAATAATGGGTACTCACTCAAACTAATTTACAGTTTAGCCACTTGGTGGCAGTGTTGACACACTGAGTGAGCCGTCATATTCCTAACTGTTCATCTGTCTGTGTGTTGTACAGCACATGGGTGTGGGATCAATGACGGTGGATGCCACAGCTGCCAGGATCGTCAGGACTTTACAGTCTCTATACCAAGTCAGCATTAACCGCACACTCGTGGCAGAGAAGCTTATCATGACTTTCTCGAACCACCTCAATATGCTGACAGGACAGCCTCTGAGCCCTGAGGCACAGCATTACTGGTACATGCAGCTCCAGGATATGCAACTTCAAAACAGGTGACTATATAAAAAAAAAACTTGTTTATATTAATGCTTGCATAGTTTGTTTGTTACTAAGGTTCTCTGCGCTCATGACAAAAAATAAAACCAAGAATATGAATTTTTAATTAAAAGGTCTCTTGGATCCACACAATTATGCAATGTTTTTTTTGAGTATTAGATCAAATTTACCTTCAAGAGTTTTGTCCCTCACAGAAAAATACTTGATTTTGTTTCATTGGCACAGCAGAATGGAAAAGCAAAAGCTGTTTTCTATTGTTCCACAGCCTCATGAGGAGAAATCAATCACAGCTTTCTTTTGGTCCAAAATGTTCACCAGTAGAGGCCTTGGTAGATCAGACAGATCAGACCACACTGAAGCCACAGGATATGAAGACAGGGCAATGCTATTACAATACAGAAGCTTGGTCTGGTCACATTTTGAAGGATTTCAGCTGGCTGTCAGTGTTTTTCTCCTTAATTTCATCTCATTTTCTTGGTATTTAGTAGCAGACCAATCACCACAGATTCACCTATACATGAACTCATCGCTCCATTTGTTGTTACAACATTATCCACATTGCAGCAGTGGGGCCAATTTGATTCCAACATAATTATACAAGGCATTGGAGTGATCACATTTGCATCCCACTTGCCTAATTTAATGCCCCTTTGCCTGAAAACAGTGAGGCATGCACAGATAGCTGCTTAACCATGATTTAGCTAGCTGAGACATCCTCTTAAAATTGATTTCCCTTTATACACCAGCTACAATAATGAGCTGGGCACAGTGATAAGGATCCCATTCTGCATATCGCAGGGAATCAATCAGGTCTGACTCCATGAGTTATAGATCATTGATCACAGTGGAAAGACTGTGCAGTTTATTATGGAGGCTGAAATGGGAATCTATGTGAACAAGTACAAAGCAGTATGATGGAGAAATATTACTTCTGGAAGAAATGAGAGCCATTGTATTAGGGGAATTAATCAGAAGAAAGCTTCGCATTGCATGAAAGAAGTTGATGAGAAAGTCGTTTTCTGAAGGAAGAGTTAAAGTTCTTCAAATTATCTTAAAATATTTTGGTTCAGTTCAGTTTGCATTTCAAATAATGATGTGTTTGTTTTTTATTAACTTATGTGATATTCTTTGTTTGTCTCCTCCGTACAGCTTAACTACACTCAACATGCTAACAGACGAGCTGCTCAGTCTGGCCCCATCCCTCCAGCCTTACGTCAAAGCTGTAGAAACAGCACTACATTACATTCTGTCAAACTACCATGGAATTCAAGATGAGAGCTCAGCTGAGTACATCTTTAAAGAAGCCATTGGGATCTTCCTCCACAAAGTAAACCTCACATCAGCGGACTTCCTCTCCCTGCTGCAGGGCCACTCTTCTGCTCTTGACAAAGAGGCTCTGGTCCACACGATGAGTCAAGCAGTCAAACATCTAATGATCATGTTTGAGGGTGTGCCCATGGTTTACCAGGGCTTGGAGTATTTTCTGACATCCAATGACACGAGGATGATAATGGAGAAGGTGGCTGAGTTGGCTGTGTGGTTGGCCTCTGTGGAAGAGTATGGAATGGGTCAGCTGGATCAGGCTTTGCTCGAAGTCTACCGCATCCTCTCGTCTCTTGTGTCTGCTCTGACCGGGATGGATATGGACAAGCCAGGTCCCATGGGGTTGTTTGAAGAGCTTGCCTATAACATCGTAGCAATGGTGAGACAGATGGTGGCCACTAGTGGTATTCTGGGCCCCATGGAATACCATCATGGCATGTATAAGCATGATATGACAAGCCAAAACCACACAAAAGGGGTTCGACGCAAACGTGAGTATCCAGTGATTCCCATGAGGAGCCCTTTAGAAGACTTCCTTGACCTGCTCTACATTGACTATCCAACCATGTTCAAGGCCATGTCAGCCCCCACCACCACAAGAGAGATGATGGAAACAGCCCACATTTTCTTTGCAAATCCGGATCTTAATGTTGTAATGAAAGGAATAACGAGTGACATGGGGTGGTACTTGAACGCGTCTCGAGAAGACACCATTGATGCTGCAGTGGGGATGCTCTCCTTCTTCACTCTCCCCAGCATGTTTGATGTGTAAGTCTCAGATCATACCTTAAGCAGAGAGAAAAAGTTTCCTTTTTCATATATTTTTGCAGATGTGTAAATTGGTCCAACAATCCAAAAATATAGCTTTGAACTCTTCCTTCTCTGCTGTGTTAATCAACAGTTTATTGCTCTGTCAGCCCCCTTGTTTCATCAACATTCTTTTTTGAATCCTCTGCAGGTCAGCTATGGAGCTCCTGATGTACGCTGCAGAAATGCTTCCTGATGGTTTGCCGTTTGCCTCAGATCTTCAGGATATCAGCAAAGCACTTGCCAGAGAATCACAAGGTAACTCCTGACAAGTTCTTTCTTTGTCAGAGACCTCATGGACCAGGAGAAGTCTTATAATGAGCGATATTTACTCCTTATTTAAAGCAGGATCCTAAAATGAGAAATGCTTTGTCCTCTCTTCAAGTTAATTTCAGCTCCTGACCTCTCAGTCATCTCCCTTCCACTCCTGCTTAGTCATGCTCATGCTAAACGTGAGCTTCACTGTACAACAACAACAATCAAGCTTTACTGTAAACTGCCGTAGCACTCACAGTCATGCAGCAGTTGGTGTTTACACAGCTACTGTCACAGTATGGATATATAAACACCGTCTGCCAGCATGTGTGATTTAACTGTGACCCAGTATGCAAGAATGGCAACCTTATCTCTGACCTTCATAGCTACTCAGAGACTAAGGGAAGACCGTAAAGCGTTATGTTAATGCTGTTGTTGTTGTATACATGATTACAGCACAGCATAATTCATTCTGGAGATATGAGAAATAAGACTTCACATCAGCTTAGCTTGAGCTCCCAAAGAGCCCAAGGCCATATGGCCCTTCTCCAGCAGAAAGCCACTCAGCACCTTTTTAAATCTCATTAGCAAAGTAGAATTCAATCACTTATCCTGTCCGCCCTCGCTAAACGTCTCCCCTCGCGCTCACACAAGTGGACATCTATGACCCCTTTTTAATTGGCATCTGTGCTTGTGTGATAATGTTTTCGATGCATACAATCACTTTGTAAGCAGCAGGGGCTTTACTCCCTCTCCAAAAATTCCCCCTCTCAGATTCTTCACACACACACACACATCTGGAGAGAACATTTGTAATAGCAAAGGCCTGTAGGTGTTGAGCACCCTGAGATTAAACAGCACCATTGTCTAATTTTGGCCTAATTAAATATTCTGTCATCTCGTCTTGCTGCCTGAGGTGGTGCCTTTCTTAGTGCTTGTCAAATGTCTTTTAATGCACGACAGCATCTAGTACTGCCGGCCCTCCTGGCCCCATCAGTCCTGCACAGGGCTTCACTTTAAGCACATCATTTGCTGCTCGCTGCCTGACGCCACCGCCGCCACGTAATGGTGCGAATTGTAATGAAGCCCACTGGGACATCATGTTATTCTGTCACCTAACAGACCTTATTGCCCTCCTTTTCCTTTCCTGTGCAATCCTCCCATCTAACTCTAATAACCTCTCTCTTTCTAACATTTCCCCATGGCTCACTCTCTCCTTTCTAACCCCTGTAGAAAACCTGCTCCTCATGGAAAAGACCTTCCACACCGCTGCTGAGCTCCTCCAGATTGGCATGACAGACCCCAGCTTCATCAAGCAACTGGAGCACCTGACTTCCAAGGTTTTTCAAAACAATCTTGCCTTTCCTGCACATTTATTGTTCAAAAAATGGGAAAAAATAGTACCTGGAACTTTTGAATTAACTGTCAGGGTTGATTAATTGTTGTAAAAGCAAATTTTAAATTATAATGATTTCATATTACAACAACATAGCCTTAATGACCCACTCAGATGCACTCTATAATTATGACACTGTTTTTTTTTCTGTTAAGAACAGGTTGACCTAATGTGTGGTATTTTGCATTTCTATTGAAGTAAATACAACAGAGTGTAGACATTTAGAGGCAACAAAAAGAACAGCACTGCTAATTAGGCTTGGGCCGAAAACACTTGACAGAGTTTTGATTTGTTATTTGATTACTGCCAACATCTGTTATTTAGTTCACATCACAAATCAAATGAAGTTCATTGTTTACAGCCGCTCTTTGTTGCTTTGGTTTGTGCCTCGGAAACTCCTTGTTATGTTCTTCGTGTGGCTGATCTGTCTTAGGTGTGCGCGGTGGAGAAAACAAAGAGTGTGCGTGTGCTGATGAGAGCCGTTGGTTTGGAGCCTGGCCAGCTGTGTGACACCTTCATGCCGGCCCTGCAGATAGTGGTTAAGACCCTTACGATGAATGTGACCACCCTGACTAATGTGCTGTTTGAGATGTTCATTGGAAATCCCCAAACCTACGATGTCAATTTCAGCTGGTACAGGACTGTCTTCTTTGTTACTGAGTTTTTAAGGAGTTCCACTCCTTCACCCCTCTTTCCTCTGATCACTTTTTTAATGATTTCCCAAATGTTATCATACAGCTCTATGACATCCCTTTTTCTAAATTGAGCAGTGTCCTTTTGCAGTGTTTGGTTAGATAAAGCTTCCCTGCATTAATTTAGGTGAAAAATATGAAAAGATTGTTTTGTTTAAGTTTCTTTATGAAGATCTCTTTTCATATTTGATTCCAGGACCTCGGTACTGAGTGAAGGTTTGAGCTTTAACATCAGCGGTCTAAGCTCTCTCAACATTAACATCACTTCTCCAGGTGAGAGTTTCTCTACCGAAACAGACCAGTAGTCCTTTTCACCTTTAGCCATGCTAAAAACTGTTGTTGTTTTTTTTAACTAGACAGGCACAAGCAACAAAATATAGTTTTATTTATTTTCATCTCTTCATGTAACCCACTTAGTGCTACATTTTTTTAATCTGGAAAAGTCCTATAAAGTCTTGTTGATTGATTCATTGAAGCAACCTTGCAAACAAAATGAAGGTCAGCAAACAGCTGCAGCTGCTCATCATTTAAATACAATAAAGACATACAATAAAAACAGTCATCTACAAAATACCGCTTTAAAAATGAATAAAATTGAAAAAAAACATTCTACCTTTATCAGAGGAGGACATGACTAACTTGTTTGACATCAATAAACTGCATGATTCTTATAATGAAACATATACTTCCAACCAGGTCATATTTTTTTGTTTTAATTTTTTTTTGTTTTTTCTTTATTTCCCAGGAGCGGTGACGGTCGGTGAGATGCTAAGGAATAAAACAGCCTTTGTTGAGGATGTACAAAGACACACAGATTTTGATCCCACTGCTCTCCAGCTGCTGATGAAATCGACTCTACCAAACAACAACTTAGTGGTAAGCCAGGATCATTCCTCCGCATACAGCGTCATATTTACAAGCAAACCTGTAATCACACTTTCAATGAATTTAAAGACATGCTGTGGCTCTGCAATCATGCTACAAGAAACATGACTAACCTGTCCCCCCAACACACTTTGTGTTGTTTCCCTAAATGAAGAAGTAAAACCTGTCATGTCCCACTCACAGCTGCAACAATCTGTTTTACATGAAAATGCTGAACCTTTAGACACAGGACCTGACTTTTAATGATTGTTCTTGTTTCTGGCACACGTGACATACCGGTTTGCATTGACAGTGATCTGTGGGTGGTTTATTTATCTCTATATACAGACACATGCTGAGTGCAGCTACATATCTTTCCATCACCTTCAACGAACAACAAGCTTGACGATGTGTCAAAAAAGACAATTAGCATGTAGATTGAACAGCTGCCGTTCAACATACAAGAATTTAAGAGGTGTTTGACTCATGTGTTTGACAGAGCTGAGAGATCATGCATATTTTTACTTTTTTAAACCTCAAAACTGATCTTATCTGTTAATTTCAAGTAAATGTCAGTAAATCTGATACTCTGAGGAGTTGTACAGCCAGGATAAACTAAAGTGGGGCTCCTGCGCAACTTTCTTTTTACAGTGAAGTCAGAAACCGGTGAACAGGGAATCCTGTAATGAAGTAAGAAATGACGGCATTTGGAGCAACCTTTGGACTATAATTAGTGCCGTACACAGAAAAAGGAGTCTTGGATGGAAGCTTATTACTTCTGTCCTTTTTTTTTTTTTTGGAAGGATAGGAGATTTTCGGACAAAATGAGTTCTTAGAAAACATGAACACCCCTCTGTGTTTTTGTTCCCAATGTTCCCTGTTTAAGTTTTTTTAATTCTTGTTATGCTTTTAAAACAGATCCTCTCCTGGTTGGTCAACTTGCGTCACTGCGACTCCATATCATCTGCGCGCCTAGAGCAGGCCGATGCCATCATCTTAAAGGTCTTCTGCAACATGAGTGTTGCAGATTGGTACAGCTTCTCATTGCTGATGGCTCACCACCTCAACACAGAGAAACTCATCTACAGAGTAAGTCTGAATTAACATTGATTTATAGCAGAAAATCAACCAGCTTCACTTTCTTCTGAAGGCCCCGTGTTTTTCTTTGTTTGGTTAAAAAAAGATTTGTGAATGTGAGTCTTTGAGATTACATTCTTCTGAAACAACTGGATCGAAAAAGAAATTGTTTTGTGGGCGGTTGTTCAACTGTTTGATGGCACACTGTGTTTGTATGAGGAACATGTAAGTCAGAGGAAAATAAAAGACTCTTTCAAGAAAGAAAAAACCCAACAAAAAACACTGTCAATAAATTAAGTGAGAAGTTCGTGAGACTGGTAGAGCGTGTTTCTGTTTAACCAAAACATGTAACTATTATGAGAAATGCAAACAACATCACTAACTTTTAAAGAATTGGTCTTAGCTCAATGTTTACAAATTCACCACCTCAGAAGAGACCCAAATATCTTAAGGGGGCATATTTAGGATTTTCTCTTCTAGTGATTAATGAAACCAAAGTTTAGTGCTGCTGCTTAACTTAACTGCGAAAGTTTGTTGTTAAATGATCCAAATTGAGACACAAGAACCCAGAATAGACTGACTGCCTTCTGTTCTTCCCACCGTGTTTTTATGTCTAATCTATACCTGCTTTAATACTGACAGGCAGCTTTTCTCCCTGAAATCCTGTCTTGTCTTCTTTTGTTGATTCTCTGTATCCTCCACCGTCCTCCACCCACTATGGACATGTTTTGCAGGGAGATAAGAACAAATGCCCTGGGCAGGCTAAAAATTGATAGGCTCTGATTCTAGGACAGAGAGGATGGACATCCACACTGTAAAAAACATGACTGAACACTTAAAATAAAAAGTCGCTTTACACTTCAAAGTAAAACTGAGCCCACACAGGCTTCGCCAGTCAACTTGGATATTTAATGTGAATGACTCATCAAAAGCTGATGAAAGAGTTTGTTTCTCTTGTCGTATGGTCTCTGATCGACCTCCACTTGTATATTGCAGTTGTCCAAACTTTAACATGCGCGAATGGTTGCTCTGGTCTAAACTTCTACCCCTGTTTTCATCCATTTTACTCAACGCTGAAGAAGAACTGTATGCAGCTGTTTTCCCTTCTAAACTGCAACATAAAGTTATACATGGCAAGAAATATGATCTCTGTAGATATTAACTGAATTTAAAAAAATGTCATGTTCTTTCAGATGGTGCTCTCTGATGAAACGCAGTACATGGTGGGAGTGATGCTCCAGATGGCTGAAGTTGTTATCAACCTGATGGACAAGATTCTTCCTGCAGTCGATCATCTGCAAAGCTACATGTCCTCCATTGAAGATGTTGACTTAAACAGCCAATTTCCCCATGTGTGTATTGTGCTGCTGTCTATTTATATATTCTTCTGAATATTCTTATGGTTTTGTGATGACTTAAGTAGTACCTGGCTGGAGATAAGAGGTAGACTCCCGGTTCAAAGGGAGGATCTTCAGTTTTATTACATGACACTGTCAAAATCATAAAATATAAAAAGTTTCAAACCCTGTTTTTTTTTTCTTCCCTAGAAAACAAGAGTACAAAGGTCCACCCAATCCATCAAACCATCATTTGTCACCTTGTCCAGAGCGCTGTGCAGCAACGGCATTGTAGCTCTGTTTGGACTCTCCAAACTCCCACTGTCATCAGACAACTCAGACCCATCCTCTCAAGACGACCTGAAAAGAGAGGAGATGATTGAAAGGTTCAAACTCCCAAGAAATGCTTGTAAGTGATGTGAACAGATTTGTGATTGTCTTTGTGCTTGCTCTTGTGTTTTTCCACTAGATTTATTTTTGTCACAAGAGAAAATTATCACATAACGGCAGCTTTATCTGTCAGGCTCAGAAATGGTTTTCCTCTCTCTGTCTTCATTCAGCTCCATTCTGTATGAACATCTACCTCGACATGGTCAACACCACCGGAGGAGCCATCGCCTGGGCCTTCCTCAAACCGATGCTAATGGGGCAAATTCTGTACACCCCCGACACACCTGCTACCAGGAACATAATGGAGAAGGTATACAGTCCATACATCCTAACATACACCAGAGTTTGTGTAGCCCTGCATGCCTGGTTTGAGTGTACTGCTGCACACACAGACTTTAACAGGCAGACACAAAGATCATTCACATGTTATTGTCCTCGTCCAGTCCAATGCCACCTTGCATGAGCTTGCAAACCTGAGGAAGTACTCCAAAGAGTGGATCGAATCCTCTGGCTACATCTTCCAGGCTGCAGAAATACTCAGCCACACTTTGCCGATGCTGCAGGTACAAAAACTCTGAGACTTTTTCCTTCTGTATATCCGATTCTTTCTTTCTCTCGCTGGCTCACAGTCATCCGAAAGTCTAGATAAACTTTGCAGCGGTCTCTGACGAGTTTCAGCAGCTGAATCATGATGTTGTGCGTCCTCTCTTCCACCCCCCCCTCCCCACCCATCTCCTTTCAGAATTCCCTGGGCAATTCCTTTGTGAAGAATTTCATTGAGATGCAGACAGACATCAATGTCGGCACAATGAAGGAGACGCTCAGCAACTTCTGTGAGTGAGCGTTTGAAGGTCTTACTTTTGTAAGCTGCAGAAACCAGGCTTACCCTTCTATTCCTCCCTTGCTTATTGCCTGTAAAATAACCACATCATCAGGAACTAGGACTGCTCCTCAGCTTTGAAGGAAGCCTTACACTCACTCCAGCATTCATTTCCCAGGGCGTCTCTTCCTGATGTGATTATACGTGTCATTCATTTTATCTACACAAGGTCTAACTTTAATGTACAGCCACTAAATGAGATTACCTGGTATTATCTGACTTTATTTTGATCCCAGTTTATTAATAATAGAACAAAGGATGAGGCCAAAGACATGACACAACAAATCTGATTATTTTGTACTGATTTACATCCATCAAAGCTAAACTGGCCTCACACTCTGTTCGCTCATTTCCCAAATGTATTGATTTGTTTTATTTTTTTCCAAAGCTAACATGACAATGATGCTGGACAAGAACAAACACATGCTGGATCAAATCACAACCTTGTCCACCCTCATGATGAACCTCTCCTCTTGCATTAAATTTGACCGTTACCGTGGCTACGACTCAGAGGAGCAGCTTAATGCTGATGCACAGGACCTTGCCAAAAACCGGGATCTCTATGCAAGTGAGTAAATAAATGCCATCACAGACAAACGTCACATTTTTAGATTGGCTGTTTCTTAACAGAAGGATTTTGTGTGTGTTTCCTTTTCTTAAGTGAAACAGTGTCTTATGATAGAGACCAGATCAAACCCAGTGTGTGTTTTCATCATAAAAGAAGTCTCCAGTCTAGTTTATGAACCACTCAGGCTGTTCATTTACTTTCACTCTGCAGTAATCTGCTCTGTTCTCAGGACTTTCTCTCTGCATGTGAGTTTGTGGGCAGGATAACAACAAGGTTTGATAAGTATAGGCTCTTCCTGTAATAGAGGTTGGCAGCTTCAAAGGCACATTAAGCATCCACCTCATCAAACAGATACTCATTTACATTTTTTTTAATCTCCCGTGCTTCTTTTAAAGGGATCTTCTGTGTTGATAATGAGTCAAAGTGAGGGCGCGTACTGGAGACCTGATTTTGCAACAGTTTATCTGGGGTGGCTTAAAAGTTAGTCCACTCTTTGAATATCTCCACTAAGTATGAGCTGTATGCAGTAAGATGGTGCAATCCTGTCTTTAAGGTGTCATCTTCAAGCTTCCCAAAGACGGAGACTCATCCAGGAAACGCAGAGCTGCCTCCTTCACAACCTCCCTGCCTCCCAAAGTCAGCTACACCATCCGCATGCACATGGACAATGTCATGCGTACCGACAGAATGAGGAATCCCTTCTTCACAAAGGAGACGCACATCTCTGCGAGTCAAACAATGCGCTACAACCGAGGCTTTATCTACCTGCAGGAGACCATTGATCGGGCAATCATTGCAACGCAGACTGGACAGACTGTGACCGAACCAGCTGTACAACTGCAGGCCTTCCCCTATCCCTGCCACTTACGGGATGAGTGAGTCCTATGAACACATGAGTGCACACACAAACAAGCGCACAGACAGACAGACAAACACGGAATAAATGTGCTCCCTAATGTATGCATGCATGGAAACTTTATACAGGATCTCTTAAGAGACTCAAAGGCATTGATGTGGAATAATGTATGCTCTCTCATTATTCACTTGCCACTTGGGACTGACAGTAAGTAGTCAGTCACAGTAGCCTCTCACATCATAATTGGTTCCACACCATGTGCATGAATATTCACGATTATTGTGCATTCATTTCAGAAGACCATATACATGCAAACACTTGGAACACCCTTCAGGCCTCTAATAAGGACCCCAGGAAGAGCACTACTCATTCCTGCAGAGTATATCCAATCCAACAGGGCTTTGGCATTAACTTGTGCATCGATACGCCACAGTGTTTCCAATAAATCATGCTTGAACTCAATGCCTGTGTTTGTGCATGCATCTTACGACAACGCTGATATTTCATCTGTGAAGCACCAACGGGCCCCGTCTCTATCTGGCTGCCTTAAAGACCAACAGCAAGATATGATGATCCTCGCCCCTCTATCCTCTTGATTTATTACTCAACAATACAAAAGTCTGCCATGATAGCTGTGAAATATAGCTGTGTGGTAAGAGAAACAGCAAGTACTAATTTACTTCCCATCAAGCACTGGATATGATAAGTTCAAAAAATAAGAAATGAAACAGAGACACGTTTTATTTTAGTGTAAATAATGAGAGGATCAAAGCACGCCTGTCAAAAAGCCTCCAACAGTCCACAGATATTGCTTTCCCGCTCTGCATCTATATCTGACTGTCAAACCACTGACTGAATGATTGTCCTTTTCATCTGCTGCTGTTGACAGTGATTAGATGTTAGGTGTTCAGTAAATTTGACTGACAGTTGTTACTGCTGCTCTCCCCAGGTACCTGGAGGCCATCTCTTTTGTCTTCCCACTGATGCTGATGGCAGCCTGGCTGCTGTTTGTGGCCAATTTTGTGAAGAAACTGGTGCATGAGAGAGAATTGAGGCTGCATGAGGTAAATAAAAGCTTCTCTTGTACTTTTGCTTTGAAAACGGACTGTTTTGGCTCTCAAGATGTGCTAAAATGATACCTATTGTTTCTTAAAAAAACTCTCTGCCATTGACAAAAACAGAGATATTTCTTTAGTATTTGAGTGATATTTAAACAGGCCAACAGAGCAAAAATCACAAACTGTTTTTTTTTTTTTTTTTCACATTTGTGTGAATTCCCATCATGTTATGTTCTTACTTTTCTTTCAGTACATGAAAATGATGGGAGTTAACCCGCTCAGCCACTTTCTCGCCTGGTTCCTGGAATCTGCTGCCTTCCTGCTGGTGACCATCATCATCCTCACACTGATTATGAAGTTTGGCGGTATCCTGCCCCACAGCGATGGCTTCATCCTGTTCTTGTACCTGTGCAACTATGGCTTGAGCATCCTGGCCTTCAGCTACCTGGTCAGCTCCTTCTTCGACAAAACCTTCATCGCTGGCTTGAGCGGCAGTCTTCTTTACATCCTCTGCTTCTTCCCATTCATCATCGTCATGGCCATAGAGAGGACACTCACTTTTTCACAGAAGAGCATCCTGGTGAGAAGGCTTTGAATCTTATTTGTCATAAGTTAGATTTACCGTGTTCATGTTAGCTATGATTTTGTAGTTTTTCGTGTGGAGACTGAAAGAGCCAAAATAGGATTTATTCCTCCTGAAACTGACAGATCGTAAATGATCCTGTTTTATCATAACAGAAACTCTGTATATTAATGGACCACATCTTCATTTTCTAATCATATTTTTTGTTCTGTTTTGGTATTTGCTGTCTGGTCCTCATAAAGTGGAGCCTAGGCGCTTCAATTTTATCTTGAGCACAGCGTACATCCAAAGCCTTGTTTGCCTTGAACACAACACTCCACATCACTGAGAGAAGGCTTTTGAAGTGCATCACTTTATACTGCACAAAGTTGTCTTTAGAAAATAAAGAAGCTACACAGGGAATCACAGACAGGCATTAATGTGAAAAATGTGAAGATGCTTCATTTTGTTTTTCTGCTTTCTGTCTCTTATTTTCTTACAGAGTTTGTTTTCGCCGTCCTGCTTCAGCTACGCCAGTCAGTACATGTCTCGCTACGAATCCCAAGGGGAAGGTATGCACAATAAGTCGACATCTGAACTGCATTAAGCAAAACCTCTTTGACATTTAAGCTCTTTTAAGCTCGGTGAGACTTAAAACCTAACATTTTCTCTCTGTAGGCATTCAGTGGAGCAACTCGTACACCTCGCCCATCTCTGGAGACACAGCTTCGTTCGGTTGGCTGAACTGGCTGATGCTCATCGACTCCATCCTCTACTTCATTGTTGGGGCTTACATTCGCATGGTCTTCCCAGGTAAAACGTGAAATCACTGAAGTCTTAGAAAAGGTCATAATATCTCTTAACACAAGAAAGCATAAATTAAAACGTTTAGAAAAAGATTTCTAACTCTGCCATATTTGTTCCGGTCATATTTTTTCATCTGTTGCTCTATTTTCACTTAGTAAAAACCTTGAAATTGCTTTTTGTTTAAAAGGTGCAACTTACCTTGCTCGTACAGATCATGCTATCATCAGCTTCTTGTAAAAACAAGTAACCCACAGCAAAGAAAATATATACTCTGCAGCCCTCTTTTTTTGTGGTAAATGAAAAATCATTTCTTTAACCCCCAGGAAAGTACGGCATTCCTGCCCCGTGGTACTTCCCCTTCCAAAAGTCCTTCTGGGCCAACCTGTGCTGCTGTGTTAAGTCGAATGATAAGTCGAGCAGGGGACTCCTCTTCACCAACATCATGCAGAAAAACCTGCCTGTTTTCTCTGACGACAAGGGAAAAGGTACAGAGCAAAGAAATGACATGGCACTGTCTCACAGCAGATAACAATGAACAATCCTGTCTCCTCCAGCAGTAGGTTTAGAGGCAGGAACATGATGTCTTCGCTCTCTGGGTCTCTTATTTTCTTCGAACCCTGTCACCTCACTACTTTTATAAGACTTGTCATTCCTCATTTAATTCCTGTCCCTCATTTGTTTGATAAAGTGGCTCCCTGTTTCTATTTTTCTTTCAGGCCAAAGTACACTGTCCTCTCAGGCTGGTGAAAATTTCTCCCATCTCCCAGTGGGTGTGAGCCTCCACGGTCTCAGCAAGATGTATGGGGACCGAGTAGCTATTGAGAACCTTAATGTTTCCTTCTATGAGGGCCACGTCACCTCCCTGCTTGGTCATAATGGAGCCGGCAAGACCACAACCATGTATGTGGGACACTATTTCCCTCTGTTTGCATTGTATCAGCATGTCTTAAGACAGAGACAGAAATCATTCGGACTATTCATACACTGTATGTGGTGTCTTTTAGATTCGATTTGTGCATGCTTTTAATCAGCTCAAAGGGCTTGCTGCTGACAGGGAGATTGTTTTGTTAAAATCTGGAGCAGCATAAAATGCACCGTGATAGAGATTAGCCTGACGGCTCTTCATCAACCGGAGCACTTACATTTACATTTTAAATGTGACTAATTCTGCTGATGCTCTTATCCGGAGCTACACACAATGAGAGCAGCAGCAGAAAAAGATTCAGCTTATAAAATACCAATCCTAGAAGGGATTCTATGTGTTATTATTATGTTCCTGGGAACAATAGCTCATCACTCAAAAGGAAAGTGCAGTGGAGACTGCACTAAAAAACACATAATTGGACTCAAAGTAAAGGTATTTTAAAGGTAGCAATCATGAACAAAACTAATTGTAAAACTGTTTTACTATTTATTTTATTAATTTTCTAACTTTTCCCAGTCATGAAACAAAACATTAAGAGAAAAAAAAACACATTTTTCTTCTCTATTAGGGGTGTTGTTAGATAAACTGTGATTAAATAATCAGATCTTTCAACCCAAGATTGTCTCTCTGTTGATTATTCCTCATGTTTTAGGTCTCTTCTGACTGGCCTTTATTCTCCAACTTCTGGCTCAATCGAAGTCTATGGCAGAGACATGCAGACCCACATTGACGATGTTCGCAAAGAGCTTGGAGTGTGCATGCAATATGATGTCCTCTTTGACCACATGACCACCAAGGAGCACCTGCTGCTGTACGGCCAGATCAAGGCCCCACATTGGTCAGACAGGGAACTGCGAGAACAAGTTCGCACGTAAGTGCAGAGTGCAACATCCTATTCTGAAGTGTCTAGAAGACACCATCTTAGGTGTAGCTTTAGCAAATTATTCAGCAATGTCAGATAATGTTCCTCAGCCTAAAACTGCAAAGTATCTGTGGATTTCAACAAATACAGTACAGAAAACATGAAAAGATCCAGAGAAATGTGTGAAGAACCTGTTTGAAAGGACTTAAGTCAAGAACCAATTCAGGATGACTGTAATCTGCTCTGGTGGCTCTGCATTAGAAACAGACATGACTCTGAAGTGGAAACCGCTGCATTGCTTAGAGTGTAAACCATTGTTTGTGAACACAGTTTGCTGCATCCTCAAAGACCCCATTTAATATGTATGAAGGTAAAGGGGAAATTGGTTTTACAAATCTATATGACTTTTTTTTTTTATCATGGTCACTGAGGAACCACCTGGCTTATTGGCATATTTCAGCAAGACAACACAAAAACACAATTTGCTCATATTGCATCGGTTTGGCTCTGAAGCAGATGAGTCAAGGTGCTTAACAGTTGAGACCTGTGTCAGCCAAGAATGAGACAACACCTCTCTTTTAAAAACTGGTCCCTAAGTTCTAACTTGATTACAGAAAGAAGAAAAAGAAAGACCCCATTCCAACTGTTTGGAAATGTGTTATTTTTATCAAATCTTAAATAAGCATAAAACAAAATTTTCTTCAGTTGTAAAGTTTATATTTTGTCTTTGCAATATTTCTAATGACATATGTAGTTTCATTGACATGCAAACCATCTGTTTTATGAACATTTTTCACAGTTTCCCCATTTTTGAGGGGGATTTGAGTTTAATGTTGTCACAGACATAATATTCTACAGTCACACTTTTTATAAAATCAGCCACATTTAGGTCACTACAAGCCATTTGAGATACTTATAATGCAGGTTGAGAAGACTATTATACTCTGAGCATTAAGGAAAGTGGGGAACAACCTTTTTCCTTTGTTCCAAACTCACATTTCCTATTAAAAATTCAGGGTATCTTTCTGTTAGGCTCTGTTAAGCAAGCAATGGGAAAGTCATTTTTTTATTCGGTGGCATCATTAAACTATGGGCTGAACCTGGAGTTGCGTCAGGAGACTATTTCTGGAGCCTTTTTACATGACAAAAGTTGCAGTAATAAGTCTGAACCCGAGGGCAAGACACTGCACCTCTCTGCTGGTTCCTGTTTTTTCTTCTGAACCCCTGCTGGGTCGATGATGGAACTGTAACTCAGAAACATGACTGTAATACACAGAGAAAGCATGTTAACACAAGCGCTATGTTAAATGCTTTTCAATGGCTACCCCACCAGGATCCTGGAGGAAACAGGCATGTACGCTCACAGACATAAACGGGTGGGCACCCTGTCAGGCGGCATGAAGCGCAAGCTGTCAATCTCCATCGCCTTCATCGGGGGCTCTCGCTTGGTGGTGCTGGATGAACCCACCACAGGAGTCGATCCCTGCTCCAGGCGCGCCATCTGGGATATTGTTATCCAGCACAAGAAAAGTGAGTCTCTCTCATTCACACATACACACACACTCAAGCATAATCTTTGTTTCAACAGCTTACCTCTGAACTCTAAGCTACACCTACTGCGCTTGTTATTATTACCTTTTAAGGCTGCTATGACTCCATGGTACAGGTAACTATTAACCTACACTCTACCTTCGCTTGTCACTACATTGAACTGTGATATGAGAGGAGACAAAGCAGAAATATAGCACACAAAATCAATGATAAAACAGAGTATTCTCTCAGTTTGTGTCATCTTGTATCCTGCAGGGCTTGGTACTTTGCCTTACTTTCTTTTGTTTTTATTCTGATGCCTTCCCTGGCCTTATTATCGTTCTTTGGCATGGTGCCCTACATTTTTTACACCAGTTGTATCCAATAATTTATCTCAATAAGTCCTGAATCACAACTCACTGGACTCCCAGCACACTGCCTTGCTGGATCAAAGACTGTGGATCTGTAAAAACAGCCCTTGACGACCGAGCACTGAGAAAATTAAGAATCTGATATTTGGTCCAGGTCATATTTCCAACAGCAATATTAGCACACACCTCTACTTTCTGTCTTTGGCCACAAAAAAACAACTTAAACCAGACAAAAGTCTCGGGGGTTAAAAATGTTACTAAATTGGGTTGACCATACGTCCTCTTTGACTCAGACATGTCCTGGACGGCTGTCCAGCCTGTCCGGGGGGAGTTTACAAATTTCTTCAAATGTCTGGGGTTTTGTATGGAAGCCCGTTTACGCCAGTGCAAAAAAAAAAAAAAAAAGATTAAATGATGCCTTTTTTTGTCTCTTTCTTGTAAAAAAAAAAAACAGAAAAAGGACGACATATTATCTCTTTTTTTATGTCACTGGCAGAAATGGGCTTCCATAGTTTTGAGTTTGTGTTGTGTTTACTTTATCCTCGCATCACAGACCATTGTATTTACTATACATGTTCAATGGTTCATTTGGAAAGACACTCTGAAAGGGAGAGTTCCATGCTGAACCCCAGAACGTGTATTCATTCACTATAAAACAGTGCAGCGCAACACTAATTTCATGCTGCTCTGCCCCTTCGTTCAACTGTCTGCCAGTGAACCCTCAAAATTTCCCCCATGTAGTAGTGTCCTCTTTTTGGGGATTCAGAATATGGTCACCCTGACGAAATATGACGAAAAATAAAGCAAGAATTTTGCCCCCACCCCACCAAAAAAAGAAATGCAGGCTGAGCAACTTACCTTTCTTTTCACCAACCCAACTCTCGATCTGTTGGTCAGTTCCAGTTGTACACATAGACTGTATATACTATGGACAACTTGGTTCCGCCTCCCACCCGTATACGGATTTGAAGCCAAAAAGCTCTCGATAATTCTGAGTTTTTTCTTCATTTCCTGAAATCAGCATTAGGCTGTAGTGTTGCGTGCATTCGGCGTGAGAGTCGCTGTGACGACGCTCGGCTCAAACAACGTACCCCATGGGTGAGCTACGCAATCCCTGAACGCCAATAAGCTGTATCAGGTGTAAATCAAAGAAAACATGAACCCCCTAATAACTTTTAAAAACGGAGCTTCACAGAAAAAAAATGACTTGAGCACGAACCAGTCTTACTGTAACTACACATCAACACCGCAAGCAGGCGGGAGAAAAATTTAGGTTCTGTGTAATAAATTTCCAAAGTTTGTCCACAGCTCCATAAGCTTTGCTGGTGGAGGTGGGATTTATGACCTATACTGCAGCCCATCAACAGAGGGTGCTGTTCTCGGAGTGGCTTCATCCAGCGAGGAGGCAGACGGCCTCGATTCTATATATACAGTCTATGGTTGTATGTTATTGGATTTGGAGATAAACATCTGGATATGTATATTTTAGATCCTGTATGGTTCGTCCGGCTCGTATTCCTGGTCCTGTACCTCCTACTTCTGCATCAAAACCCTTAAATAGATCTGTGTGAAAGTTTTCCCAGTTCAAGCCTAAAACTCAAAGGCGTCTTCTTCTCCAGTAGCAGATTAAGCTAGCTGAGCCCGTGTAACATTTATAAGAGCTTTTTAAAACCATCCGTAGTGGCTGTAAACTTTATAACGTCTCACTCCAGTGGCTTTATTTTGTTCTCTATATTCTGTTTTATTTCTGTGTATGAGCCTCCTGCTGTGTTTGATAGCACCGTGTTTTACCTTTAGTGAAGCACCTTCTAACTCTGGTTTTTAAATTTGGTTTAGAAATACAGTTTACCTACACCTTAGATAACACTGAGGCAGTTGGAGAAATTAAAAGATATTTGTGCAATGGTTTTTCCACAAAGATCAACACTAGTATTTCACTGAAGCACAATAAATATAGTTAATCACATTACATTATATTAATCCTGCCAGGCATGGCTGCCAATGAAGAAAAGAAACCTATAAAATCTAATCCTTGCACATAAATACTGATATTCACATATAGCACAGACAAAACAAGCTCTTATTTTGTGCCTCCTCCTGATAAAGCCTCCTCTTTTCTGTTTCCTGGGAGAGAAAGGAGTGGAGGAGCAGGAGAGAGCAGCCAACCTGCAGACGACCCCGGAAGGCTTTTCCCTGCTCCAGCTTCAGACTTTAAATTTAGCATATAATTAATCTAAAAGGATTGCAGAAGTCTTTCTTCTTTGGGCTCTTTTAGTTTAGATGCAGTAATGGCAGAGAGGCTGCTAAACGTCATGTAATTGTAGATGTGAAAAACATCCTGAGTAATTGGCCCTGTTTCCTGATGTGAGTGGGATTTTGATGCTCGAGGGAGTCTTATTCAAAATAAACTTTCTGCATCACTTGCTGTTTGTGTGCCTGTTTCTCTGATGATTGGAGGAAGTGTGTGACACTGGGATTGTTATGCCTGCCTTTTGGTTGTTTATTTGGATGTGCTACATTAAAAGGCAAATATGTTCTCTCTAAAACAGAAAAAAAAAAAAAAAAAAAATATGCTGTGAGGTATTCAAATATAGCTCTGTGTTCTTTCACCTATGTAAGCCTTCGAATTCCCACAAAGCTGCTCTGATTAACATGTCTGGTTGAGTGCTTCATATCCAAATATATGACTTGTGTATGATCCACGTGTCCTCACAGATCGCACCATCATTATGTCCACGCACCACCTAGACGAGGCCGAAGTTCTGAGTGACCGCATCACCTTCCTAGAGAGAGGAGGATTAAAATGCTGCGGATCCCCTTTTTACCTGAAGGACAAGCTGGGCCAAGGCTACAGACTCACTCTAACCAAGAAGGTACAAGAGGGCCCTCAGAGGCATCCAGCTGCTATTCTCAGCAGAAGCACACAAAAAGATTGTGTTGCTCACAACGAACACAGAATTAATGTGAAAATCTCACGGCTTCTTTAAACCTCATTCCAGACTAAAACCTCCACTTCTATCTTGATTACTCTTGGTTCCTGTTTTAACATTGTGAAGTTAGTAAATATTGCATGGACTCTTCCCCTTTGAGTGAGAACATATGAGCACATCTCTGCAGCTTTTTTTAGAGATCCCATTAACGGTGTGTGCAGCTAGAGCACAAATGATACGCTATTTTCCACAGAATGATATTGCACAGAAGCTGACTATTTAAAAATCCCCAAAGCACAACAGTACCCTATCTGTAAGATGTTAAACCATATTATGGTCAGTATTAATTAACTTAAAAAAGCACATCTCAAAATTGGAGTTACAGCATGCTTTACAGCAGCAAAGAAAAACAAACATGCAGGTTCGGAAATTAAAATACCAAATGTAGTTTAATACTTTAAAGCAATTTGTGAAATATTGTTATGTCCTGATGGGCTAGGGGTATTCAGGACTAACAAAAACAGCAATTAAAAACCAGGTAAGGATGGAAAAAAAGAGAATGGCAGGAATAGACAATAACTCAAGTAATTTAATAAGGAAACTCAAGGGCAGCACTACCACAATTTAAAAAATAAATAAATATATACTATCCTCACAGACCTAAGGACGATATAATTGTTTACAACAAAAAGTGATCATCTCAAAAACAGCATGACTGATTAAGAACAGATGACCGACACAAAACTCACCAACAAGGCTTAACTCAGTATAAACTAAGGGAGAAATAAAGAGATGCCACACGGTCTAACTCAAGGAGAAATCACTTTTCAGTCACTATTGGAATCACACTATCAGGCTACTGCTGCTCCACTGCAGAACATCACACGGGTGAGAGAGAGAGAGTGAGCTGCATGTCCTCTGCTCCCTTTATTGCAGCAACTGCAGGTGATGGGCATCCTGCAGTTAGAGAGTGAAGCACACCCACAGACACTCTCATACAGACACTCTCACACAGACACATCTACACAGGTACATCCTCACTTTCACATGCAGACATCCACACAGATACTCACACACTCACTCTTAGACACTCACACATATATACATAACAAATATATGTTCATTGTGCTCAAAATGACAGAACCTTCATAATGTAAAAGAATCAAGGTAAAATCAAGGCTTACAGGGTTTTGTTTGAGGTATTTGAGTAGACTGTATGTCAAATAAATGACAAACAGATAGTTTGATGGGACATCAGCAGGTCTCTGACAGTTTTTTGTACTCCTGTTTGATACAGCTGTAGATCTTTTTTATTGTTAGTAAAAAAACAACTTTAACCTGGGCACCTTTCTTTTCATTGGTTCCCTTATGGACTCACACCTGTACCTCCCTGCTCTTGATACACAAAGTTGCTCACCCTGCCACACCCCCCTATATAAATGACAGTGTATGAGAGTGGATATGTAATATGAAACAAAACACTTCAGTGCATTAACAGGACTTGCCCCGTTGACCTGCAGGGCATTTGTTAGATCCACATATAACCGACATGGTTACTTTTGATTTCAAACTCTCTCCTTGTGTTGGGAAGAAGGAGTAGCCTCAATAAATTGAGTGATTAAGGGCAAAATAAATGTGAATTTTTTCCTTAAGATAGGAGCTCTCTGTCAACAGTCTACAGGTCAGAACTCATAGATATGTACAGACTAGATGATATTTATTTTCCTTTGGAAACATATATAAATAAAATGTATGTGCTGGATTGTGAAATGTGAAAAACTTCATAGGGGGGCTAATAATTTTGACCACAACTGTATAATTGATGTGCTGGAAACGCTGTTGCAACATCTCACTCACAGTTATAATATGGGTTTAATTTAAGGCTCCTTCACCCAGACTAGATTCATGAGTAACAGTGTTAGAGTCGGCTTCAGATAAACTGAAAAACTGCTGAATGAGCAAAACATGACACAGACAATGCTCTGCTCAGTGCTTTAAACCAGCGTATGCTTTTCACTAGATTTTGCTTCAATCTAAGATTCTGTTATACTTGACTGAATTAAAGAGAAATTTCGTATCCCACATGCCACTTAAAGATTGATGTCAAACCTCAGCTCTCCTTGGGTGTGCCATGTTTGGGTCTATTTTTACATTTATTTAAGTCTGAATCAAACCCCACATCCATTAAGTGGTCAGTCGTTTAAACAGCCCTGAGGCAACCCTCCAACAGAATGTCTTACAAGTTCTCCAATTTTATTTCATCCTTAACTGTGCACTCAGATGACTTGTTACTTATTTGGACAATACATTATTTAGAAAGCAGCACCAACATTTTAAAACTCTCAGCATGTCTACCCAGCAGGCGTTTCAGCTGCGGGTTTTCCAGTCATTTGTCTCACGCGCACCAGCTGCCCACACAGGCTGCATAATGGCTCATACTCTACATGCACAAGAGCCACATGAGTGAATTTCTCTTGAAAAAAAACTTGAGTATATAAAAGTAGTAAACTAATCATGGCTTGAATAAATGGATGATGCTAGAGAGGTCAGAATGCTTCAGCATACTTGCCCCAGAAATCCCAAAGGGTTTTAGTTTTTCAAATGAATCTGTGGAAACTTTGAAGCAGAGTGTGCCGTAACATAAACTCTGCTTGTTTGTTTCCAGATTCAGAGCTTAGAAGCAGAGCAGATTGACAACGCTGAGCTGAAAGCTTTCATCCAAGCCCATGTACCTGAAGCCAGACTTAGAGAGGCTCAGGGGGGTGACCTGGTCTACTCATTGCCTCCCTTCAACTCATCCAATGCCTCTTCATACCGCTCCCTCTTGACCGCACTGGACTCAAACCTGGACGCCCTGCAGCTCGGAGGATATGGTGTCTCTGACACCACTCTGGAGGAGGTAAACACTCATATACCTACTCGCAAGAAAACATGGCTGCACTGCAGTGACAATGCAAGAAAAAAACACCATTTCTTAGTAGATATGACTTTTTTAAAAATTATATTTACATGTGCTCACAATTATTCTTTCTGTGTAGGTGTTCCTCCAATTAGCTCATGAAAACACTGAGCTTGGGCCTGAGCACAGCCTCCCATCTATCTCAGAGACGGTTTCTGACACCGCATCCATCGACAGCTTCCCATCAGACCTTAATGGAAGTATCCACCGCTTCAGTGACAACATCAGTAAGTCAGCTCAATTTTACTCTCTCAAAACTGATCTAGTGACATCTTTGCCTTTATTAGATGGGACAACTAAAGAGAGAAAAGCCATTGTTGGGGGGAAGGATTAGGAATGTCATGCAGTATAAGGCTAAAGTTGAAATCATACCCACAGCTGTTGATGCCAGAACCCAAACCTCTGTTTTGAGGCACATTGCTGAGATAAACCATCACTTTCTTTCCCTCTTTTGTGTCCATCCTTATTCTCTACATGCCTTGTTTCTTTTCTCTGTCACCAACAAGTAACAACTAACACAAATGAAGACATGGAGTTTGATAGTTTAACACTGTTAAACTGAAAGAAGCTGCATCTCAAAACCTAATATGTTTAATTTGATGTAATTCGGCCAGTAGCACTTTTGTAACAACTTTTGATGTTAATCAAGAGTTGACCTTCTATTCTAGATTCACAAGTTTCCTTCTCAGCCCCCAAATGGTAGAAAAAGGCAGCTTGTATGACCCACTTCCAACAAACTGTACAACTGGAACACTCATCTTGATGGATTGCTTTGCCATCTCTTGTGATTCAGTCTCCACCAGATCCTTTCTTACAGTACAGTGCGCCTGAGAAAGAAAAGCAGGCATCAACAAAACAGTGTAAAAGTGAGCTTTGTCAAGATCCTGTTTCCTTTGTGTTGTAGAGCTGACCGGTTCGACCATGGTGCGTGGTATGGCGCTGGCCTGGCAGCAGGTGGCAGCTGTGCTGACCAAGAGGTTCCACCACAGCCGCAGAGACCTGAAAGGCCTGATTGCTCAGATCCTGCTGCCTGTCTTGTTTATGGTGTTTGCCATGGGCCTGAGTTCCATCAGGAACGACCTGCAGCACTTTCCTGAGCTCAAGCTCAGCCCGGACCTTTACAAGTTTGACGCAAGCTACTCCTTCTTCAGGTCAGTTCTTGTGGCAAAGGGAATACAAAGGAGCACTTAGGAGAGAGCACACAGGAGTTAACTGAGCTAATCAGGGTGCCCTTTCACTGAGCATGGTTTAGATGCTTTACACTTTTGTTCCAATTTGTTTGGCCAGAAGGATGCCTGGTACTCTGCTGGCAACAAATAACCACAGCAAGATGCCTGAAAAGTCTGGGAAACATTTCTCATTGTCTCAGTGTTCAAACTTTGAGAATTTCGGCAAAGTAAAAAAAAAAACCAACAGATTGCAATGCAGAGCTCATCTCAAGTGTTGTTGCTAACATACAAAACTGGATATACCTTTATCATGGAAACACTGCTGCTTGTCTCTGACTGATATGCATGTCAGCTGTCTGCATCACTTTTTAAGAGACGGTATGTCATACTTGTTCTTAAATGGATGTGATACAGTAGTTTGTTGAAGGGCAGACAGACCTCGAGGAGACAGGGCAAGGGAGAGTGTAAGGGAAGGAGATGATTGTGATGAAGACAGCTGAGATGCTTAGATCAAAGTGAGAGGGATCGAGGATGTCAGGAGGTTGCGAGATGTCTTCATTCCTGAAAAGTCTTGTTGTTTGATCAAGGGAGTGTGGAGCAAGGGAGGAAAGGCTGATGCGTCGATCCATATCAAAGAGAGAGCGGGCGCTGTCTCCCGTCCTCTTGAAATACAAAAACACATTGATTATTTATTCATTTTTAACGTCTAGGGTTGAGCATGGTCATAGTTAAAGGATGAGACTCTAAAATTACATTATTCCTCACATTTTATTTCCTTTTTCAAAATTTCCTGGAGAGACAATTCAGTTTGAATAACTTGATTTTTTTTAGCCAGGCTTACATTTAAATGCAGGGTAATTCTCAGATGAAAGAAATCCACTTAATAACTCCACAAATCAAGTGTCCCTGTTTCCGCTTTATCTATCTGGCCCTTTGCAGTAATGATGCTTTATTGGAATCACTGACTGGGCTTCCTGTGGTTGCTTTATTGACAAAGCCCCGCTTCAGTAAATAGCTCTTAAAGCAGCTTATCTACTTTTAAATCTTTGGTAAATGCCGGCAGTAAGATCTAATTCTTTATAAAGAAAAAAAAAAAAAAAAACAGCCAAGGTGCATTAGATCTTAGATCTGTCATGATTAAGTATACTGTATCTTTCAGTTTGCAAATGAGACAACCTTTTTTTTTTTGTTTTTTTTTTGTATGTTTTAACTGATGATGATCACCTTTGAGGATGAAATTGTTTGTCTCCACAGTAACTCCAATCCCAACTCAGAGAAGCTGCTGAACACTATGATGTCATTCCCTGGGATGGATAACTCCTGCCTGGACAAGCCCAATAACCCGTACGTACTCATGCCTCAAATGGCAGGTGCTTTGCCCTGAAAATGACTAACTTTGTCAGTGGTACTCGGCCATTTTTCTCTTTGTGTTCTGTCCTTTTCTGCCTGTACAGTGTTTTTTTAGATTCCCACTCATTGTCATTCTTTTCATGCCTCCCCTTTCACCTTGTTTCATTTTACTAGCCTGACTCCCTTCAATTCCTGCTGCTCTCTGTCTCTTTCTTTCTATTCTCTCTTTCTCTCTCATGTCCCTCCTCTCTATTTTCCTGCTGCTCAGCTCAACCTATGTGGCTGAAAGCCTACAGCAGGACTCTGCCATGTGAGAGCATCATTTGTATTCCATAAACACTCTGTGTTTATTGGCGAGATTTTCCCCTTACAGGCACTCAAATCAATGTTGGCACTCATGAACCAGACCTCTGAGGCTTTTTAAAATTCTCAGCAAAAAAAGAAAGAAATAAGTAGAGAGGGGGTAGGAAATGTGCCGTGGTGCAAAAAGGCTGCATCTTTTGCTCACTATGTTCTTAAATCACGGCTACATGACAACGACTGAAAGCTAGTAAGAGCTGCATCTATCATCTAGCTCTAGATTTCTATAGCAAATAAACAGCTCTCCCCCCTGACTCTGGCCTGTTTTGTTGACCAACAGGTGTATATCTGAGTTTGCAAGTGTTCAAAGATCTATAGTCTTTTTCTGTACTATGTCCCATTTGGCAGAAAACAAAATGTGGGGGAGTTGGATTTCAACCCACACGAGAAAATCTCACTCAGAACGACTTTGGAGAAAAAAATTTACACAGCTTTGAAAACTGCTTCAAACTGATATCAGAGGACATATTTAGGTCCTGATCTCACCAAAATCCTGTGAGCTCACACAGCTGCTGCATGAATGATTGCAGACAGTTGCAGTGATGGAGGCCATCATATCAATTCAGTTTCAGATATGTTTTGGGATGTGTCTGGGGATAGTCTTGAGGCATTATCACGCACTCCAGACTCCCATCACTCCACTGAGCCACCATTTCACTCTGTGAATGTTTCATTTAAGGGTCTGCTCAAGAACTGCAGATCTCTGGAGATCCAGTGGGAACAGCTCCAAAGCATTTAGCACCTGTAAATGCACCGGCCAGGAACAGGTGAGACCAGGTCACTGTGTATGTATGTGTGTGTATGTGTGTAAGTAAGTGAGTTTTTATGTTCTCATCCATCTATGGTACAATGTATCTGCCTGTGCTTTAAGTGTGTGATTAGTTGAAAATGTACAAGTGTAATGTATTTGTCTATACTCTGTTTTCTGCAGGTTTGTGAAACCTACAACAATGAGCCCCCCCACAAAAGCATCTCTTCATCCCAAATAGTGTACAACCTCAGTGGCATCAATGTGGAGGACTACCTGTTGGCCACAACAAATGACTTCATCAGAAACAGGTGAATGTGACAAAGGGGGTTTTTTTTGTTGTTGTTGTTGTTGATGTAGCCAGAGGGAAATGAAACTATGATGGACTGACAGGTCACCGTGAGAAACAGTGATTGTATGAAAAAAAGAGTATGTGGCAAAGATCCCAGAAAACCAAAGATGTTCAATCACAATATGCCCAATTCTATGTGAGGATTTCATTATTGTATATTGTTTTGGTTGGTTTAGATTGGAAAAAAACAGTTTTTAGATAATATCATACAGCTCTATGAACTCACAGTAAACTACTGACCCAAACAAACACAGCGGCAATTCTCCTTTTTTCTCCTAAAGTCTTTGAAATCCTAGATTTTTAGTCAAGTTGGGAGCTTTAAATATTCAACTGGCAGTCTTACTTTTGAGAGGAAAGCAGTTTTCACACAAAGCAAAGATTAGCTGGAGTCTGATTGGCTGTTCATTGCCCAAATTGCAGAAATCTAAAAGCTTAGTTTCTCCTGTCACTCTGCACAAAACAAAAAGGCTTCTAGTCAGTCGTGTTTGGCGTACTTTAAATGGGCTGGGATACTTTTACCAAAATTGCTTCCCATCTTCAGGAGGACAAGACTGATTTTCAGAGAAAGGAGCAGTTTGAAGACTAAGAGTGTGACGTCTTTGTTTTGACTAATATGTTTGTTGTTTTCAGGTATGGAGGCTTTGCTTTTGGCATGCCACTCCCACCTGACTTGCAATTGGACATAAAAGCTGTGCCCAAAAACCGCACTCTGGCTAAGGTAATTTGTCTCTTCTTCTCCTTCAGTGCTGCCTTTCTCATTATGACTTCAATCGCTGTGCTGATGAGTTAGAGAAAGTAAAAATATGACGTCCTTGTTAAAGTTGTTTGTCTTGCAGATGGAGCTACTTTGTTACACCATCAGTGTTATCATAAATACGCTTTACTGCAGCTATTATGCCACGGTTAAAGTGTGTAAATTTCCTCAGATGGTGACGACTGCTTTTATTGTACCTATAAAGCTTGAGTTTCAGGTATTGCAAAGTATGCAGCAAGAGGGAGAAGACTTACACATCTCGATGTATAGTAGTGTGTGTGGGGTGGTTGCTGTGTCTCTCAGTGTTTGTTTGTGGCTCGCTTTAGGTCTGGTTCAACCCTGAGGGCCATCACACAATGCCAGCATACTTGAACAGCATCAACAACTTCATCCTACGCTCCAATCTCCCAGCAGACAAGGATCCACGTAAATATGGTAAGCTGGAGTTAGAGATGGAAATAATGTTGCATGTAAAACTAAAAACTTGACAACTTAAGAGTTCACTCTCACTGAACAGAATTTCTGCAGATGCAAGACAGCGATGCCTTCGATGGCGGCTCTCAGTTTGTTTCTATTAACTCCTATATTTTTCAAGATTTTAATGCTTCTAGAAACGCCTGTACACATATTATCTATGGTGAAATAGTTCTTTAGTCATGCAGACACACAAGACTCCCTTGTTATTGCAAAAAATAAGCAGAGGAAATGAGACATGACTTGTATTGTGCAGGAGGGATGCACACATCAGCATCAGGCAAATCTATCTACTTAGCAAGGTGCTTCTGATTGAACGCTTAGTGCATTTTGTATGCTAAATATAAAGAGAGCTGTAAACAGTGTGTTTACTCATGCTTCATTTCACTGGATTAAAGCCAGGGGGTGCTGTGTGTCCTTAGACTCACATCACAATGCATTGTGAATACTGATGAGTGCCGCTCATTGGGGAGCCATGCTGAAGAGAATGAGGCTGGCCCACGTTTTCAGTACTGTTTCAGCTCTGAGCATTACCCTGACCATCTGCCTGCTGGCGCTTGCATGCAAATTTACACACACACTTATGAGGAAATGCTCATAAAAACACTCAGTGCATGCACAGATATATACACACACATGCATATAGGCATATTTGTTCCCCACTGCGTGGTAAGAGCACTCAAAGGTGGAATATAATCCTTTCAGTGTTAGCGTCCAGGGAGATTACCTTCATGGTGATTATTTGTGTGTCAAATGTGAAGCCCTGACTCTTATTGTCTACTTTAAAACCATCTCATGATGGGAACTATTTAGATGTCAACAGTTCTGTTATTTCAGAATTTGGCCATGACTTTCTTGTACCAAATCTTGTGCTACCACTCTCTGGTCCAGTATCTGCCTTTTGATTGTGTTAATACCCCACTGCTCTCATGTTCTGCAATAAAAGTTTGCCTTTCTCATACCCTTCAGAAAATCTACTCATTTGTTTGATGGCCAGCCTTTAGAAGAGGTGGTCTAAACATTCCCAGCTTTCCATTCCCACTCCCAGCTTTTCTGATGTGACATTTTGTCAGGTCCTGTAGCCCTATGTAATCAGACGAGTCAAAAATATACACATTGTTTACTTGTGGCTCCTGATAGGACTTTTTAACTGGTTTTAAAACAGGCTGAGATTAATAATGATGCCTCCTTATGAACTATAGAAGCAAGCAAGAAGACCATCAGCAAGAAGATACATAATTCCTATGCAGTAGCTTTGCATGCCCACAACTGCCTCCAAAGAGTAATGCATGATGTACAGCACTCTGACAGAAGAGACCATAGACTGTATATAGAATTGACACCGTCTGCCTCCTCACTGGGTGAAGCCACCCCCAGAACAGCACCCTCTGGTGACGGGCTGTAGTATAGGTCATTAATCCCACCTCCAGCAATCCCTATGGAGCTGTGGACAAACTTTAGAAATTTATTACACAGAATATCAATTTTTCTCCCCCCTGGTTGTGATGTTGACATGTAGTTACTTTAAGACTGGTTTGTGCTAAAGTCCTCTTTTTTTCTGTGCAGCTCCATTTTTAAAAGTTATTAGGGGGTTCATATTTTCTATGATTGACACTTGATACAGCCTATGGACGTACAAAGATTGCGTAGCTCACCTGGGGTACACTGTTTGAGCTGAGCGTCATCACAGCGACTCTCCTACTGCACAAGTGGTGGTTCCAGGAAGTGGAGAAAATCCTGGAAATACCAAGAGCAATTCAGCTTCAAATTTGTATTATGACGGAAGGCGGAACCAAGTTGTCCATAGTATTTACAATCTATGGAACAGACTCTTTTTACATTCCCAGCATTGAAAACTTGGGTGATTGGTTTGCAAAGAGAAAAGAAAATGGCTGTTTGTTGGGTTTTGGTGTTTAGGTCAAGGCAATAGTGTCACAAACCAAGAGCACAAATAGATTAGTTGATGAAACCGTCATCCCCACTGAGCCTCTGCACTGCACGGGCTGCTGTGGTTTGGGTGAACCCCACGGTCTCCTGTCTCAGGAAATGTAAGCTGAAGCATGCTGGTGGAATAGTTCATGTCTCTGAGCATGGAGGAGACCCTGGAAAAATGATAAGGAAAATTCAATCACCCTTTGTGTGCTCCCGCAAACCAAATCAACCTGCCATATATTTTTCAATCAAGTGCCTTCCAAGCATGCAGAGTATCATTGCTCATTTGCTCCCTGCTCTGGAATAAAGCCTGCATCCTGCTTTGCTGCTTTGTAATGCTTTGAATTGCTAACATAATTCTCTGTGTCTTTCTATTACAGCCATCTCAGTCTCCAGTCATCCCTACTTTGGCCGGGTGGATGATGAAGATACGGTGTAAGGACTGCACTTAACATCCTTTTTTCTTTGAAACCTATTTTCTTTACTCAACAATATCATCAGCTGCACCTCTAATATGAAGGCTACAGTTAGCTCTCTAATCTCTGTGTGGAGGGGGAACAGAATTAGCCGAGTCCTAATGAATATTATTGGCAGTTATTTGGCTGATCCTGAGATGAAATGCATAGGCATCCTACTTTTCAATTCAAGACATCAAAGTCAGGGTGGACTGAGGGCAGGGAGGTACATGACAGCAGTATTTACCCATATTTGATTTTCTAAATGGATTTCCCTGAGCTTGCACTATTGATCACCGTCCCGATATAATGAGTGTTTACCCTGAAGGTGGCACGGAGGTGGATTGATTCTACCCCACTCCCCAAAATGAGTCTATATATAAAATACTGCACATTCTGCTTTAGAGACCCAGGCTATGGACTGTGTATGCTTGTGTGCATGCTTGAGGATTTGCAGTGAGGTGTGTTTCAGGGCATCAAATCAAATAAATCCTTCCTAGACCGGGGTTGAGTGAAGGCCGTGACCTCATAAAGGTCCCTCCTCCTCTGACCTTATTAGCATTAAACATTTCACTGGCCATTTCCCTGTGTTTGCTGCCCTTTTGTTGCTCTACACAGTCTATAATGCTGCACATGCCTCGCATGGATTTACCCCTATATTCTAAGATACCTTAGCTGTTAGCTCGCTGAGGTGCTGTAGTAGCTGCAAACGCACAATTACCCTTCCTGCTTTGGTTTTACTTTGCCTCCTGACTAGATGAATTGATTTTCTCTGAGCTACGTCAAAGATACAACAGGCTTATAACTCCAAATGTCTTGATTCTTACAGTGTGGTTGCTTGGCTCATGGGAAATGTTCGAATGCTATCTTGGCCGAACTGATAACAAGCCTGCTCAATAGCTTCTGCTGCTGCTGCTGGCTATTCTCTGTAGTTAGTACTGGCCTCGGACGCCCACCACATGTCACTCTTTGCTGCTCTCTCTCCTTCCAACCTGGTCAATCTGCCAGCTTTAGCTTCAGTCTCTTTTTCAGCCTTGTGCTGCCTATTTGTGAAAAGTAGAGTGTAAGAACAGGTGATCACATGCATGAAGTTTAAGTGAGCCCACTGGATCGATGTGTCACCAAGGGATCAAACCTTAAGTATCTATATATTGGCTGACTGATTACTGACTGATTACACAGCAAAATTAGTGTGAAGTTTGTCAGTGCACAAAACCATCTGTTTTTTTTTGTTCAGTTTTTATTGTGTCAGAGGCAGTGCACAAGTATTGCTTTAACAGAGCTGTTTGTTATTAATGGGATTCAAATTACAGTGAGCCACTTCAGTAGTTCAAATGAGTCAGTTCCCAGCAGGGAAAGATATGATAGTTGGAGGGCTTTGAAATTGGCTGTTGTTTTTCAAGAAGAAATACTACAGGTAACTCTGTAACTCTGTACACTGGAGGATAGTGTCTGTGCAATTTGTTTCCCTTGAATCTAAATCTGTACAGTTTAGTCACTGCAGTTTTAACACAGAGTGAGCTGTAAAGGGAAACAAGGGTGCAACAGAAACTTAACAACACAAGACCAGACTAATAATTAATGCTGTCACAGCCATCTAAGTAACAAAGGATCTTCTCTTACAGTGTCCAGGGAATGCTTCAGATTCTGGTGGCCATGTGCGTGTTGACTGGTTTCTCCATCACCACAGCCAGCTTTGCCATCTATGTGGTCAATGAGCACCACAGCGGCTCCAAGAGGCTGCAGCACATTGCTGGCATCAGTGAACCCTTCTACTGGGCCATAAACTTCTTCTATGACATGGTAACATTTCTAAATAGTATTTTTTTACTATGTTCAGTAAAGTGACACTCTCATGAGTTGAAATTCATGCTTTCATTGTGCGGTTTTGAGGAGGAGAAACAAATGCAACATGTTTCTGTTTTGTAAAGTTCATCAGATTTCATAGAAGACAGAAAGTATCTTTATCAGCTTCAATGAAAAAGAATAAGAAAACAGCTTCTTTCAATTTAAGGGCACACCATCATGTTTTTGCATCATGTCCCACAGGTCGTCTTTATAATTCCTGTGGCTCTGACTGTTGCTGTGATCGCAGCCTTCCAGGTTCCAGCCTTTACAGATCGGCAGAATTTGGGTGCTGTGGCTCTGCTGCTGGTGCTCTTTGGGTGAGTAAAGTGGCTTTCACAGAGCATATGTGATAAAGATGTCATTTTACCTGCTGCATAGAAACTCATTTTGTAACTGATTGACCTTCCCTCATCACATATCAAGGTGGAGATAAAACCTCAAGGATAACTTTGCTTTTAAAGAATTCTGTTTTTATATAAAGAATGTATTTCCTTCTGGTTTAATTTTGTTCTCAACTCACAAAACTACCAGGTCATCAATATTTATCTCCTAAACTTCAGACACAGTTGGAGCGTGTAGTGAGTGCTGTGCTCTGAACAGTCAATCAAACAGAACTTGATTTGGCTACTTCTAAATGTCTCTATAATCTGGTCATCCCCCCTAAAAAACCTTTTTTCATAACAATCTGAGCTGCAGAAGAAGATGACCACACTATATTGTCAGTGATGCATTTTTGTGTAGCAAACAGTAGCAATACTCAAACTCGTGGTTTCATAAGCTTCGAGGAAGGAAAATGATTGAACAGCATGAATTGTGCAAATTATATCAGTCCCAACAGGTTTTGTGTTAGCTTAAGTTTCGGGATTGTCAGTATCAGATAAACTGGTTTTAGCATTGAGAGAGCAGTGGGAGTTTTTTTTCAAGCTAAATTCTTGGCACCATGAGACAGAAAAACCTGAATGTGTCATTAGGAGACAAAGACAGTGAGGCAGCTTCGTCAAAGCCAGGTGTTTGTTTTTACTGTGCTGACTGCTCTGATCAGTTATGAGAACATTACTGGTTTTAAAAAAGACCACTTGCTGTCAGATGGATTTAAGCAGTGTGGCCACAGTTACTTTTAAAAAGTAATTTAATTTCGGATTACTCCTAACTTAGTTACTTTGCTGATTACTGATTTTAAGAGTAACTTAGTTAGATAACAAGTCACTTTTTAAATTACATTCAGCAGCCTCAACATATAAATGACAACCATTTTAACCACCTTATATTGTTTTCTTCAGCTGACACAAAGTCAAAATAATGGCTGTATTTCCAGCGTAAGAACGCGCATCTCTCTCCTCCTTCCGTTGTTGTTTATGTTTGTTTTGCTGCAGCTGCTGTATGTGTATGTACATGGATTACATGTGAATGGTCCTCGTGCTGAAAACTGGACTTGTCACCTATGTGACTGCGACACTCCCTCCAGATGAAAACGCATTTATCTTTTTTTTAAGGAAAATGAGAAAAAAGTAACACACACAATAACTTGGACCTGTAACTTAAATCTAATTACTGGTTTGGAAATGGCAACACGTAGATTACTCATTACTGAAAAAAGTGGACTTATTAGAGTAGCGCGTTACTAAGCAACAGGTTACTGGCATCACTGGGTTTTAGTGATTGGCATGGCAGTTCTTTTAGATGTACTGAATCATGAGAATTAGTTCACTAAAAAGATTTGTTCAAAAGATTTGTTCATTGAATCACCGAATCATTCAGTGCTTGGTGGGAGGAGCCTGTGACTCTGATCTCCTGAACTGATACACAGCTGAGCAGTTCAGGTTTCAGTTCAGTTCATGGCTTCTGGGACCGGAGACGAGTGTTTGGCTGTGTTGCTTTGACAAACAGGTTTGTAAAAAAGAACTTGTTAATAAGTCATGTTTTAAGTGTACTGTCCTGTGGTATGCTATTTATCAGGTCTGCTCAGTAAATTGGGCTCAATGAGTGATTCGTTCACTGAACGTTTAGAAGAATTCAAACTGAACATGCACCATTCCCTCGCAAACCGCTGCAATGATAGGATGCTGTGGGTTTTATGCACTACTTGTAACATGCTGTGTCCTATTGTGTGCAAATTGTTGTAGAGGTAATTTAGCAGTAAAAAATATAAAAAGTTAGTCTTGTCCGACAAAAATGATTTCAGTGAGTAAGTCAATTGCGTGATTCCTTTACCAAGTGATTCAGGCGTCGGTGCATGTGGTCCCTCGTTTATCGGCTTCTCGCCTGGCAATGCTGCATGCTATAGCATCTGCCCTGCTGACAGTTCAACTGAATTGAGAAATAAACAAATCACTCGAGGAAGTGATTTGGTTCAGTACATTCACTTAAAAGATTCGGTTCTTTTGAACGAGTCATTTTTACCTGTTTGTTGAAATTTTGTTCTGTGGCAGTATGATACTCCCTGCGCATGCCCCAGATATCTGAGGAGGATTTAAAGGCCAAACAGTGGAGCTCCTCCGGTTGTTATTGTCAATAACCCGGCCGTGTGTTTCATGCAGAGGATTTTTGATCAATTAAGCTCATTCTCACAAACACACTGTGTTTTCCAGCCTCTGCTGCTCTCAGTGTGTGTGTGCCACCAGGTACAGCACAGAGCATACGGAGGCTTCTGCTCTTCAAACACAAACACTGCTCAATTTTTCAGAATTTCTCACTCAGACAGATGGTGGTAAGGACTGAAAGGCTGTTTGAAAAATCACTATCAACATGTTTATCTGATGCAAGCCAAAGATGTTCAAGAGATGAGGATCAGGAAGCAACAGGACTTAAGGCAAAAACAGTTTGACTCAGTGTGAGAAGGACTAACACACTGTTGTCCCCAGGTGCCAGGGTTTTTCAATCAATCCGCTAGTTTAAAAAAACGGTTGTCTTTTCAAAGGTGTTAAGCCAACTGCATACTGTGTTTCCCACACCTGGATTATTGAGATTACTTACATCATCCAGCAACTGTAGCTGAACCTGTGCCTTCTGTTTTTGGTGTTGTCGTCACAGGCGTCGTCCTGAGCCCCAGATCTTAGCAGGCCAAGTCAGCACTCTGCCTCTCATTTATCAGACAGATGTCTCCCTCCCAAGCAATGAATAATCACAGTGCTCCATCTGTCAGGCGGCACCCACCTGGCCTGGTCTGCTTCTGTTCCTTGTCATAGCTTGGCACCCTCAGTCTGCCTACCCAGCACCATTTTTTTCCTCTTTTGGACGTGGCACGCAGATGCTTTGTCTCTGTCTGGCTCTGTCTGTTTGTGTCTCTTTCCCTTTTCCACCCTGCTCTCTTTCTGCACTTCACTCCCTCCTTCTCTTCTTTGCTGACCCAGACACCCCAATCAAATGAACAAGCAGATTATGTGAGAGAAGAGAGAAAACAAAAAGAGGAATGTTTTGCCACAAGGGGAATAACAGGAGAAGTAATTTATCATCCTCTCTTTTTGGCGTGATGACTGAATGTTTAGATTCTTCATGCTGTGGTGTTTTCTGCTCTGTTTCTTAGCTGTAGTCGTTCGTTCCTGTTTTGATTTTCACAGCTGCTCTCTTTAGTCTGTTAAAGGCCAAAGCCAGTTCAGTTTGGGAGAAAAAAAGCAAAGTCAAATCCTTAAAAAAAGAAGGATTTGGCAAGGGGACAATGTACACTTTACTCTGGATTTTTCTTTTCTGTATTTGAAGCTAACTCAAAACAGATCACAGCCCACGAATACTCAGCAGATTATGTGTAAAATCATTTGTATTTGTTTTTGTGTTTTAATAATCCTGTCATTGTTACATCCCCAGGTTTGCCACCTTCCCATGGATGTATCTGCTATCAGGCATCTTCAGAGATGCAGAAATGGCCTTCATCATCTATGTGTGCATCAACCTCTTCATCAGTGTCAACACCATCCTGTCCACCTCCATCCTCTACTTCCTGAGTCAGATTTCAACCATCGACCCTAAGGTCAGACTAAGCTTCCAGATGCAGTAGTAGTATGCACACTATTATTTCTATGGTAGCTTTGCATTACTCACAGCTCTGCCAATACACACCTATATCTGATAATCCAGAACAAGTCAGTCCCTAAAGATATGGTGACAAAGATTTGCAGAGGTTTGAGAAAAGTAAACAGAGAAGGGAAAATAATAATTCAGTTTATTTTACACTCATTGTTGCTTTTACATGGGCACAAATAATCGAAATAAATGCCCGATAGGTATAAAAAAGCTTCATGTAAACTTGTCAATTAGAAGATTCTGATCCAATTTGTCTCAGTTGGACAGAAATTGTATTCTGAATGAGAGAGGTGGTTTATGCCAATCGTTATTCCGAAAAGCGTCCATGTAAACATTTATTTCGATAGTGACTCTCTAACCTGACTTGATCTTCACTCTTTAGCCTTTGGCTTATTTATTGAGGTCAGAACAGGAGGTTTCATTATTAACATTCTGGCATTAAACACAACCGCAGGTGCCATGTCTGCTCCTCCGATAACATAACAAGGCGTACATAGAGTATAATGATGTCATATCTGCACACACAGTGCACCCTTTGACAGAGCAGTAAAATAAGAAAGCAAGGGCGCCATCTAGTGACAATATTTAACAAAGGGGAAACTCCTGAATTGGATGGAGTGAGCCACTACCGTATTAGTAGGTTTGTCAACAGCACAGACGTAAATACAACTCGTCTTCTTCTGTGGTTATTTAAGCGAAATCAGACAACTCTGCGCATGTCCAAATGCTTCTAATCTGAATTAAGTTTGGTGCATGTGTACGCATGTTATGATCAGATTATTTGATTTTGTACCCATATAAACAGTGGATTCAGATTTTCCGATCCCCCAAAGTTTTAATCAGATCAAGAAATGTTGCCCATGTAAACATGGTGTGCTCTTTTCTTTTCCCCTGCAGACCATCCTGGCTGTTTTCGACCGGCTGTGCAGTGCCTTTGTCATCTTCCCCCAGTTTAACTTTGGCCAAGGGTTGATGTATCTGGCCAGGAAGAACATAGAGGTCCAGATCCTCAGTGGCTATGGCATTGATGCCTATGAGGACCCGTTCTCCACAGATGCCCTGGGCAAGCACTTCATCGCCTCCTTCATCGAAGGCCTGATCTTCTTCAGTCTGCGCCTCCTGCTCAACAAGTTCCTTATACGCAAAGTCAGGTAAGTGAAAGTGAAACCAGAGAAATGCCAAGAGCTCATTCGGTCCAGTTTTGAAGTAAGGGTATGATTTTAATGCAGAATGTGCATTTGAAATAGTTTTTAGTTGATTTTCTTTGGGACATTTTGTTTTTAAAATCAACATTCTCAGTCTGCTCAGACTTTAAATTCCCATGGCAGCTCAAAATATAAAAATCTGGATGAAAATCAGATCCAAAAGTCGTCACAAGTAGAAAGCAAATTATTCCATTTGAATAAAAAAAAAATGATGTAAAATCCAAATGCACTCCTAAAATATTGAACACTGAGATAGAAATGCCTGAACCATCTCTGTTAAAAATGTCACTAACTACTTTGGATATAATGTATTTTCTCTGTCTCGCTGCAACCCATACTTGATAAAAATACATTTTCCTTTGTAGACACCTAATTTGTGGCAGGAAGACAGTGCCCCACATGGCCAAAGAGGACGAGGATGAGGATGTGGCGAATGAGCACCTTCGGGTGTCCAGTGGAGCAGCCGGCTCAGACGTACTGCAGGTCAACCAGCTCTCCAAGGTCTATCAGAACTTCAGCAGGAAGGTCCATGCTGTCAAGAGGGTGTCCTTGGGCATTCCCACTGGAGAGGTAAAGCTCAGAGTTAACACATATCAAACATCAATAATGCAATAGGATTTACAGTTTTTTTAGGAGTAGTTTACCTTCACTTTTCAGATCGTAGCGCCATTTAGTTTGTTGATTTTGCTGTTTAGGTTTAGTTTAATTGGTTGGTAGTTATTATTTGATCGTACAGTCAAACATGTTTTTTAGTTTTACTCTAAAAAAAGTCAATCCTCTCGGAGCTGTACTGTACAAAAACGCCCCAGGAGTACTAAACATAAACTGTTGTCATACAGTGTTTTGGTTTGCTGGGGGTGAATGGAGCAGGAAAGACAACCACCTTCAAGATGCTAACTGGAGATGTTAGCCCCACTGACGGCACAGCACAGATCAGGGACCGGGATGGGTAAGCTGTTGATGAATTTGACTGCATAGCATGGCTTTTCAGTATGTAACCTTACCTGCACAATGAATTAGTGTTTTTGCCTCTAGAACAGCTATATCTCCTAATACTATCTCAATTTTAGACTGAATTAAACATATCTTTAAGGTGTCTGGCTCCTTTATTTTCTGTCATTACATGTACATTTCAAAATACATCATGCCAGGATCTGTGTATTTTGAAATTTGTCCCAACAAGCTGAAGGATATTCAAGAGAATGATAACAGCGCCAACCCATCACTGGGGGGAAGGCTGTGATTTCAGCTGTACAGGCATCCAAGCTGCTCTGTCTAATGACTCTGAGTTAGATTCAATTTGTATTACACAAATATCCACAAATTAGGATTTTTATTGCCTCAAATTTGTCAAAATTTGAACAGAAATGCTTTGGGATTTCAGAAGTAGCAGCTGTAAGTAACACCTGCATCTCAGATGTTTGTGTATGGATCCCAGCACCGTTCCCATGGGTCTAGCTCTCTTACAGCTCTTTTGTGAAGCCGTTCAGTGGATGTTCCTGGCATAGACCGACAGCGGACCCTACATGACCATCTGTACTACCCCATGTAGTGAATAGTGTTTCAGAGAATATCTGTCTCTATGCTTTTTTTCTCCAGGCGTTTGGTAGACATCATGGAGTGCCGCAACCAGGGAATTAACATCGGCTACTGTCCCCAGGTAGACGCTCTGGACAACCTGCTCACTGGAGAGGAGCATTTGTACTTCTATGGTCGCATCCGAGGCATCTCAAAGAGGGAGCTAGACGGGGTAAGAAGAGGCTTTAGGCTCTGTGCGTCTTTTCAAAGCTCTGGGTAGTGACAACACCATCCACAAAATGACACCAGATCTGATAAAAATTCAAAAGGTGCACTTCCACTGCAGGACGAGTAGCTGTTGATGCTTCCATGCATACTGAATCAGAGGACTTGAAGCGTTGAGTGATGCATGCTGAAAGCTCTAGTATCTGGGGCAAAAAATGGAAAAGCTTTTGTTGTCAGCCCAAACTTCAGATTTAAGCCGATGCTGTATGCTTGACTGGAGACAAATTTACATTTAAACGATACATTGATGATGAGAGGATCTCATTTGACGTGTCACTTTAGCCCCATTCTTCTCATTTATCTTTCTGAGAACTAATCAATCTTGCTTCTGTGTTGATTACTGAGTGTGCCTGTCTTTGCTGCTGTTGCTGCCAACATGAGAGGAATCTTTAGCGCAATCTAATCAACATATAAAGTGAGTTATACAATTTTTATGTAGTTTTTTGCACCCAGAAGTGCAAAAAGAGTACAGACAGCTCTGAGTTGTTGTTGTTGTCGACAACATCCTGATTCCTCACTATCTAAATTGTTTGCAAAACACATCCATGTTTGCCTCTCTTGCTCTCTCCAAATCCTTTTGCAACTGCAGAGGCACTAAACATTAAGTTTCTCTGAGTGTTTTAGCCATGTTACAGGTATACTTATTCTAATGCATTAGCAAGGCTTCACATGGACACACAAACACACACGTATACACACTTATACAGTCAAGCATAAAATTATGGATCTGTCTGGCTCTAATCGCCTTCGCTGCTGTTGTTCCAGCTCCTCGTCTGTGGTCAGGATAGTGACAACAACAGTTATAATGGCCACAGCACCGGTGTTGGGCTAATTCACAAAGATGAGCTTATATATAGAGTTCCTCTTATGTTGTTCCCCGCCGACAGTCCCCTAGCTGTGGATAATGAGACAAGCCTTAATGGGGTCATTTCGGATTGACATGGTTTTGTCAGGCTTAATGAGCTGTTACATCAAAGGTGATAGAAAGTGGCTTTTATGAGAGGACGTAAAAATACAAACTATTTTGATCTGGAGCAGTCAGGTATATGCTGTGCTGCCAGAGCTTATCATTCAGATTTAGTGTCTGGTACTGTTGATCTGTCTGAGGTATTAAATGTCAGACAGTGTGTTTTAAGACCTTGGATCAGTGAGCCCAGAATCATATGGAAAATCAACAGTAATGCAAATCCTCTTACAGAGAAAGATATCTATTGCATTCACTTGCCTCATTGATCGGGTCTCTAAACTTGCCAGCTGATGAGAAAAGGCCTAAAGTGTACCGATGGGAAATCAACTTTAGCTCTTTGAAAAGGAACATGTATTTACAGCACATCATTTCATGTGATTAATAGGATAGCATCAGGGTTTCTTTGGAGAATGAAATGGTTATGAGCCATTATAGGTTTCCCTACCTCTGCTTTCTTTACGGCTTAACTCTGAGGATAATTCGATAGATTATGCTGTGCCAGTTTCTGTTCTGTAAATCTGCTGCAGCCTCAGGACAGCATGGAGTTTACATAGAATAAAGTCGCACAGTGCAGCCATCACTGTTATACAAACAAAATTAAAAATTCATAGGAGTGGGACAGATAGATAGCTCAGTTCTTGGCAGTGCTGCTGTTGTGGACAGAATGGAAAGAGACAATAATAGAAATGAACATGAATATCAAGTAGTGTATAACTTGTATGACCACTCTTTGTTCTCAGGAGAGATTTGGGTAAATCCACCTCCTTGCCGAGTTTGGATCCTAAACTCAGCAAGATCCTGGGAAACTGGTGTTTTGTTTTGGAGAGACACCATGCAGTCCACTGATTAAAAGAGAGAAAATAAACTTTCTGTAAAGGACTAGTGTTTTAGATCTGCTAAATCACAAAAGAGAGCACAAATGAGAGATGACAAAATAATTTTGTTTATTGTTACTGTAATTTACTAACAATACATGATCTGACTTTCATATTTTATTTTTTAATAAAACAATGGTTCAGAATCTAAAGATTAAAAAACCAGCATATCCATGACATGTAAGACTCTGGGACGAGTAAATGTATTGAAATATTTGGTAATTGAATTTTCTTCCAACTGACAAACTGAAAAATCAGTTCAGCACTGGCTTTTGATACATCCTCAAACACCCTCATAATCACAGATACCTACATGGCTAAAGTAGATCACAATATATCCTCCATATTATCTATGAGCAGAATGTACAGGTAAGAAGGAAGAGTAAAAGACAAAGCAGATTTTATAAGTAAACATCAGGGAGGTTTCTAAATGACTAATTTTTAAGTTTATCATTGCAACTGAAATGTGTGGCCTCTATCTCTGTGTGTTTAAAAACAGCCAATTCTCCACAGTCAGTACAACAACATAGAATCATTATCAGTCATTAAAAAAACCTACAATAATCAACCTACAGACTATCAACAGTAAGGCCTACATGAGGCTGTGAAACCACAGTGTGCTGTCAATCAACACACACACACACACACACACACACACACACACACACACACACACACACACACACACACACACACACACACACACACACACACACACACACACACATGTTTGAGGTACCCACTCCACAAATGAATCATTTTTGTTTAGTGAAATCAACATGCTGTGGTCAGAGTTGAGTCCTCAGTCTATTAACAGAGATGTCGTGGGCACACACAGACAGGATCCCGACAGCTGGTGTTTACTTTAATCTGTTACCATGTTAACCATGACTCTCAGGTAGTGTCAGCTTTTTATCAGTCTAGGTCCATGGTGCCTACACTTTCCAAAACTGAACCAATGATCAGGTATACAAGTGATTGTTAAGTGGCAACTGTCAGCCAAAAAGGTCTGCCTATTCTCAGGTTGTCGTGGTGATGATAATAATAAGCCCTGGAGATGAAGCTGATGAGTGAATTTCACATTATAGATAAAAGTAGCTCTCTATATTTTCAGCAGCTGTTGTAGCAACCGCAGACCCATCTGACTAAAAGCTGACAGTGACCAGAGTTTCTCAGGCTTCCCAGCCATCTGCATTATGGGTCAAAATTGTTAACTTTATTAGTAGTTTTAACTAATTAACTAGTAATACATGTGTGGATGAGGTAATATGACAATGTTTGATTTTTACTTGACTAAAATTGCACATGCATACTTTGGATTACCATTTTTCTTTTTATACACATTAAAAAGCTAATGCTTGCATCCCATACAACTCATTTTGGTGTGATTATGTTACAGAAATATGTCATTTTTGTGACATATCCATTCGCATCATAAAAATCTAAAGAATCAACCAGTTGCTGCCTTCTGGTTGTTCTTTGTTGATTTTTTTTTTCCACGGTATAATCCCCTGCATGTTTCCTGTAAAGGTGGTGAGGTACCTGCTGAAGAGGCTGGAGCTGAACTACCACAGAAACATCACCACTGAAGGTTATAGCTGTGGCACCCGTAGGAAGCTCTCGACAGCGCTGGCTCTTATTGGACATCCACAAATCCTGCTCCTGGTGAGGACACATCTGTTCTCCTCTTTCCAGCTTTTTTAATGCCCAATACACCACCAGATGACAAATATGAGTTTGACTATTTCTCCTCTCTGACTAAAGTACATATTGATCTCCTAGACTTGGCAGATCTCATACAGTTAATTAGTCTGCCTCCTCTGGCTTACCCAGGGGGGTTTTTCCCTGTAACCTTTCTACATTATCTCTCTATCAAAGACCTCCTCTCTTCTCTCCCTCACCGTCTTGCTGTTTTCAGCTTTCTCTACGTATTTTCTTTTCTTTGTTGGTGCTTAATTTATCATCAGTTCCATCTTACTGCTTATTTTGGGATATTTCTTTGTGTCTACTCCAGTTTATCGTTGCTTTTTTCCTCCTAACAGTGTGCGCACAAAGTAATTATGTGCGCACACTGTTTGCAACCCACCGCTAAACTCAGTTAACTTCCATTTACCTTTGAGCACGCTATCTTGATGTCTTTTCTTTGTTTCACACACATTGTGCCATCCTCTTCTAATCCTTCTTTTCTCTGTAGGACGAGCCAAGCTCTGGCATGGACCCTCGCACAAAGCGTCACCTGTGGAAGATCATCTCTGAAGAAGTGAAAGGAAAATGTGCCGTGGTCCTCACCTCTCACAGGTCAGAGGAGTATCACCAACATTAACCTGCCGTCAGCATTTACCTCTGCTTAACTTTACCTCAGCAGAGCGCCAGCATTTTGCTGCTGTGCTTCATATTTTTTCAGACAATATCGGACTGTTCTTCAGATAACAACTAAGACCAGTGATTTTTCTGAAGTACAGCAGGCTCGGCTAATTACCATGTGCTTGCAAAGCCCTATTTTGACCTTCTGTTTTCTTGTCCTTGTCTTTGTATCTCAGCATGGAGGAGTGTGAGGCGCTTTGCAGCCGTCTTGCCATCATGGTGAAAGGTCAGTTCCGTTGCCTGGGCTCCCTGCAGCACATTAAGAACAGGTTAGTGACCTCTGCTCATCCTCCAGTCCAGCCATTACTGCTCTTACCACCCCGCCTCCACAGCCCTCAATCATTCTGATGTAGTCCTTTGTGCAAGCAAATGCTCACTTTTACTTTACTAAGAACAGTTTGCTCTCCCCCATCTTCACCTTCACCCTCACACACCCTCTAACTGAGACATGTAATAACACAAGTCTTTGTTCCTAACATCTCTTTTGTGCAGGTTTGGCAGCGGGTTCACTGTGAAGATGTACTTGGCCGAGGCCTCCAGCGACGCAGAGGCAATCACAGGCTTCATGCAGCGCAGATTCCCCAGCACTTATCTCAAGGTGAGCTTTGCCAGTCATGGAAAGTTCTCAAGAGCACTTGGAAGAGAACATAGATATATATCCTTGTTATGGTTTATACAGCAGTGCAATGGATCACAACCTTTGGTTAAGCCTTTCCAAACTACATGAGCTGATTGCTGGCAGAACGAGACAACAAATATTACATTATAAAGTAATTAAGGCAAACATGACGGCAACAGCAGCTTATTTACAGTTCTAGCAGACATGGGGCAACATTAGCATTAAATTGGAATTTTGTTTCTGTCCAAGGGAGAAATGTAACCCCAAATTTAACTCCAGCAGGAGATGAGTTGGTTATCAAAGGATTTTTTTCTGCCTGATGCAGTGAAAAACAAGGTTGATGAGCCAGAACCAGAACCAGAACAGCAAAGTTGTTGGCTAGACTTAAGTTAAAAATAAACAAAACACACAAAATACAAAGACTGTGGAGCTGAGGAGACTGATAGAGTAATGTAACGATTGTCAGTATATCTTTATGCCATGTCATCCCTTTACCATTATACAGTACGTACTTACTTTATTGTTGTGTTAACGTGACAACAATGATGAGTGCAATTTCAAGGCCTCATGATGTTTGTATCATTGATTGTCTGAGCGAGCTGGAATTTAAATTTTGTTGATATGCATGAGTAATGTAGGCTGAGTTTGATTTGATCATTTTTTCATCAAGTCCTACAGAGTTTCAGTTCCACAGAAAGGCTATTTCTAAATATTTAACCTTCTACTTGTGTATTCTCTCTCTGAATTCACAGGATCAGCACTCCAGTATGGTGGAATATCACGTCCCAGTTGCTCCAGGAGGGGTGGCTGACATCTTCGACCAGCTGGAGTCCAACAAGAATACTCTGCGGATCAAACACTTCTCTGTGAGCCAGACCACACTGGATGAGGTGAGAGAAGGAGACAGAACATAAACAAACCAAGGGAGGGGGGCAGCTGGTGCGAGGGTTTCGTAAGGGTGGGAACATGCCAGCAAGGGACAGTACAAATAAAGAGGACTGTGGATGATAGAGAAAGAGAGAGAGAGCAGGGACAGCAGAATGCTGAGTGGGAGTGAAAAGTGAGCAGAGAAAGTTTAAAAGAGGCAGAGGCAAACTGACAGAGGGTATGCCGGAGGGAAAATAAATGGAGTATGAGTTAGGGAAAGAATCCATGAGCTTTATATGCAGCCAGTGCTGATACTCTTCAACCACTCTGCCCTTCTGGGGCTCTGGGATTGGAAGATACCACAGGCAAAATAAAAAAAGGGGTGGTCAGGAAGGGGACTGACCAGAAGCATAACTGAAAATAACTCAAATAAAAAGTATTTCCCTTCTTCTGTTGAAATTAAAAGCTTTTTTTTTTTCTTCATAGGTCTTCATCAACTTTGCCATGGAAAAGGATGATATGGAAAGTATCCCAGTTCACAGCCAAGATGACTTTGGGGTTGACAGTCTGGGCTCCATCAGTGCTGTTGAAACATAAAGCTGACTACCAACTTTTCTTTGTTGTTTCTTCTCTGTCCACTGTGGAAGGAAACCCACTGTCTTTATATAAAAACACTGCCCTGAATCTGCCCTTGATATGTGAAAAACAAGAGTTAAAAGGATCCATTTAAAAAGATATTGATAATTTCTTGAAAGTGTCTTGACTGATCACTCACTATTTAGAAGAACAAATAGATATTTGCATGTATGCAAAGATTGAAACTGAAGATCAAGTGAAGGATTATGCTTATTGATATTGTCATTTTTTACAGGTCACACACCTGTTTACTTTTTATTCTATAGATCTTATTTATAAAAAATAAAATGGACTGTGTAGACTTTAAATTTCTCTCTTTGATTGGGGCACTATTCTCTAATAGAATATGATGATATGTGGAGGCTTATCCAAAACACTGTATTTTTATTTTATTTTTTTCATTGGACTGTAATGTTCCATTTTAACAAGCACTCACATGCTGCATATAAGCATGTCTAAAGGAGATTATATTAATGCTGAGGTACATGTTAATGTCCTTTTCCAAGATGATGATGAAATGAAGAAGATAATACGCTGAAGAAAATCCTCACTATGCACTTTCTCACTACTCATTAACACTTGCTCCGAGGGCAAACCTTACGTTTAGAATGTACTGAATATTTAACGGGCTCTTCTCTGCTTTTGGACCCTTCATTATGGCCTTGAATGTATCAAGCCTTTTTGTTACTACTCTAATAAAGCTATTTTTCCAGACGCAACTTATGGTCTTTTGTACTTACTGTCTAATCTTTGAGCAACATGACACATTCAAGATTATGAATTCTTCATCCTAAGCAGAATTTACCCATAACCTTTAGAGATGAATTTTTATAGTGTTTCTATTGTCCTAGTTGAAAATTTTAAATCCCTGATGTTACACTCCAAAAACCCAGTGTTGTGCTGAAGAGAAAAACTGGTAACACTGGTGAATAAAGCAAAGAAACCAACAGGATAACACAAAGTGAAAGTTATTATTTTTTAAACTGAACATTGCTCATTAAAAAAAAAAGTTTGCTATTTTACCTAAACTACACTGATGACTGTTGTGTTGATCAGATAGAAAGCCACATTATAGAATTAGACTTTACAAAGCATGGGTTCATTTTTCTTCAAAATATTTGATTGAGGTCAAAATGTATGCATAAAATTGTGCAGTTCATCAACTATAAAGTAAATTATCCTTAAACATATTTAGGGCCACATCTTGTCAACATAAAGATAAGATATGATAATAAGATCTTCCTTTATTAGTCACACAGGGGGAAATTCCTAATTACAACAGCATAAATACAAATACAAAAAGAGAAATAAAGGATAAAGAAACTGAGTTAAAAAAGATGTGCCTTATTCACTGTGTACTTGTGTACAGCATGTACATATAAATATGACTTATAAAATGAACAGTTTTGAACAGGCCACCTCCTCATCACAGACAAATCTAGTATTTTTTTTTTCAATCCTCAGCTCTCAGGTTGTCACCTTTTATTAAATTGCAATCTCGCTGATGTTTATTATAGAATTTATTAAAGTTGTACAGTCCACATTTTTTAAATAACTGTCATTATTTTGATGTATTCTTTGTCTCTGAACTAATTATTGAATTTTCCTTCGAGGACCATTAAAGTTCTTCTTTTCTTATCTTATGTTATTTGAATCAAAATTGGCCGAAAGAAAAAATCGTTTTTAGGGTCAATGATGTGACTTTTTTTTTTTGTTTCCATGGTTTACTTAAATTTAAAAAGACTAAAATTCAAAGATAAACTCACCAATTACTTGGATAAATTCTCTTTTTGGAAAACTTGTCTAAAATTTCTAGATTTTATCCATTTTGAGAGAATATTCAGGGAATAATGGAAAAAATGTCAATGTGGTGTAACCATAAAAACTCAGTAATGGGTATGTGTCAATTGGTGTAACCAGTATTTTTCATTAAAAAAAAATAATATTTGAGAAAATGCATGGGGACTGGAATTTACTTCTTTACTGCAATGCACTAACATACAGTATATCTTATGTTAGTGAATAGGATAGTTTCTACATGATTTGTCAAATGTTATTCAGAAAATGCCAGCCGTTTTCAGCATTTCTCCTGCTCTATAGCGCAAAAATGCATCAATTTTTTTTGTAAAAAAAATCCTAACAAAATGTATTTTCAACGGATAGATTATAATTAAGTAATTTTTTATAAGTACACTTGCATACACTATTGGTGGAAATAAGTATTAAATATATCCCTTTTTGTTGTGGTTACACCACTTGACATTTTCAAGGGAAATCCATCGCTCATTTTGTAAAAAAAAAACGTTTAAATGCTATTTTAAATTATATGAAACCAACAGAGATACAAAATATACATCTTTGCAAACCTAATGCAAACTTTGAAAACAGTTAATTGAAATATTTTTGTTTTAATGATTCATTTATGATGCGAACCCTTATTTGTCACTGATCCTCTAACTTGTGCTTTGGGGCGGGCCTACTACGTCATGGATGTAGTTATGGCAACCACCACTCAGTTTGCAGCTCTTTGGCGGGAAGTTACAGGGACCAGGAAGTGAACTCCGTTGCAGGGGAGGCAATACGTTGAAAACAGAGAAGCAAACTTATCTTTTAAGAATGGATAAAGAAACTCCAGTGAAGACAACAGACTGGAAAAGCACGAAGCAGGCTTTGGCAAACTTTCGGCGACTTCTGATATGTTCTAAATGGTAAGTTACGTAATGTTTGCGTGAACGGGAGGACGTGCTTAGTCAATGAAAATGTTAAGTAACGTATATGGTGATAAATAAGACATTGAAACGGGTAAATATGAGGTTTTAATGAGTTTTTCCTCTGAAAACTTTTGTCAGTTTTTGTAGATACCTTATGCAGCCTCTCTAAACATAACACAGTTTGTCACCCGAGCCTCTTTGTGTTGAGATAATACTGCTTGTCATTACATCAGATAAATAATCATGACAGGTCGACCTAAAGTGTCGTGTTACTTCTGTTTTTAGTCATCTTATTAATTGATGTACAAAATGTGTAAAAGAGGTGAAACTATGCGGCAACAAGAACTGAAATCGTGTCAGTCTGTGCACAACAGTGACCCAAGTGCGTGGCTGTGCATTATAAAAAATAAAACATAACATTTTTTCACATCATAATAAGTGCAGCAGGGTCATTGCATGAAATTGGTGCCTTTTGCTGCCCCAAGACGTAATCATTCATAAAATTATCATAACAAAAAAATAATATGTAATTTAAAATACAACATTACCAATTTTGACCTGTCCCTCACTACTATTACTGTACATATACAGGACTTTTAATTTGTAAAATGTTTGCAAACTGTTAAAATTTTCACATTTACATATTGTTTTAAGTATGATCTTCTTGTCAAACAGTGTTTTTGGTAATATTATATTAGTTATTATAATTATTTACCAATTTAGTAGCGTCCCCTGATTTCATGTCAACCCTGTTACCGAAACTAAAAAAACCCTAAAAAAAAATAATGGTACATTCCAGATTTGACATGATTCACAGGAGGTAGCATCCTCTCTGAGCCAGGATGCTAACAGCTCAGTGACAATTAAGTTTCTCTCATCTCTGATGTGCTATTTTTTTACGTTAATTCAAGGTTTAACCAGGGGGGACAGGAACAATGTCAACCCTGTTACCACTTTTTAACATATAAACCTAAACAATTTCTATTTCTCAAAATATAATCAATATCTACAAGTAATTACCTTTCAAAGTACCTAGCTTGCACTTTAGCTAGCACTTATTTAAGCTAGCCTCAGGCAGATTAGCCTAAAATGATCAACCCTGTTACTGTCAACCCTGTTACCACTTTTTAACATATAAACCTAAACAATTTTCTATTTCTTAAAATATAATCAATATCTACAAGTAATTACCTTTCAAAGTACCTAGCTTGCACTTTAGCTAGCACTTATTTAAGCTAGCCACAGGCAGATTATTTTAAAATGGTCAACCCTGTTACCTTTCCACAGTAACAGGATTCAACATGTGAGTAACAGGGATGACATAGAATAGTGTTTACCCTCGTTGTACTCTCTTTAAAGGTTAAACTTTTAAAATTAAAACATTTTTAGGTCATCAAGTGAACATTATCGAGCTAATTATTATTGTTTGATTGATTGATTGATACGCTGGTGGAGAGCCAGTTACTTTGTGTCCACTTACTTTTACTCTTGTCAGCCCTGTTAACATAACGTCAATCCTGTTGTTGTCGTTGACATGATAAAAATGTAAAAAATGACAACTCAAATGGGCTTTCAACACTTACCAATATAATTTAAATTACATTATATTTTAGATTGGGCCATTTTTCATCATTTCTCTTCTAAAAAATATCTGATGTATGTTGAGATGTGATCACCACGCAAAATTAGGGCATATATGATCATCTGAATGACAAAGCTCTAATTAGAGAAAAAAATCCACAAAATGATAATATGATAATTTCAATGGAAAGAGAGACCAAGTATTGCTAATATATGTACATATATTGCATATTTCTAATTAGAAATATTGTATTTTGTTAAGTTTATGTCAGTAACAGGGTTGACAAGATTATGAAAACAGCCAGGAGAAAAACGGTTATAAAATATGAATTAACACAGCCTTAGATGGCACAATATAATTTCCTGCCATTTTAAACATTACTTGATTCCTGGGTACTTAAAAATTAACAATTAAATATAATTTAAATTTTAAATTTTCTAAGCTGAAAAGGCACCGATTTCATGGAATGACCCAGCAGTAAGGTTTGGGCACAGCTTAATTACACAACACCTGATAGATAGGATGACAAAAAATGTCAAAGATTTTCCTTTGGCTGCAGCCAACAGGGTCTTTGTGATTTCATAATCCTGGGAGGGAGGTGCTTTTGTTATGCTTGAGTAGTGTCTTCTTTTTTTTTCTCTATGCTGATTAAATGTTTTGTTTATTTTGCCAGCTCAAATTTAATGAAGGAACCTGTGTGTCTGGGGATGTGCGAGCATATGCTTTGCAGGTAAAGTAAACTCAGCTGAATGTGTTTGTCTCCAACATGCTCAAATAACAATAGACCTGACTCATAGTAAATACACCTACTGTTCATTTAGCTCCTTTGTCTTTAGCTGTTTTGCTTCCAGGTTTCTGGTATTGTCATTCTGCTCTGCTTACAGGAATCAGTGCTTTTATTTATTTATTTAGAACAACATGGTTTTTGTTTGCTATTACAAATAAAGATGTCCACAGTAATGGCTTTTATACCTTCCTGGAGTCAAGAGAGGGCTTGGCTCTGTACAATTTGACTGCCTTTATACAGATAAATATATACCATTTGTGTAAACTGATTGAAATAAGCAACTAATCCAAAAACAATCAAGTCAGTCGATTCCTTTGCACTTAAAAAGGAACAACTTTAATACTTTATATTTCACTCTTTAATTATTAACCAATAGCTTGTAAGGCCTGTGGTAATAAAAATCTGTTTTGTTATGGGGCATATATCTGGCATAGGTTAAATACTTCGTATAGTTGTTTTGTAGTTTCTTTTCAATTTATGGTTTATATTGTTAAAAGTCCTTCTGGAGGTAATTAATATCCCCATGGACACAAACTTTAGCCTCAAGTTATTCCTTGTCTTCATGACTGACTGACCTTCAAAGGTTAATCAATAAGCTCATTGTATTTCTTCTTACTGAACGGTGGAGTAGACCAACTCCTAATCCAAACTTTGTTTGTTGCTCAGGTCCTGTGCTGGCCCTCGGGCGGGAGATGGCTGTGCGGTGTGTCACAGTCCTGCGTGGGTGAAGGATATCCAAATTAACAGGCAGCTGAGCAGCATTGTGCAGCTCTTCTGCAATTTAGAGTCCTTGCTGGGTCCCACAGAACAAGCTGGTATGTAGAAGTCATTATAAAGCAGCTTCCAAGTATAATTAACAATCTCTACACTCATCAGCCCACTCCCTCTTCGATCGATTGTTGACCAAAAACATTTAGCATTTTCCTCCACCAATCTAGCCTCTGAATGACAGTATTAGTAGCTTGATTGTGTAGTTGATTATGTTCATTGCCCTTCCAAAATCCTGGACTGGTAATGACAGTGATTATGCACTTTAATTAACAATGGTGTTTTTTAGGAGTAGATCTCAGCTTTGACAAAGACATGGAGGTAAACATGTTTGCTGAATGTTGTGGGTTCTATAGATTTACAAGGTGAAAGCCAGGGGTTTAGACATTTAATTTGGCACAGTAACTTTCAGAAGTACATTTAATAGATCTGTATGATTATATTTAAAATTTGGTGTTACTTTTATACAGTAATATAATATTTAAACAAATACAGAGACTATTTTAGAACAGAAAAACTATAATAATAAAGCTACTTAAAAAAATAGTTTGTAAATGAAGTATTCTGATTCTGATAATAGAAGCTGTTTGTGTTTTTTTTGCTTGCAGACTCCTCTACAGCTGAGATTCTCCCGCAACCAAAGAGTCCCGAATCAAAACGCAAGAAAAACTTTAAGATCTGGTTCAGCCCCCGCAGCCGCAAGGTACGCTGCACAGTAGAGAAGCCCTCAGAGGTCAGTGTGCCCATAAGCAGGTCTTCCATAGAAGCAGGTACAGCACAGCCAGACTCTGTTACTGCTTCAGATCAGGACCTGTCGGTTTTCAATTTCACCTCATCCTCCCAAGACTCAGGCTCTGGCTGCTCAGAAACTGGATGCAAAAATGAAAACTTGAATAAAAAAAAGAGGTCAACTAAGAAAAACACTGCCAGCAGGAAGGTGTCAGTGCAGGTTGCTCCAAGGATCACACGCAAACAGGCCAAACAGACGATGAAGAAGAGCAGACTGGAGGCTATAAATCTGCAGTGGGGAATCACAGAGAAGGGAAATGCCCTAAAGGAGATGGAGCAGCCCTGTTCTGAAGGAGCAAGGAGGTCCAGCAAGAGGGTTTCCTTTTTGAGCCCCGCTGTCGCATCTGAAGAGCCTCAGCCTGAAGTGCCAAAGCAGAGTATTGAGGAACTAAGCTCCAACAGAGGCACAGAGGGGGCTAGTCTTTCTGAAGGCAGCGCCGCTGTACCCAGCAACCAATCCCAGCCTTGTCAGAGCGTTCAGGACAGAGACAAACTGCCTGCAACTGCCACCCACCCAGTTTCCAACCCTGACAAACAAGAAAGCCCATGTACTCCAAAGTATTCCTCAAAAAGATCCAGAGTGGAGGAGAAAATAACCACACCGGAGACCACCCCAAAACGGCCCCGAGCTTCCCCAGGCAGGAGAAGAAAATCACAGATGTCTCCTGCTGTCCTAAACCCTCCATCTTCAACTAGCCCCAGGTGTGAGAGGAGCATCAAAAAATCACCAAAACTAGAGCAGGGAGACAGCCCCTCTCACCTGCCTGCTGCTGCTGGAAGAAAATCTCCATGTGCAGGTGCTGGGCGGCCCAGCTCAGGGAGCCCTCCATTTATGAAGAGGAACCACAAAGGAGAGACCCTGCTGCATCTAGCTGCTATAAAGGTGCTCTTTTTTTATATTTCACCTTTATTTGAGCCTTTCAGTGAAATATCTTACACAGCACTGTGATAGTTATTTTATTCACAATTGAATATAAAATTGGTTCAACTAAATTAAAATGAGATGAAACTCTTTCATTCCTGTTTAAAGAGATCTGAATCAAAATCATGAGTGATGAGCTCCCACACTAACCTTCTATCTTGTCCAATTATCTCCAGATTAAAGTTGTTATGAGAAGCTTTTTAAGAAAATCTTTTTCGGAAAAACTTTTATTTAGCCTTAAGTCTCATTATTCTCCATTTAAGAAAAGCAAGCTCTCTCCTTCAGAAGATCTTTGAGTTGAATATTTTAAAATGGACAGTGTTATTGTAGAATAGGGAGTTATAAAATTTTAGTTTTTCTCTTCAAGCTGTTTAATTTTTCATTATGGGATGTTTTATGTAAAGCAATACATCTCTAACAAAACTGAGAAGAAAATTGAAACAATTATGAACAAAATTGAGCAAAAAACATGAATACATAAAAGAATTGATGTACAGCTGTGCTCATGTGTGCACAAACATATGAGTCCATGTACATTTCTGTATTCATCTATCTAATTAGGTTCTTTAAGCCAGGACCAAAAAAGCAACTTCTCCTGGGGTTTTATTCATAAAAGCACAACGCTAAAATTCACAAATATATCCTGTAAATAAGAAGAAGAAGCAGGAGGTAAAGTTAGTTAATAAAAAAGTAGAAATAACACTAAACAGGAGCTGACGTTATGACTGCGGTGTGGAGGTAATGTGTGGATGAAAGGTACCTCACAATCCTAACAGACGCTCTCAAAATCAAACCGGTGTAATCCAGTTTGATTTTGGCACACATGAGAGATATGTCTGTATTTAAGTAACAGATGGTATAGTTATTTGTTTATTGACTCAGCACAGGCACAATAGAGCTGTGCAGTGGTTTGGGTGTAAAGCTAATGCTGATCTGCTGGAAGTTTTAGTGTCTCCAGGATGAGCTGAGCAGACATGCCACACTTCACAGATGTAAAATCAGTGCATCTGAGGAGCACTTAGGCTGGCTACATACAAGCGACAGAAAACAACTGTTAGGGTTTTCAAGTATCTTGTGATTCAGAAAAAAAAAAACAGCAGTTTTTTTTTAACCCATAACACAACAACATACTCACAAATGTTCAAGAAATTATTAAGACAATCAAATTTCTCATTTTACCACAAATACTTTAAAGAAAACTAAAAATGAAGGTTACATAAGTCATATAAAATAAGGTCATGGCATCCATTTTCCTTTGGACTCTGATATTGTAGAATATCTGTTGGATAAAATAATGATTTTTCTAAAATGCAAACCTGGCTACCCAATGTTTTCATTATTCTTTTTTGCATTTATGCTTGATTTGTTGACGTCAAAGTCGTCTCTCCCTGTTGGTTTTTGTCCCTCTGTCAAAGACATTAGTCCTCAGATGAGCAGATTGTAATGTTCTGGTCTGTTGAGAATAAAACTGTCTCGCAGTAATCCTTGTAAACATAGCAGTAATCCCCCTCTGAATCCCAGACAAGGTAATCAATGACCCATTGTGGAGTGTGATTGATAAACAGCGGGGCTCTGGTACACAGGGATCAGTGCCTGTGTTTGAAGGGTTGCGTTTGCATGTCTTACAGTTCTGACCTCAGGTTTGTTCTCTCTTGGCCCTGCAGGGAGATGTAGAGGCTGTCAGGGAGCTGCTGGACCATGGCTCTGACCCTAACCTGAAGGATAATGCTGGGTGGACATCACTGGTAAGACTAACACCACAAGTAAAGCATCTGAGAGCTTTGTTTGTCCTTTGGAAAAACTCTCTGGGATAAAAGCTAGGATTGTTAAATTGATCTGCATTATACACACTCTTTGTTTTTGTTTTTTTTTATATTTTCATTGGTCAAATTTGCATTTCTTGCCCCCTTTTTTTAAAGCCATATCCTATAGCTATGAGCTATATCCTTTCTTCTTATATGTATACTGTATAAACGGATCCTCCTAAGTAAATCAACATGCATTTGTTAACCCAAGCGAGTCACTAACTCTACTGTAGCCCAATGATCATTTGTTATGCATGCCTCAGTTGTCTTCAGATGACAAACTGGAAATTCTTTCAGTGCTGCCTGAGCCATTTCTCGACCTTTGGGAATAAGTGAAAGTGTTTGTTGCTCTCATATTGCAGCACTTCACAAAGCTACTTGCTGTCAAGATGCTCGACTCAAACTTGAGTTTTCAATATCAGTTCTGACAATTTGCATATGATCTTGTCTTGCCCCCGATAAACAAAAGGCATGTCATCCTTATATTTGACAGGCTTATATGTGTTTCTGTCAAATGTGACATGCTACTGTCACACAAACCCACATTAAGTTTTTTTTTAAATTGTTTTTCTACATCCAGGATCAGTTTTTTTTTTTCAGAGTAGATTCACTGTATTGTAAGGTTTAAAACACATTTCTGTTTTGACAAAGCTGTAGTTTTCTTTTGAGTATAATAGTTAAATCAAACAAACTTAACAAAAATTCACTCACAGAAGGAAAAATAAAATCTCTTGTGTAGCAGATTAGAGATTGAAGCACTGCATGCAACACTTGTCAAAATTGGTGTTTTTGGTGGCGATACACCAAATCTCACATACTTTTTCATATATCTGACAGCAATATGATAATATTGTGGTTTTTAACAGTCTGCAAAATAAAGAATATTGTAATTCCGTAAAGTTGCTCGAGGGTGACTGATACGTACAGCTTTAATCTGGAGAACATGAGAGGGCAGCCACCAGTCATCTGTATAATATTGACCTGTTGTGGTCACACACCTGCGACCCCTTTGTGCTGGACTCAAACGTTCCTTACCTTTTAGCTCCTCTCTCTGCAGGCGTCAGGACAGCTGTGTTAGTGAAATAGCACAGCTGAAGACTAGTCCCATACCTGGGTTCCAGTGTCTTGATTGTGTAAAGCACTTGTTGACCTTGAATGGCTTCAAGTATTTTCACCTTCACCAAGTAGGTGATGGATTGTGCTCACTCTGAATTATAAGGCAGCTCAATGAGTCCAGTGTCTGCTGGTTTTTCAGTAGAGTTGATGTAACGTAGCTAGGGCTTGGGCGATTCGTCGACGTAATCCATTACAAAAATTTGTCGACTCAAAAAACAAGCGTCGATGCGTCGCATGAAGATGTAGACAATGACTACTTCAGGTAACGGTGGAGGCATGAACAGCAAATGAGCTCCACCCAATGTGATCAATTTAAAACCTACTTTAGCATGATCTTTGAGCAGCTCCTCTTAACCAATGCACGTGTTCTTCCTGGCTTCCACATTCACATTTCCAAGATCGCGCTGCTTTCTTTCAAGGAGACATGCAGTGACCTTTCAATCAAATAACCCACAGCTGGTGCAGTGAACGCTGCATCATACGCCCTGCATCCCATATCTAATTCATTCACTTTAAGCAGTTAGCTTGGAGTTGAGGCATCAGTTTTGTGCTTTTATTTGTCCTATAACTCGTCAACTAATCAGCTGTATGATCGCCGACGATAGCTCGCTAATGCCAATACTTGGCGCACTCAAGCTCCGCTTCATATATGTATACTGATACCATACCTGCCAACACTCCCGTTTGTTCCCAGGACTCTCCCGTATTTCAGACCTATCTCCCGCCCACCTCCCGTATTGTCATTTCTCCCGGGAATCTCCCGTAGTTTGATGGTCCACGTTCATTCATGAATGGGATCACTATATTTGTCCAAAGCTTCCAGACAACTGAAGATTGTCCTGTGTTTCTGCTGAGCCTCACAGACACTGGATTGATACTTTTACTTAATAATTTGTGATGATTTAGGTCGGTTTAAGCTGTAAACTATATTTAAGCAGTGTTTGTTGCAAAATGAACACTTCAATAAAAGGGAAACAAATGTGAGACATAATATTTACGTTGATAGTCTTGCACAGTCTCGGAGTGATGCATTCAGGGCAGCCTCTGATAAAACAGTGCTGTATTGCACACACAGATGTTCAGAGAACCTCATATGGGAGAGCATATAAAATATATAAGGACTTTAACACTAATACTAGTGGACTAAATAAGTTCAAGGCATATCGTAACTATTTTTTTTATTACCATTTGTTATTGTTAAAACAAAAGTGTGCAGCTTCACTTATACTTATTTGGATGAGCAATTTAATTACAAATACTCTCATAATTAGCTCATATTCTTAGATTCTCATAGATTCTTGACTAAATCATTGAATTAAATACCAATAGGAATAGGACAAGTTTTTACTTGCTATTTTGTTTAAATTCATTGTAATATTAATCGGTTAATAAAAAATAACCATTAGAATGATCGATAAATTAGTCAATAGAATAGTCATGTAATCGAAAAAACAATCGTTGGATTAAACATTAGGAAATAATCGTTAGGTGCAGCCCTAAACATAGCTCATCAGCTAGTCCGAACTTAATGGTTGAATGGCAGTCCTTGTCAAAAAAATAAATAAAATCTAAAACAAGTCAACTTGCTTGTTGTAAACACATATAGGGCTCCCCTTATTTCTCTCTCTGGTGCCTCCTTAATGAGCTTTTAAAGTCACACTTCTTCACGTGTGTCACTTCTACTGACATCAACACCTCCATTACTGTAAGTGGATTGAAAAAGTGATTTAGTAATTTTTTCATAGCCAATACAAACTTATTCTTACATTTTAAATAAATATAACAAAAATATTTAAACTTGGTGGCTGCGTATCTGTTTAGCATCATGGATTATCATAGGGCTGCTCTTAGTGCAGGATGATAAAATGATAATATATCAAATTAATTTCCCTCAATATCGATATAAAACATGGTCAATATGCTTTTCAATATCTGCGTTAAAAAGAAGAAAAGTGTGCTCTCCAGGATTTAGCTGGGTTTAGAGCGCCAAGGTGTATGGTGTATGTCCCTGTTAAAAGACATGGAAACAGATGTCCAGTTTAGTGGTGGGTTTATTTGACTGGGGTTCGGCAGATACAGATACAAAGCAACAATCAGTGCAGCTCACACCATACACAACACACATAGATAATATAACTGAACAGTATTTACTTAAAAACACCTAAACAACATGGGCTCTCTAACAGGGATTCTGCCATGTTTTGGTAGACTATACGAATGGCCAATGAAAGGGGGAGTTGTTCAGGGTCCGCTTCACGCTGAGAAAAAAAGAAAATGAGTGCTACTCCCAGCAGAAATGCAGATGAAGGCTCAGCAGTTGATGACATGGTCGACAACACTGAGGTCGGACATGAAGCAGAGTAATGTGCTCTGCAAATTATGTCGAGTACATGTTCTATCAAAGTCGAGGAATGCCTCAAATCTTTTTAACCACCTTAAGCAGTGCCATGCAACAGAGCACGCTCAATGCAAAAGGTTGCAAACCCTGTGCAGCCGAAAACATTCAGTCCGCTTTCTCTTGCGCAACACCTTATGACAAAACGTTGAAGAGACACAAAGACCTTACAGATGCAGTAGCTTATTGTATTGCAAAAGACATGCTACCAATAAGCACTGTGAAATTAAATTTTTTCTATCGTGATATATATCTATATCGACTAATATGAAAAAATATATCATGATAAACTTTTTCCCATATCGCCCAGCCCTAGCTGCTCTTATTTAGTACGTTGAGGAAATAGAAAGATGTGGGTTTAATTTCTAGACAAATTAAATCCATGATAATGCAGATTCTTTTACTCTACTATCCTTATTTTTGTTGATAAATGTTTTTTCATAGTGATAAAATTACTTAACAAGTCCTGTTGATATCATAAAGTGGCTTGTGACGTGTAATGTAAAAGCTACCAAAACCACAGGGAACTGTGTTAGACCAGAAATGACAGTACTGTGGCTGCCCATTCATTTCAATAGAATTACATTTATTGAAGAAACACGACTGTTTTTAATAAGCGTGCAGCTTTTTGAGGTACCAAACTCATTCCTGAGGGATATGCTCCTGAAGTAACCCTTTGCTCTGTTAAGTGTTCAGCCTTCTTCAAAAATAGACTCATTTATGGAGCTACATTCCTTAACTGTGTTAATTTTAGAAAAGAAATAAGGCAGGTCAGAAAAAACATCTCACCAGATGATCTTTGTGAGTTCAGTCTACAAAACTAAAACGAGACAAAGCTCTAACAGCACCTCCCGCAGTAAACTTGTTGTAGTTCTTCACTTTTCCAAATACCCCAGGGAAGAAAACTACAACGTCTGTCTACAACATTAGCCATCAAAGAATGTCAAAGTCATGTTGAGGCTTTGAAGCTTCTGCAGTTCCCTAAAAAGTATCTTCAAGAAGAAAAGGATCAAATGGCGCTGATTGAAATAGGATGAAAATTAAGAATGACAAAATCAAAGGTTGTTATTCCTTTTAAAGCAGAGCAGGTCAACCTTGAGCTCTACGGCTTTCTTTTCCAGCATGAGGCGTGTAACCTGGGTCACCTGGCTGTTGTGGAGGTCTTAATCTCAAGCGGAGGTCTGTTGAATACGCCTGGCTATGAAAATGACTCTCCACTCCATGACGCTGTGAGGAACGGACACCTGGCCATTGTCAAACTATTACTGCAGCATGGAGCCTCCCAGAATGTGCTGTGAGTTTCTCCAGTTTTTTACCCTTTTTCTACCCAGAGTTATATTTGATAAAGAGTTGCTGGTGTCAAAGTAATCACATCGTGACCCATTACAAGATCAGGGTCAGACCGGCACATGTGGGTGTAATGTGGTAAAAAAGAGCTGCTGCTGCTGCTGGACAAGTAATTAATTGCACAGATGGTAAGCTTTGCGGAGTCCTTGCTCTGGTCTTCTGTGAAATTCTTCAAGGACTGACCAGACACTGTGACCTGGAAACAAGATTTTCTGATAGAGTGGTTTTCAAACTTTTCCAGTCATGTACCCTTTTCTTAAACCTTTCAGCCAAAAAAAAACAGCCAGTGTGAAAACATTATTTTCTACATGCAACACTTCCGATCTGCCAAGAAAGGATTAGATCAGTTAGGGTTGAAATGAGCATGAAGAAGTTTCATACATGATACTAAGAGTTTCAAGACCCTTAGTAGTCAGTGTTTTCCCTTTTCTGTGATGTGTCTTTAAATGTGTTTTCAGCTTCCTATCATGTTTGAAACAAATCAAGTCTTTCTTAATTTTTTTGTTTACTTGAGTATCTAAACTGGCCGGATGCTAACATAACATGTTTAAAGTTAGTTGACAGTTTAATGAGGTGTGTTATCATAATTTCTTTTGTTTTTCAAATCTCCTTGTACATTTGACTTACATGTAGTTGTTGAGTGACTCACAATACAAGATGATATATGGCACACAATTTTCAAAACATCATGGTACTGTAGATCTTGATAATCAGATTTGAATACTGCAAGACAATCATGATTTTTAATCAGAATATTTGATCAAATGAGGAGCTCCGAATAGCCCTTAAATGTCGGAGAGAAACAGCCCGGTGACTCCTGATACAATAAGATGTGACACATGGCCCATAGGAAAAAAAAAAAAAAGATATGGTATAGGGCCACGTGATTTTGAAAAAGACCTACATGGAAATATTTTTTCTTTCTTGGAAATGATGATATTACAGCAGCAGTTTCCTAGTATAAAAAGGGATACCAGTATATATGTCACACATTTTCCTTAGACGTTCTTTACATTAAATACAGAATATAACAATTATTGGATTTTTAATGCGGAAGTTTGAAAAGAGCAGTGGTGCTAGTAAAAATATGAATATGCAGTGAGGTGAAATTACAATGTATGAAAGTGTAGAAATCTTACCAAATAAATGCAGGTTGTGTAGAAACAATTCAGAATTTCCACATACATTTTGTTACTTAGATCCTCTTCTCTCTTTTGGTAAATAGTAAATAGACTGTGTTTATATAAATCACTTTTTTTAATCTTCTGACCACTCAAAGTGCGTTTACATCACTTGTCACATTCAGTCCACAATCACATAGCAGAGACTGCTATGTATAGAGCCCACCAGTAATAACTAATCCCATTTTCACACATCTGGGCCCAGCCAGACGGGGCAGTTTGCCTTAGGACCATAGACTGTATATAGAATGGACGCCATCTGCCTCCTCGCTGGGTGAAGCCACCCTGCGAACAGCACCCTCAGGTGAGGGGCTGATGTATAGGTCATAAATCCCGCCTCATCCAGGAATCCCTATGGAGTTGTAGACAAACTTTAGAAATGAATTATATAGTAGGGCTGGGCGATAAACCAAAACTTTACAGATACTGAAATTTATGACAATAACCGACATCATTTTTCCCCCATCTGTATATTCTGTGTTTTTCCGCTTTTAAATGAACCCCCCCCCCCCAAACCCCTTCTTTCATCAAATCATCCAGCCCTCTGACTGCAGCTTCAACTCCTGCATGGGGGAAGTTTGCAAGTGAGCTTAAAGGTTCTTACAAGTTGAAGTAAGGTGATGTCAAACACATGCACACATTGCAATTGTGATGATTGAATGATGCCTACGATATAGCCCTGCTATGTAGTGGTAGGTAATATAGGACATAATAAAATACCATAAGATAGCATATAATATGATACTGGACCTACAACAAAAACATCATGGTACTACAACAGGTTGGCTGTGGAATCTATTTAGAGCACTTTATGATAAAATCTGGATTTTTGGCCCGGTGTATCCATATTTTTCCTCACAAGGGTCAGGATAATTATATTTTTTGACAGTTTCCCCCAGTAAAAGTTCTACAATTTGAGCTCTAGTCTAAGCCTGTTCATCACAGTAGTTTGCCCACCAACAGAAAGCAAACAAAAGCAGATAACAAAAATACTGGGAGAAAAAAAAAACAGGCTGATTGTCTGCTGAAGAGAGCTGAATTTTCCTCCTGAATTGATTTTTGTCATTGGATGTGACACAAACAAACCCAAAGACAAATCCAATACAGCGTTCTGTTATCCATCACTACCTTTTAAACAGTTATTGAATATTTGAACGGCTGTTGGGACTGTCGCTGCTGTGGCTGGCAGCGTTGTTTTGGTGTGCTTTATTGATGAGAGCTCTAAATGCTCTGTCTCGTCCATGTAGATAAAAATGAGAACAAAACCTATCAAAATATCTTTTAACTGAGTCAGACAGCTGGAGAAAAGAAATCTCTGAAAAAAGTTCTTATTACCAGCATGGCCATTGTGTTTCTTTGTGTTACATCATAGAGGTGAACTGTGGACGAGTGCTTATTTTCCACTGCTTCAATTACTCCCCAGGTGCCTGTTACCCACTCACTGTACAAAGTATTCAGCCTCTGTAGGACCAAGAACAGGTCTATGTTAGTGCTGTAAGTCGATAGACAGAAAATCTACTGATGCTGATTAGTTGTTGGTCAATCCATTGATGCTGCATCAGCGTTTTCTGGTCTGTGGAGGCAGGGTTTGTAATGAGGGAGTGGAAGATGCTGGTTAATCATCAAGATCGATAGAGCAGTTGATCGGGGTCAGTTTGTTGGTCAGTAAGCACTCTCTGTGCGATCATCTTATACTTATCATCCTCTTGTCTCCTCCCTTCTTCATCTGGCCTTATTTGTCTCAGGACTTTGATCAGTCCTGATTGCCCGCTCTTACATTTCATCTCTTTACTGCAAGGGGGGAAAAAAAGAGCCTGTGGTTTGGAGTGTCTGTCAGAGCGCTGCAAGATGAACGCAATCCTTGCCCTAGCCTCCTGGCTTACCACAAACGCACACACAAATACGTTCACACACATACACACACCTATATATGGGTACTCAGACGAGAGGCAAACCAAGACATCTGCCAATGCAATCCCTAATGGAATGATTGGCACTCAGCTGAGGGCTCAGACATACAGGTTTTTCAGAATTTCATTGTTCCTCTGTGTACATTTGTGTGTGCACATTAAATTTGAATGACTGGTCTGTGTGTCCTACAGTGACAGTAAGTCCACTTTCACATGTATATAGCTCCCTGGGGCTTGCTATTACAACACAAAGGGAAGTCTTAAAAGTGGCAAATTCTTATGTGAATACTAATGTGTTACACAGTCCACTTTTCCCTGTTATCTCCAAAACGACAGGTTTAAGTGTTTTCAGAGAAGCTGGACAACATGCACAGCAGGGCTCCTTACCACAAGTCTCAGCCCTCCAAGCACAAGCATCTACGTGCAGCACATTCGGAGAGCCTGCAAGGTGTTGCCAGATACCATTTTTTTAATGTCAATAGACTGAAATGGACAATAATTCAAATTTTGTACCTTTTGTACAATTTTTTTTGTATATGTCACTATTTTACCAACTATATAATAGGTTTTGTAAATTAGACAAGCTCCATGACAATACTGGAAGAAAATAAATGTTTGCTAATAAGAAATAAAAACAACTTATGTGAATTGACCTGCTCCTTCTACAAGCCTGGAGCACTGAATCCATACAGAAATTAATTAACATCACCTATGAGCTTGTACTGACGCGTCAACTCCGATACTCTGGATGGAGTAATTAAAAGACAGATAAGCAATGACAGCCTTCAAATGTTAACACTGAATTGTGAGCCAAAGGCAGTTCAAAGGCTAGCTGGATGCGGACTATAGAACTAAAAGAACATGGTAAAACACTCAGATCTAAATGTTATGTGAAATAGTAGCTTTGTTTGATTAGCAGGACTTGTTTTGATTTGAATGAGATTATGTTTTCCCCAAAAATGGAGCCAATGCTGGAGTGCAAAATACTAATTTTTTTGATTGTCCTCTTCAGGCTGCTCTGAAACCAAGGAGTGCATATTAAAATGCCCATGAATCAAACGCCTTGATCTAGAATGAATGAAATGGATTACAGTGTGAGCTGGCTAAAGGAATTACCTCAAGATCCTTTGAATTAATAAAAGGTGTACGGTGCCCCAGGGCTCATTCTCCGAACCACTGTAGTGAACGGTTCATAGAAAAAGTACTGTTCATAAAGCCCCCCCCATGCAAGTGTTCATTTGCTTTAGAGTGATAGTTATATAATGCTATATACTTTTAAGTCTCTTGAATTTTTTATAAAGTGGATTGGAGGAGAAAGAGGATGCATCAGGTGGTTAATGCTTAAGGTTTATTTATGCTCAACATTACATACGAATTCTGATACAAGCCGAGCTCTCCGTACGTGCTTTGCGTTCTTTTCTTCCGTATTTCCGCATGTATCCTCAGAGTTGACGGATACGGGCCAGACAGAGTAGTACCACTGGAAACCGTGGGGGCATTCTCTGTCCTCCAACCGCGAGGCATTTAGTGGCCTGACCGACCACAGCCTCACTGCCCATAAATGAGCCTTTAGGCTGATGGCTTTTTGTCATGTGATCAAGGATATATTGACCTTCATTTGTGATTGTCATGTGTTGTATGTCTGGAACTATTGTAAATTGCACTGCTTCTATTTTTGGCCAGGACACACTTGTGAAAAAGGTTTTTGGTTAAATGATATTAAACAATCATTGATATTTATACAACTTTAATACCTCATCTATTTTGATTGTATTTAGTCAAAGAGCTGTGCATGATTGAGGCATGTAGCTGATTGAATCAACAGGTTGGCACATTGTAGGGCTTGCCTTTACCTCTTGCTGGTTTTTAGCTCAGCTGAAAGTTAGACTCAGTTTTTCCAATATTGTGTCAACCATCTTTGGGTCTCATTGAGCCTCATCATACCTCTTTATATACCAATGGCTGACATTAGCAAAAGGACTTCCATGCCTTACACAGATGATTCCAATTGCCACTTCATTTAATCTTTGAAATGAACCAACAGGGTAAGGAGTGCTGTCTTCTTGCCATGAATAGTGTACTCATCCACTGGACGTTGCATATTTATCCCATTTGAATAAAGATGTTTGAAATATTATTATTAGTTAGAATTAAGCCATCTTCAAGCACATCAAGCTCTGATCTTAATAAATTGAGATGTCAGAGAAGAGCATTTGCAAAAAAAAAAAAAAAAAATCTTTGACAGAGTCAAATGGAAGCATGAGATGAGTCATGTCTTGCTTTATCCACCATTAGCATTAACACACAGCTGATCCCTCCATTGGGACAAATCAAGAGATGATTGTTAAAGAGGGAAATATAACTAATGAGGCTTTTGATTAAAAATGCATTGAGGCTTCACCCATTGCCTCATCAGCTGGGTGTCACGTGCTTTCACCATTAGACTTGTGATTACTCCGTAGACACACTGCTGAGCTGACAGAGTTCAAAAGTTCTGTCCGCTGTCGAGTGAGCACGGACCTGCATCTCAATTCTGAATTGATCCCACAAAACCATCTGGTACTCCATGAGGAGGAGCAAATCTGAAAGAGAAATATAGATAAGAATTTAGAGGAAGGTAAACAACTCTCACATAAGATGCTGTAAAGGTATGGATCAATATCAAAACAGTCCCATTTTTATCTATATCACTGTATGTGTGTTATGTCACCGTTTTTCAAACACTTGTGGGTGCGAACTGAATTCATGTTTGGCTTAAAATTAATATTTGAATCTCCTCCCTCCAGTTCAAATAAGAGTCATGGTTGCAGTGGTTAAGATCCACCACCGCCTGCCTCCCACTTGTGTACTTGTCGAGGCTTGTGGGAGAGTGTTTGTGGCTCTGCCTCCTGCACAATTTTCCACGCTTTATTATTTTTCTCCTGATATGCCTCTCACGTGCAGCTGCATAAACCAGCTTGTTGCGTGTGTGTGTGTGTGTGCGCATATGTATAAGTGTCAGGGACATTTTATGTTTGTTTGTATTTGTGTGTATATACGGGGGGTTGGGGGTATGAATCCAAATGAAATATTTTATGGACCAGTGGACCTATTAATTGTCCCCCAGGTGTTATCTTTGCTGACGCCTAATCTTTGAGAGACGACCTGCTGGGCTCACTTCTCTCTGTCTCCTCACCCTCTCTTGAGCCTTTTTTCATTCTTTTGTACTTTTCTTTTCTTTCCTCAAGGTGACCCCAGCTGTGTTTCTGCTGCTTTTCAAACAAAAACTACGTTCTTTAAAGCTTGTCTCCAAGATACTGTATCTATTGGGGACAATTGGAGTTTCATCTGATGAGGACAAAGAATCTGAGAAATATAAGTCAAGATATTATTGTGTGCTTCTTGCATACACTACCGTCCAGTATGTTGCGTTGTGTTTTGTAATCTACAGCACAGATTTCAGCTAACCCTCTTATCAAACAATTATGCTCCAACAAGTGAATGACTCACAAAGATGCAGTTTCACATAACAAGCAGGGTGTAACCTCGCTAGATTGTTTTTCTCCAAGCTCTGGGCTGGCAAATATTGATTTAGCTCTACCCTGCTCAACCAGCGATAAAGACAACTCCAAAATGTGCACAGATTGTAAAGAAAAAGTCAGACAGGGTGGATGTCTTATCAGAAAAGACAGACTTTGTACTCTGCTACAACTGCTACCAGGAAAATCCTGCAACAGGTTAGTTACAAAATGTAATTCTTTATATCCAGGTTTAAAAAGTGTACATTATTAGAAAAGTGATGAAGATGGAATAATTTCCTTCAAAATTGCCCCTGTTTAAGAAAAGCACATCTTTTTGGTCTTTTGGTTGTTGTATTAATCGATAAATTTCATTGACAGACTAAAAACACATACATCGCTTCATTTCTGCCCCCAAATAAAAATGCAGTGAATAAATCCAATAATTCTGCACCACACCTTTTTAGCAAAGGTTAGTACTCTTTAGTTGATCTTAGGGCTGAGTTACATGGCCTCAAATCAATATCACAATATACTGAGCAGTTCACCTCGATAACGATAAATGCACGATAACTACTCCACAAGCTGCTCACCCCCTCCCACATTCACTTTGTCTACTTCAGTCGTTGGTACAACTCCTGAACCATCCTCCCTCACCTGTCTTTCCCTCTTTGTTACGGACTGGAATGGGATGGAGTCACGTCTCTGACGTAGGACAGCGTCTTAAAGGGACATGAGACCATAACCTACCTACAAACATCCCAAACCAATTTTTATTTATTTTTTGGACACCGAATATATTGACATGGGCGAAATTACGTTGGTTATATTCGTAAATTTCAGTATCAGTTAATTTTCGATTTATCGCCTAGCCCTCGTTGATCTGACATTGTGATGTATCATTAATTGAGCATCTTGTAAACCGTAATTGCTGAATCACAGTACCATTTTTGTAGATCTGTTCCCAAGTATTGTGTATCTTGTCTTGAGTCACCTGGCAGTGCCTACTATTTCTTCCAGCCGTCTATTCAGTGACCACAGGGTCTGCATTATAAAGCAAATACATACATACAAATAAAACCCACATGATGACATACCTTTTCTCCTCTCCTCTCCTCCTTCTTGTAGTAATCTGCATGGAAAGCGGCCTGCAGATTATGCGGTGAGTGTGGAGATGCAGCAGATTTTCCAAGAGGCCTCAGATGGAGCCCAAAATGCTAATACAGCTCTCAGCCCGTCAGCCAGTCTCTCTGTGGTACGTCTGCATCCTGATGTGATTTCTTATTCCCCTGAAAATGTAACCCTGGAATTCTTAAATCCCTGCTGTATTTGCCCAAGCATTTCTTATCCATATTCTTATGTCCTTACCCAGGTGAGTGACTGTGCAAGGAGGGATGAAATGGTCATGTTTCTGGCCAGCAAACTATCACAGCCAGAACAGCTCCAACTGGCTAAACTGGGAGGGAGGATTGCTGACACATTTTCTGGCTCAGGTAGTGTTTTTGTGTGCAGTAGCACCTCCACAGGGGGCTTAAACTTCCTCGCTGTTACAGACAAAGCAGCTTAGAAAACCAGTCACATATGATTGCTTTTTAATGTTGTTGTGTGTGTGGCATGGGCTCTCAGCAACTCAACAAATCAACAACAGCTACCAGCCAACTCTTGGGGCGCAGGGAACATGGCAAGCAAGATCCCTTTCTGCCAAACAATGTGATTAGAAATAAATCATGATTCGGATGACCTCATTAGTGGAACTACCAAAAGATATAAAGTCAGGAGAAAGTTTCTGCTCTGGTCATGATGTTTTTCATGATAATTATACAGAAAAGCCCCTTTGCCATCATAGAGAAAGGGTTTTTACCTGAATTATCCTCTGCACCGAAAGCCAGCAGTAAGTGCTGAAGTAAAATCACCCATGAAGGTTCAACAGTAAATAACAAGTGCTTTTAGAGCTGTATACATCATCGTGATCCTGCAGCTCTTTCACTGTTGCATAGTAATGGCTGAGAGAAAACTAGAGAGCACAATAATTGAAATCATTCCTCATAAAGGGTTTCAGGTACTGCCTGGGTGATGCATAAGCACCAATGAAAAACACAAGTGTTTCTCACAAGGCTTTCTACCTTTCTACTTCCAAATTTTTTCTGTGGGCTACGAATTCACAAAATTCCACGGTCAATGAACAATGGAGGACAGTTAAGCCCCGCAGATGTAATTATATTCATTTTGTACTTGTCAACTGTTCTCTCTTGTTGAAAGAGGAGGCAATGAGCTTGTATTTAAATTTTAATTAACCTGTAATTATGTGTCCCTGTCTCAAACAGTTAATGAAATAAGCTGCCACTTTGCCTTTTGTTGTGTTGTCATGAACTATTTGTCAGATTTGCAACAATTTTAATGGTTCATTCAGGCAAAGTACGGGACAAAAATTATTCTATGAATCAAAAATATGTTAGTGGAAACAGGATTAAAAAAACACACATCTGTATCATTCCTTTCTCCTGGTGAGTTCAGGCTGGAGAATCATAATCAAGATTTGATCCATAAAATTCTAGTACTGACGATAGTTTCTTTTGATTCTTCCTTTTTAAGACTGTTTAATTAGATGTCGTTGTCTTTTGTCTGATAATAATAACAATCAAGAAATAAAATAAAACAAAAATCGGTGGAAGACATAAAAGCTTTAATGAGTGTCAACAAAGACATCATAAAAACCCGTGATACCCGGCCAACACAGGGACCCAACCACAAAAACCTGAGACCAAGAGGACTTTTTAAAAAGAGAGAGAGAGAGAGAGAGAGAGAGAGAGAGAGAGAGAGAGAGAGAGAGAGAGAGAGAGAGAGAGAGAGAGAGAGAGAGAGAGAGAGAGAGAGAGAGAGAGAGAGAGAGAGAGAGAGAGAGAGAGAGAGAGAGAGAGAGAGAGAGAGAGAGAGAGAGAGAGAGAGAGAGAGAGAGAGAGAGAGAGAGAGAGAGAGAGAGAGAGAGAGAGAGAGAGAAGAATTAAGAAGTTATAAAACATAGAAGTTTTGAAGAAGACAGAATCACATAAAAGCAAGTCTATAAAAATGGGTTTTAAAAAGTGATTTAAAAGCAGTGACTGATAAAATGCATTTAATGAAAGTAGTCAATTGAAATGTCTATATAAATACATATATATTGAGCGAGGGAGAGCCTGCACTCAACATGTCTCCTCTCTAAATTTTCTGCAATTTTTACTCTGTTTTTTGTATTTTTGTCATATTTTGTTGACTACTGATGGGTATTTCTGTTGGGAGAAGAGTTTTATCTAAGAGAAGAGCTTCTTTCATTGATACAGAAAAAAATCTGGACAACAACATCCAATCCCAGAGGACATCAGGTGGTGTTTTTTGTGGTTGCCATGCTGGTGTAAAGGTGAACATAAGGTTGAATGCTAGGGAAATGGAGATAGAAACCCTTTCTTCCATCAGTCATTTTGGAAAACGTCAACTCTCTGCCCAACAAAAGTGACAAGCTAGAGATGCTACTAACCTTCCTTCAAAATTACAGTGCAAAATATACAAATAAGAAAATACAACAGCGCACAAGAAAGATAGAAACTAAGTGTGGCCACACCAGGACAAAACCTGCCTCAGTCAGTCCATCCTCTGTTGTGTTGTCTGACGTTCCTCTTATGTGACTGATTATAAGTTGAGCCATACTATCCAAGAACTCTGGGTTTCATTCACTTTTCATTCAATGCACATCAGAGGATGAGGAGAAAAACAAACCGATCTCTCCCTTTTTTTTCTCTAAATCTGCATGAGCTAGAGCTTTAACCAAATCAGAGGTCTGTGTGGGTTACCATCAGCTCTTGCTTTCGGTGCTGTTTCTACGCACGGTGTCCTTGGCTGACTTCTTCTCCTGGTAGCAGTCATAAGAGTTGTCATCTGTTTTGGGGGTCATGTTACTATGTTTTTATTTCAGCTCACAGGGGGATGTTCATGACTCATCCTGTGCTGTGACAAAAAAGAAGAAAAATCTCCTAAATGCTCATGTTGGTTTGTAGAGTATCAGCACAGTTGAATTTGAACTCAGTCAAATACAGGATGTGATCTTGTAGCACTTTGTCTAAAAACTCATCTTAATTTTCATCTAAAATATTAATTTATACACTGTTTGGTTGAACAGTCCACAGCTCAGTTTTGAGGCAACCTGACACAGCAGGCAGACCACAGCAGCAGGCAGTTGCTATTTTTGTATGTGGAGCACAACTCATTTGTACCAGCTCAATTTGGCTTATTTTGTGTTTTGTGTCTGTCTTGTTGTTCCAGTGAGCCACGTTGTTGTGCCAGAGGGACCCATGCCCACCACCTACTTCACCCTCCTGGGTCTCCTTGCTGGCTGCTGGATCGTCAAATTCAGCTGTGAGTATCAGGAGAGATGTCGGCTGGTGTATTTCTCTGTAGATACTGTTTTTGGACGTCATGTTAAACAATGTCACTGCAGTACGCAGTTACCAAGACTCCAACAGCTGTGGAGCTTACCTCAGATGAATTCTGTTGATACATGCTGTACCTTTTATATTACACAAACACAAGAGAAGTGTGTTTGACCCTGCTATCACAGCAGGTAACGTTAGCTGTGGAAAGCTTTAATTAAGGCAGCTGCTGTGGCTGCAAACAAGGTTTTCTGAAAATATCATGGAAATGCATTTCATGTTGTGTAATTACTGCGCAGACAAATAAATTTACTGTAAATCCACAACTCAAATATTTACCTCATTATACCCTAGATTGGATGACTTCTTGCAGAGAGCTTAGAGTTCATCCAAAGCAATGAATGACAATTGGATTGAGTACTTTTGATTTTAATTATTTATTCAGTTCCTGACAAATACTAGCTTAGGGTAGAACAAGGCTCAAGCTCTTTTCCAACCTGCAGATCAGGAAAAACACAAATATGTTCATTTCAGACTCATCAAAATCTTCTTTTACCTTGCGCCTGAAAGTTATCAGGTACTTTCACAGCTGTGGTTCATTTGCTATGTCCCTGATTCTGACTGTAAAATGATACATAGATGGATTTTTCCTTTTTTTTTTGTTTGTTCACACTGCAACAGATACAAAGCAGGTCAACACACACTCCCCACCACAGGGCTGTTCGTACTGCATAGCCTCCTATTCTGACTGCATATAGGCATACAAATACCAGACGTATTGGTTGCACAACAAAATGAGTAACGGTTTGGTTTGGAGCAGCAAAGTGATCAAATGCCTCGTTGACATTTGAGCAGATGAGCATCTGTGTCAAATGTCACCACTCGTGAATACAGGGAGTCAGAACTTGTGGATCAGTGAATAAACTAAAGAGGCTTTCGGCAGTGTGGGGTAAAGGCGAAGACACTCTAACAGACATATATAAAGGTACAAGAGCAGCTTGGAAAAAGTAGAGACTTCTGTGATTAGATATGAATTTCCTTGTAATAGGCATTAATTGGTGGTTTATAAGCCACTTATAAGACTGTATAATGTGCTTATAAATGTTTATTTGTGTTAACAATTAGTTATTGAAGCGTTGTCTTTCCTATAACGTACAGTCAGTGAAGATGAATTTCCCCAAGGGGACCAATAAATCAAATCTCAATCTCATTCTCAATAATTAACATATTCATTACTCCATGTTAGACAAGTTATTCTTGTTATATGTTATTCTTATTTTGACACTGTTCCCACTTCAGATTCAGTGGCTGCAAAGGAGCATTGTTGGCTTTTATAACTGCTCAATTATTTTATCTTTACAAGTCATATTTAATTTAAGTCAGTAGGTTTTCTTTAGATTGTTGAAATTCCTGTGAGTCCTCATCAGGGAATTTATAAGCAAAAATACATGTTTGCTGCAATTTTAACAAAGGCTCACATTTTCTGTTAGTTGACGCTTATTACAAGAACCTTAAAATAAAGTGTTACCTGGTTCAATGAGCTGGACGGATTAACTCACTATTAACTAGTTAGTGAACTTTTAGATGTTAAATCCTGTGACGTAGGCACACTTATAATTTTCATCTTTTCTGTGAACGTTGGGTATGAGTAATGTTATATTTTGGTCAACAGTGTTAAACTAAGTGTGTCTGGTAAATCAGGCATTTAGAGGAAAGCCCATCAGGTGTTGGTAAGACTAAAAAAAGCTGTATTAGCACAGACCCTGCACCATAATCGCCTTGTGTTTGGAAAAGTTTTCTCATCCATTTGCACCTATCTATATGTGAGTGTTTGTTTGCTTCCTACAAGGTCACATCTGTGTTGGCTTGACTGAATCGTTCAACAGTGCTCTGTAGAAAAAAGCATTCCACCAGCCTTGAGGTTTGTTTGCTGCTGTAAGGTGACTCTGCATAGTATAGGACAAGTGAAAAATCTGAGAAGTAAATGTTGGAGTCCTGAAAAAACAGTGCAGAACAAATTGTTTTGCATACTGTGTGTCCACTACTGACCATTCAGATTTTGTGTTGTTGTGACATCAGATTCACCGGTATATCCAACATGGCCGACCGGCTGATTGTTTACGTGTCGGAGAACAGAGTGCTTTTTGATAAAAGACACAAACATTACAAAGATAATGACCTGAAGGACAACTTGTGGAGAGTCATAGCGTTGGATTTCTCATATGACGATAGTTTGTGTGCTTGAACAGTTTGCTAAACGTCTTTGTTTTAACTTTAATCTGTGCTAAGTAACTTTAGCTCGTAAGCTAACCTGTTCATATACAACATACCATATGTATTTTCACTGTCTCAAACTCAATCGCGTTGCTGTCACAGCACCATTAGGTCTCGGTTGTTACCTTACGTTTATGGATTATAGTTTAATGTGCTTATCTGGTACTGGCCCCAACTCAGTACATGCTATCATGACAGACAGCCATCTCAACACTAGTTTCCTATCAGAACTGAAAAACAGTCATTCTGCCGTTGTGTCAGTCTTCACGCTTCCAACCGGGATGCGTCTTTTTTCCCCCCGGAAAGTCGCAAAATTGCATCGGGCTTGATGTTTATAGTCAGGCGCGTCAAAATTTGCCTCCGAATATTTCGTAATTTCACGTTATATATACGCGTCGGCCCCGGTGTGTAAGGACCTTAAGTTACAGATGTTTTGTTTTTTTTGTCTATGCAGATACCCTAACTTGCATTTTAACTGGCGTTAATTCACAAACCTTCACTAACCTGCTGCACCTCTCTCTCAGTGGCCCCTTTTGCATGAGTAGTTTTCCTCAGTCTGATTGAAATCAAGTGATCGGATCAAGTGAATCTGATTCCATCTGTATACATGAACTTTAAGTAAAGAGATCCACGTTCAGTCCACGTTTTCATGGGCCCAGCTGAATCCAGTTGTATTGTATTGTATCAATGGGAATCGTTAATAGGAACCATTGTTTTAGTTCCGTTTTAGAATTGCGCACAGACGTGTTTGTGTGTGACACCGCCGGAGTTACCAGACCGAGCAGAGTAAGGGACCCTATGTGTTGAAGTTTAATAAAAGTATAATCCAGCCGGGTTACACAACAAGAAGTGTACGCTTCGTCAGTAGCACGAAACAACACACTTAAACACTCCACCATCCAGTTTTTCTGTTTGTTTGCCATGTTTGTTTTCGTTTGGGCGCGCTCTGCGTACGTCACTATGTGCCTCTTGCGTACTATCGAGCGCCTGCGCAGACCGAACAAGCCTCTCTGTAAACCCAGTCCGCTCCACTCAGCCGTATATATGGAGCATGGAGCGGATTATCAATCGGTGTAGACTACCTCTTACAATCCAACCAGAAATACAATCAGATCCGGGTGAATCAGATTGGCTAAGGTGTTTATATGAGACACTTTGAATCTGATTGACCTTTCAATCTGATTGTAAATAGGATTTTTGGACCCATGTAAACGGGGCCACTGACTTCTCCTATTTCTTTGCCTCAATGTGTCTGTTCTGCTCACAATACGCATAAGCAGTTGGTTTTATAAAGTCACCCGCATAACACAGCGTGCGCACTTCAAAGTTTCAGTGGTGATCCCTGGGTTGACAAGGCTTGTTATAAACAATGCAGCAAATCCATTGATCTAAAACTGAGTGTGCAGGATCATATCTGTAGCAAAGCAGGCTGAAAGCAGGAGGACACGTTAGTTAGTGAAGCAGAGAGACAGAGTGAGCAAAGAGAGTGAAGCTGCGTGGTTAACAAGCATTAACAAGCTATCATTGCATGGGTAAACAGTAAGTAACCCAGGTCTCTTCTACACTGCAAGTTAAAAGTCCTGAGCTCAGCTGTATTATCATCAAGTTAAGTGAAGCTTTGATGCTGTTCAGTTCTGTTTTTGACCAGATGTTTGGGGGTGATACCAGACCAGAGATTTCATCTTAGCTCATCCTTGCAACAGGAGAATAAAACTGATCAATTAACATAAAAGATGGTCTCTAAAAGCTATGAATAATCCTGATTAACAGTCATAATCTCAAATTGATCAGAATAATGGGGATTATTTTTGGATTATAATCGTGAAGCCCTACCTTCAGGTGAAATCAGGTTCTGTGTTTGGAATAGCTCTTCTAAATCCAAAAGAGCTTTTTTATTAGTTTTTCTATTGCATGAATTGTCCTGGCAAACATTAAAAGACAATTTTGCATCAAGCAAGTTTCAGGTAGATGGTTTGTGCCAGCTGCTGTGTGCACAAACATCTGTTTACATGTCTGAAAGCCAAATAGAGCGGGGTGCTGACAGGGGAAAGATTCTTGGAATCAGTGCACCTCAAGGCCCTCATATCACCTGCGATGAAAAGACGGCTAACTCTCCTCTCCTATTTGATTGCAACAAAGATGAAACCGAGCAAATTTTTTTGCTATTCCCAGCCATCCTCCCTGGTATCCGTGAACCAAGTCAACAAGCAGATTTTCAGAGAAAAACCGGCTTCAGGGGAAAGTAAAAAGAGACTTGCTGTCAAAGAGTTTTCTGGCACCTTGGTGTGCCCTTGACTGCTGTATCCGTCAGTAGCATCTCTTCTCTGTGTGTGCCTGTGTGTGTGCTGAGAGTAAAACGTTTGTCTCTGTCTCTGCCAGAAAGCCATTTTAAGTTTGTATGTGTGTGGTTGTGTCACTGTATAAGACTTTGTGTTTGTGAGGACCATTTTCAGTCCCTCCCCTTCACTTTTCTCCACGCAGGCTGAGCACTTGACACAGCTTGTCTCCCTCATGACAATCACAGTGGCATCTTATCTGTCTCCATCCTTGTTTTTGTGAACACACACACACACACACACGCACACGAGCTGCTGACTTTTTGCTGTCACCTGGCTTTTTGTGCCATCGCTGTCAACTAGGCCAAGCCAGAGCTTAACTTTTTATTGGTTTAAGCCCTTTTCCTTTTGGAAAGCAATTCTGGTGTTATATTTCAAACCCGTCATGAAATAACAACTTCATCCTTTTTTATAGGCCTCCATCCCTGCTGACAGCTTTAACTAAGCTTTCATTGAAGATCAAACTGTGGTTTGAAACCTTTCATCCATCTTGTACCCATCATCTTCAAAAATGGTCCAGCAGTATGGGAAGTACACCTTTTATAAAATGTATAATTTTGAGATCAGAAGATGGGTATTGATCTCCATGTCTGCGCTGGATGTTTAAGAGGATGTTTTTTATTATGGCGCAGACTGATGAAAACAGGCTGGAAGCTGTGTGCAGCAAATCACCATATTTAATATTCACAAATTGGCATTTTGTGTTACTTTTATGTTAGTACAGCATAGGTAAAAAGGTAACAATCACAGCTTTAGCTGCAGCTACAGCAGACAGTCTAATTAAAAAGAACCACAAATAGCCTCCAACACTACACACTGACTGTACAACTAATAATGGCATTTCCATTACGGCCAAAGATTGAGGACTCTTTCTTTGAGGACGGACTGTGCTCTGTACAACTTTGTGCCTGCTCCAGTTTGACCTGTCTGCACTTTAACTAATCTGGATGTTGACATTTATAATTATTAATCTGCAGAATTTTTGGTGAGATTGCACCAATATATTGGCTGAATATCAGTATTGGCTGCTAAATGCCTTGATGACACACATCAGCCTTTCTATTGACCCCTTTACAGTCTGCCCCATCACAAATCACACATTACTGCCCATCTTGATGGTGGAAACAGTTTTTTGCTTGAGCTATCCAGACAAGTTAGTATGCTGTAAACACTGAATTAAAAGGACTAACAACATTAAAATGTCTGGAAGTTGCAGTGTTGACTATCAGAGTCAAGATTCTAACTATTGACTCAATTTATACAAAATTACAACAAGATCATGACCTCTGCAGAGTGACCCTGTTAACTGATGACTTCCGGCTCAATCTGCCAGTGGTTGTCATGATAACAACAGATGTTAAGGCATGAACAGAATACATCCTGGTCAATTTTTTTTACAACATTATCAAAATATACTCAGAGATTAGGGGTGGGAGAAAAAATACAGCATATTAATTGCTAATATGAAGTCAAATCTATGATAATGGAAAAATAAGATCAACTGTTTGTCCAGTGAGGTTGGCAGAGGTGACATCATAGGGCACAAGAAAATTAGTGCAACGAATACATAATGTTTGCAAGATGTGCTACATGAAAATAAAATACTGTGTAAATAAGACAAACATAAAGGAAAGACAAATGCTAAATTAGCTAAACAGTTAAAAAAATTGCATAAATCACAATGTATTGTATCGCTATACTCAGTGTATTGCAAAATGTTTAAAATCCCATAAATATTGTACCGTGGCCCAAGTATCGTGATAATGTCGTATTATGGCGCTACTGGTGAATCCCACCCCTATCAGATACAGTATGTAGTTTAAAAAATCTAACAGCATTTCCGAGGGATCCATCCAACCAAAGTTTTCCAGTTACAGGGTCACAGTTTGTTCCAAAAGATCAGCTGAGTCTGTGGCTGCAAGCTATTGATCATGTTCACTGCATCCAATTTTGTTCATATGGCTTTTACTACAGATGAATATGTTTACGGATTACATTTTGAACCCAATCTTTACCATTTGTAGATAATGGGGGAGCTGGCTCCAAGCCTGGTTATGACTAAATCACTGCTGTAAGACAATAAGGACTCATAATGGATTGATGATTTAGAAGTCAAAGTTTGATTTACTGGTAAAAAAAGAGAAATCATGTTCACATTTCAACCACATCATCAAACAGTTGACTATGTAAAAAAAACATAAAACAGAATTATTATTATGCTGTCAGCCATACTTGTTTTTCAGGGTCTAAATAGACTCATATTTTAGGGGACAGAAGAAGAGATGGCTGAGGTTGATCATTTTTGTTTTATTCTCAAACAACTAAAATCAAAACACCTGTAAAGTTTCCTGATGTTGGCATTAGGCCATTGGTTCATAAGGAAACATTTGGTTGCCACCAATGTATCACACATTCATGTGAGTAACATTTGAAGTCAATAACCCTGATGATAATCTTGATATGAAACAGGTTAAAAATAGCTACAGGAAGGTACGCTGTGGAGGTGTACATGATCATATATCACATAGTCTGTGTCCAGCACTTCTTTCTCTGCTCATGTAAATCACTGTACGTACTGTCGTCAAACAGAGGACTATATCTGAGCCAGCTGCTCACTTTAATGTGCTTCATATGTTAGACTTGATAATGGCAACTTCTGTTTACTGTGTTTGTGAACGATTGGTGGCCAAGCTCGTGTGCTTATGTAAGTAAGTAAGTATAAAAAGGGAGGTAATTCACTTTTATGTAAAGGACAGGAGGGGGTATTGGCAGCTGGTAGGAAGTTCTTGTATGTAGAAGAATCCCTGGTACATCTAAAGGTTAGAGCTGGTGGTCATGTGTGCAGGAGCACACTGTACTACTTAAAGCACAGCAGATCATGATGTAAAAACTTTTAACTTAAAATGCTAGTTCAGCCTTTTTGTTTTTCAAATTTCAAATTCTTTCAAACATTGAGTTTGGGCTCTTTTCTTGACATTTAATTAAAACTTTTTAAAATCAAATTTGAATTTAAGTCCTGAAATCCTGACTAACCTATGAGTCTACAGGTCAGAAAAGGAAGGATCTTAAAGTCTGCAGGTTGACAATGTGAAATTATTCTGCGAGGAGTTGCTGATGTGAGCAGAATTCGCACCACCAGACTCTGGTGGTCCTTGAAGGTTGATGCACAAATACCTGAGCTGATTACATATTGATCTGTTCAGTGGTTAGTTCAAACAGGCAGTCCACTTACAACTCTGTTTTTAAAATCATAATGCTGCCAAACTGCACAGTGAGATACCATCTGTCATCTGTGCCTGTTTACCTCCAGGTAGTGGTGGTTTGCCATGCCACTGCTTAGACAACATTTTGGACCTAAAAAGAAAACAGTACTTATAAATTCTTCCACCTCAGTGGTAATTCTGGTGCTCAAGTGTCCAACAGATAAATTAAACTCATTTAATTGATCTGATTTGCATTTCCCGGAGAAGCTGAGTTTGGCAACCTAGACCATTTACAGGGGCTGTTTATTGTAAATGCTATTAGGATTCACATTTCTCGATTTCTATTCATCTAATAAACAAATTAGACCTCTTGAGTAAATAAAGTGGCTGTAGATCTTTTGGTTTGTATGTTTAACTCAACAAGCAGAGAACTAAGAAAATTGTTTCCATGTTCCTTCAGTCCCTAAAGTAGTGATGCACGATATGAAAAATTTCAACCGATACCGATAACCGATAATTTTCTTCTTCTCATGGCCGATACCGATACCGATAACCGATAAATTCATATTTTTACATTTATTATAATCTTCATATAATCTGCAGTTTGTGCAGGATGCAGCGATTGAAAACTGATGTTTTTGTTGCTCTGGCCTATCTAGAACAACAAACAAAAGTTTTTGGCTCTTCAAATGTGGTCATTTGCTATAAATAACAATAACAGAGCAAAAAGCAGAACTTCATTTGATCCCCTGAACTGTTCAACAGAACTGTAAACTGTAAAGGAGCTATTATGAGACGTTAGCATTAGCATGCTGACCGGACTAACGTCTGACGTCCATATGTCTGTGGTAAAACTCACGTGTAGTCCCTTTCTGTCGATCAGGTTGTGAATGTATGTGGCGACAATATCATAGAGTGCAGGAAGAGACACATCCGAGAAGAAGCGGCAGCTTGGGAGAGTGTAACATGGCTCCAAGTGTGCTAATAACTTACGAAAACCCGGGTTCTCAACGACGGAAAAAGGCTGGTCGTCGACCGCTATGAACTCCATCACTTTGTCGTTAATGGCTTTAGCCTTTTCGCTGTCTCTTGAGAAGCTTTTGCAGTTTTTAAACACCTGCTGAATGGGGACATCGATCCTCCGTAGTGTTGATGTCTTAGCTTTAGTACCGCTAGCAGCTTCGGCGGCTGTCTCATATTCTTTTACTACCGCTTCGCCGCGATGGCGACTTTTCAGATGAGCTATCAGATTCGCTGTGTTAATACTTGACGTCTTCTTTCCTCCTCTTGGAATCCTCGCTGAACAGGTTTTGCATATAGCAATACTGTTGTCATCTTCTGCCACTGAGAAAAACGACCATGCTGGTGAAGACATTTTATTATCTGTCAGGTAGTGACGGGGTCAGGCTTGGGACCTGCGAGTAAGGCGCGATAGATGACGTAACCAGCGCGTCTCGGACGGGCGGCTACTCCGCCTGCAAACGTTACTCGTAATTTCATTAATATATCGGATCTTTCTATCGGAAAAATGCACCTATCGGGCCGATAAAAAATGACGTAATTTCCCCCCAAATCGGCCGATATTTTATCGGTCCGATAAATATCGTGCATCCCTACCCTAAAGTTTAGCTAATCTAGCCAGGTCGTGACCACCAGTAGTTGACTTATTGCACACCTATCAGGGGAGTAAATAATAAAAGAAAGCAAACAAATACAGCTCTGAAAATCTGTTGCTTTAGAAAAAATACACATCTCCTAACATTTCCCTTCTTACCTGTGTGATAATAGACAGCCGTTCGTCTTGCTGTTAAAATTTGCTTCTTCCTGGCTGCCTATGAGAAGCTCCATTGTAACACCTGTCCTGATATCCTGCCAGAGACATTGCTACTGGGACTGAACCTAGGACTCAGCTGTGAGCCATGTGTCATGCTGCTTCCACCTGTGTTTACCTGAATACTTTGTTTTATCCTAAAAAGAGCGAGCTATTAAACCCTGGATTCCCAGTGTCAGTACTGGCTCTCCGTACTTCACATGAGTCTCCAGTGGCTGTCCTCATAATGAGATCACAGTTCCAGTTGGTCTCATAGTTAATCAAGGAAGTGGCTTCATCTGGCTGTTCCCTCATTCACTGACTCAGGAAGGAAGGAGTTTGAGATGTTTTTCTGCATTCAGGCTTTGTGAGCGTAATTAGCAAATATGCTAATGACTCTTCAGCGCTAAGTGCCATCGTCCGGAGCGATTAACCCCACATCCCCCCCCTGTCCCTGCCTCTGGCTCTGGCAGGGTCCTCGTCAATGAAAGTTGTAATTAAGGGGGATGAAGAAATGTAATTACCTCGCTACCCAATGTGTGTGTGTATTGTATGTGTGTAATGTGCTGTCTAATGACAGAAGCACAGATTTAGCCTAATCTGTTTATGGAGGCATATCTTTTGGTTGGAAGGCACATGGAGCTTGCATTGAATGTGAAATGGATCAAAAAATGTGTGAGTGCAGCAAAATATCTTATCTTTTAAGCCTGTGGAACTGAAGTTTGAAGACGTCTTTGATTGTACATAATCACAATTGTTATTTGAGCCAAGGTGTGTTTGACATCTTTTCCCTTTTTCAGTTTGGATTTATTCAGTATTAGAGCACTTACTAAGAACAGCAGCTCTGTGATCTGTGTTTGGTTCAAAGCATTTTTCATCTGTGACAGTGAGGGTCATTAAAATGTGACACTGTTCCCACACCCCCCTCGTCTTTTAAAATAAAACTTTTCAGCCTTATAAAATGCTTTTTGCAGGAATTTAGAACAAAGAACTATTTTCTCACTTTAAAAAATGTGATGCCAGTTGTCACACTGCTCCAGTTCGCGTTTGTAAAACCTCAGGAGACAAAAAGAAAGAGACCATGCTCGAATTCTGCTTAAGCCCGAGATACTCAAAACGAGGGCTGCATCATTAACTCCATCACGCTCTGGGCATCTTTCTCTGTCAACAACTGCAGCTTTGCCAATGCTTGAGATTTTCCGACTCGCTGCGATAAAACAGACGCGAGCTTTGTCATCCCCTGTTCGCAATTGCCTTGTCACCCTCTTTCAAGTCAACATAATTAGCTGTAGCTTTCATTTTTCCTCTCTCTCTCTCTCTCTCTCTTTGATGCCAGGGGTGGAAGCATGTCTGCAGGCAGGCAAGTGGATCCCTGAAACCGAGCACGAAGCAGGAGAAGGCCCCCAGCGCAGTCGCATCAACAGATGCAGTTTGGTAAATGAGAGGCATACCAACACACACAATAAGTAGTTCAGTATAGAATATTGTCTAGACCTTCTGTCCTTTGGGAAAAATGCTTTCCTCAAGCAGTGGTACATTTTTGCTTGGTCCATTTAAAGAACATTTTTCTTTGACACATTCTATTTTCAGTAGAAGTAGAGATAGAACTGCAACAATTGGAAGTGTCAGGGTGTTTTGACAAATTTAAGGGGATGTATGCCGTTATCCAAACACCATACATCAGCAAACCACACCACCCCCACCTAAAACCCTGGAATTATCAGACTCATGTTGTGGGGATGTTTGTTTTGCAGCCAGCTCTGTAAGGTTTATAAAGGTAGAGAGTGAAATGAATGCAATAAAATCCTGGAGGATGACTTTCTGTAGTCTATAAGACAACTGTGATTCTGGGGAGGATTTATTTTTCAGTAAGACAGCATCTCCAAACAAAGCCAAGGCCAGACAGATAGCCTCAGTACAACAGCAACAAGGTTAATGCCTAGCTGTTGCCAAAATATAGTTATGCCCTCGGTGCAAAGTAGCATTTGTGGAAAAAAAAAGGCTAAAAAATCTTCCAGTTGCCATGAAATTGGACTGTTTTCATTTGAAGAAGGATAAATTCAGCACACTGCATGGTCTAGATGGCAAAGCTGATATAGGACTGTTGAAAAAACCTCAGGCTGTTCTTCTAAAGGTGTGTCTCTGCTTCATGTAAAGTTTCACTCTACAATGTCTAAGTGCAAAATAATGGGGTTCCCTGAGTGTCCAATAGAGGCTGCCTCCAAAAACCACAGACTGCATTAAACATGGGTGGAGTCTCAGTAATGTCTACTGTTGGTTTCTGAACAGGCATAATGAAGCAATGGCAGACACCAAACTGCAAATGCTGATTCAGTCTAGCTGTGGATGAACTTGAAGTAGATTAGGGCTGGACAATTATGGCGAAAATAATAATCACGATTATTTTGACTGATATTGAAATCATGATTAATAAACACGATTGTTCATTGGTTTCAAAACTTGAGTATTAATTGAACCACCAAAACTTAACTTTAAATATAACTCAAAAGAACAGCCAGAAATAAATTAGTAAAAATTAAAAATAATAACAATAGTAAATTAAAATAATGATAAAAATAAAAACAATAAATGAAAATAATTACCCAATCTACATGCACTCATGCAAAACTTGCAACATGCAAAAAACACTAACTGCTAAAAAAACACTTTGTAAAAACAAAAAAGGATTGGCCACAAATTGCTATACATCCTCAGCTGTGTTTGCTGATAACTTGCAAATGCTAATACTCAGTGCGCTTACACTTGCTCCGCGGTGCAGCGCCCATGTGCGCATACATATCATAGACTGTATGTACTATGGACAACTTGTTACCACCTCCCACCTGTATACAGATTTGAAGCCAAAAAGCTCTCTGTATTTCCAGGATTTTTCTTCATTTCTGAAACCAGCATTGCACAGTAGCGTTGTGCGCAGTCGCTGAGAGTCGCTGTGATGACGCTCGGCTCAAACAGCATATCCCCCCGGGTGAGCTACGCAATCCCTGAATGCCAATAGGCTGTATTAGGTTTCAATCAAAGAAAACATGAACCCCCTAATAACTTTTAAAAACGGAGCTTCACAGATTTATTTTCATATTCTGGAGGGATTGATAAATGTCAGATGTTTTGACACTGTGATACTTGAATAAATGTTTTATACCATATTTTGAATTAATTCAGACCTTTTGTGCATTTATTTTTGTCTTGTTACATTTTTTTCCATTATTCCAACTTTGGGGGGCGTGGTAGCAATTTGATTGACTTTCAGCCATTTATGGCCATGATGTGCTGTTTATATTTTGTTGCTTTTATTACACAGTAGGTTGTGTCATTTTTATGTATGAAACATAAGCTTTTTGCTAAACTTACTGTATATATTTCATTGTGCTGGGTGCAAATCACTTGAGTTGAGACGTTTTCTTCAAGAAATTTGCTACATTTCATAATCTGAATTCACTTATGCGTATACTAAGGCACCAATAACTGTTTGAGGTGTTAGGTATATGTATTTATGACATTTGAGAAAGATTTTGTCTTGCCAGAATCAACATAGCAGTTTCTACAAGCAAAAACAGCAGCACCATATAATTGTTTTTTGTCTTACTCACATATATGTACATTTCTGGCTGGTCTTTTGTTGTCAAAAAAAACACTTTCTAATACTAGTTCTGTAAGTTTCCCAATGTGTCCTTGTAAAGTCGAGAACGTCTTCACTCTGGACAGATGATAGATGCATATAGCATCGTTTTGTTCCTTTTTTTATGCACTTTTGAAGGCTGTTTTCTTTTTTTCCTTTTCTTTTCTTCCTCTTCGCTTGTCTCGCTGCTAGATGCGCTCATCGACATGTTTGTGTATTTCTGATACTATGGCAACGAGACTCGGCTCCTATTGGTCCACGGGACAAAAATTGCTTCACCCCTCTGCATATTCGACTGCAAGTATCACTACGCCGCAGAAAGGAAATAGTTTGACACCGAAACACTGATTACTAAAAATCGACAGGATGACATGAGTAATTATTTTTTTTTAGTTCTTACTATCAATAGAGCTATTTTATGAATCACAGTTTATGTGGCCCCACTGAAGTGGAACGACATTCACTTTCTAGGCACTTTTTCCTCTGTCCCAATACAGCCTATGTAGCAAGTGATAATCTTATTCCCTGAACAAAAACAGATTTTTAAAGCTTGGACTATTACAGGGTTTGTTATAGTGATGGCTCTTCAAAGACAGATTTGTTATAGAGACACTATGTTTAAGACGTCCCTGTTGTCCTCAAAAGCATCATGAGTCGTAAAAATATATCTGAAAGTAAAAGCCAACCTTAGTGTCGTCGAAGAACGCTCTTACGAGAGACTCTGGGGGATGCCAGTTTACCCCGTATGTCACTGGAGTTCACTGATACTGCGAATGCAACAGTCTCCCGTGGCCTAATTCAATGCTGCTTTAAACAGCAATGCTAAGTGGCTCAGGGTTTGTCTGGAGAACTGCACTGATACAGAAAAAGTCTCCTGGCTCCTTCACAAAGAAGTAAATACAAAGCATCTACACAGGCACTTGGTATTATAAAAGCCTAGATTTAGCAGCAAAGAGCTCATCAGTGTTTAACTTCATCACAAACAAAAGAGGAGACTTTAATCCTTTTACTGTTCTCAGAAGAACTTCGGTTTGATCTTGGCACTGGCTTTAAGTTATTCACATCATTTTTTGCACAAGGATGACAGATAATTGCTTTAATGCACAAAGAATTAAAAGAAGTTTCCACTAATGTTTTAATTCTTTTCCTCCTCATCTTTCATCTTCTGCAGCTCCCTCCGCTCTTCGATGGCTGTTTTTTCTTCCTCCTCGGCTCCTTCAAGGCTCCTCCCAAGGACGAGCTTACCAGGCTGCTAAGAGAGGCAGGAGGTCAGCTCCTGAGCCGGCAGCCAAAGCCCGACAGCGATGTGACCCAAACCTTGAGTGCTGCCGCCTACCACGCGCTGCCGGGCTCTGACCAGGCGCTCTGCACCCAGTACATCATCTTTGACCCCCAAGGCCCACACAAGCCAGCAGTTGTGAGGAGAGGTAAGGTGTGGTCAGCTCCCTCGAACTGGATCATTGACTGCATTTCAGAGTTTCGCCTCCTTCCTGTGCCAGAGCCTCAGACTGCAATCTAAACTGCTCTTTCTGTAACTCCTTTACACTGAGAAATCATGTGTTTTTGATCATGATTATTATGTTTTTTAACTGTATTAAAGTATGTAGTCATATGGCTGACAGAAATCACATGTGCAAACAGTAATGAAACTAATGTGACTCTTAAAACCTAAGATTAAAATAGTTGCCTTAATGTTTTGTTGTCTCATTTCTGGCTGAGTGGGAGGTAATGTCTTCTTTATAAGGTGCACAGCCTAAACCTTTCCTGTAAATATAAGGCATCTGTTCTGCTAGAGAAATTGAATTCTTTTAGGGGGGCGTGGGCTCCACATGTAGAGTAGGTTAACACAAAGTCCAGAACAAAGCCTGGAAACTCATCAGTGGGAGTGTTTCCATCATACTTGCAATATGTTGGATGCTTTGTCTAAACACCCTCCAACAGTAGTGGACTCACTAGATGCATCCAACCACTAAGGGTGGGAGAAAAGTTGATACAGCATAGTATCACAATATTTTTGTCTGGTGATAGATCATATGCTCTCATTTACCGAGTATCGATTTTTCAAATTGATTGCAAATATGAAGTCAAATCCATGATAATAGGAAAATAAAATCCACTGTTTGTCCAGTGAGGTTGGCAAAATTGTATAAATCACAATATATTGTACCGCAGGGCTCACTGTATTGCAAAATGTTAAAAATAGCAATAATATTGTATCGTGGCCAAGTATCATGATAATATCATATTATGGGGCCACTAGTGATTCCCACCCCAACCAACCATATAGGTAAGTCTCTGCAATCCTAATTCTTGCATCCGCTTTGAACCCTTGAGATCCTTACACACCAGGAACGACGTGAATACAGAACGCGAAATCAAGAAAAATTTGGAGGCGAATTTTGACGCGCCTGACTATACATATCGAGCCCAATGCGATTTTGCAACTTTCCAGGGGGAGAAAGACGCATCCCGGGGAAGCCTTTTCCCAGGGAAAGTCCTGCCTCCTTTGCCTCTGATTGGCTAGAAAAGCTGGAAACGTCATCACACACTTAAGCCAAACGGTCAGCACTTATAGCCAATCAGAGGCGAAGGAGGGCGGGACCTTCCCTTGCCATCCTACAGCATCCCGGGTGGAAGCAGGAAGACAAAAAATGGACTCTACTTCAACTTCAAGTGATGGCGAATTGGTACTTATTTTGCTTTCTCAAAAGAAAAAGAAACGTGGCACATGGGTGCATCCAATATTACAAAAAAGAAGAGAACTTGGTGAGTTTTACTACTTGGTTCAGGAGCTAAAACTGTACCACGGTTGCTTCAGAGCCTATTTACGGATGTCCATTGGACAATTTGATGTTCTGCTGAAACAATAAGCTCCAAGTTTGAAGAGGCAGTGGACTAGACACTAGACACTAGTGTTGCGATGGCTTTGTGTCATGATAGCAAGTACTGAGTCGGGGCCAGTACCAGATAAGCGCATGAAACTATGGTAACAACCGTTAGCTTACATTAGCACAGATGAAAGTTAAAATAAAGACGTTTAGCAAACTTTTTTAAGCACACAAACCACAAGTTGTCCTTCAAGTCGTTATCTTTGTAATGTTTGTGTCTTTTATCAAAAAGCACTCTGTTCTCCGACACATAAACAATCAGCCGGTTGGCCATGTTGGATATACTGGTGAATCTGACGTCGCAACAGTATGCGAAACTTTAGAAAAATTGACCATGATCCAAAAAAATAAATGCCGCAATATGGCAGGACGGGAAAACGTGACTGATGTGAACGCTTGTATTGACAGGATACGGGTCTGAAAAAAAATATTGACGTCCGAAATAATCGCACGACAAAAATGGTCCCAGTGTGTAAGGACCTTTACTGTTAAGATGCTTGGGGGAAAGAAAGAGGGAGGAGTCTTAACTTCTTGCTTTTAACTATCACAGTCATGCTAAATGTAAACAATCGAGTTATACAGCATGGAGACCTAACAAAGACTTCTTCAAAATGTGTAGTTTTTAATCCCCATAACCGCCCCAATTAGTCTTCCCAAAAGTAGATCCTCGCTGTCCTTTGCAGACAAATAACTGTGACTGCTTTTATCCTTGATCTGAATCTCTCATTGTTTACCCAAAGGGGGAAGCTGGAAAGTAGGTCTGCTCCTTGATTCACCATGACACCCCAGCCTTCATCTTAGTTGGCCCCTCACCGGCCTCATCCCTCAGTTGATGCATTAATAAACTTTGATCTGCTCCAATTTCGCATGTCACAGTCAAATCAAACTGTTGTTTACTGCAATTTCTAATAAGTAGTATTAAGGTGGAAATGGCTTTTATAATCTGAATAGTTTTACCAGGAAGAGATAATTATCTAATTAAAAATGTCTGTTTGATACAAATGGAGTCGAGGAGAAGATCAATGGACATTCAATAAAAGTGTAGAAAAAGAAAAACAAAGCAATTAATTATTCCATCACAAAGCTGGCTCTAGCTTTGTCCACCGTTTCCGTCCAAAAGACACATTTGTGTGTGCATGCACCCCCAACACTGGCCTGGAGGTATGTGTGCTTTGAGAGGTCTCCTACTGGCCATTTCCCAAGATGCCATTTTCAATGGGATTAGTCGTGGATGCACCTAATTGCTATTGATTGCAATGTGCTGCATAAAATTGCTTCCCTTTTCTTGTCCACAGCGAGAGGTGGTGGAAGGCAATTAGTAGCAAGGATGAGATAGAAGCCCAGACCGACATGTAATGAAATAGAACGCCGAACCTGTGAGTAATGTCCTTGAACTCACCGTGCATTACAAAACCATTAAGCACTGGAATCATCTTATTTCTCTTCCACAGAACCACCTTATGCTGGGAAAATACTGTACTTGTATTTACTCTGTCTCACTTCTGGACCTGGGTCAGCTTTTAAGAGTCATACCGTGAATTGTTTGTTGGTCCTTGTGTGGTTTTAGGACAGAAAATGTGTCTTTTTAACTCATGCTGCCTTCATTCATTCATTCATTCGGTGAGGAATTCTTTGTGCACTGAGTAAGGCCACATTTTTCAGTCAATGGGATGGCACCATGTCACCTTCAGTATTTTAAGTGGTCCTAAAACGTTGAGGGTACTCCTAGGAAACCAAAAAGGGATGAGCATAAAGAAAGAAATCCACGCGTACTTTGGCCAAATAACACTTCTTTTAGGTCTATTTAACAAAATAGTTCTCGTCTTGATTAATAATACACATTTTTCATTTCTCAAGGTTTTTTTTTTTTTTTTTTTACTCCACCTCATATTTCAGAATACACATTATACGTTTGAAGATATTTACATATGAACAACATGGGGGAACACCATGGGTTGTTTAACATTTTAAAATTTAAACCCAGTATTTCTTGTACAGTTCCGGGTACACCTGCGTGAGCATGTAGTTGTATACAATCAAAGATGCTCCTCAGTTTAAAACTTAAATTTGCCACCGAAATGATCCCACATTTGAGTCCTTGATCAACACAGCCCTTGGTGCCCCAAAATTAATACAATTGATTGTATAATAACAGTGTTTCTCTCTTGGTATCCCAGATACTCTGTGTTGGTTTTCAGGCACACTTCATATAACAGTTTTGTTGCTGAAAAAAAAGGGACAAAAAAACAATCTTTCATAGTTCCAGCTACAGTAAATCGGTGTCTCATGAGATGAGTAAATGGTTAACCTTTACAAAATGCTCATGTACAAGCTGTGGATTGAATGAAAGATGGTGTCATCTGAAACGACATTCACAAACATACAGAAAGACTCAGGATTTGTGGTGCAAAGTAAACACAGGCAGTCTCTGCAGTTTATCTGTCTGACACTGCTCTTTCTTAAATTTGTGGGGATAAATGTAATGCCTGCTTTGAAACAGAGAGAGACGGAGATATGGGGGATTTGTGCCAGGTAAAGTAAGTATATTAGGATTTTTAATGCGGCCCTTTCTTTCAGACAGCAGGCTGATGTATGTTAATCCACATGGATTGAAACTCATCTTCTTTAGTTGTCCGGGAAAGATTTGCGAGTAATTTTCATGATGATTCCAACTCACAGTGCATTGTAAGCACTGCTACAATCCCCATGCATTTCTGCATCTCATTTGCTGGGCTGAGAAAAATTCTTTCATGGTTTACTTTAACTTTCAGTGCACTTGACTACGTGCTCTGAATATATATGTTTGCTTATTTGATTTCATATCTCTTTTTTTCCCCCCACTTCTCACCAGCAGCCTGGGTAACCATTCCATCGTAGCTGTGGTACATGTACCGTCTGGATGGTTTGGCTTTCTGATCAAAACAGGTTACCTCTTTGCACCCTGGTGTACACCTACTGATAACAGCGGTTTGTAGCTTAAAAATTAAGAAGATGGGAGCAAAGCAGTTTCATTTAACAAAGGCAATAACTCAGAGCAACCCAACACTACAATGACTGTGGCAATGGCACAATTTCACAGGGCACAGGTTTTGTGAATGGTTTGTATCAACAACTTTCAAAGGCTTCCACATTTATTCCTATCCCCTCCACACATACACACACTCATGCTCAATTTGTAGAGCAATCAGTAAATTCAGTTGCTTGATTTTTAGCTTTGATTAAACTGTTTGTAATCCCGACAATTTATAATTTATAACACATAAAGGGGTTGGGTTGGGGCTTTGATGCCATTACAGTGCTGTACTGCTGTGTCTTTGGTTCGCAAACCACAAAAATCAAGTTGAATTCCTAATTTTGATTTTCACCTTCTTGATTGCTCGGCTACTGTCAAGTAGAGGTGGGATTTATAGCTCTTTGAAGGGAACCGGATCTTGAAAAGCTGTTACTTTCAAAGAGCTGTTTAAAAGACCGACTCTTTGTAATATGTATTTATTTTTTAGGGTACACATAAGTGGCAATTATTCCCAAATATTGATTTTTATGTCATTTGGCTTGTGTTTTCATTGTAAACATTGCCTAAGGTGGTGCCATAACCCAATGCTTTGACAGTGAGATCACTATTTTGAATTGTTTTCTCACCAAAAAAAACTTAGTGGCGCAATAAAAACTATTCAGGCTACAGATAACTGATAACCTCTTGGTGTTTGGGACACACAAGTCACGTGAAGGTAGCATGGGCAATTTGCAAACAAATGGCTCATCACTGTGAAACAGTTCTCCTTGTTCGCTTTAAAGAGCTGTTTAAACAACTGACTCGTTCGCGAACATCGCATCTCTACTAACAAGATAATGGATAGCGAGAGTATAGGGGCAACTGTCGGACATACTTTTTGGATGTATAAAGTCATACAGGGAAAAGAGCAGGTAGAATCAATTTTTCCACTCTGACAAGCCAATAATGGCACTTTGCTGCAGGTTACGTAGACAATACACACTGTCTCCTTATTAAAGGTCAAACCTTATTAAATTGACAACCAACTGCTAAAAAAATAATAATAATGATCAAAATTGATAGCACATTCAATAACAAGCAACAAATGCATGTTGAAAACATAAACATTACCAACCAATCAGTTCACTAACACAAGATGGCCATCACTATAATATTGTATAGCTCTTCAGGTACAGACCAAGCCTTAACTTCCAAAGATGAAATTTAAAGCCAATTCAAAATGGCAAAAAATGAATTACCTCCATAGGTTATTTGAGCCGGCTCCAAAAGGGAAGCCCATCACAGCCCAAATTAAAATGCTAATTTTGTACAGCAGAATAAATCATTTTTACCACATAGTACAAAAATAGGGTTTTGGCCTCTTTCTTCCATATTTCATTGACAATAGTAGGACATGTTTAAATCACTCATTCATTTTGACTGTCATGCATTAATTAGTAGCACTGCTGATTACACTGACTAGTGTGTTGTCGCTCTTTGAATACTCCTTGAGCTAAAGCCTCCTCCTGTCAGTTTCTGGATTAGTTGGGAATAAGTAAACATTCACAAGAAGGCCCTGTTAGAGCCCATTCAAAAGTACCTAATTACATACAGGAATTTACCATGTTTACAACATGGACTAATTTTGTCCACACCTCATATCTTCACGTAACATCTGTGTGGAGAGGCAGTTCTATAACTCATCTGTCTTGATAGCACTAGGGCTCAGATTTACACATAATTTGGGAACATGCCTGATCTGACTACCAGATAGACATGTTGTAGCTCTTTCCCGGACACCTCCTCCTCTTTGCTTGTTCCTTGATTAGCTGGAAATTAGTTGGAGTTAGCATTTACAAGATAAGAGACTATTATTGACCTTATGTGAATGGAGAAACCAGAAGGTGACATCATAGAGACCATGTCCACGCTTTCTGAAGTCTAAGGTACAGACAGGTAATATACGATTATAATATACGATCCCGGGGGGCAGGGGAGGCATTGGCTGTGTGATCACAGACAACAACTCTGTACTACTTAGTGGCAGCGCACATTTCCTGTAATACCCCCCCATAAAAACTCTTGTTCAGGACTGCGCGTAACATGCTTCCTTCCTACTCAGCTACCGTTGTAACCGTTGTTCTAGTCTACACGCAACATTTTTTCCTCATTCATGAAACGCTTAAATTGGGGACATTTCCGGGGACAGGTCATCCAAAACGGGGATGTCTGGTCACCTTATGTTAACTCCCAGACTTAACAGTAAGCAAGATTTTCTGGTTGAGAGTGGCTAAATGATAACTTTTAATTGCCACCTAATAGTCCATGAGCTGTTTTAATTTAGGACACAAACGAAGCTTTGTGTCCTTTTTTGATTTCCACTGTTATTTTTCACAACGCTGAACAATCAAAGGTGGTGAAAATGCTCATAAATTCTTAGATTCAAGGAATTTATACCACAACAATACAACATAATAATGACAACTGGGCTCCCCTTCCTGGTTGTGATGCCAGAAATAAACAGCTGCTTCCTGAATATGCTAGTGACCCCACTGGAACATTGGTGAGTTGAACTATAACTAGCTTTGGTGAAACTGTAATGGTAAAGTGTTGCAACATGAGGTGCAAAGAGGAGCATTTAAAACAGTCTTGGCTGTTCATACTGTATGAGGCTAATGCCCATATTTTATAAATCTCGACTGGAACAGAAGCAGTAAGGCATCGTTGGTGGCAGCAATGCCTACAAACCAAGAGGCACACTCACACTCACCCCCTGTTACTCTCTAATGCTGCCTAGGAAAGTAACTCCAATATATTTTCAGATACATGTATAGGATGAATAATTATTTGGCATTTAAAGTAATTAAGATGAATGAAGCCCCTTTTATTAAACCTAAAATGTGTGGAGCGCTGAGGCTGTGATTGATAAACCACGGCTGTCACTTTTGTTTTATGAGTCTGCAGACCCCAAGCCAGATAGATGAGGTCTGTCATTTTCCATTGAAAGACACTAAATCACTGTAGCTTAATGATGAAAATGACCCAAGCTCCATTGTTGCACCTAAAATTGAAGTCCGCCCACACTCTTTTAATCCTGCAATTCCCTCCACTACCCATACTCTGACTGTGCAGCACACACTGACTGCACACTATGAGATTCTTCCCAAATTTTGTGATTTTTAAGGTAATGCTCCTTTTAACTTATTGGTCTTTATTCCATGTACATTTCTGTCTCATTACAGAGTGCTGGTAGCAGCTATTAAGCAGACCATCCATCACCACCTAGGACTGGGGTCCAAAAGGTTAACAGGAACGGATTTTCCGGAAATGGAAAAAATTCTAGTGATGAATGGCACGGGCTTACTGGAATTCACCTTTGGATTAATGACTAGTATTTATCATGTAAAAAATTCCGTGATCCAGGCCTGGTTGGGTGCTTTTTTTTTTCTTCCCTTTTTTGCAGGTTGGACCACTTGAGGACATCTCTGGCCTTGGAAAATATCAAGGCAATACATTAGCTTGTCTATGTTTTAGCTCCATGGCCATACCACATTGGAGGAGCTATTCAGACATTACAGGAAGGAAAGGTATTGACAATATATTACATAATCACTTCCATAGGGATAATGTAACAGTCTAGTATTATAGCAGGGCTTATATAGTTGGGTACTTCACCTGATGCAGCTCTGCATTCTCTGGCAGGGAGGCTGTGCATGAATGGTGTGCTAGTAGATGCTCACATGGACAATGTGCATGTGAATGCTGCTCAAGCAGATGCTGATTCCCTCCTTTTGTCTGCAGCTTCTTGTTGAGTGTGCCCAGCATGCAGGCTGCGGCAGCGCCAAGCACCCACAGCTGGATGATTTATCACAGAATACTCTTTGATTAAGGGAAATGAAAGCAGGCTGCTCTTGGTTCACTAATTGCCTTGATAACAAGTTCAAGCAGTTAGTTAGAGGGAATATTTTTGGGGGGGATATGGACCTCTGAGAGACAACAATAATGACAATTAAGCAGGAAAGAGGCTGCCCAAAGTTGGTTTGCAGCATCTTTGCTGAATTGAAGATTTACTCTTCTCACAGTTGGCGTACCGTCTTTCCTTTCCCTTGGCTGACTCTACAGCACCAACTCATCCTGCCTGTGTGTGCCACCATTTAACAGAGACATGACTTAAAACCATGGTATGTGGATGAACAAAATCAGCACTCTGGGGTTTTGACAGCAGTGTATAAAATTGACAGTAGCATCATCTTAGAGTTAGAGGTGAGTTCCTGCCATAGCAATAAAAAGTCTCATGAAGACACAAACATTTATGAATGATGTGCATCTTGTAAACAAGCTCTTAGAGTGAAGTTGTGAAACTCAAGCACACTTTTGCAGTGCCGTGTCGATCCTTGTATGAAAAAAAATAAGCTCCGTTAAGTGTGCTTACGGTTTGTTTTTCCTGCTGTTGGAACTTTACAACACCTGCGTGATTGTGATAGACAAGTACAACAAGCAGATGATATACGTACAGAAATCAACATGAGCAATTCAAACTTGCCAATGGTTAGGAAAGAGTTCAAAGAGCTTAGAAACTTTTTGTGTGAGAGCAGCAAATCAAGCAAGTCAATTTCTGAAAATATATAGGACGGTTAAAAGTGGAGGGTGGAAACAGCCAGGAGACAAGTCCTGTCTTCTTCCCAGTGGCTAAATCTGTGTTTGTGTGAAACTTGTCTCCTCAATACTACACTGTCTCAGGTTGCTTAGGAATTGTGCTCCTGCCCTGTCAATCATACAAAATGGTGCAGTAGGCAGGGCCTTGCCTGAGCTTTCCCACCGTCCCGGGTAGAGTCTCTCTATGACAACGACTGGCCATTGAGGCACTCCCGCCGCAAGCATTGCGCTGGTTTCCACCAGTCTCCATTGTGGCAGCGGCAGATGGTGCAGTCGTCCACCTTAACTTCAATTCCGGCTGGGATGATCGTTGTTCCAGCAAAGCAATTTGGACCTGCCACAGGGGAAGGGAAAGGAAAGGAAGACAAGAAAGATGGAGTTAGAACGACAAGAAATGTATGTGGCCCTCCTGAGAGCGTCTTTTTTGGTGGGGTGGTGGAGTGATGCAGAGAGCTGCAGGGAGTTAGGAGGAGTCAGAGCAGACGTACAGATCTTTTCACGGGCATGCACCGATGGGCTTGTTTTTGCAACACTAAAGCGCTTTTGTTAGTCTCCCCTTCTCCCTCGACATGGAGCGCTTTGCATCCTAATGCGCCGCAAGCAGAGAAGCCTGCCAGGCGCTGGCTTGGCAGTACAGAGAGGCTGGAGTACAGAGAGAGAAATCTGCTTTGAGAGGCAGTAGGGAGGATGGTGTTAATCACTTCACTCTGTATGAAAAGGCCAAAGAACTCTTTAGCTATTCCTTACATGGTTTCTCTCCTCACACACAAACACAATCATGTACACTCTTTTCATTGGCTTCTTAAACTGAGAAGAACTTAGATCAATTTTGACTTCGGATTTATCCTTAAAACACTGACGGATTTACTGGCTTGGATTCCTTCTGAAGATAAGACTTCATTAATTCTCCAACATTTTGGATTGTGTACCACTGGCACACTTCATGCTCATGTATTTGATAATCTAAGCAGATATGGACAGATTAGGCTGGGTACATCTAAGGATCTGATTTCCAGGAAGCCAAAAACAGTCTTACCTTTGTAGGAAATGGAGCACATTTATTATTGGTAAATACCACACGAAAGTCTCCAGTGATATCTGTTCTTCCTTCCTTAGGCTGATTGTAAACCTCTACATCTCAGTGTACTCTTTCAGACAGAAGATTTAGGAACATTTGCTCCAGTTTTAATCATTTAAAAAAAGGCAAGAAGCTCAATTGGTGTGACGGTGACTTTGGCAAAAGCTCAGCAGTCGGCTCTGTAAAATCTGCACAATTCACGAGTCCTTTGTATAGTCATTAAATACTCATATGTACCATGAGTAGTTCACATGGATAATATTCATGGATATCTTATCAACCATGTAAATTTGATTTAGTGTAAGCCATGTAGTTAGTAGTCCGGTGAAACGGTGCATTCAGCAACATGGGTGCACTATATGAAGACCTGAAAAATAACTTTGGTTCAGGAAGGACAGTTTTCAACAGCATGCTCAAAAGAGCAATGAATGGATGATGGCTGAACTCCACTTAGCTGCTTTAGTTTCAGGGTTTTAGTGTTGTGCGTGCTGGTTCACTGCCACACTGTCATGGCTTACTGGGATCTGTGCCATTATTAATGTTGCTAGTAACACCTGTGCCTTTCCTGCTTTGCCAAGTCAAAATATCTGCTGTGAAATAGGGCTGTCTCAGCTTCCTGTTTGGAGGCTTATATTATTAGCTGCTCTACTCCTCAGTCTTTGTTTTTCCTCTTTACCCAAGTTGACACAGCAAATTTGCATGAAGAACAGAGCTTTTTCAAAAACAACTTCTCCGCAGCCCCATTAATTCTGTCTGCTCAGGAGAGTTTTGTAGGAAACAGAACAAGATAGGCGTCTTTCTCACAGCAGACATTTTGTCATGTCAAAGTCAGAAAAGTGCAAGGGTAAATAATGGGATGAGTGGTTACCAAATTTCAGTCAGCTTCAGTTTCAGGGTAGTAAACGTTAGCTTAGTGTCACTCTACACTTGAAGGAAGTATATGCTGTTGATGCTGATGTAACTCCCTTTATTCTGATGTGAGCCAGATGTTGTCAGTGTAAAAAGTCTGTCAGTTTTTTTAGGTTTTTGAGCTTCACTTGTTATGAGCACAGAGTTTAAAAAATGTCTTAAATTAGCAAGTGTGCCTCCTGTTTACATGCTGGTACTGTGAAGCCTTGAATCTGGCACCCTACCTGTTATCATTCATTTTTGGCATGAGAAATGACCATATTTGTCAAAAACAGGTGGCCTTAAAGCTTATTTACGCTTGATGTCAGATAGGCATATGAATACTGACAGAGCCCTCTGTCTAAATGCTGCATTTACTCTTCCAGCCTGAGAACACCAAGGTTGCCAGGACCCTACTGGAACTGTAGCATTTCCTTAAACTGTTTTTTTTTTTTTTACCAGTCCCCAGTACTTCAGGAATAGGCTGGCTTCAACATGCAAAAACTGACATCAAGAATGAAAATTGTCATTGTTGTTTCATACTCAGGTATATGTTCCAACTCCCCTTCAAAAAAGAAATTCAGCCCTTCCTGTAGGTTCAATCTCCATGCATGAACATTAGCTCCCGCAAAAGTCTCATGCAAGGTCTTACAAAAAATATTTAACTGTATTTTTATAATCCCAAGAAAAAGTCTGACATTTTGATTTCAATGTTAAAATGTGTCCATAATTTGGTTGTTTACATGGCGCATATCTGAATGAACTTGTCAAAGTGATTCCCTCATGAAACAGTCTTATCTGAGCCGTTCACTCTCCAATCTGACACAAACTCGCCATGCATGTTCAGGATCCAGGCCTAAACACATTCATGTAACATTTGATCACATCCATAGCACCTCCTGGTGATAGCAGAAAATGTCATCTTCCACCTTTTGATGGTAAGCTCCAAAACCACTGAACATATCTGCATTCTTACAATTTTATTTGATGATGGGTTACCATGAAACTTCAAACTGCTCCAACAAAGCTCTACATTATAAGATTGGGACAACATATGTTGGTCTAATGAGAGATCTTAGCCTAAACACAAATCTTTGTGGAAAAAAAAAACAACAACAACACAGTGCCACCTCCTAGCAATAAAATTTAAGGCTTTCAATTCACCCCTGTCCAATCTTATCTGGTTTACAGAAGTTCTCTGTTTCCCCATTTAGCTGTCACCAATGGAAACTGGGCTTAATACAGTTGTAGAGTCACCAAACACCATATATATGAACCAAGTAACACATTCATTAAAAGTTTGGTTTGGTTTATCCAACCCAATTCTTCTTTTCTTATATAGCCAGGAGGCAGTATAAAAAATAAATGTTTACTAGATCTCAGAGGGTGAGGATTTGGCAGCTTATCGAAGTTTGGTGTCTTCTTTTAATAAAGACAGAAACTGTAATTTAAACATACAGAGTCCAAACTGCCTAAACTTTTAGATACAACTCCCTTTCCAAATGCATCATTCAACCATTTCTTTATTGCTTAAGCTTTAACCCACAAATGAGAGGCAAGAAACCTTGCATGACATGATTTAGAATTTAGATTGTATGTTGTCACTTCATGAGATGTGCAAAATACAACAGCTGATCACATCTCCTTTTAAAGGTTTTGACAATATTTGTTTACCTTGTGATTTGAAACTTTGCATACTTCTAATATGGACACCAAACATTATGACTTTGCATTTTTAGTTGTAAATGTGGAAAAGCATGATATCACCCTTTTTAAACCAAACTGGTGCCATTTTTCAACATAGTAAGCAAAGAAGACCATCAGCAGGAAGGATAACTAGAACTTCAGTGGTACTTCTGTTGCCTGACACTATGGCTTTAGGGTAGAGATGTCAGATATCCCATCCTACCTTGGTCCCAAAAATCAACTCAAACAGCATCACTGTTTGTACATGTGTAGGGCCTGATCTAGCAAAGGTTTGCATGTGCAAAAACATGCGCAAACGTGATAGCGCACGCAAACCTGATCTACTAACCGGGTGCACCGAGGACTGCATCTGTCTAATGAGCACATGAACAGTGTGCGCAAGTGTGTTTGCCTTCATGAATATGCAGATTCAGATGCAAATGAAATCATTAAGCTCCTGCAATGGGATTTATCAAACTCGGAAACCGATTGCAGTCGCTGTTTTGCGTCTATATTTGGCACGTTTAAAAGGCACAAACTGGGCAAACTGGAGCAGCATTACGCATGGTCATTGTGAAGAGAGGGCTGCAGAAGTGCCATGATACACACCATGATCCTTGTCCAAAAGCTTGTGATTTATTTCATTTCTCTGGTTAATGACAATTTCATAAATAATAAGATCAAACACGAAACAGACGAAAAAAATTATGTTTGTCTTATTGATTTAAAATCGTTTTAATCCCTTTTTTGATTTCTAGTATATCTTCTTGCATCTGTAAAGCATTTTGAATTGCCTTGTGTTATTAATGGTGCTATACAAATAAACTTCCCTTGCCTTTTATGTAGTTCCCCAAAAAGGATGTGTGCAACTCCATGGCTTCAAACACTCTGCTCTCACAAACTCTCCATGGTGACGGCTGATAGAGCATGCAAAATCCTGGTCTAAAGAGGGTGGTCCACACCACTATTGCTCCCGCTATCAATTGCGCATGCAATGATAGTAGAGCACCCGCAACACGCTCACTAATAGCATGTGCAATTTTTTAGTTCGCATATGCAATTTAGCGCTCGCTATTTTGGATCTTAGTAGATCAGGCCCTAAATGTGCAGCTTTATGCACAAGGTGGAACCAAAATTTTCACAAACCCAAACGTCCTTACATGAGCTTTAAGTCTTAGTTGTACCATAATTCACAAACAAAGCATAATTGGAACATTGACAGAGGCTTAAAACAAGAAACTAGGATTTACAATCCATGAAGTGAATACTAATAAGTCAGCTCCAAAAATTGGAATATTTTTTAAAAAATGTCGAAGACTAATACCAGGTTACTTTTTGCAGCCCATCTTCGCACTGTGTTCTATATTAGCTGCCTATAAAAGTAAAGTGAACACTAACTGGGATTTAAGTGTTAAAGTCAGGTGGCACTGATGGTCTAATGGACGTAAAGCCCTCATCCCTGTGATTGCTGGTTCAATTCCTGGCTGCAGCTCTTAACTGCATGTCCTCCCTCATTCTCTAAACCCAGAATACCTGGGACAGCAATCTCCAAAAAATTACTTTAATTGTTGAAATTAGGCCTAGATGTCATTGACCATTATCAACATGTCAGAAAACACAATTTTGTACCATCATTTTGATCAACTGTGGGGTAGAGGAGAACAGAAATGGCCATTGTGTCTGCATCCCTCTGGATTAACCTTCCAGTGGTAGTTTAAATCGGTTTTATTGTTGTACAGACATTTGAGGACTGTGGGATGTTAACAAAGGCTTTAGAGACTTTGTTAGGGGGGCAGATTGAAACATTCCCCACAGTGAAGTCTAAAACCACATATGCAGCGGTACCTCAGCTTTGTGGCTTTGACAGTAAGGGTAGAGAGACCCCCTGGATGCTGTTGTAGTTGATTGATGCCTGTTGGCACTGCAGGATAGAGGAAGTCGATAGCTTCCCACGGAGAGTGGCATGTATGAGGAAAGTCATGAGATTGAAAACTTAGCCAGTCACTGATTTTATTTTCTGCACCTGTGATTATTATCTACATTTTATTCATGTTAGCTTCAAAATATATGAGATGCAACTTAGTTTTGCCTCAAAGATGTGTGTAAATGTGTGATTGTTCTCCCCCTGACAGAAGCAGATCTGCTGAAATCTAATCCAAAGAAAAAACATCTGTTGTCATTCCTCAGTTTTAGGTCAATGAGAAAGTTTTTTAAGGTTACAATTTGAAGAATAAACAAATCATCGTACTTATAAGAAACTTATTGGCACGCTGACACTGTACTTAACCTTTACATTGGCTGTTTTGTGGTGGGTTTGTGAGATGTTTCCTCAGTTGAGCAAAGGTTTAGGACCTACTTACTGATATATTTATTTGTAAGTGACAATGAGTTGCAGGAGCTCCTGTCTGTCATTTTGATATTTAGAGACCCGTTTGATACTTCAAGTCCCCATTTCTTGCCCCAGTATAGCTGAGTCCACTGCTCTTTACGGACCCGATAAAAGCCCTTTGATCTCGGCTTAGAGGAGACATTGAGAGTGCTTGCCAAGTCTTAACTCTCATTGATCTGCCTGGAGACCGCTGGCACAGGTTACAGGACAAACTCAGCGGAGGTTGATGAGGAAAGAGAGTGACTGGTGACGCTGCCAAGTGTGATTGTTTATAGCCAGATAGATTTGAAGGCACAAGGACACAGTTTGAGCTACCTGTCTCCTTTCCAAGGACGTACTGTCACCTGTCGAGCCTGTGATCGATTCATGGCCAATAAACCTCACCAGAGACAGACAATGTTTGTCCTGTGTCAAAACTGTCACAGCACATCATACATTAGCTGAATACAGCTTAAGGACAGAACACAGACTAAGGCTCATTACGGTCTATTTGGCTCAAATATGATTGTTTTATGCCTTAAGGGAAGATGTACTTCCACACAAACTCACCCACCAAAAACCTCCTATTCACAAAATCCTGCAGCTGATCCACAGAAAATGTCATTCTGAATATGTAACCTAACCAAAGACAGATTTATGACACTGCTACTCCATGATATGTCTGTTAAAAAAACCACAATGACAGCTTTTGAACAGATAAGACCCAGCAGATCTATACATGCTTTATTCCTCCCCATCCTTACAAAAAACAGGACATTTTCAGAGTGCTTCTCATTATCATTTTCTTCAGGACAATTATATAATTACTTATATCCCCTGATGAATTTACAGTATATAATTCATGATAAAGATTAGAGCTGCATCACTCGGACTTAATGAATGTGGAGTGCAAAGATAAGCACTTTGAATGGCTGACTGTTTCATTGTCCTTCCGTCTCTCTGCTGCTGTGTTCAGGGTGGAACTCAGAGAGACAGAGACGAGCAGAAAAACTACTTCTAATGAGAATATGTCTTGACAAAGGGCCAGCAGAAATAAGCTTTGATTTGGTTATTTGTAGGTCAAAACATGTCTGCACATCAAGGTTACAACCAGGATGTATGAAATTGAATTATTTAAAACATTGAAATATAGATAGGATCTGACTTCAGCTCTGTTTACACTAAAAAAAAAAGCTTTTCTTTATCTTTCTGGGCTCAACCAGAACTTATAACTGTGTGATGTGAGCTATACTGAGGCACTATAGCTTCCTACATTATCAGCCATAACACTGTGTAACACTCTGTATGTTGTGGGTCTCTATTCCATAGTACAGTATTTATATAAAGTTTTCTTTATCTTGTCTGGAAAATGGTCACAAAGGAACCTTGAAATAATAGCATGAACTCACACTACTTTGATATGTGTGGTGATGTAACCAAAACCATCAAAGATACAAAATGATTAATCTTTTTTTAAAATTTGTTTATTAGTTTAAACATTAATGCCTGCAGCATCAAGTTATTATGATACCTTTGACTTAAGTCATTTCTTAAATTTCTGTATAGCCCTTATTTGCAAATATAAGACAGATAAGACGCTGGACCAAGAAAGAACATATTAACACCAGAGTGAGCTCTGTCTGGGGCCCAATTGCAAAAAACAAGTTAAGTTCATTGACTGTATAATTACACTGCATGGCCTCTGTAACATCACCTATCTGTTTCTGATGCAAAGTGTAAAGCCTACTAGTAACGCTGACTCAACCTAACTCTCAGTCATCCTACCAGAGGCAGGCTTTTAGCCTTCTTGCATTTGCCTTCAGTGCGCCTGCCTGTCAGTCCAGTCAGCCGTGCCTCTGATTGACCGATCTTGTAACCTCATTGTGTGTGTGGTTCCCAGTGCTTCTGCAGCCAGCCTCAAGTGGACACTCAGCGAACTGCAGTTTGTTGCACTTCAGCATCGGCTTAATTTCTTAAGGCTGTAGGTTTCAGCTTAGTTTGGTTGTAGGCTATATGGTATCCTCTTATGCAGAAGGTCCTGAAATACTGTTGTTACCAAGCCTTGCTCATGACAGCAGTAACTTGCTGTGTTTGTAGACCTGAGCTCCAGCTGTCTTCTATACTACAGAAGATGAGTGGATGACACTGACTAGGGATGTCCTTATCCGATACTGATATCGGATATCGGCCCGATATCAGCAAAAAAATTAATATTGAATAACATCGGCCTGCATTTACAAACTCATATATCAGCACTCCAATACAAGCAATCCATTCCAGGCTCAGCTCCTGCACCTGTGTCTAGCAGCACCTGGATCTAGCATGCAGAGCCCACGTAATCACAACAAAAGTGCGTACTAAGGTACTCACAAAGTGGCAAGGAGTAGAAGTGATGCTGGCCATGTGGTAGTATTTTTGTTTAAGTCTGAAATAGTTGCAGCTGAGTGCAAAACTTGTCATGCACAAGTTTGTGCCAATATCAGATCAATATCGGTATCGGCCAAAACTGAAGGCTACAATATAATTTTTTATTGGAGGTAAAACAAAATAATGTATCGTGGCACTCCTAACACTGATGCTCTAAAGCTTGTTGAGTAAATCACAGTGTTTCAATGTAAAAGGCCAGAGCTTGTATCAAGCAGAGACATTTACACCTGACATCAAGATATGTGCTAAAAAAAGGTTATTCTCTGAATTAAACTCTCAGACTTTAGAGACCAGTTTGCGCCATCATGTCCCAACTATAAGCGGTCATACAAGTAGGCTATCAGTAGGCTATTTACCCCTTAAATTTCTCAACTTTACCAAACAGATCCATTTATGTTTCATATCTACCAAAAATATGAAATATTAGGACTTTGTGATAATGCAAAGGCATTTAATCTGATTAGACTGCATTTTATAAGTATTAGATGAAGTGCATTGGAACAAACCTAAGCAGGTGGACATTTCTGAGCATCTAGAAATTCAAAGTAATCCCGAAAGTGACAACTGCTACAAATACACAGTTTCACTGCAGTTCTGCATGCTTTCCGCAGAATTGATTGTTAATTTGGTGGCATGGAGGATTTGGTTGACAGCTAAAAATCTTCATGTCACAGTAGTTTGTGAATAGTTTTGATCAAAATGACCTAAATTTAAAAAGTACATGCATGAATATGAGAATAATTTAATAAATATGTTTATTTGTAGATGATATAAGTGATTCATTGCTGCTGAATCACTTTAGTTGTCACCAAAAGCATGTTATGCTTTTTAGTTAAATATTCAAAGTGGCTCCACATTAATCGCTTTTCTGATTTTTGATGGTTAGTCTCTGTGCAAAGACCATGATCAAAGACAAAAACAAACTGTAGACGGGCTTGATGGTGCATGTTGTTTTTCAACATGTGATGTCATGATGGTGTGTCCCATTCCTCTTTTTTTTACCACCTCAAACCCGGCATGTCTGCTCAACACCATTAAAACCATCAGATTTAGGAGCTTTGGCTTCAAAGTAGAGATTGGGATTGGGCCATCGTGACCATGTTAGCGTGCTAATAGAATTTAGCTTAAAGCACCACTGGCATTAGTCACTCTGAAGATTTTTGGTAAAAAAAATTGTGAAACCTTTAACTCAAAATGACAATGTCACAGTATATAACCCTAAGGCAGTAGTTATTTCAGAGTTAAACTGACAGTACAACCACTGCACTAAACTCTGAAGTGCTCTGTCTAAGCTGCCCCTGGTTAAAAAGGTGGTGCACCAAAGATACTGACTTAGTATTTGAAATGCTTGAAGCAGATTAAGTAAGAGACAAAATGTCGACTGCTAATTGCACGTCTAACAGGAGCACATAAGTAAACGTCTTGCTTTCATGGCACCCTGTCCCTTGGCCAAAAATGAAAGCTAAATAGCATTCTTCATTGTTCTCTCGGCCATCTACTCCTAGAGCGATTTATCTGCCTGCCAGAGCCTGACCATGCACCCTTGGGGAGTCTAGAAACGGCAGGCCTACCCTGAAATGCCAAGGGTGTCACTGTGTCCTGTCAGCCTGGATTAGCGCTCTGCTAGCAGCTTCTGCAGCCTTGTTAGTGTGGGTGTTTGTGTGCGGGTGTGTATGTGTGCGATATAAAGGGGAAAAAAAGGAGAAGCAAGGGGGATGAAGAAGAAATAAGCGGAAGTGTGAAAGAAAATGTGGGTAGTTGTGTTGAAATGGCCACTTAGCATCTGCCTCAAACTAAATTCTTCTCTTCACATTTATAGGTCAGCTGCAGCTCGAAAGAAAAGGAAAACACATTTAGCATATTTATTCTTCTTATAAAAGGCACACTCATGAAAAAATAATAATTTGGGGCATTACACCTTTTATAATAAGACAACTGATTCCAAAAATGGCATGTAAATATGATACGTATACATGTAAATAGGATCTTTTTTGGCTCAGGAAAACGATGCCACCTCTTTTTTTTAAACTCTCAGATTACTTTAAATCAACAAATTAACATTGAAGGCCTGTAAAACTTTAAATTAAGAGTCTGTTTAGATAATGCCACATCCTGTTGTAACAGCGTTTGATTTTTCCCACTGGCACTATTTGCTGTTGATCATTCAAACTAGGATCACATTGCAGAAGGGCACTTACTGTACTTTAGTCATAAAGCTCCACCTCTCCCTCAGGATTGATGCTGGCAAAGGGAAATCTCCCACCTCGCCTTGTAAATAGCCAATGAACCATTGGAATCCTATAATTCTAATTTAGGGATTGGCTGTGTGTGACAAGGGCGTCAGGGCACTGGGAGATAAAAGGCTCTCCTAGGACCCATTAGTCCCTCCTACCATGCCTTTAATCAATGGGCTAATGTTTACTCTGCTTAGTGTGTCATTTATAATTAAAACTAGTACTGCTCATTAGTGTCCAACAGGCCCAAGGTAATAATTTTAATTCATAAAACATCAATTACATCCTCATCCTCTAAAGGCGCGCCCATCAAATGGTGATACTGCAGATAAACTTGCCGTCATCAGTTTAATGAAAATTTAATGACTTCTGAGGAGAGTGTGCGTTGAATTCCAGAAGAGACGAGTGTTTACCGTTTTTACAGATGGGACAGCACTGCTCCGGCTCGTACACAGGGTTCACACACTCTGGGACAGCGCAGTCGGACACCACGCAGTGCACCTCATTATTTGGTTCGCAGCGGCACCATTCACAGGGTGACGGCTGTGGGCAGAGAGGGGAGAAGAAATAGAGAATCTTGGTTAGATGAGTCATTTGGTTTCACCTTGTGTGTACTCAACATGATTACAGCAAAACAGCCTGCTCCTGTGTGCAGTTTACTGATTCTTCCTACTTGAATATGTCTCTATATGACATTTCTTCATAAACAAAGAGACATGTTCATAAATTATGCACAATCCCAGCTTTATTACACTAGTGGCATCTTAAAGAGCGCCTGCAGTTGACTTGGAATAAAATCCCAGGAAATAACTATTAAGGAAGTCTATTAAACAGTAGTTATGATATTTAGTATTTTGCTGCATTCTGCTGCCTCAGGAAGCTCAGGCTTATCTAACCACCTCTGCAACATGTAAATCAGAGCTATGCAGCTCTCTGTGCCACTGCCTCTTACTTGACTCCATCTTTACAAAGTCTCTTGACCGTAAAATGAACTGTAATGCAATTACATGGAGTGGAAAAATACAAACTGTTTTCAAATCATGAAAGGTCAGCCGTTCATCAAATTATATTTTCTTTCTGCTCATCACAACGAACACTCTTTTGAGAGGCCTGTTTGCACCAGGTCTGATCTGTCAGTGACTCAGTACTTTGTACCGACCTTAAAGGGTACAGATGCTTCATTCGTCATCACAGCTTTGCAGTTTGCATTTGACAAAGTATTGATTTTTTAAGGTTAGGCAGGTCAGTGTATGTGGAGAGCAGCAGCAGCAGCCGAACAAAATGGTTCAGATGAGTCATAATGACCACGGTGAGTAATCCATTTGAATGATTCACAGTCTAAAACTTCCCCAAAATGCAGCTGTCAATATGCTATAACAAATCAATTTATATTCAACACCAGCTACTTGATGAGCAATCTTTGGCTCTTGAATGAGAATGAGGTGACACACACACACTGAGTTTTTACCCCTAGCTGTACAAGAGTCATATGATATCTACAGCTACATGATACAAGAAACAGTGCAACAGTGTGGAAATTACACTTGAAGTTTTCTCACTGTGGGGTTGATGAGGAGGCTGTGTCACATCTTTATGGTAATACAGTTGTGGGCAGCAGCCTGTTAGCATAACTTTACGTAAAGATTGGCAACAGAACAAGCTAGCTACATTCTGACAGTAACTCTGGCATTAATTAAAAGGACATCAATCAATCAATCAATCAACTTTATTTCTATAGCACATTTAAAAGAACCACAAGGGTAGCCAAAGTGCTGTACAATGACACATAAAAAACAAATAAAACTATCAAAGAACAAGATAAAGCGAGCAGACATCTCCAGTTTGCTGTGTTGTTTGGTAACTAATAAAGGCTACAGGAATTTACAGGTCCCATAACCTCAGAAAAAAAAAAAGGGTTTTTTTGGTGCTTGTTTTGGTTTCATGCTTATAAAGCTTATTGAGTGTGATGGGACTGAGACAGCACCCCTTTGGTTTCCCAAAATACAAATTTACCTGACCAGTAAAACATCAAAGATCCCTCAGTCCGGTACAGTCCACAGCAAAACAGAACTTTGTGTCGATTTGAATCAGACAGGTAAGACTGTGAAAAGTTGAGTGACTCTAGTGTTAGATTCCTCTACTATGCTAATCTGATGAAGGATGCTGCAGGAACCTGCATTTAGCAAAAGAGCAACTAATTAATCATCCTTTTAAACTGAGTAAAACTTTTCCAAAAAGTGAGCACTTTTGTACAAATCAGGTTGATAACAGCTTACTGCTCTGACTGAAAGATCATTAAAAATATATATATATTTGATAATTTGATAAGTGGAGCTATAGAAAGTATGGCCTGGCATGCCATATCATTCTTTAAAAAGTCTATGGACTCTATTTTCGTGCCTCGCCAGAGACGTGACGCAGGCGCGGGGTAAGTCAGGTCCACTGCGCCAACAAGGCGTTCCCAAGCACAATTGGCACAACTGGCATAAGTATCTCCCCTCCCTAACTCAGCTCATCCCAGCAGCGTAAGTCATAGGGAGGGAGGGGAGAGGGCATGGAGTGGATTTAACACAGCCGAGACCTATATTGACCAATAACATCAGCTCCTCTCCTCACCTTGAAATCTGCCACCGGCGAGGCATATTACAATTTTCGTGAAGTAGTCAAAGAGATCAAGTGATGGCTGAAGACAGCAATGCCACAAGATGGCGACAGAAGGCAGCCCCTCAACAAGTGTCGCTGTAAGAACTGTAGAGGGCGTCCTTCACACTGTCTCATATTAGCACAGATGGATTTGGTGTGTGTAGTTTTAGACCTACTGGTAAGACAAACACCCTTTTCCACAAATAACAACACTCACATAAAGTTGCATATATTTAAACCTCACGTGACAAAAGTGGGTTGTGTGCAGAGATCGCATCATAAATTCCAAAAATGGCATTAAAATCGGGAGCATCTGTGCGTAAATGACGCATCACGCTCCGTGGCCTGGCTCTTTCTTTCATAGATGTTGGCATATAAAATAAATTTGGCTCACAAAACTGAATATTAAAATATTTGTATGTAGGCTTAAAGTAAATAACTCATCTGATCACTGAAACAAATCATCTGTTCAGCCGCTGCAGCAGGACGGAGAGAGGACACGGATACGTGTCCAGGTCGAGCTGCGCGAGAAATAAGAGGAAGAGGAAGAAAGAAAAGGAGGGAGACGAATTACATATCTTGTTAACTTCATCATGTGTGTCAATTTACTAGATATTTAATTTAATGCGGTTTCAGCTGTGTTGATTCGTCCAGGTTGTGTGTCCAAACGCGTGCCAAACGCGCTCATCAGATCAGATAAAGATCAGAATATATCTATATAGATCTAAATGTATGTGCTGACTCAGATTATTAGTTGTTGACTAATTATTGCACTAAAATAGAGCCCTTTATGAGCGACTTATTGGGAGTTTCACAACCTCATTGACTTGTTGACCACTAGTTGGCACTGTTGGCAATCTTAACAAGTCAAATGGTGAGTACATCAGGGAAAGGGGCTGACATTGGTGCTGATGTGCAGCTAAAGCAAACACTGTATAATAAGTGTGTCAGTAATTTTGTTTGATTTAGTTTAACTTTGCTCCTTGTGTATGTGGTTTTTGGTACTTCTGCAGCAGCCTCTAGAGGAGACTTATAGAAATGCGAGTTTTAGCACTTCTGTAACAGCGTCATTCCTCAAGACCAGAGGCTGGCATTTGAACTAAAGGTGTGTTTGGTTTAGATAAGCCGAACTATTTTTTTTCTTTTTGTGTAAATATTGTGTGATTTGAGGTATTAGGGTTATCAAGTACAATTGTTATTGTGAACTCGTGCTAGTCTTTTTGCATCCATCATACATAACAACGGGTCAACTACTTTTATCAAAAGCCCAGAAACTACTTGAAATATAAAGCTGTGCAACCCCTACCACTGAAAATCAGTTTTGTAACTGTGCCACAACCAACAGTTAGGCCATCATTGGCTCCTGTACCTACATATTGAATCTCACAGCAGCAAAATATTGGTACTATCTTACATTTCATTGCAGAATCACAAGAGGTAAGATATCGAAAAACACAGCCAGAGTGTCAGCAGCATATTTCTCCTGTCTTATAGAGTCTCTGTTACAATCTAGTACAGTAGCCAATCAGAGGAGAGATGATGACATTTTGTACACATAGCAAAAGAGATTTAACATGAACACAAATGTCTTGCCTTGAAATTTACAACATGTCTAAGCCCACTGGTTTCATCTTTATATTTGATGAAACCAGATATTTGGTGTCAAACTTTTCATCTTAGACTTGGTTAAATATAAACAAATGAGGCTATTACACAAAATATACTCAAACTAGTCCTTTAAAAACTGAGCGGTGTGCCGGCGAGAAGATTTCCTTTTTATTTTGCAAATCAACCTTCACAACTGCATTAGCTTCAGAAAATATATTACCCCATTCAACAACAACAGCCACAACAGCTCCTCTGTTCATAATCCAGTTTTGTGCAGAGATAAGTGAATGGGCTGTGGTAAATCTGGATGCTTTAATGTGACTTTTATCAGCCAGCTTTGCCAGGATGCATTAAGAGCCACAAAATGGGAAGTCAGCCTCGTATTTTTAAGGGAATTTATTGCAGTCTGGATGCACTAGAGCCACAAATTAAATATTAGCAACATTAAAAGATAGAGAAGAGAGGAACAGCGGGAATGCAGAACTTGTTCTCTGATTGTGGGCGTACATACTGGAATTATTGCCATCTGAATGAACTCTGCAAAATCATGTTGAAATAAAATGTTTGATGTGAAAGGATCAGAGCAGAGGCGATCCAGACTCAGACCTTAAAGAGCCTCTACTCCATTGTTTCCTGAGGTAGAACATTAATAAGACTGTCTCAGCTGATAATGCTTCCTCCAATATGTCAACAACTGTCAGTGGGATTAAAAATAAGCATGTGAACCCGTCTATCAGATGTGATGTTTATGAAAAGGGACCAACTGTTATTAATATATTTAGTTAAAAACCGACTCCTTACGGGCAATAAAGGAGGGTTGCAAAAGTCAGGGTGTTTTTGTGTGGAAACGCCGACATCTTGTTTGTATTCTGGTATCAGAAGCTGTGTTCCTTCTTCAAATGACTCCCACTCTGAGTGATGTTAATGATGATTGATTTTGTTTGCTCATTCATTGTGTCTGCTGCATATATTAGATCCACTGCTTCCTGATGTGAGACACATCTCAGGGCCTTTTCTCTTTCTAGTAAAACTGCACTAACATGATAAAGGCTTCTTTAAACACATTTATTAACAGCACCTGAACATCTTTAATGTAGTTCTCGTCTTATTGGGAATTCCTGTCGGATTTTATTAATCCATAAGGATATGACACACAGTAAGTCCACATAAGTGAATAAAGCACTGGCAAAAAAAAGTTTTTTTTCTACACATCCCTGCAGTCGTGTTATCCACCCCTTGAGCACACACAAACCCATGCGAGCGAATTACAGCGAGATGCTGTCTCATACATATGGAAGATGGACTCCATTTTGTCAATCTGACAGGCTTAACCTGTGGGGGTTGGCAGGGTGGGATTACAGGGCTGCACCTGACACATACAATAAGGCTTCATGATGTCATGACTGGATCCAACTCTATCATCCTGCATGTTTCTCCAACAGGGATATGTGGCCTTGTCTTGGGATTAGTAGTTAAATATTTAAAGCTGGTGCAGCTTTGTTTCCCATGGGAGTTCCAGGTTGACTGGAGATGAGGAACATTAACCTTGGCTAACATATAAAAGCAATTACACTTTAATTTGACTCTTCCAGCAGCAAAAACCCAGGTTCAGCTAGGATTATGTGAGGTAATAATAAATATGTCTCATCAGGGGATTGAAGCAATAGTGTATAGCATTAATGAGCATCATATTGTTTGTTTAGTATCTTCTTTACATGGAGGTGCATACTCTCATTTAGGGTATCCAAGCACATCCCTGTTGTGATTTGGTGGATTTTTAGATACTTATTATTGCAAGAAGGCACTGAATGGTTTCAGAAACCCAGATGAGCAATTAATAAGCCAGTTAATATGCAAGTCAGAGCATAGCAACAGACGCAGAGATGCTGTGGTGGACTAACACAGCTGTAAATCACAGTTTATCACTCATCTAAATACAGCCTCATGTCCAATTTTCATTATTTGGAGATGAAACATGGTCATGCATGCCACAATGACAGGTTTAAGAGGTTGCACAACTTGTTTTGAAGGTGGTTCCAATATTGTACTATTAATGGAGGGATAACTGACACCACTGAATTTCCAAATAGGAAATGGTCTCTGAACGGCTTATTACCAAACCATAGACTGTATACATGTCCACTGTCTTGTCACCCCTGGTATTTTTACAGTCTTCAGTTGACTTGATTTGAGCTGTATGATGGATATGCATTGCTTAGTGTATTCTAGTGCACATCTAGATATAGTAATGACTTGCCAATCACCAGCAGTCCCGCCTAAAGGCATGCCATTTTTTTGGTCAATTTGGCTCTGAATGGGATCATTTACAAAATGAACATCACACAGTTTTTGAAAATTACCTATTACATTGGTTCATTAAGGGAAATAAAGACTGCAGTTTTAAGGCACCAGCACAATAACTTCATTTTAGAAAGATAGAGTGAAAGTCTGCTTCTTATCCATGATAGATGTGTTGAAACACCCACTCAGTCTGATAGATATGCCCAGCCCTATTTATTATAAACAGTTTTTAAGGATACAGAGAGCATCCAAAAGTGGCTTAAACTCCAAATGCAGTGGATTAATATGTTATTGTGTTTTTTTCTTATTATGATGGGGGAACTTAAACCAAAATGCATCAGAATTCTGGCCAGAATCAAAAATGGGCTCATGCTTGAATACTAAAAAAGCTTGAATGGTGCACAAATAGATAGTCTGAAGTGAGGGATCAGACAGACCTGCATTAACTCAGACTACAAGAGCCTGAATGAGAATATGAATAACCTGGTTTTTCACATTTCAGGAAAATTTTAAACAATCCTTGTATGACCACTACCAGCATGTTATATAAAACCAGGAATCTATTTAATGTAGTGGTTGGCAAATATATCTGTGCAAACATGGGCCAAAATTTTTTCAGATATGCATTGGTATGAAGGTTTTGTTTTTTGTTTTTTCAGTGAAAACTCGTGCAAAATGTAATTCTCAGGATGATTTCACTGTAAACAATTAACCAAAAAATATATGTATAGTTTTGCTCTTTCATGACTCATATTGATTTCTTATATAACAGATTGATCAATGCACACCAAATCTTTTCAAATCAGCTTTGGACCATTGGCATACATGGCCCTAAATCATGTACAGGTTATATTAATTTTGCAATATGACCACAGTTTGACTGACCAGGTTGGGTCAGTGCATACAACTTTGGTTTCACTCTTGAGTGACACAGTTGTGGTCAGGCGGCACAAGCGGGAGAGGAAATCACTAACCCTTTACATGAAGCAATCTAACACATTATAAACACATGAGAGCTTTATAAGTTATTTTAAGTTTACAAAGAAGTCATTCAATGTGGTATTATTAAAATATATGATTGTCATTTTGGACATGCCTTATTGATACTCACAGCATGCTTAATCATGACTTTTTGCCCTGTAAGTATTTAAGTATTTACAACCCAGATTTTGTCACAATTAGGGATGGGCGATAAATAATTGTTCATGATTTATTGTCAGAATTTGCCATCTCATGATAAATGCGATAAATGCAAGCTGAAGGCATCAGCACAAGTGGCGGACTCACAGCCGTAGCCCACACAGAGCAAAATAACGAACAAACATGGCTAAAGGTGGTGAAGACTGGGGTGTAGACGAGTGTAGTCAGGTATGCCATCAGACAGTGGATCTGTTGCTGTTCACTCTGTGCAAAGGGAATTTTAAATAAATGTTAAAAGTGTTTTCACATTTCAGGCTTGTTTGATGTCACTAGTTTTCGACATAATCTACCACTTAAATATGTGGTAAAGGTTATGGATTGGAATTAGAGTGTTTTGTATTGGGACTTTATCGTTATCGCCAGAATGGCAAAACTTATTGTGACAAATTTGTTTGCCCATATCGCCCATCCCTTGTCACAACCCAATCAACCATGGTTCGGCTGCTGTCAAACGCGTCATTGCAACCATCCCCCACCCCAATCACCTCCATCCCTGCTCTTCATTAAGGTGAGGCTCTGCAGATGTCTAGCCTTCTTTACATCCTCATGACGTCAACTGTCCACACTCTTTATCAGTGGTGTCCTATTCTACAGTTAGCCCCAGCACCCATTTAAAGTTATTATTTTGGTAATATATACAGAAGACTGGCTTCCAGACTTTAAACTAGGGACCTAAATACACATCAGATAAGAAGAACTTTATAGATCCCTGAAGGGAAATTCAATAATTCAAATAATAATTCAAATATTCAAAGATATTGCACATTTGATATCATTGTCTTAATCCTGTAAAACAAAGTAGTGTTTAATTACTGTTTACATGTTATTCAGTTTGTCTTAATAAGCTGAATCAATCATCCAGTTTTGATTGGATACAAAATTCTCAATAATAATAATAATAATAATAATAATTAATAAATAAATAAATAATAAAAGAGATTTTTAAAGAGTATCATCAAAGCATACATCTTTAACTCCCTGCCTCCCCTGTTAGCAACAGGCCAACCACACAACACTCCTCCTCTCATTAACAGAGCATTTGGCCAGCAGTGAATGGTTGCTCACATCAAAGCTGAGGCATCTTTTTCTCTCTGAAAGCAGGGCATAAACATGAATCCTCTGTAGCAGCAGGTCAATTAGTTAATTGGATGGTTAGCGTCCAATTTAGATGAATATTTGATCAGCTGCCAATCAAATGGCTAACACATGACCCAAAGACATAAAAATGGGATTAATCAGAAGCAGTTTAACCACATGAAGCAGCAGTCCAGCCTCACAAGGCATGTTTCCAGCTTAAGTGAAGAGCTAAGGAGTTGATAATATATACAGTACATACTGTAATAAGTTTGAATATGAACAGTATTGTAAAACCAAATCTGCCAAATCTTTCATTTGTTTTCTGGCGCAAATGAATAATTCAGAAAGGAGATGCAGATGAAGTGTAGGAGTGAAACTGACTTAAACTGAAAGTAAATGTAACTGTATATCCTTGGTGTGGTTTGGGGCAACTCAAACTGTTCTTCAAATACAATGTGCCAGAAACAACAAAACTTAGGCAAGATTTCAATTTTCTACAAAGTTCATATTTTGACTTTATGTGCATAAGTTATTTTCTTGTGTGCACAGCTATTGTCTTGTTCACTTAAGATAAAAAGTTTTTGGCAGTCTCTTGGCATATGTGCTGAAAAAAAAGGTACAGATATTCCTTACTGGCTCAGTTCTGATAACAACAGAATCATACTGGATCATCTTTGTAGTGAAGATTAAAAAATGTTTAAACAAGGAGAGCAATAATTTGGTGAGCAGCAATTAGTCTGCAGTCGATCCATATCACCACAAAAGAGTTATTCATCTCAGAGGTCACATGAAGAAATATCTCCTTCACTGAGTAAAAAAGAGAAAGCTAGTTTGGTTGGTGCCTATCACGAATCAACATAATATGAGGCACACGAGTGATGTTCTGAAGAGACTCACTTGTCATTGGCTTAAATGGATATTTAAATCTCTACCAGCTGAAGAGTCTTAAGTCAAGAAAACTCATCATCATGAGCACAATACACTGAAGGCTAAACACAGGATCTCGGCAGAGTCTGCAGGAAAACCTCAAGTCCTCATTCTTCTCTGCAGGTTAACAGGCTCACATCTGGGCTTATTGTGCTTTTAACCAGACACAGCCAATGTTTAATTTTATCTCTGACCAAAATACTGTCAAATGATGTCTTCTGCTCTTGTTCACATCCAGGTAATAGGACATTACAACCTTGTGGCAGTTACATGTCATATGCAAACAAAAGTCAACAAACAAGAGTTAAGGTCCTTACACACCGGGGCTGACACGAATATAGAACGCGAAATTACGAAATATTCGGAGGCGAATTTTGATGCACCTGACAATACACATCAAGCCCGATGCAATTTTGCAACTTTCCAGGGGGAAAAAAGACGCATCCCGGGTGGAAGCGAGGAGACTGACACAACACCAGACTGACTGTTTTTCAGTTCTGATTAGACATTGGTGTTGAGATGGCTGTCTGTCATAATAGCATGTACTGAGTCGGGGCCAGTACCAGATAAGCACATTAAACTATAATCCATAAACGTAAGGTAACAACCGAGACCTAATGGTGCTGTGACAGAAATGCGACTGAGTTTGAGACAGTGAAAATACATATGGTATGTTGTATCTGAACAGGTTAGCTTACGAGCTAAAGTTACTTAGCACAGATGAAAGTTAAAACAAAGACGTTAAGCAAACTGTCCAAGCACACAAACCATCGTCATATGAGAAATCGACCCTATGACTCTCCACAAGTTGTCCTTCAGGTGGTTATCTTTGTAATGTTTGTGTCTTTGATCAAAAAGCACTCTATTCTCCGACACGTAAACAATCAGCAGGTCGACCATGTTGGATATACTGGTGAATCAGATGTTGCAACAACACGCAATCTGATTGGTCAGAAGTGGACACACAGTATGCAAAACTTTAGAAAAATCGACCATGATCCGAAAAACCAAATGCAGCAATATCGCAGGATGGGAAAACGTCGCTGATGTGAACGCTTGTATTGACAGGATATGGGTTCGAAAAAAATATTGACGTCCTAAATAATAGCACGATAAAAACGGTCCCAGTCTGAAAGGACCTTTACATCTCATTTCTTAAAGCCAATGTAATTAATCTCAACCTGAAAAAAACACCATAAAAATATTTCACCATACCAAGAATACACCAAAACATACATTTTTGTTTCCACATCATTTCTGACAACTATCCTCTTGTTTATTTCTGTCAGCTATCCAGTTACTGAAAAGGCAGCGAGGAGAAAGCCTCAATGCTAAAAAGGTCTCTTTTATACATGTAGTACATTTCTGATTAAAACATAGCTAATGAACAAGAAGACAAAGAAATATACCTTGCTGTACTGTAATGTAAGGGCCACTACAAAAAATATCAACCAGCAAAGCAATAGGAGCAAATAAGTGTAGGGCTGGCAGTGATGAGCACTGAAGGCAAGGCATATAAACAAACTATCATTGCTCTACCCTCACAAACTCATAATGCCCCCTGAAGTAAAAAACAGCTCCAGCACTGTCCTTGGTGCTGAACATGTCCATCAAAGCAAAGGTCCAATATGCAATACCAATAATAATATACTAATACTATGACTAATGTGCAATATTTAAAATGTGCCTATCCTAATTGTGTGTCTTTATCCCACAGCTAGCACCTCCTCATTGATTTTAAAATTGTCTGAAAAAGAAAACTTTATGAGGCCATGCCACGCTTTAATCTCTGAAATATAATCAGCAGCAGCTGATGTTTTCAGCTTATCCTCTTGAGCGAGGTCTTTCATGAAGACTATCAGTCATGCCTTACAGAAAAAATGGAGCACTAGCACCGAATTGTGACGTGCATCCATTTTTTTTTTTTTTTTTGTTTACAGGAGAAAGTCTCCTGTATGTCCCTGTCTCATCAGTAAAAAAGTAAAATAGGTTGTCATGCTTCTCCTCTCCACTCTAAAACAAATTGGGCCAAGGTGAGAAAGCAGTGACGAATCAGATAACCTTTAGTGCAGTGAACAGTCATGTGAAATACATTGAGGCGGGACAACAGGGTCACAGGAATCCCAGCCATGCAGGGAATGGGTGGACAGTCAAACTGCATGCTGTTGTAGTCCAAGTCAGAACAATATTGAGCTGTTGGTTGAGGGATACAGTGAGAGAGAGATAGAGAGAGAGGTAGTGGATAAAAACTCTTAACACTAGTGCAGGGTTGAAATGCGAATGAACTCAACCCAGAGAAATAAGACTAATAATGGGCTATTTCCTAATTGTTTGCATTTAATTATTTCCTTCTAATTCAGTCCAGTGTTGCTTCAGGAAAACAGAATAGGAAAATCAATTTAGGGCAATCACTTTTACTGCTTTTATGACTGTTTTTGTCTCATAGGTGTCAGCGCTGAAAAAACACAGCCACTAATTACTGTTGTGTGTGATGTGTGGGCAGCTCGCGGTGTGTGTGTGTGTGTGTGTATGAGTGTGTGTGTGCGTGCTGTTTCAAATTAAATGTTGTTATTGTTGGTACAGGTGCTTTCACAGTGGGCCTCCATAATTATGGGGCATCAAGCTCTGTGAAGACTAGCTGTATTGACAGGACTATTACGAGTAAAAACGAAACACAAAACCTTCTCTATCATCTGCATCTGTTTAAGGTGCAAAGGTGTAAAAAGCAATAAGCATTTCTCACAGAGAAAATGAATATAATGGCTCAGAGGTATGCTGTACCTGCAAAGAAGAAATTAGTCCTCATCACATAGGGATTGTAAAGAAAGGTTAGTACATATTAAGTATTGTAGCTGAGCTAATTAACATCACTAGCCTTTAAATTAAAAAATAAAATATACTGTGTGTGCCTCTGTCACTGACAATATTACAGTCTTCCTCTCTTTTTCCAATTCTGCATCCCTTTCCTAGAGGGGATGGCAGGCAGCACGGACGGGATAGTTCACATTTGAGTTCACATCCCAGCCCTAGCCTGGTGATCTGGGATCTGAACTCACCCTATATCTCCTGGCTCTTGATTGCAGCTGTGCTGATGCCTGAGGCTCGCCGGCAGCCATGCTGGGGGGACTGGTCCCTTCCTCATCTGACGGTGAACCCTGGAGGTGAAACACCTACTTAGGTTGAGTGGCATGACTCTCTCCCAGGGGATAGAACAAAAGAAAGAGACATACAGCTACTGGTACAAATCTCCCCCCTGCAATATCAACCATGTCCACTTTTGATAAGGTCTGCTACGTTGCTCAAAAATTAAACCGAGGTGGATAATTTGAATTTATTAGTCAAGTTGCTGATGCATGAGTTATACCAGCATTAGATTCAACAAATTACTTGCTGACATTGCACTGCAGTCAGCTGCTTTGTGGTGAATAAATGCCCAATACCACTTGCATGACAATGATTCTAAATGCCAAAGGCTAAATGACAAGAGGTGGTCAAAGTGCTCACATGTTTGACTCAAAGTACCATGCTGCAGCATGAAACACAAGCTCTGATTAAAGCCTGAGTGCAGGTTCATCTAAAAAAAATTAAAAGTAAAAAACTGCTAATGTAGTCAATGTCTCAAAGTTAAGCAGTACCCTCCTCAAGGACAGTTTTTCTGACTTTCTTTTTGAACCAAACAGATCCACATTTTAATTTCTGAGACTATTTAAATTTTCTAATTAAAATTTAAATAACAATATAACCAAACATGTAAGAACAACCCAGCTTCATCATGCACAAAGGTTTGCTGGTGGATGTCATACTGCTCTGAATCTACCCCTCCTTCATTGTCAATGTCAGCTATTGTGTGTTTCATACTGTGATGGATACACAAATCTAATCTGCTAAAACCATTTTAATTTAACATCTTTTTTGGTAGAAAATCTGCCCCAACAGTTTGAAGATGGTACAAACTGATACAAATGAATAATCACTAATCCTCTAAACTGCATTTAAGTTCAATCAGCTGTGGGAAACTTTCATTTTGAGAGTTTGCTCATCCTGATTTTGGCACCCAGTGTGAACAAAGTCAAACCTCTAATCTATTTGCTGATACACTCTAATACATTCTCCTTTTTTAGCAGTTTAACGCCGCTGTGAAACGTTTCTCCTGAAAATGTAAACAAAGCCTAATGCACTGTGAGTGCTGTCAATTGCTTTGTTGGACTCTAAACCAGAGACGGCAGGCATTAAAACACTTTAATTGGCCTTTCTTTCATGTTTAATAACCAGTTAAAAAAGCCCTGGTGCTAAGTTCAAGTAACTAGTCTTCTTTATTATAGAGGAAGGATTCAAAATGATGTGTATCAGTGTTGAAATGCAAAGGTAAGGGGTCAAAAGAAGAACTAAAGTAGTAGTACTGACACTAGGTACAGAAATGAAAGGACTCTGAGGCACAACACTGTTTACAGAGTGGAGGAGGAGAGGACAGCTCCTCAAAGCAAAGCCAAAGTCTTTAGAGCTCCTGCTGCTGACTGGCTGCAGGATACTTACTAAACCTGAGGGCCGGTTCTAAGGTAACACAACAAAAAGGGTTAGTGCAAATCACTGCTGCATTTGTTTCACATTGAAAGAGTCAAGGTATACTTTCAATTAGGGCTGAATGATTAATCTATTTTAAATCATGATCGGATTATTTGATTATGATGATGTTAAAAAACGTAAAATCATCAAAATCGATTTTCCTCTATATCATGTCTTGCACCTCCAGGCCACCGTAGGTTTCCCCTTCCTGAGGGAGCACTCCTCAGTTCCCACACATACCAGTGGAAACAAACATGGCGTTTGCAAAAGAAGACGAATTTTGTGGCTAAATAGGACAAGAGCAAGTCAGTCGTGTGGAATTGGTATGGCTTCACAGTTTCAGATGAAGAGCAAACCAGTCCCTGCTGGAAAGTCTGTCTGAAAGTGGTATCAACCCGTCCACACAGAAACAAATTCAGGGGTAAACGGGAAAGTTTTTTGTCATATCAGTGTTTCATCCACAGAAAACCAGCGTTTTGGGCGACTGTAAACTGTACTTTTTTAAAAAACAGGTCAGAGAGTGCATAAACCCGTAAACAACTACCATTTCATCTCTGTGTTGATGTCTATCTGCATCTCTTCAAAAACAATTATGTGACACACAGCGTAACTCTTATATGGCACCTGCGCGTGTCCGGCCAAAACAACCTTTATACACATGCTCTGTACTCTTCTTCTGTCTTTTGCGCAATTCCTCAGCAGCATCACAGCGCCACTTACTGGCTTGGCATATGCACTACCTCGTCTTGGGTGGTTTCGTTCTGAGAGGTGATAGAAAAACTTTTTATTTTTAAAGTGAAGTTTGGTGAAGTTGTCAATGAATATAAAATCAAAATTGAAAATCAAGTTTTCAGAAAAAAAATCGGATTTTATTTTTGGCCAAAATTGAGCTGCCCTACTTTCAATAGGTTGTTGTTGTTGTAAAGACCCAGGCCTTTACAACAACAACAAATATGACAGGGGTGGAGGAGGTGTTAGTCAATACAACTTGATGGCAGTAGTTGAGATGACATGAGATAAAGTAACAAGAACTTAAATAAATACATTCTCATAAATACATACTAATTGATAAACCTTTGACATTTTGTTGGTTAATTATAGTTTTAGCTGTTTAGAAAATAAAGTAACAGTTTCTCAAACCTGACCTAGTTTTTGGATAAATTTGATAGACACCTTGGCATTAGTTAGATGGACGAGTGAGCTTTGTACCCTCTTTATATTTCCACAATAGAGGTCATAACTCAGAATAATCAACGCAACTTGTTCACTTTTTATTTTATGTTGAAACACTTCACTTTTGATGCCCATGTGGCACTGTGTGTGTATGATAAAGAGAGTGAAGAAGAAGAAGAAGAGAAACATAGTGAACACTTACATAAGAATCACTGAGGTTTTTATGACCTTGAGTATCTGCTTAAAACCAACTCAAGAAGCTGCTGAGCTGCTGCACTAGCCTGAGGGACCTCTGTCGTTTTATCTGTAGGTCAGAGCTTGTGGTGGCCAGTTGTTTTTGTTCAATGAGATTACATCGCTGCTTCCAACCTCACTTTTAGATTGACTTATCACATTAATGTGTTTCAGAATGATCAAACTGTTTTGTTGTGATCAAACAAAATCAAGTGTTTTTGATTATGACTACATTAATTTTTCATTCAAACTTTCAAGAGTACTGGTAACTCAGCTGGCCGCACCTCTGCTGTTATTATTCAAAAGACGCTCCTCCTCTGCATCTCCTTCACCATCATCACTTTGTGAATATAAAGCAAATGTCTGCACAATGCTGCACTTCGCCAAAAAAGGAAATGCCAATGAGGCCGACATCAAAGGTTAACCTGTCGTCATCTCTAAACAGGGGTCTGTATACCAGATCCTGACAGTCTTTGATTTCCTTGAGCGCCACAGGGCTCCGGAGCTTTCATGTTGTTGCTGAATACTCGACCTTCACACAGGATGTGGACTAAGACTTCAGACTTACATTTGTGAGGTCTGAGATGGAGAAGAGGGATCATCCTGCATCACAAATTTCCTCTCCTCTTATTTATTTCTGTCCAGTCATTTTCACTTAGATAATCAATAAGAACAAATGAATGTTATTTCCCCAGAAGCGTGAAGAATTGTCCTTCCCTCGGCGGGCCTTTCAGCCAAGGTTAGCATGAGGTCGAGCTGCACTATTGATGGACTTGATCTCACATCAAACTTCAAGGCTTATGCACTCGCAGCAGCCCTTAGAAAGCTGTGGCCTTGCATCTCAATGCCGGACTGAGCCTGATGCTGTCTGACGTGCAAACACACCAATCAGCGCACATTAAGTACATGGGTTTCAAATGGGCTGATCCCATATGGCCTGTATTAACACAAACACTGTGCTTCTTTAATCCTTATGTGCCAGCGCATGACTAATAACTCAATTTACAGTCATATCAACAGAGGAAAACAGACATCAAACCGGTTGGAACCAGAAATAATTGATGTTTTTGTTTTGTAGATGTCCCAAATGATACCCTGCAAATCTGAGTTATTCATGTGTTTCCATTAACTTTTTAATGAATTAATTGTCTTATTCCTATGGTCCTACTAGAGGCATAAAAAAAATCATATTTTACAAGGCAAAACAGCATGCAATGACTTCCTACTCCCTCAGCTCAATGTATCACAGGCTTATGTGATATTCCAGAGAAAATAAAGCGACTAAAAGGGTTTTGCATTAATAACTGGTGGTTAATTTGTTCATTTCTCCAAAACAAATGGCGATAAACTGAAGCAGATTTTAATAATGGCCCTTGTTTCCATTTTACATAACCTTGCTCGGTGTGTAGCCCTCCCTGCCAGCTTTAATTAGTTTCAGTGTCATGACATGCTCGTCTTCACAGGTGCAACATGTTCCACCATCTCCCAGCAGACGTTTTCTTTGCTGAGCCTTGAAGTCATTATAAACCCGACTGTAACAAACATACTACATGTTATAAAACCTTGTGCTTCTCTTTGATGGTGGGTAAAGAGAATTGGCAGCCCCCAAACATTCAGTGGCCCCTCCTTCTGTGGATTACTAATTGGTATGCAGAGTAGTAAATGAGTTACATCTGTTTCTCTCTTTGCAGGGACTCAAACGCTGATGAATGAAAATTTCTCATAGTAATAGTATCTTAAAGAAGTCGATCTTTTGTGATGGTGCTCAGAAACTAGGCTGTCTAGTATAAACCATTCACACTCGGGGAGTTTACTTCTTAGATACTGGTTTCCTACCAGAATGGTTGGTTTCCTAACCTTAACAGATGCAGTTAATTAGAGTATACGTTCAAAACCGGAAATTGGGGATTTGAAGTGACCCTCTCGCATGAATCATGTTGTCATCTTTCAGTGTGTTGTTTAGGTTTTTATGCCCCAATCTTTAAAGTTTTCTCTACCTGTGCTCTTATAGAAACCATGCATTATCCAGCAGTTAATAGAAAAACCTCAAACAACAAACATTTTACTACCTGCACAACACAAATAAGCAGACACATGTAGTTACCAGCCATCTGCTGAATGAACTTCAGAAGTGAAGGGCTCAAGACACTTAGAGAGCAGAAATACTGTATGTGGGAGGCTGAAAACTGGACCTAAATTAACCAGGTGGTTAGACTCATAAATGGGATTGAGTAAACTGTATAACTTGCAAAGTGCTTTCTCACACATACCCATAGTTAGTGCAATGTTTACAGAGCTGGTGGCCAAAGCCAGAGGCTGTAAATACCACTCCAACTAAATGAATAGTTTAAAGACCCTGAATATACTGTTTGAAGTAAATATTCATTAAAGCCGATTCAAATTTAAAAAAAAAATGTCTTTGGTAATTTTACAGCAAGAAAAACTTTGCATAGGTACAAAGCAATTATAGCCATGCTTGGCTCTGTACTGCTCAGTGGCAGTTTCATGCTTTAACCGTTTTAGCTTTAAGAACAAGTGTCTGTAAAACTCTGGCATGAAATTGGAGGTTTCTAGGGCGATCTTGACATAAGGTGGGTGGATTGGATGATAAATTAGTGTTATGCTACTTCTTTCCTGACTTGTAGAGCTGTTGAGGGTTTTATGACCAAACTTTAATACTTTGAAAAAATAAAGTGGCTGTTTGTGAACATCCACAAAAAATGTGATTTTTTTAGGGCCTGTGTCCACTACCAGCAATTTTCTGCTCTGGCAGCAAAACTGGCAACCTCTTGAACAATTGATTCTGATCATGGACTAATCAATACCAAGGAGGGGCTGGACATCTAATGTCAACTTTGTAAACAAAGGGGCAAGTAAGGAGGAAAAACCAGCAACACACATTTCTTCAAGACTGCGCCTAATGTTATGATGAGTTTATAATTAGTTTTTACATTTTCTCATGACACAGAGTTTTTCCAAACAGATTAATTTATCATCAATGAAATCAGAGGTGTTGCAGGATGACTTTAGTAACTTGGCGACAGTAAGTGCTGGAGAAAAAGGCTCTGAAATTGAGATTGTAGTGGTTGTGGCTGCAAAATGCCATAAATAGACATGGGCCTTTATTGAATCTGAAGGTAGAAATACTGCAGTTTGAGGGAAAAAAAGAGTTGTGAGACATCAAAAAGACACCAGGGATGAGTCATCATCTCATTACAAGTTTGCTGACTGGTCTCAAATGTTGGGATCACTGTACTTTTGGCTTTTCTCCTTCGACCTGCAACTCACAAAGTCCACATACAAAACAACATTCTACCTATTTAGCCCCAGATTCTCAAGATCTAACTGGATTCAGTCAATGTACGAAAAAATGAGAATTTTGCATGAGATGTACTTTTTGCTGTCCTGTACTTGTACTGTACATTGACAATAAATTGAATCTCATCTCATCTCATCTCATATAATTGTAATTTTCCAACAGTCCACTGATACACTAACTAAAACCATGTAAAACCATGTAGCTATAGAGTTTCTTAGTTCCATTATGTCAAATTGTATCTCTATCACCTACAGCCTCAATCCACTTGTGATGAATTTGAATGAGGAGGGGCTCCTCGTGGGCAGCAACAGTTTAAACACAGACCGTAGTTGTCATGCTGGAAGTTTCATTTCAGATCAGACAGCGCTGTTATGCTCTACAACAGAGCTCCCTTCGCAGGCGATGCAGGGAAACCAGATCTGCCAGCTATGACTCTGTGTCGTGTCCACGAATCAGAGCATTAAAATACGGTTATAGCATCTGTCAGTTTAGAGATGCTGACTGAATGTTCATTTGACAGTGGAGGGAGAGGTGGGGTGGTGGGGGGTTGACATCACTCTGGGAGGCAGCTATGTTTGTGTTCTTGGCCAACAAATTCATTTATGATACTTTTCTGGTATGCCAGGAAGTGAAATACACTCATAATAAGTGAAGCCTTGTTTACCCAAACACGGCTGTTGAGCTCTCAAGCTACAGCATCCACAAACAGGTGTGAGGAAGGTGTGGGTGTTTGATTCATACTCCATGAGACTGGCCTCAGCCTATGGGACATGGGCCATTGGCTGAAGCAAAAATTGATTTAGCCCCTCATTTGAACCAGTGCATGTCTAGTTCTTGTCATGAACATGCTGTTCTTGCGAGGGAAAGTAGTTTTACTGGGTTTGAAATCCAAACCAAATCACTTAGACTGTTTTAAGAGGTAGTGGCTTTAGGGACATCCAGACTTGCCTTGGTGGATCAACCTGGTAAACTAGAATCAACATGTCTCTCTGCAGCACTGCAAAAGATCTTTAAGTTTCAAGTTGATTTTCAGTGTATACATTTTTTCCATCAATATACCAGAGGACAAATGTTAACTGCACAAATACAGTGGCAGATTGCAAACAGCAGGCCATTCTCGAAAAACTAAACAAAACACCCCCTGAATGACGCATACTGGAAATGTCAATGACACATTTATACTTTTACACTTTTTTTTTCGTGAAGTGCAAGAGTATGAATTTTTAAAGCTGATGCACCAACTTGCAAAGAGGTAAAACAAAAAATAAAGAAGGGGCATGACAGGGTACGGGTTAGATCTTACCTTGAATTCCTCCAGAATTTTATACGTTTTCCCCCTGTATTCGCAAAAGTTTTTAACCTCCTTGCACTCGGGGCAGCACCCGTTGTGTTCAACTTTGGTGCACTTGGGGTGCAGTTTAGGGCACTCTGGCTGGTCGCACACAGGCCCGTCCTCCGTGCACTCACATGGACAGTTCGAGTGTCCCGGGTAGAAGCGCTCCCCGAGTTTGTACACGAAGCCACTGTCGTCCACGCACCCTTTCCCCCTGTAGTCATCGAAGATGATGTTGTCACTGGCCGTACGCTCCGCCTCGTCCGCGGCGTAATCCTCGGGGTTTCCCACCAAGGCCGGACGCACGGCGCTCGGGGCCAGCAGGAGGACGCAGGCGGCCGAGAGGAGGAGAGGGCCCATCCTACCCATCCTTCGCCGCGGCATCGATACCCACATTCAACGAGGTTGTCTGGATGTCATCCCTAAGCTCCTGGTATCCTCACCGGATCCGTCCTGCGCTTCATTACCATCACCATAGTCATCACCACATGAGGAAGAAGGCAGCTGTGGAGAGGATAAGAGATAATATGATGGATGATGATTCACTGCTGCAGTCCTGATACACCCCCTTTGACCACAAAATTCCCACATTTCAATACTTTTCAGTTCAGCTCTAGCCTCTCAATGTGATCCCCCTGCTGTCATCAGTCATGTTTATTGAACAATTCAAGTTTTTACAGCATCAATTCAACCCCCAAAAGACGAATGTGACTCAACAGGCTAATGCCGTCATTCCTAATGAAACAAAAACCTTTGTTAACAGAATAAACGTTATCTGTGGGCGAATTGTCCTTTGCTTTGTGTTGGTGGAGGTTTGGGTGTGTTAAAGTCCACATTCTGAGCAGAATCTCCAGCGTCAAACATTAAAGGGAAAGGTTAAAGCATGAATAATCTAAAGTGGGTGGAGTGGGGTCATCTCGGTATTCTTCTGGCTGACTAAAATCCAACCTTTGAGCTATCTTTGCGCAATTTCAAACTCCATCAGAGCGACCACAGACAACAGGTAGCTATTAGACCCGTTTTAATTTCCCGCGAAGCCAATGATTTTACACGTTTGTGCCTCAACAATGTACTTACAGTTACATGCTGTTACCAAATAAGGCATGCAACATGCAAATGTTCCAAATCTTTAATGCGCAGTGATTTAGCCCCTCCAAAAACGCACCCAGAGAGGAAACGCACGGAACAGAATTCAGACAGTCTAGACGGATATACCGCTGCAAAAACAATTATTTCTACCTTTTTAGATCAACTGCAAAGCCAGTGACAACATGAATGTAGCCTACATTTACCAAAGGACAAACTCACCGCGTTGAAAATTGCTTGATATCCACTTGGTGTGAATCCGGAGAGCCCAGCACACAGAAAATATAAAAGGTAGTCGTCAAGCCTATATTGGAAACTTCACTTTATCCAGCGGGTAAATTCACCAGACTCCACCAGACACTATAATCCTCCCTTTCGGTCGTGTGGTGGATTTAAAAGCTATTAAACGCCAGCCTTTTGTTGATGTGGTCCCCCCTTTCCAGCACGGAGAAAATGATATCCACATAAAAGTAGGTCTGCTTCATGGTGATCTTCCTCGGACTCACATTTTTGAGACAATATCACAGTTTACGTCCAAAGGCATGCGGTATATCGGGAGAGGGACCAAGAAAATCCTCTGTAGCGTTCCCTGAGAATCCAGAGTCAATTCAGTATTTCCAAACGACGCAGGTGAACATTAGAAAGCAGCAGGCAGTCTTGTTGCTATATGTTCGCATACATCCCGCGGTTGCGTTAGAAGAAATGAAAATCCAATAAGGGAGTGTAAGTTAAAGAGTATAAAAAATTAGACCATTCAGAATTGAAGTCAGGCATTATTTGATTTTCGGTTTTTCGGTAGAGGTCGCGTTCATCGTCCGCTGAGGAGGAGCGCTCCGACTTTCAGCACCTTGGAGAGCGACTATCTCCTGCGTCCTGCACTGAGCACAGCAAGGCAGAGCCGAGCAGAGCAGAGCAGAGCACCCACCGCCCCCCTCTTTCACCCACAGACACAACAACCCTCACATCCCATGATCCGAGGACAGCCTCGACTGTATTTCTTGAACTGGTCCAGCAAGAGTTAAAGGCTAAAACATGAAGTTGAAGTAAATGTTCTGTAGTCTGAGACGTTCCTGAAGGACTAGCCAGGGGAGGTGAGGCTAGATCAGTCAAATGAGTGTGTGAGTGCCTTTTTGTGTCAGTGTTTGTATTTGTGTGGTGTGTGTGCGTCCTTGCTCATGTGTGCCTGTGCGTGCCAGATTGTCTTCACACATGACCTGCAGCATGTTTTCCTGACTCACTCCCTATTTGCAGCACAGTTTTACAGAAACCCATTTGTATTCTACAGTGCAAGGCAAAAAAAAAAAAAAAAAGAAAAGAGAGAGCCCGACTTCTCAGCCCCTACAACAACAGAAAAATACAGCGTGGCTTTGCAGAGCTGGAGCTGCAGCTTTGTTTTACAGATGGTAGCCCGTAGGGGCCACTGCCTGACTACATTCAGTCTGAGAACAGATGACTGAGTGAGACCCCAAAGACTTTCCCTTAATTAGCTTTTCCCATGAGGAATCACGCACATCTTATCAACTACGACCTTAAGGCCTGTCTCGTTCTAATATGAGTATGTGTTCATGGCCTTTATCTGAGTAATGATTCAAACCTGCTGTTTTATTAGAGCTCTTTTACTTGAAGCACTTGTCAGTCCCTTGTGTAACACACCCATGTACTCACCTTTACACTGACATGCAAATGCCACAGTTTAATTTGCTGCACAGATGACCCGCTAGCCCATACTATGGCAAATACAACTTTTATAGAGCCCAATGAATGAAATGCATTCAGGTTGCATGTACCCTGGGCATCAACAGCACTATTTTCTATTTGAACAAAAACCAGCATCTAAATAAATGATAAGGCTCTCTGACTGTGGGATCACACACGAGTGAGTGGTTTTGTAGAACAGTTACTCTGACACAGACACCAACAAAAGTACTCATACAGTACCAATACATATACCAGTACCTATAATACTATTTGTGGTATGGTGGTATCAGGTAGTCTGCCAGTCAGCGCATTGGTTCAGCATAAAAATTTTGGGGAAGAATAATATGAATATAACAAACCAGATTTGCACAATTAATAGTATATGACTCAACTCTGTATGAAATCTAGAGTCCAGTATTGACAGCATTGCCAGCTAAAGCACTGGTTTGATTCCTCACTCAAGTTCCAGAGAAATCAATTAGTTTCAGGCTAATTATGATGTGAGAATAACAAACAACAGAGGAAATTATGTTCGGCAAAGCCATAAAAATGTCCAGTACCAATTAATATATCAGGCTTCAATACTGCATAACAAAATGTGGAACAAGATAATGGGGGCTGTGCCAGTAGATGCACTTACACCACAACCAATTAGCCCCAGAAATCAATAGCTTAGGCAAATGACTGTGTGTCAGTGGTAATAAAAAATGGAGCTGTGTGTAAATGTATGTAAAGAAAAGAATTCATTAGAATTGTTAGGTACCAAAAAAATATCAGTACCCAAGGAAGTGTTGATATCAGCCAACAAGAGCTGCAAATAGATAACTTCAAGTTAAAGTCCCTGAGAGGAGTTTTCTCTGGCTGTGAAATAGATTCAAATTATCAGTGATGCGTCTTTATGAATCACAAAAGCAGACAAGACCGTCATTATAAAGACAGGCAAGACAGATGATTGACAGCACCATGAGGAAACAGACATTTTGTCATTTTCAGCAGCCACTTTCACAATAAGAGACATTTTTTGGGAGGGGATATTTTTTTTTGTCGTGGAACTTTCCTTTGGCATGTCCAGTACAAATGAGGAGAAGAACAGGAAGTACATCTTTGCCCTCCGGGGTGCCAAGAGTGTCATAAACCAAAAGTTCCTCATAGCAACAGTTATAAACAAAGACCAATTATTAGAAGGTCTAATGTCAGCCAAAGACAGCAAAATGACAACATGCATTTTTGTCAATAAATAGACCAATACAGCTCATACCAAGTTCTTACAAAAGTCACAGTGGACACTCCACAAAAAAAGTAGGTCTGGACTCAACACTTTGAGATGTTATTCAGAGAGACACAACTGAAGTCTGTCATTATTAAAGTCACTGCCAACATCTGCTGACAGTCAAAGACAAATGTCCCTCAAAAATCCGAGTCCCTGTGCAGAACCAACTATCTGCTATAATGTAAGGATGTGTCCAGAGGGGCGGCCTGGGTTGGTATGAGCCCCCTTGAAGTATGATTGGGCACCCCAGTTGGATATGTTTAAATACGAAACTACAGTTGGCTATTTGCTTTGTCTTAGACAGTATTAGTGTTTAAACTCCCACTCTGACCATTTTTTTTACTCAGTATTCTCAGTGGTCTTTAAATTGTGATTATGAAGTTTTTAGCCAAAATCACGTTACCTGTGTCATTTTCAAGGGCTTTCCTTCTGCAGAGCTCCAGGAGCTCATTAGCAATTCACCCCTGAATTGTGGGCGGAGACAGCGCTGCTCTGCACACTCCTCTTCACACTCCTCTTCACATTAGCTTGTAGCCAAACATCGCCAATGTAGTATAAGTGACAGGTAACATTGGAGCTATTCATCTCTAAGACACTAGTGTCTTTGGTGACATGATGGAAGTCAATGTCATAATTAGCTTTCTTACGAGCATTGCAATCTGCTAAAGCACATGCTTGTTCCATGATCATCCTCTCTACTTTTCTGAGTCTGGCCTGCATAGGAAATCTCACTGTGTCTGACCTGAACCTGTCGTTTAGGTCTACCAGAGGTTCACAGCTACTTGAATGTAGAAATACTCAGAAATGCAATTTTGCACTTAGTTTTCTCATGATATGACTTGTAGCATCAGAAAAAATGCAATATGAACATGTAGACAACACGAAAAACATGATTTTCATCGGAGTGGGTCTTTAACTCTTGGCTCTAGGCTGTAAAAGCAACAGGAAGCCTGGTCTTTGGTCCGATTTGTCAATCAAATTAAGGATCAGGCTCAGGCGTCATGACATTTTTACGCCTGTAACACAAGAGCAAGCCTCTGTCAGAGATCCCCACCGCTTATTTCCGTAATCAAAGAGAATGTAAAAGCTCAAAATTATATATGATATGATCTCTTTCATTAGACACAATAATACAGATTCTGAGTGCAGAGGAAAGTCACTCGGGTTGGGAGGAAGTGCAGCCGGTGCCATCGACAGGGATCATGTGGGGGTTAGTTATCTCTGAAAGGTGGCAGGTGTTTGAAATGCAGATGCCGGCAGAGCTGCAATCACAACAAAACCTGTGACGACCGGGGGTTTGTCAAACTCCACGTAACACACCCAAAGTGCATAATTACTGTGTAAGCCGCAACATTTAGCCAGGCATACACACAAGGGCAAAGCGAGGCTACGCTGTTAGTTTTTCTCTTGGCTTAATGCAGAAACGAAGAAGAAGGCATATTTTCTTTGCATTTCCATACAGTGTTTGCATTGCTTTGAATTGGCTCTAATTCTGACTGCTGTTCCCTCATCATCCCAAATCTGTATTTGACTACATCAAGGCGTGTGTGTGGGCTGCATTTCCCTCCTCACTCTGACACGACCGACTGTTTCCCCTTCCAATCATGTCTCCTCCACAAACAAATGTGATGTGTGTCAGAGTGGGAATCAGACTGTTGTTGCTTTTGAATAACTGCTTTGGCTAAAAAACTTGGATGGTGAATGACTTTGCACAGCTAAATGTCCTTCCTCTTTTAGATATGTAGAAGAAATCTCAACTGAAGCAGCTCTTTGAAAGTTGTGATGGATGAAGATTTGCTTCTAGCAGCATTTGAAAACCATTTTGTAAACCTCTGTCTCCCATGGCATTTTGTAAGGTTACCCTTTATTTTGATTGTCCATCTGTTGACACTTTGCACGCTCTCAGTAGATATTTAGCTGCAGGTAAACAGTGTGTCAGTTCATATTCAACAGAGAGGCAGCATTCATTCAACTAGCTGTCTGCAGACTTAAGGTGCATTTCAACTTCCAACATATTGCAGTAACTCTCTAAAGGAGAGGGATCAATTTGGGATCAATACAACTCTTGTACTGTTTTGTATTTTATTGTATTTTGACCGTTGTTGTGCTTTTGTGTGGTGAGTTGTTGAATATTTAACAAGCTGTCAGTACATGGTCAACTTCTTGACAAGCACAGTCACCTACACTGAACCATTGACAGACTGTGGCCTGCAGCTCTGTTTCAGGTGCATACTTGAAGAGCAAAGGCAGGGAGAGCAGCAGCAAAGAGCATCAGGGTACAGCACAGAGTAGGCATCAGTGACAATACTATGACTCTGGTAAAATCAGCCAGCATCAGAGAGAGGATCAACAACTTCTATGTTTCCATTTTTAATGCTGGAAAACACTGTGAAGAGGGTCAGTGTAGGGCTGGATGATGAATACATAAACAGCCTTTCTGTGCATTTTCAAAATATTCACAATGAGGCATGAATGAGACATGTGGCATGAAAGACCACACAATGATCCTTTTTGATTTCTTATATAAGATACCGTCTTTTTTAGTTAAGGGAGAAAACCAATGAAGTAATGAGACATTCATTTTTGGCCACAGGGGCTCCAAAATCAATACCAATCCAAACTTCTTCATGGAAGCTTTTGCTGCGTTCCAGTTGTACTCAGAAGTCAGAATTTCCGAGCACCTAGTCGGAAATTCCCCTGAAGTCGGATTTCTGACTGAGAAAGTTGGATGATTTTCACTAACCCCGATTTGATGACAATGTCATAATCCAAGATGGCAGTCCAGTGCATCAGCGGTAAAGAGTAACAGTTAAAAATCTTGTAATGTATTATTTATCAGCACTACTGTTCTGTTTTTGTGAAATTAAATAAGTGGTATATGTTGTACTGCCCAACGTCTAACTGTGAAACCGGTGCTATGGTGTTTGTAAGAGTAAAATACTGTGCTATGCATTGTTTACAACTGGTATAGCTAACAACAGCTGACAACGGCTAATAACAGCTGACAATTGTTGACAACAGCGAACAATGGCTAACAGTAGTCATCCATCTTGATTTTCCGACTTGTTTACTGGAACGCTGTCAACAATTTATAACGACTCACTTGAACAAAGAAAGATGCTCTGGAGGGTTAAAC